CATTAAAACATCGAGGCTCTAGCAACTTCGCTAGCAATACCTTTGGCTTGTTGTAACTTGCGACTCATGATAACCGTCCTTTGGGTTTTTTCATCAGGGACTTGTGATCACTGCACATTGGCATGTTCTGGGGTTTCCCCAGACAAAGATTTGTATAGACAGGTAATTCTGTCATCAGATCATCTTCACCACCACCACCACCACCACCACCATGCCTCCTTGACAGAAGAACACTTCCTGGGTTGCTCCCAGAGCCACTGCTGCTGCTTCCATTACTGCTGCTCCCATTACTGCTACTCCTGTTGCTGCTATTCCCACTGCCGCTCCTGTTGCTGCCACTCCCGCTACTGCTACTCCTGCTGCTGCTCCCATTGCTACTATAATGAATACGACCATGCTTCAAAATCCTCCAAGACGTCATCAGCCTCCTGTCAGATTCAGAGACAATGGTGCAGGTCCAAGTTGCACTGCAGATGAAGGGGAATCATTCCACTTTGAGAACATCTCCGGGGATGAGGAAGATGAAGTGGCCAACCCTCCTGTACTCACAGTTACGCCCGTTGCGGGCCCTACCCCACTCCAGACTGCAATGAATACTGCTAGAACTGACCCTCTGGCCACTGGTAGCCGAGCAAAACCACCTAAATCCTCTGCCGACATTTATTTCTTCTTCAGACAGGACCCTGTCACTCAGTCTAGGATCTGCAAAGCCTGCAAGTGAGTATTGTGTCTGCAGTCCATTGTTTTGTTCTTTCTAACATCATTTGCAAGAGAAATTCACGCTCGTGATGATGCTCACACTGTTGTATCATACCGTCCTACTACAGGCACTACAGGTCATCGTGCACATGCATTCAATGAGCATACCAACATTTACTTGGAAGAGGCCAATCATCAGCACTGGCATGTCCATACTTCATCGCGTTTGAAGACATTTTTGGATGATGGCTGGACAATCGCGACTTTGCATCAAAGGCTGAAGGATCCAGCTTACACGTTGGACTCACTCAGTACTCCCCCTACTCCTAGCTCACTCCCTGGAACCAGCTTGTCAGCTCCAGATGATGTACTGCCTGATTTTACTCTGGATGAAATGCACAAACAGATTGTGAAATTTATCGTTGCTGACAATCAGGTGAGTTGATGTGCACTTTCTATGCACTATGGTTAGTAATTGTCTTCAGGCAATTAGCATTATCGAATGCCCAGAATTTCGCCACCTGACCCATCTTCTGCGGCCATCGCTAAATGAGACCGATCTCTTTCATCAAACCAAAGTTCATGAATTGGTCATCGACACTTTCCACGAGTACTTCAATGCTTTGAAGAAGGATCTTGCGGTAGGTCTACAGTTGTTGAGAGCCCCACAAAACATCTTATATCCTTCAGGCTGCCCTGGGAAAGGTCTCATTCACATCTGACCTCTGGTCAGATTCTAACCTTTGCCCGTTCATGGCTGTTACTGCCCACTGGATCGCTAGGGCAGACCATAGTTCAGTCCTCATCTTGAACACAGCATTAATAGCCTTCCATCATGTCCCAGGAAGTCACACTGGAGAATTACTAGCGACAGTAATATTGCATTTTCTGGATTGGGCTGGCGTGACCAAGAAGGTTAGCATTTAATTGTACCATGTAACATACTCTAACTTTGTTTAGACTGGTCATTTTACCTTGGACAATGCCTCCAACAACCAGGTTGCCATGCAAGAGCTTTCGCAAAAACTCGAGTCCTGTGGGATTGATTTCCCTGCCGTCAACCGCAGAATCCCATGCTTCCCCCACATCATTAATATATGTGTGAAGCACATCATTGATGATTACCATACAGCTGACTTTTTGCTTGTGGCCGACCATTGGGCAATTGGCAATCGCACTATTATCAAAGCGGAGTATGTCAAAGCTGTGACAGGGAAAGCTATCGGCAGAGCTAGGGACGTTGTGTGCATGCTTCGCGCATCTAACCAGCGATGCAATTCTTTCAGGGACACCATCGTCACAGGTAACGAGAAGGAGTGGTTCCAAGATGACATGGGTGAGAAACTACAGCTCCCCATTGTCGAACTCCTGCTTGATGAGGCAACTCATTGGGACTCAGTCTATATCATGCTCAACTGTTTGCGAACCCTTCGCCAGGTAAGGCATCACCCACTTAACATCTGCCATGACTAATAGTTGCCCAGGCAATAGATCTATTCTTCGACTCTCCCACTCAATACTCCATCAGCAAATTCAAATTGAGTTCGATGGAGTGGCAGTTCCTACAGGATGTTGAAATAATCCTAGAGGTCAGTTTCAATATATTCGAAATTTATGTTTCATCTCATCATGTTATATTAGGCGCCCCATGCTGCTCAACAATGCATGTCAGGCAAACGCACTCCCAAGTTGAGTGGGGCATTTCCAGCGTTCAAAACATTGATTGAGCGCTGGAAGCTCTTGGCCCAGGTTTGATGTGGGTTGACAAGTATGACGAGAGGATGGGCACCACAAATGCCTATGCAGTCGCTATGTGTGAGTCCGTCAGTATCTTCTAGTAATGTATAGTTGCTCACGATTGCATCTATAGTCGTTGATCCTGTGATCCGAATGTCGTGGGTTTGGAGTCGTTGGGAGGAACAAATGATTAAGGATGTAGAGAAGCATATAATAAATCTGGTACGTTTATCAGACCAATAGCCATGTAACTTCGAAGTTCAAACTGATATTATCTACATGGAGATGCATCAAAAGCGAGCTGAAAATGGCTCAGCATATGTAGAGTCTCTAGCCAATGAAGTAGCACTTCAACAACAACCACGCACGCTAGGCTCATGCCTTTATGGGCTATCTGATGTCAACATCCTGCTGCATCACGGCAGCAGTGCACAAACAGTTGAGCAAGAGTTCAAGGCCTACATCATGGCTAATCTCAGCCCCAAGACAATAGACATACTTGCATTCTGGGAGGTGAGTGTCCTGTATCTTCACAAGTTATACCTTTTGTCGTTGACCATGAGCTGTTAACCAGGTCTCAGAGACCTCATTTCCGACCATTTATAGCATTGCAATGGACTATTTTCCAATACAAGCCTCTGCTGTTCCATGCGAGCAAGTTTTTTTTTGTCTAGTAGCGAAACCGACACGAAGAAACGTAATCGCACGACCCCAGTCCTGATGGAGGCTCTGCAGGTGGTAAAGTTTCTCCTGAAAAAGAGTGACTTAACTTTACCAAAGGTTGGGTGGCATCACAGAAGGATATGGAGTACAAGATGTTGGATGAAAGAGAGGAGTCTAACAATCTTTTGACATTATCTAGCAGTGGGATTACAGGTGACATATGCAACACTCTTCTCAGAGCTATTGCAGAGGAGGAGTGTGACGACATCGATGATGCTCCTACTACCTACGACTTGTGATGTTTGCTTTCCCTACTCATTTTTTGTTTCTTGTTTACCCTACCTCCACTTGTTCTGGCTGCCTGACATCTTGCAATGCTTCTGTTGCCGTATTATGTTTTCAATTGCGAACTTGTTCATTCATTCTTCCTTGACAGTCTGCTTTTCACTTTGACCTGTTCAGAGTCTCCCCTTGAGTCGTCAACTACTCCTACACCTGTACTGACAAATAATAGCTGATCTAGTTTTGCAGTGAAAGAGACATCTACACCACTGTGCCCAACCCATCCTCACCCCCCCTCCAATGAACAAAAGCACAACCGTTGTTCATACATTCTTTATTTCAGGCTAAATGTGGCACTGACTTAGCTTCAGCACTGGCATGGAATCACCCAATATTGGTTGGCCGAGATGGTCCAGTAAGTAATGTTACTCTTCTTCACCATACAATTCTCATGTACCATCGTAGCATCATTTCCACTTGCACGGGTGGGTGTCACTTGTTATATCAATTTGGACTCTCACTCATGTATCGCACAGCACGTTCTTCTGGGTTCATATCCCAGTCAGCCTTGAGCATACATGTATTCCTCGACAGGCCGAGTGCTCCGTAAGTACCTTTCCATTTATATGATCCTTAATATTATTACTCTAGGTATGCACACATCTTGTTGTACCTCTGCACCTCTCTCCACTTCAGAACACCCAGCCATCATTCCTAGAGCCGTTCAACTGGTGTCCTCATCATGGGCACTGTAGGCCTGGTCGGCCATAGGTTGATCATGCTAGGTGTGGGGTTTGCCCCTAGGTTGGTCATGCCAGGTGTGGATTCATCCCCACCGGGCTCTAGGTTGATCATGTCAGGTGTGGGGTGATTCCCACCCGGCTCTAGGTTGATCATGCTAGGTGTGGGGTTTGCCCCTAGGTTGGTCATGCCAGGTGTGGATTCATCCCCACCAGGCTCTGAGTTGATCATGCCAGGTGTGGGGTGATTCCAACCCGCCCTAGGTTGATCATGCCAGGTGTGGGGTGATTCCCACCTGGCTCTAGGTTGATCATGCCTGGTGTGGGGTAATTCCAACCTGCCCTAGGTTGATCATGCCGGGTGTAGGGTGAGACCTACCCAGCCCTAGGTTGATCATGCTAGGTGTGGGGTGATTCCAACCCGCCCTAGGTTGATCATGCCAGGTGTGGTATTCCCACCCAGCTCTAGGTTGATCATGCCGGGTGTAGGGTGAGACCTACCCGGCAAGACTCCAGGCACTACTCGAGCTTTGTGACAAAGCCAATTATCTTGGTTTGGAGGAGCTGCAACAATGAGATATGCAGTGGGCGCAGTATGGTGATCTATGCATGCGCTGGAAGCATGAGCAGCGCAGCTTCCATCCACTCCCTACATACTGTCCAGGAAAACAGCAAACCACACAAAATAGGCTGTTCATCTTTGTTCAAGCGGGAAATCAACGTGACCTCCATGCACTAAACACAGCAGGAGTAGAGGAGAAACCCAAGAAAAAATGATAATGTTTTTGTGTTAAAGTCTCACTGGCACAATTGTGTAGTAGCGTGACTAGACAGATATCAGATGTTGATGAATCTTCTCTAATGCACACAGCTCTCCCTTCAACAGCCTGCTTCTAATCCTGCCTCCCATCGCGACCCAACATCCTCAACAACCAACATCGCCACTTCGATCTCCACGGCATCTGACCTCCTCTTTCCCCTCCTCTCTCCCTTGCTCTTTCCCCTCCTCTCCCCCCTACTCTTTCTCCTGCTCTCTCCCCTACTCTCGCCCTTCCTCTTCCCCCTCTCTGTTTTGCGGCTTGTCTTTCGGCTCTGCACTGTCCCTCAGTTGTCTGTATAGTACGTTGCTCTCGCAATTTTCGCGCACGAGCAGCACTGCCATATAACTAATGTTCACTTTAGTGTTTGATCGAACATCAATCGGACCACATACATTATCTTGGGGACCCATAGGTGCTTGACTAGTTTTGCACTGATTGTAGATCTGGTAGTAGTAGGGCGCTATGATAGCTACTTTCCTTATTGGCTGTGAAGTCTTTGAATATTGTTCTAATCTATTTTTTTTAACTTATTATTGGTTGCCACTTGCTCATGCAGACTACATTTCACATGCATCACTCAAATATCATACTTTTCCTACTACAAAATCTTCAAACTACTACATCTATTCACACTTGTGACTTTGTGTCGTCCGCTACCGCCGCGGAGTTTCAATTTTTTCATATTCCTCCAACACACCGAACTGTGCCTTGACTTGGACATTGAAGTCTATCCTCCCTCACTACCACACCTCTAAGTTCAGTTTCTCTTGTGGTGCTCTGGCTACTTTGGACCGCAACCTCCTTGGTAACTGTGGCTCGATCATGGGTTGGATCGGTGCTCATGCTACCCATGGTATCTCTGAGACAGTGAGACCCATGTCCCTCATCACTTCTCCAGCAAGATCTCTCACTATAATGCTTGGGTAGGGCCTCACATGGGTAGAGAGTGCCCGAGTACCCACCTGGGTGGAACCTGTGGGTAGCGTGTGGGTCACTCAGTCATTGAGTCGTCTGCCAGTGGTGTGTACAGCAATGTTTCTTTTTGGCTTTAGGATTAATGTCAATACTATTTTGCAGAGAGAACGCTCGAAATATGACCTTAATGGCTCTGATGACGAGTCTTTACACAATCTGCCCTCATTGGACTCGCTCGAAACTTATCTCAATTCTCCGCGTGTCTCCAGGCCTGAAATCATCAGTATCGGCAGAGTTCTGAAGTATTGGGAGAATGCTCATGCTACGAGACCCCGTCTGGCTCATTGAGATGTTGCAGAGTTCAATAGCGACTAACACTACTAAGTGTCTTTGTACTACTCACCCAATGCTAAGATATATCATGTACCCGCGGGTGACCCGCACACCCTCAGGTACAACCTGTGAGTCAACCCATGCCCGTACCACTTGACCCGGGATGGATATGGGCATGACTCTATTGACCCATAGTCATTGTATTAGGAGCTGGTTTGAGCTGACTTGAAGACCGTAAATGCAGCTCCATTGACCGGACCGGGCTACTAATTACATAAGTCATAACTACATACATGGCTTGGCTACCCACAGCTCCGCCCACGGCTAAAGCCGGTCATAAGCCGGAACCGCAGCAACACTAAGCTACAGGGATGGCATGGAACATTTGGGTGAGTCGGTGATAGGCATAAATACTTCAGGAGACATGATATCTGTTACTGATGAGCACTAACTACCAAAGGACAGCCAAGAGTTTGATCGAGATGTGGCAACTATGACAGAAGATAACATTGGGGGTATTGAGTCAGTTGAAGGGATCAAAAGTATACTAGGGGCAGGAGTACTGCAGAGCGGAGATTGAAGAAGCTGCACAGGTTGTTCCATGGTTCTTGCCTTTTGCCTTTCTCCTTTCTCCTTCTTGCCACTCAACTACATGCAGCAGCTTGAGCAGTAAATCAGATCATGCAGAGTTATCAGTACACTCCATAGGAAGGATGGGTGACAATAATATTAAATTATATATTATTGATGACGGTCATAGTCTAACCCAGATTTCCAAAGTAATGTTATAATACTGATGACTATTACCACTATTCTCAAACACTAAACAGTCAGGCTAGATAGTAAAAGTTATTCATCAAACTAAGGTACACTTGACATGGAGTCATACAGTCATACAAAAAGGAGTAATCAACTAGCTGCATAGCTGCATCAGCCTTGTATGAGTGAGATCCTTGTACTCATTCCATTGTGCCAACAAGGATGGGTCAGCAGTGATTGCCTCAAGATGCTCTAGCAGTCTATGGTAAAGTTCAGTATATACGTCACCAGCAAATTCAATATCAATAAACCATCCAGTCGCAAACTCCTGCAATGCACACTTAAGAGCAACTGCAGCTGCACAGAATATACTGTCCAGATCAGTGAGGTACTTGTAGAGGCTGAGTTCCATGATAGCGTCTAGAACGACATGCCATAGTACTTCATTTTCAAGGAAGTATGAGATGCCAGACTCATCCATGCCAAATGTAAATTTCGGTGGAAAAGTCCATTTGCTAAGAAGCTCTGCAATCTTGTATATCTTGAATTCAACCTCACTGACCATCAACTGTGCCCCAGGACATAGATGGAATAGTGCTATATTGGTGCACACAATTTTCTTTAACATATGTATGATGAGTTTGTATGGATTAGATAGTATCATGTAAAGTGTTGAAGAATTTGCGAGAGACCAGTCATTTGCAAATGCTGTGGGCACATAACCAAAGCATCAGACACCGTGTTTGGTAAAGCTTTGGGTGTGTACTGGCTTACCTGGATAAATATAGTGCTTTGTAGCTGACTCTTGAAACTTCTGTTGAACTATTACCTTTCTGGCTGACAAGGTCAATATAGATTGTGCATTTACTGCATGTTCCTTGACTGGTTTTATGGCATAAGTAATGATTTTCTTGTGTTTGCGGTTTGTTGGGTTGTATGGAAGCTCCACTCTGTTGGGCATGACAATGGGCTGGATGAATGGGACCAAGTCAGGGAGTGCAGATGAAGAGGACGAAGCAATGGGCTGAGGAGGAATCATGGATGGTTTGGGGTTTATGTGCAAAGACGGTAATGTCGAGACCACTACCTGTCATGAGTACCTTTAACAAACCATTATTCTTTTCTAAATCTTCCTAAGCGTCAATATACAGCGCCTAAATCAAACCCTAACCCTATCTTGAAAACGTCTATCATTCCCGAAATACCTTTAGCGCCCACGACACGTGTCTTTGATGTGACTGATGAAGAAGACGAGTTCTTTGATTGTGAATAGATTAGATTAGATACGATAAGATAAGATATGGTCACGTGATACTTCTTTCATATTCTATGACATTCTATGGTACGATTCCCTTTTCCTTTTTATGATTGGCTAGTAGTTATATCTCAGTTTCAATCTCCGTTTCAATAGTTGTATATAGGTAGCATGTCTTGGTCGATAGTTCTTTAGTTCAAACCTTTTGTATCTACAACTGTAGCAATCCAAGACGTACCTGCTCCTCTTTTCATCGTTGTGATAACCTTAGTCCGAGTCCTAGTCTCTGCCCAGCGTTAATTCGTTATTGGGTTGTGACACTACCTGAGAGTACATCAACAATCAATGATGTACCAAAGGTAAATTATAATGACTTATGATTTTGGCCCTCTTTGGTAGTTGAGATTCAAAGTGCTCCATCTGTATGCCATCTGATTTGCAGCGTGATTTTTTGGTGTGATACCTCTTTGCATTTGGCTTGACCTTTTGAGCCAGTGCAGTTGCATCTCTGACTTTGTAGATACCTTCTCTACAAGGTTTGTCATGACAGTCGGTATCAACTGGTAATAGTGTGTTATTATCTATAGACAACACTAGCTCAGGGAACTCTGGAAAGAAAGAGCTGATTTGATCAGGCAGTGGATGATATGGTGCTAAATGACTGTGATGAGGTTCTGAGTTATAGTAAGACTATAGCAGTGTTGTCAGATGTAGAGGTATGTATGAGTCATCAACATTGGAAACAATTATATCCAAAAGCCAGAAATGTGATGCTATCTCAATGGGGTAACATACAGATGTGTGGTAATCATCTGGAGATAAGTACCTTGGACTGTTGGAGAACAAGAGGTCTAAAGGATCAGAAATTAGATAGAAAAGTAGAATGGAGATCAGATCAGAATGAGTCTGGATGTATAATAAGCCAGGACTACCTTCAGAAGAGGTTAAGATGATAGTATAGATGTTAGAATAGCTTGCAGGGCTCCAGACATCCTAGGATATGAGGACAAGATGTAAATTGAATGTTATGTCAGATGATGAGATCTAAGTTTCAGTATGACTGTATGTAAGATGGACTTCAGATCAGTGGGCTGAATTATAGATTGGAAATGAATATGAATCAGATTAGAGATCTGAGATCCAGACAATAGGTCTGAAATATACAGGATATGTATTAAGGTTGTACTCTTGTATTAACAGATCTGATAGGGCTTCAGCCTCAGCTCATATGCTACACCCTGTTCCCAAGTACTGCCCCTTATTTCAGAAAGGCAAGTATAATGTGTCCAGAGGGTCAGACAAGTATTGTATCAATATCTGAAGATCTTCCAGATATCGGAAACACGTATAAGACTAATCCAGACACTTCTGGACTTAGAAAACAATAGAGTATGGACTATTTGGAGATGGAGTCAGAGATATAGACTATAGGATACAATCCTTAAGTCTTGGAGTATGACAAGAGTTTAACTAGACTTAAGTCCGGAGGACAGGAAGAGGACAAACTAAGATGATATTCAAACTGAGGTACTATAGGGCATATACAAGAGTTTATATACTAGAGGACTATCCAAGGCTATGCACAAAGTATAAGCAAAGTTTATTACAAGTCAAACACAAGTTGGAAATTAGCACAGGTTAACAGATCATAGAGCATAGCCAGAAGTAAGTATAACTGAGATACTAGGAACAAGGAATACTGAATAAAGAAATAGGCTGTGGTTTAACATTATATGAACAGGAAATGAATAAAGAAGCTTATTGTATATCGGTTCGGAAGCAGATCTGTACATCAGATCAGATCAGATCTAGGCTCCAAGGTCTGGGTGAGAAGCATGGATATATGGGATATGATAATATGACAGATCCAAAGGATTTTGGTCTCAGCTCATATGCTATATCCCTTTCCTAAATACTACTCCTTATTTCAAAAAGCTAAGGATAACATGTTTAAAGGGTTGGATGGGCATCTAGTAGTATCTGAAGGACTCCTGACTATTATAGTCAGATGTAGAAGATTACTGATATCAAAAGTGCATATAAAGGCTAATCTGGATGAAGTTCAAACTAGAAACTAACAGAAAGTAGACTATATAAAGATAGAGCCAGAGGTATAAACTATAAAAATTAATTCTAAGTCTTGGAGGGTAATAAGAATTAGTTAGACTCAAGTCCGGAGGGCAGAAAGAAAACAATTTAAGTTAATATTTGACCTGAGGTACTATAGGACATATATATGAGTTTATATACTAAATGACTATTGGAAAGATCAGTAAGCAAAGATCTGAGACTATGTACAAAATATATGCAAAGTCTATCAATAATAAGCAATGCTCACCAATCATGAATCAGAAATTAAACATAAATTAATAGATCAGTCAAAGTAGTAGAAGTAAGAATAACCAAGAAGCCAAAGGTAAGAAATACCATATATAGAATAGAGTTGTGTTAGAGTTATATGAACAGGAAATGAAATTCAAAGCTGATAAGATCTGTGGAATGAAAGACAGATTTGTCTGATGGATCTATATTAAATCTAGGGTCTGATGTTTAGATGAGAAGCATAGATATATAGGATATGGCATGTCTATAAAACTTACTATCAAGTCCATGCAATAATAGAAACCCAAATAATAATCTACTTGAACATCATTGAATATTTGATTTACTAACATTAGTTAGTTATGATTTTTGAGTGTCTAAAAGGAGACCTACTGTATAACAGGCATTGTGGTTGAGAATAGTGTACTTCAGAGGTTTGACAACAGAACAATTCATCATATTAATTAATGTTTGTCTTACATTAACAAAAGCAATGCTATCCTATAATATACCATAACATAACATAGAATTAGTAAAATAGTTTTGTATATAAGGTCCATTATTAAAGTGCATGTATTATAGCATATACTGGACTTGTCATTATTTTACACTTGAAGGAAAACAGATAGAAAAAAGTATTTGATTTGATTTACAACTTCATGTATGATTATCACAACCCAATAATGAATAAACACTAGGGCAGAGACTAGGACTCAAACAAAGGTTATCACAACAAAAGGATAAGGAGCAGGGACATCTTGGATTGCTACAGTGTAGATACAAGAGGTTTGAACTAAGAAACTATCAACCAAGATGTGCTACCTATATACAACTATTGAAACTGAGACTGAAACTGGGATACAACTACTAGCCAATCATAAAATAGAAAAGGGAATTGTACCATAGAACATCATAGAATATTAAAGAAGCATCACGTGACCATATCTTATCTTATCGTATCTAATCTAATTTAATCACAATCAAAGAACTTGTCTTCTTCATCAGTCACATCGAAGACATGTGTCGTGGGCGCTAAAGGTATTTCGGGAATGGTAGACGCTTTCAGGGTAGGGTTAGGGTTTATCTTAGGCGCTGTGTATTGACATTTAGGAAGATTTAGGAAAGAATAATGGTTTGTTAAAGGTACTCGTGACAATGATACACATTTAAGAAAAAGTGACTACTGTAACAAGCAATCAAGTACTAAATAGTACCACCTACATGCAAACTTGTTATGTCATTATGGTTAATGAAATCAAAATCACAAGATATAAGTTTCATGAAATAAATATCATGACTTATATACAAGAGGAAGCTTGACAATTTAATTAAACTCCTATAGCATTGTTTTTTGGGTCATTTTCTACTAAGACTGTGGGGCATGCCAGAGTGATAGAAATTATGACTCATCCTAATCATACATATCACCATTGCTAGACTTGTAATTATGTGCAAAAAACACCATACTGGTTCTATTTTCTATAAAGATACTGAGAAATATTACAACTCTCTGGCTGGGCCTCAAATTAATGTTTCTGATAGAGGAGACACCTATCACCATCTTAGAGTCTGCTTTACAAAACTGAATATTTCATAACAACATTTCTTTATTCTATATCATGGTTCTTACTTAGCACTATTGTTACTACATGAACCTACATGATCTCAACTTGAAGTGTATGTACCTTATAGTATAAAACAATAAACTACTGCCATAGGAGAGTTTAAAGAAATTTAATACTGTCCTAGTAATTCCTTGCATTTCCAAGAATAAATTAGATTACCCTAAACTACCTATATATTTTCTCTATTATTTAGACTTTGATTCAAGTAATGATTAGTGTTTAATTGAATATATATATGTCTGACATGTCTGAAAATCAAAAGACACTACCAGTACATTCTCTTTGTATATCTTAGACACTTATCATATTATCTCAGGCAAGCAAGACTATAGCGATACATCCTTAAGAGCTTGCAAGACAATACCTTACATCTTACTAGTAGTGCTACATATATCACATTTCACAACATCAGAACTTTGTTGTAACAGTATGTAAAACTACTGTTATCCATGTACTTTATGAAGGTGTATCTGGACAATTATTAGTGAACAAGATATTATCCAAGCCTTTCATGCAGTAGTAGTCTTTATTACTCTTAAATAAGGACAGACTAGTCTTTTGGGTAAGGCAGAATGTATGTGTCTTACATTCATTTCATTCAGAATTATAATGAGGACATTATTAAAATGAAATGAAAAGGCTTTCAAATAAGCAACAATATTAAAAGAAGAGGATGCCACTGAGAGCAAGTTAATTTGCTTCAGCTACCTGAAAATTGCATAGCAAGATGAAGTCATTACTCCTTGTGATTCAGATGACATATCAGAGTGTCATAATATTTATTAAGAAAACTTTTTGTAAAGGAAAATCCTTCAGCCAATGTCATAAAGCTGAATACAAATGAGATGTAAGTTTTAAGACTGCAGGTTATGAAGTCATGGTTATATACATCTGGAATGCCTTGGAAGATATACCCTCTGCCTACATGAAGATAATCTGAACATTAAGGAGAACATTCTTATCTTTGGTGAAATTGAGGGCCTGAAGTTTAAGTTTCAGACATTTTGCTACTTTTCCCTCTAGCAGAACAACAAATGGACAAATGATAATATAGCACTTGTTGGGATCAATAAAAGAGGCTGTTATTCACAATATGCTCTTGCCACCTCTAGTTTTGAGGGTGATAATAGTGTCTTTTTTAGTGCTCATGATGCTCATGATAGCCTTAAAATATTCACTAAATCTTTCTTTGATGGTAGGGTCTTCAAACAGTTGTGTAAAAGCAGCTCACATCCTCTATATGGATCATCTGTCCTTCTTTTCTTAGGAAAAATCAGCTAGAATCCCTGTCTCTTTATGTTCATTTATGAATATTGGATCTTCAAAATGAGGAGAGAAAGACTCCTCACTAAATGAATGAAGGTTATTATTGTCTATCAGTATACCTGGACCAAATAAGCCAAAGAATGTTGATTTTTTCCTCTTTGTTGGAATGCACCACCTTGCAGCCATCCAAAACGAAGACCTTACTGTGTGGGATGTGTCTCATAATGCAATATTTATATTAGGCATTCATCTCATATTCACGACAGCTGATGTGCCTGGACTTGTGTATTGGGATGGAATGGTGGGGCACAGTGGGAAGAATGAATGTCGGATCTATTATGGAGTACAGGGCCAAAGAAAAACTCATAGGACTCATTACTACCCAACACTTTTGAAGTCAACTGATTATTCAGTTGTCGGGAGCAACCATCCAGATATTGATGTGTTTGAAATTCTACTCAGAGGATCTGATGACTATGAAACTAACTTAAATGCCTCATTACTTCTCCAAACCAACATCACTTTGACCTCAGGAAAACAGAGACAAATATAACAAAATCCCCTCTAATCCTTGGCCTAAGTCCTTCACACAGTCTTGGAGTCCCATTCTGCATGACAACGGACATCATGCACCTCATAGCAAATCTTAGTGATCTCTTATTGAGTCTCTGGCATGGAACTTTAGACTGCAGACCATCAGACAATGTCGAAACTTGGGACTGGGCTGTCTTTAGAGATGAGAGTGCCTGGACTATACATGAAGCAGCAGTTGAGAATGCTGGACCCTACCTTTCCACTTCATTTGATCACAAGTCTTGTAATATCTCTGAGAAGCTTAACACAGGCTATAAAACATGGGAATTTCAACTGTACATGTTTGGCCTCACACCTGCACTACTCTACAACATTCTACCTCAGAAATACTAGTCTAACTATTGCCAACTCATCCATGGATTCCAGCTGATGTGTCAATATTGCATCACAGCCCAGGAACTTGTTTATGCCCAAGCACTTTTATGCTGTTGGAAATGGGACCTTGAACTCTTGTATTATCATCGCCAAGAAGATCACATCCACTTCATTTGTCCATGTGTCCATCAAACCAACCACCTTGTCTCGGAAACAGTGCAGAAAAACCCATCAATATGCTATGCATAGTGGACTATGGAGTGAACAATTGAAAATTTGGGTCAAAAAATTTGTTAGCCCTCAAATTTTTTCAGCGAACCTCTCACAAGAAGGAGTTTGATACTACCATATCAATACCCTTCTCTCCATAATGCCCGAGCTTGACAAGGCCTTCCAAATGGTTCTGTTGATTTAGGAGATGGGTATGTGCTTCTTCATAAGTGAGAATGATATGCAAAACTCCCAGATGGTGCAGATGCACAAGTGATTACAGATTTTCTTGGTGCTCATCACATGCTTCTTCACATCAAGAAATGGGCCCGATTTTTGTTACCCAATAAGCAGGTTGCTCAATCAGCTTAGAGAGAGACCACCAAAGCATGTGAGCAGGTGTGAATGTCACTGCAATGTGAAGGTTTGTTCATTTTATTAAAAAATCTTCTACATACTAACTCATTATAGTTTAAAGTTGCTGGACAGTTTCAATTCAGTGAAGTGCAATATTTTATCAGACTCACAGTTGAAGTGGATGACACCAATGAAGACAGTGATAATGAAGACAACTGGCATTTTTTGGACATCGCTATCATTCAAATGTATTCACTCCCTCACAAAGCTCTTCTGTATCTTTCTTCTCAGATGGTTGCTTCATGTACCCACTCTAAGCAAGTCTTGGCTATCAATGTCAAGGATATCGTCAGCATAATCACCATGGTTCCACACAAGCCAACACTTCCATCAGGGCTTACAGAGGAGCATTTTTTATGATTGAAAAGCCAGGCTTAGATGTATCTGATCTTGGGATTCATTACAGTGCATATCATGATGAGGACAACAAGGACAATGTTGATGATGCCAGAATTGAGTAGATATCATTTCTGAAGCTCATAGTTACAGTTATTATAGTTCAATGGTTTTTTTCCATTGGTTCATATGAGGAATGTGAGAGTTCATTCGAGCAAATCTCAGTGCACAATAGCAAAACAACATGAGAGCAATAAGAGCACATCTGACAGCAAGAGGACAGAGAACATGAGAAAAAAAAGACAAATTAGAAATAATGGGGTGTCCTGAAAATCTGAAAGATGTCATCTGTCTTTCTTTTGGCAACTTCTGCAGCAATATCTGAGTTTGTAAGTTGGCAGATCCAGTAGCACCAAGGCTTTTTGGTGTGCTCAGGATTGGTTGGATTGCTGCTGTGTACTAAGAGTAGATAACACAGAGACACTGTACAAGCACTGTAAATAAACAAGTTAGATTACAATATAGAGGAATATTGTACTTACATTGCCAGAAGAAGTTCAGGCAGGTTCTCCTTGATCTTGATTGTCAGATCTTCCTCAGCCTGAGGCTTCAATCCCTCCAATTCATTGGGATGAAGGTCCTTGAAGCGAAAAACTCTCTATACAATTATATACATAGAATCAGCAAATAAGAACAAAAAATCACCTTTTGCCCAGAAGATTTCATATCAAAAGATAAGACATAAGTGGCCCATGACATGTATAAACCATCAATGTCAATAACAATAACATTGCCAAGCATCATGATGTGAGGTGGGCTAATGATAGTTGGGGAAGATATCGAGAATATCAATGTGTGGTAAGTCGTAAAATAAAAGGTACCATATCAAGAGTCGAGACCAAGAACTTGATTCAGTATGTTTTAGTGGAGACAGAATATCAAATACAGAGTCCAGACGACTCAATGAGTCTTACTTTTAGTTTATATCAAGTCAGTCTGTCTTATCACTGACTTTATAATTCTTACAGTTATAGTATGTTCAGTCACCTCACCCTGTGGGAGTAATGCATTACCATTGTAATTACAAGACACATGTATTGCTAGTGTTGCCACAGCTCTGGCTTGTGGCTGGCTTTAGCTGAGAGCGGAGCTGTAATCAGGCTAGCCATGTACCTTATTGAGGCTTACATAATATATGGCTCCATCCAGTCATTTAAGCCATTTCATAGGCTTTAAGCCAGCTCCAGCCAGGTTTAAAATTAGAATAGATATAAAATATATTTGCATTGATTTATAAATATATTGTGATAATAATAGCCAAGGTCCAGGGCTCATGTTGCGAAATAGGAAGTGCTACCGTCTGTCCTACAACACGTGCTAGAATCTAAACTCGTATCTGATATTGACAATTGTCATTCAAGATGGGCCCCCAAGTCAATGTAAGTCAATATTTTGATCAGATATTTGAAAAACTCACTCAATTTAGTTGTACTGTAGTGTGGATCACGCTCGCAGGATCAAGGTGGGGCAAGCAGAGATAAGGAGGGCAGCAGCTTTGCAAAGCCAAAGATCATTGCAGATGGGGGTGAGAAGAAACATCGAGGGAGTTGAGGGAGCAGTGGACGAAGGGCGGGTGAAGAAGTGGGTGAGAAAGGTGTTGAGGAAGCTTGGTTTGAGATGGGGGTAGCGTGACATCAAGAGCAGACATACCAAGTAGAGTCTGATGATCCATCCTTCCTTGTTGTTTCACCTGGCTGAATGAATATTGCTGTCTCATTTTGTCACTGTGGGAAACAACATTTCAATATGCCTCAATCAAAAAGATAAATATGTCACTTACCAAGTGCTGATCAGCTGAGTACTTAGATTGGAGAAACATAATTTGCTACTGAGTGCTTTGTAGCACTCTGTAGCACCCTGTAACACTATGTAGTGCAATACTTCCTGCTGATGGCTATCAGATCTGTTCTCATCTCCTTTGGGTCTGTGATGTGTGTCATATTTTAACTAACCCTAACAAGCCAACATCACAACATGCACAAAGCATCATGAAGGCATTCAAACAGTATGTGACATGAGTAGACAGCTATATTATCATGGAATTCTGAGACATACCTCTTGAAAGAGGAGTCACATTGCCAGAGGGGACAACTACCATCAGTATCTGGTAGAGTGTATCAATGATGTCTGCATGGAGCACGTCGAGTGTGAAACGCGACATCAGGTACTGTGTTTCAAATGTGCTAGTAGTTGCTCAGGAACCATATAGAAGTTCATTTACCAGAATTAAAAACACCCATTCTGAGGACACTTGATATTGTATGCCTAGACTTCTGCCCTGTATAGAAAATTTTTGGGCTTACGTGGGCAGCTGTTGCTGTGTCCTTGATTGTAGCATATAGCTTAGCACATCCATGGGTGATTGCTGAAATGAAACATGAGAAGCGTAAAATACATAAAGGAAACAAAACTCACCTGAGTGGCGGCACATATGATGGCAATAATGATGATCTTGAACAAATTTACCATCAGTAAGCTCAAGCTCAATGACATCTTGTTGTTGTCGATGAATGAGCGGCATCTCTGGTCAGCACGACTTGAGCACAACAGATATCAAGGATATTACCCAGTAGTGGACTGAAGAATATCCAGATTGCCTAGATGAAGAGACTGTCAGATAACAGCTGAAATTTAATATGCAAGCACAATGCAAGAAGAATCATAGAGTGTGTGATGGTAAACAAAAAGTGAGAAACAACAATAAAAGATCAAGGAGATGTCAGGTATCATAGACAACAACCTTGTTGTCGATGTCATCGCACTCATGCTCTGCAATGGCTTTGAGAACAGTGTCATGTGCATGGCTGTCATCTGTAGGTCCATTTGAGACAGGTGCCAAAAGCTCATCAGAGCCATTGTCAATACCATCACAGTTTCCATGGCCCACTGCGACGCCGCCCAACCTTTGGTAAAGTCAAGTTGCTCCTTTTTTAAGGAGAACTTCACCATCTGTAGCGCCTCCATGAGGATTGGGCTGATGCAATTATGCCTCTTTGTGTATGTTTTGCTGCTTGATAAGAACACTTGCTCACAGGGAACAGCAGATGCCTGGATTGGGAGGTAGTCCATAGCAATGGCGTAAACCGTTGGGAACATTGCCTCAGACATCTGGTCAAAACCTCATGGTCAACAACAAAATATGTCACTTGACGGAAACAACTCTCACCTGCCAGAAGGAAAGTATATTTGTTCCCTTGGGGCTGATATTAGCTGTGCTATAAGCCCCAAACTCTTGATTGATTGTCTGGACAATATCATCGCAAACTGGCAGTGCATCCCCCTCATGAAGTCTGTAGATACGGGAGCCTAGCGTGTGTGATTGTAGTCTTGAGGGTCATTGGGTTGGAGCCGGTATGTTGGAGGTCCGCTGTGCTCTTTTGACATGTATCTACAGGACATATGAGCACATGCTGTTGCTAGCTAGATGTACTAGATTGAGAATGAATTTTTCTTGCTGACTTTACCCGGTTCTCATCCCAATGATCTGTAGCCCATGACATTTGGCATGTGGGATCAACAACTATAAACCAATCATAAGACATCAAATTTTATAGAAATGCAAGGGACTGACATATCGCAACAGCATATGCATTTGTGCAGGACATCCTGTCATCATACTTCTTCACCCAAGCCAATCCAATGTTGATGAGCAGTGTACAGTGCGGGGCACTATTGGCCACCTGCTTCCAATCCTCAAGTAAGCTTTCAAAAGCTGGAACCATACGACCCAACATGAGAGTGCTCTCGCTTGACATGGATTGCTGAGCTCTGTGTGGGGGCTGAAGTTACAAGGTTAAATGTGACATAGGTTATGAAGATGTCGATACTGACCTCCAGAATTACTTTGAAGTCCTGTAGGAAATGTCATTCTATTGGGCTCAACTTTTTGTCGTATATAGAGCATTGATTGGGAGACTCAAAGAACATATCAACCACCTGGGCAATGGTGAGCACAAAAAAGTCTGAATCTCCCACTACTCTTCCAAGCCCTATCACCAAGTCATCTCATCCTGCTGGCAATCCACTTGAGAAAAAGAAGAATATACCACCACCACAGCCACCTACCACTACACCTGCACCAATCAAAATCACTGTATCCAATCCCATGTTGGTTGTATGTTGCTTTTATTTGTTAGTGTTACTTACTTTCTTTAGCTCGTTGCTCATGCTGGCTGCCACTGGCATGAAAATTCCTCTGCTGCCTTCTGATTCTGTACCTATGCAAGCACCTCCTGTTCCAACTGAAAATGTGTCTATCCCATCTGACAGAGCCAATCAGAAAGGCAAGGCAGGAAGCAAGAATTTGAAAATGTGCCCAAGCCCTACTAAGAATGGACAGTACATGTTTTTTCTCAGACTTTGGCTTTACTAATGGATTGCAGTAATCTATGCGCTCTTCATTGGCTGAAGCAAATCAAAATTGGCAAGACAATGGGGGAATTTTGTGCTTATTATGGGAATCTGACATTAGAGCAATGAAAGGCAAGTGATATAATCTCTTATATTCGAGTTGATTTCATTCACACTGACCAGTAGGGATACGACGAGGAAGTGGCTACACTTGTAAGTCCTTGATTCTCTCTCAATAGACTTTCTAAATCATCATCTACTAGGTTGCTTCCGATACATAGACCAAATCTGTCTCCAAAGGATGTCTCTATTAAATTCTGCACGATCTGATTCTGCATGATCCAACCCTGTATGATCCAACATACACATTTCATACTAGTGATGCATTGGACCTGGCTTTAGAGGGCTCGGGCCTAGAAAAAACACAGGCCAGGCCCTTTAGGAGGGCTTTGGCCTGGCTTGGGCTTATAAATTAAAAATGTGTCACAACATTTATTTGACTACTACAAGAGACAATACTACTCAGCATCTGTTACATCTGAAATGTCCTCCTCATTATCATCCAGTCCCTCTGATGCTAACTCTAAAGTTGATGTATGAGCCTCTCAAAAGATCAAATCACATTGATACATCATGTGAAGCACCTGAATTGCCTCCACAACATCACCCTTCAAGCAGTTACAACACTTTGTAATAGTCAGAGCTGCAGCAGAAAAAGCTCGCTCACTCGAAACTAAAGTAGCTATGATGGACAAATGATCACAGGCAAGAAATACCCAGACAGGGTACTGATGAGCATTAACCTAAAACATTAAGCTAGATCAGCAATAATTCAGTTGACATAAGATGATACCTTACCCCCCACCACTGAATGATAGACATGTTATTGGGGACTAGAATAGGTGAGTTAAGGTAGAGGTGGGACTCCCTTAACCATGGCAGTTGGAGATCCACCTCCACCATACAACTTAATATGCTCTTCCTTAAACTAGTCTAGGTGTAAGCATATATCATATCTCGAAACAGAAGACCCACCATTTGTTCTGCTTCCTTGAGAGCCTTGGCATGTATGGCCTTACCCTAGAAATGTTTGATATGAGAGTCCTTCTGGGATGGGTCAAGCACTAATACAGTTAATATCAACACTGCTACAAGCCACTGATCACCTACACATTGAAATAATATATGCATCACACTCCAAACTTTGGTCATAATATTCATGGATCTGTGCAATACCTTCTTGTAGGGCTTGACAAAATGACTCATACTTGGGATTCTTGGAATGTATCAACCAGGCCTTGTGTAAGGCCTCAAGAGCTGGCAAAGCAAGGTGAAGGGATGCTCCTCTATCAGATGAGAAACGTTGCTGAGCTTTATCAGCATGCTAAAGTAATAATCAGCTTAAGTTACAAAGGGAATTTTGTACTCACAGCGAGCAGAGATGTAAATAAAGCAATATGAGCCCACTCATCCTCGGACAGCTTCAATTGATCGATTTTGGCTCGTTTCATAAGATTTGCCTCATGAAGGCCAAGCTCATAGACAAAAGTATCAACATACTAAATAACAGTAGTCAGTTTCAACTCGTCATTTGATTATTATACATACAGGTCTCTTCTTCTTGGCACAGTCAAGCATGACATAAGTTGAGGACCATTGAATGGGCATATCAAGTAACAGTTGCGAGACAACAGGGCTCGGGTTAGGTGCACAGGTCTGGATGTCCTTCCAAAGCTGCTTTCATTGAGCTGAGGATCATGCCTGAAATATAGTTGCTCAAATGATAGTCAGAAAATCAAGAAAATGACAAACCTTGACTGCAATGGCCTGTACAAGACCAATTTTGTCTCGATGGCCATGGGCTTGAGGAACAGACAAATCAGGATCCTCGGGATTATAGTATGGGGATTTGCTATATGACAAGATGACAGCTCATGTCGCAAGGTGAATAACATGAGCCAAGCACCTTCAGGTTCCATGTTAGTAAAAGTACGAAACAAATCATAACATAACTATACCTGATGCACCGCTTTTTTGGGATCCATATCATCCCAGTCCCTTGCTTTATCCAACGAGCCAATTCATCAAGCATTGTGTCATTATTTGAGGTGTTGTCACATGTAATGTGGCCAACCTAATACCCATGTGAGCACAGGGGACCAAGATTTTAACACCTTACCTTATGAGCAATGCCCACTCAATCTGCTATCTTGAACAATGCCTGCCCAAGATGTTGTCCATTGTGAGAGTTATTCAGTTGCGTGAATCCAAGCACAGCACATTCAAGCTGGCAAAGTTGAACTTAGCTAGGATAGAGTTGATGTAAGTTTCATGGGAGAATAAGATGGTGCGCACTAAACGGTTGCAAGTGACCTTCATGCCCAGCAGGGATGCGATTGGGCCGAGATCCATGAGTTTGTAGCGAGCAGCTACGTCGCACTTGAAAATCGCAACCTGTTTGCTATTGCTGCCGGCAACTGTGCAGTCATCAACATGGGCTGCGAGGATCAAGATGTCAGCGCCTGTGTGTTTGTAAAACACTCCCCAATCAGATTCTGCTCTCTTCATCCCCATACTCTTGAGAAGGCAGCACAACTCTTGATACCACTTGAGGGTGCCTTGTTTGGATCTGTAGAGTGCAACGTGGAGACGGGCGACAGGGATTCTTGTACTTGGCGTCGACGTTGAGTCCAGCGGGTAATTCCATGTAGATTACCTCATCATCATCTAACTTCCCATTTAGGAATGCACTGTGAAAGTCGAAAATGTCTATGTCCCAGTCATTACGTGCTGCTATAGCAAGGATTGTGCAAATGGAGGTGAGATGCGCTACCGGAGCGTAGGTGTTGTAGTAGTCAAGGCCTTAGACTTGGGAGTACCCTTTTGCGACTAATCTTGCCTTATATTTTTCAATTTCCCCATCAGTGTTCCTCTTCAACTTGAAGACCCATTTGCACCCAACAACATTAATGTTTTCTGGTCATTCAACAATTGACCAGGTACGTGCTTCTTCCAGCGAGTGTAACTCCTTGTTGATCGCACCTTCCCATTTCAGCCAGTTGTTTCTCACAGTGGCTTCTTTGACCATTGTGGGATCTGTTCCCTCTACTGCCGCTACCCCAGCAACCATTGCAAAGATTTCTTCATCGTCCTCATCCATCTCACCATACTCCCCCACCATTCCTAGCTCAACAGCCAGGTTGCTGGCCTCCTCGGCGGGTCGCATACCACGAGGTAAGTTGGTACTTCTGCCATCAGTTGTACCAGTGCCGTCTCTCAGACTCTTGATGTATGCTGACTCGACTCTTACTCTTCCAGATCTTCTGGGTGGAGCAGCTGCCTCAAATTGTGGGCCTAGGTGGTCATTGGGAGGAGGGTTGGGAGGTGTTGAACCGACATCATCACCTTGTACCATGCGGTTTCTGAGTGGACCAGCATCGTCGCCTCTCGGTGTTTGGTCTTTGGGTGGACCAACATCATCGTCTTGTACCGTGCGGTTTTCCTGGTCTAGGGGTATGCTCACCTCTGTCAGGTTAAATCTGATACTCCTTTCCACAGCTACTTGTCTGGTGTCTGGGAGGTAGACTCAATGACCATTGCTGTCGTGGTCGAATCCCACCCATCTCCCATCAATCCCTCGCATATCGAGCTTTGAGCCATTCGTTGAGTGGACCTTGATGCGGCAGCCCCACACTGGTAAGTTCTTCAGGTCTGGTGCTTTCTGGTATAGCATCTCATATGGGGATTTGTTGTCCAGGGCATGTGTCGCTGTCCGGTTCTTCAACCAGGTGACATGCATGATGGCTTCCCCCCACAGGAACTTGGGCAGTTCGCTGGTGTGCAACAGTGCACGTGTTCATTCGACGATGGTTTGATTGAGTCGTTCCACAACTCCATTGTGCGCTGGTGTGTCGTGAACGGTGAGTTTGCGTTCTGTTCCTTTGCCATTGAGATGATGAGTGAACTCGTCCCCAGTGAACTCCCCACCATGATCAGAATGGAAATGTTTGATCTTCGTGTCGAACTGCGTGTTCACCCAGGCCTCGTACGATTTGTACACATTGAAGGCTTCGTCCTTCGTGCGTAACAGATACAGGTGAGAGAATCTTGTGTGGTCATCTGTGAATGATACAAAGTACTCTTTGTGTCCAGGAGTTCTAACTGGAGATGGACCCCACAGATCACTATGGACCTCATTGCCAAACTTCTCGCATCTGGGTGGATCTCGAGCCTTGCCAATGGCTTTGCGCGTGTCCTTCGCGTACTCGCAAGAGTCGCACTTGTCTATTGTGGCATCTGAGGGATCCAGCGTGATTCCTGTGATGATGCCTTCCTTGATCATGCACTTGATGCTCTCTGGGGCAATGTGCCCAAGTCTGGCGTGGACCTCTCATATGGTGAGTTGCTCGTTTGCTTTTGCAACTCCAGCAAATGGTTTCTTAGGGCCTTTGACACAATACAGGCCTCTATTCACTGGGATCTCACCCATCAGCCTCTTCTTCTCATTGAAGATTTTCCAGGTGTCTGCATGAAATAACGCTGCATATCCTGCCGCTGCAAGACAGCTTATGGAGACAAGTGTGACACCCATCTTGGGTGCATACAGAACATCCTTGAGGAGGATTCGAGTGTTGGACTCGCCATTTGGTAGGGTGATGAGGATGTCTCCTTTTCTAGTGGCCTCAAAGGTATGTTTGTCGGCTGTTGTGATTGGCTTTGGCAGGATGCTAACGAAGTTCTGGAATAGATTGTGGTGGGACGACATGTGTCTCGAAGCACCAGAGTCAAACAGTTCAGTTCGAGATTTGCGTTGGGGGTTCGATGTGGCTAAGGTTGCATAGGTGAGTGATGTCTGCTCTTCTCCTGCCTCATCTGTATCATCCATTAACCATACACCTTCAGGCTCCTCATCTTTTTTGTCCTTGGTACTAGCTGCAGTCTCAGGGTTCTTCCCTTTACCATCCGCTTTCTCACCTCCCTTGCCTCCATGACAATCATGTTGCATGTGGCCATACTTGCCACAGCCGTGGCAGTTGCCCTTGATGTGTCTGGTTCGCTTGCCAGCATTGGCATTATATGCTGCGTCTTCGCTTGATGAGCCGTTCTTCTTCAATTTAGAAGCACGACGATCGTACTCATCTGCAATGGTGGACATCAAGACATCCGGTAAGCAGGATGCTCAATACTTTTGCAGACACCATGAGTGCTGATATGTGGGGATCATAGGATGCTGGCAATGAGCTCATGATGATGGCTATGAAGCTCTTGTCTGTCAGTGCATGTCCCAATGAAGATAGTTGTTCTCTGATGACGTGCAGCTTGTTGAAGTGCTCTCGCACATTGCCCTTCTCTGGACACTTCAGGTCCTGCAGCTTTCATAGTAGCTCGACGGACACAATGCGGGAGCGTTTTTCAAAGAGATTGGATAGGTGCATGAAAATTCCTCCTGCTGTTGGTAAGCCTTTAACTTGAATAAACAGGGAGTCTGGGATTGTGCTGGCTATCTGCTGTTTCGTTATAGCCTCGCCCATGCACCATTCCTTGATGGCACTCCTGTATGCTGAGAGCTCTCGTAGTTCTTCTGGCGTACTGGGTATCCATGATGTTCCTTGTGTTGGCAACGTCGAGGGGTCTACTGGTTTCTTCTCAGTCCCATCTAAGTGTTCGAGGAACCCACGAGCGTCGACTGACCACGACAACCTATCTTTATAGGTCATCCAGTTTTCTCTGTCCACAACTACTTTTGGGACATGCAGAAAATCGTCTCCGAGCTTTGCATTTGAGCTAGACATTTTGACAGGTCTTTTTCATGTACTGTAGTTTAGTTTTAATAAACGTGAGCAGGGCTCATAACCTGTAGCGAGTACACAAGCTCAGTAGACTTAATGGAAGTCACTGAGGAAGGGCTCTTACTGCTTGTGAAGGAAGTGAAAAATGAGTGTGCTTATATAATGTACGTAGCAAGTGTTAGAATATTCAACATCTTCTGTTGGTGCATTGTCAAGGAGAGATGCAGAAGAATGGACATCATCCATAAATGACAGATTGCAAGTCTGATGAAGGTGTTTGCCTATAGAATTGAAATTGTAAGTATATAGATACAGATGCTGCAACTTACCTTTGTGGCCCGCAGTTTCATGTCCTTCACTGGACAACTCCACTAAATCTTCTGTCAATGAAGAACAGGCTGCATCCACCAAATTGCACTTGCCAGGATTGCTGGGGTTGGTGCCAAGCGAGTTGCTGATAGCTGTAGGTTGAATGTTTCTGTGGCTGCTGAGTTCTGGTGTTGCGCTGTTGTTAGAGTCGGTAAGGCGAGATGATGGAATGATAGTGCATTTGGCCTGCGCGGTGACAGTGACAGGTGCATCATCATCAGAAATCAGTGCCATCGTGTTCTGCTGGTAGATTAGTCGCACAAAGAAGCTCTCACCTTGGCGCATAAACTGTACATCATTGCGCAGAATTTGCCATCAGTTTCCTAAGTGAGAAGCTCTGGCCAGAGCCCTGGGCTCAGGCCTGTCCAACTTACAAGCCAGGCCCAAAGCCCTATAAAGCCCTCACTTTGGGCCTGGCTTTGGCTTGGCCCAAAGGGCCTCAGGGCCTCAGGCCGGGCCCAATGCATCACTATTTCCTACCACATTTTCAAGTGCTTTCAAGCCGCTGTTCGCATGCATCATGTTTTCAAGCTGCTATATGTGTTTTTGAGCTTTTTTGTACCACTTTTGTACCCCCATTGCTACAGTGCCTAATATTATTTGAGCATATTCACACACATTTTCAATCATCTGGCAAGGGGAACAAGTATATGCATTCAAATGCGCAAATATGTTTTTCATTAAAAAAAGCACCTATGTGCATGAGGAAACCCACCCCTGCATATATTGAAATGTGCAGATTTGCTCACTACATGTCTTATCATGTTCATGTTCTCATGTTTTTCTACTGAGCCGCTGACAAAATCACTTATTGTCACTCCACGACTCCTCCTGTCATAGTTAGTTTTCAGTGGGTTTCATCCACCATAATAATACTGTCTTACTGACCTTTAATACTACCAAGAAGTAATGCTTGAGGTGTTCCTGGACCATCCCAAACTGAGCGCTTGAGCAGGCAAAGTTGTAGATGACAAACAAGGAAAATACAAAATTTGGCCCTTAAATAGGCAAATTTTCGGCTGAACATCTGTATGATGTATGGGGATAACAGATTTGAGGTTCACATTTACTGGTGAGGGATTTTCAATTGCTTCATCCGCACCGAATTGCCAACAAAATGTCTGCTGAAATTCTAGATATTGAATTCCGATATTAATAGTTTATAGGTTTATCGTAAAACCACGAAGAACAGTATTTAGCGTATTGAGCATATAAAAGCAAGCCACGAGTCTTCCTACCAACCCTTCAGGTTTATTTCATCGCATCACATCCTCACACAATGCATTTTTCCTTTGCAATTATCTTCGCCGTCGTGACTGCTTTGGCTTCATCAAACTCTGCCACGCCCAATGATGCTGTTGCCGAGCACTGTTCAGGTTTTTGCTGGACTAACGACGATTGTCAGACTTGCAAATATAACGACTGCGTGAGTATCAGTGATTTTTATATTTGATAGCATGACTCACCTACATGGCAGTATTTTTGGTTCTGCCTGTGATTGTGGGTCATGTTTTCTGCTTTTACATCGGTGCAGAATGGCCGTTGGTACTGACGCACAAGTTGCTAGTGATTTCAAGAGTTGATCAACGTGCTGTCAGGAAAAAATCAGTGGAGTGGGCGTGATTTTCGTTCGATTGGGGAATGTTAGATAAGACGTGTAAGGATAATACTATCGAGTCGGTCCATGGTGCAGCGTCAGCGACTGCTGCTCCTGCTGAATTGCCTCAACGGACATGGGCCTGTAGATCGTACAATGATAAGGGTGTGCGCATGATGGACCAATGACGGACGACCTCGTAAATACACACCTAGGACTTGTCTATTTTGACTTTTGTTTTTCAACAACGTTCGACAAGATCTAGATAAGCACGCTATCGATGAACGGACTCGAAGCTGCCTCACATGAGAATATATGCGCTTGTAGAATGTGCATTTGAAATTATGTGTGCGCGAGTATGCTGGATAAATGCTGTTATCATGTCAAGTTGTAAATCGTTGACCACGAGTGTGACCATAACCTACCACTGATATAATAAATAAACGATATGCAAATGTTCAGCGTTCGACGCAAAGTAGTCAACGACTGGTTCACTCACTGGAGGATCGACAAACCATGCAATCTCCCCCCCGTTTCCACATACGTTCGTTTTACAAAACAATCTATTTCTCTTCCGGTATTCTGCATAATCTCTTCGATCTCTGCTTTCCCCCTGGGGCTGCGAACTAATTTTTCCATCGTGATTCCTTACTCCGTTAGAACAGGCTGACATTCCGATAGGGTGGATGAGGGTGAAAGCTCATCGTTACCTGTAAGCTCACGCAGCCCATATTGCTGAATCTGTGCATGAATTTCCGCTGGGATGGAATCCAAATGGACGAGAGGGATTCGCGACCAAATGACTGAGGATCAGCTTTCGGATACTCGGGTTATCCAGGGTAAGCGGTAGGAGCCCAGGGCTGATCAGACTTGGTACACCTCAAGTCTGGTATCGTTATCGAGTGTTGAACATTGAGGAATAACCCGGCTTTCCTCCGAGTCATTGAAGACAGTGGTTGCTCTCTTCAGGTTGTTGAGCTATCTCTACATCTTGACTCAACGTTAAACCCACACAATGAGCCGTACTCTTTCACGATCCCTGAAGACCATACGTTATACACGCCGTAGAGTCAGCGTCAGGGTCGTCTGTCTTGTTCATACTGGCGCTGAAGCCAAGGTCTTGAGCTGGGCCATGTGAACTTGATCAAATAGTGCGTGAGCAGCTCTTCCCTTGTGGGAAGACCTGTTCGCAGGGAACCTCGAACGATTTACGGGGAAAACATTCCTAGTGAAAGGTGTATGCAAGCGCGACTCTGTTGACTAACGTTTTGATTTTAACGATTACATAACTTTTAACAATTTTTAATTGGTAAGTAGAGGTTTTTGTACAATAATTTGTTCACCTCGCCCGCACGATAACGACGAAGTTCCCACACCCGATGTCACGGTCGGACCAGTGACACGAACCACATGTACACTGTGCAGGGTGTGCATCAATCATAATACGGGTATTATTTTAATGACAGCGCATGATGAACAGGTGGCAATCTTGCAAGTTTTTACATCGACTCAGTCTGTTGATTCTCAAATTAGTCATCATCGACGCCAAGGCATCCAGTGCATTCGAGTCGCAGTCTTGATTCTTGAATATTTGAATGTCGAAGACTCGGAGGACAAGCCGAGGTGTACATTGCTTATCACTTAAACAGTGTTAGCTAGCAAGAGGATAGCAAAGCATGTATAAAGCTATATAATGTCCATATTACTGTATTAATCCTTCCGATCCTAATACAACATAAGCTTCCAATAAGTTGGAGAAACATTTATAGTAAAATCTGGTGCACCGCGACGAATCATTCATACCGGCGAACTCTCAAAGGTACCCCGATACCATCCTCTCCAACAACCCGAGGACGAGGTAAAATTCCTCTTGCAATTTCAACTGGAGTATCCAGTCCATCCCGCATCTCGAACACGAAGCTCTTCACCAGAACCGATAAAACCGTCTGTATCGCAGTAAGTGACGTCCAAACTGGTTAATTTGCATCACTCACCTTGAATTCCATGATCGCAAAATCTTTTCCAAGACACGTCTTCGGGCCATCGATGAATGTCAGCAGATGTTTGTGACCTTGGACTTCCTTGGCCTTTCCAGGAATGCCTTCTTCAGTCAGCCAACGGTCAGGCTTGAATTCTTTTGCGTCAGGTCCCCAGATGGCCGAAGAGCGATTGATCGCCGCGGCTGATATCGTGATCAATGTACCCTTCGCTATAGATATACTGTCCGTCATTGTCCCGGACACCGTGCGCACAGGTTCGCTCAAGGGAATGACGTCATCTGCCGCTGCCTGTAAACCTAAAGTTGCTATGCCTGTTCACATGTGGACGCGCACACTTACCAGACGAGTGAATTCCGGCACTGGAGGATGAATTCGTAGAATTTCATGGACAACCGCATCCAAGTATGGGAGGTTAGCCTTTAATTGGTCATATGTCGGATCAGGGCCAAACGCAAGCAATTCTTCTCTGAGCCTGATTTGGACGTCGGGGTGTTGCGATAGCTCAATCAGTGCCCACTGATGATCACATGAATAGCATGCACAGGAGGAATCGTGCAGTAAACTTACTGTAAGACTGACTGTTGACAAAGACTCAGTCAGTGTGATAGCAGCGGACAAGAAACTGACTTACTGGATGTCGTCTCATAACCCGCGAGAAGTAAGACCTTCATCTGCAGGATGTGAGCTCTTAAATAATGGCTGTGATACATCGTCTCCACAGACCTGAGCCAATACTTCCTCCGGCGACATATGAAGCTCGGTATTCTGATCTTCGGATTTAACTGATCGCTGCGTTAATCACGAGACTACGAGGAATCTCTTGGAGAGCGTACTCAACAGTCCGATTATGGACTTCTCCTCGTCTTTCTCGCTCATATTCAGATCTTTCTCTCGGCGGCTACGAATTAATAACTCGTTAGATATTTGTCCCATTGTTTCCCCAAGTTTCTTGAACAGATCCTGCCGCTTATTGGGAATGTTGAGAATGATAGGGAATGCTGATGCGAGCAGGATAAAAACTTGGTTCACTGCTGAGGCTTGTTGGTTGCTTCCGAAAGTATCAAACACTTCGGTCACGCTGGCGTGCTTTCCATCGAGCGAACCAAAATCATGGGAGAAACCTGCAATGCCAATAGTGTCCAGACTGATGTTGCGTTAGTTTGAGGCGTCAATAGTAAAGTATCTTCACGTACGATATATGATTCATCCTTTGAGTCGTTTCGATTAGGAATTCCACTTGCAAAGTCAGAAAAGCTACGCACCAGTTCTGGACCTCGATGACGGCGTCGCCATCTTTGCTCGATTCTATGACAGAGTCCCATTTTCCTTTAGCCTGTAAGGTATCAAGTTTAGAGACGCTACATTTCCCACATTGTAAATCCTTGCCTTGTAGGCTGAGTCATAAAAAACCGATGTAAGTTTCCGAATCGCTGCATTGCTAAATGCTGGCGTGAGGGCCTTCCGCTGCCTAATTCGCAGGTAGTAGGTAAGTGGCTTGTGTAAGGACAAAAGCTGAACAGCACCTCTTGTGTGCTTCACCCTGAGACCACAACAGCCCTTTACCGATCTGACAAGAGATATGAGAGGGACAAGATAAGATCATGACGTTGACATACTGATGACTCCAGAATCGCCAATGAAAGGGGTGTCTGTACATATGTCCATGTCTCCCGGGCGTAGAAATGTGCTATAGCTCTTGGGTCACACAGCACGACTCTAGTCTGCCCGAGGACGCTCGGAATCATGTAGGTGACCCCATATTCCGTTGCCCAACGTTCATACATTGCAGCACTATCGTGAGATGCGGCGAGGTCGTGCGAAACGCCGTATATGAGGCTGGTACGAGGCGGACCCGGCAGTTGAGTCGTCTTGAATCGCCAACGAAGCATCCTTAAGACTTTCACAAAAGCCCATAATGCAGCAAATGAACAAGCGACATTGAATGGGCCAACCGAACGTACGGTTGTCCAGAGACTTGATGGAGAGGGTACAGGGATGGTAGATATGTTCATGGTTATGTTTGATTTGAAGTGGGTGATCATTTATAACCGTTTCTCTGGCAGTTTGATGGCGGCATGGGCTACGAAGTTGAACGGCTTTGTACAGGCACAAGTGACTGTGCACAGTACTCCGTCGGAACGAGCACAGTCACGGTTGCTTTTCCGATTTCGTCAGCAAGAATGATTCATAGAAGCCGAAACCCGTGTCTGAATTAAAATTGGGACTACTTTGACGTGAGTGTGAGTGTGAGTGTAAGATGCAAGAGCCCATTCAAGCTTAAAGCTTACACTAGTATATGCAGCTAAGTAACGTAACTTTCTGCGAGTGCCGCTGCAGTACGTAATTCACCATCACGCCGGCATGTTTGGGGAGCGGGAGCAATTCATTGAAGATCCACGATTCCGCAGAGATTATTGGATGATTGGTAGTGCCGAACGGATGACACTATAGAATGCAGAGAGCACCATTACTGGGTTGACGACAGTCCTACTAGTACGGGCCCCAAGAGAACCAAACTCGGCTGCCATCAAACACACACCGGCGCACTACTCTTTTGGTGAATTCACGACAAATTCACGAATATACTTGGCCCGCGGTCAATCACACGCACGGGTCAAATGATAGCATCGCAATATGACTCTGATCTTGCTGTGCAAAATGACGGCAAAAATTCAATGTAATTCCAGATTATCAACATTAATACAACGGATTGAACAAAGACCATCCAACAGAATCAAATATCCACCACACCATATACTTGTCCCGCAAGTAATCTAACCTTCCAAGATTCCCATTTCTCTCCACCTCTCCCAAAGCATACCAGCGCCAACAGGTGAGTTAGCAGCGCCTTTCACGTCTTTGATGTCCAACAGTTCATATTCTCGACCAAATGCGAGAAAATGGGCAAAGAGGGAGTTGAAGTGGGGCTCTGAACGGAGATGCAGAATTTGAGGGTAATGCGCGTGGTAAATGTGTGCGAATACGCGAAGGAGCTGACGGTAGACGTGTTTCACGGTCGAGGGAAATGACTGAGGGAAGTCATGTCCTGTACGAACGATTATAGGTGGAGGTAGGGTAAATTAAAAAGGGACTTACCAGACTTTGTGGGGAAAACATTTTCATCGTCGAGAAGGTTTTGAATCCATGTCATCACATAGTCGATGTAGGTCGGCGCAGCAAGGTGAACGCTCTTGCGATCTTGATTGATCCATGTGTAGTTGAGACTGCAGGGCATAATTCATGAACGAACGCGCTCAGAACAGCGAGACACGTACTTTTGTCCCGCAGACATGGTCGGACATGATTGCTGCGTACAGCACTCCGATATGACACCATAAAACTCGTTGAGGTTGGTATAAAAGTCAAATACTAAGGCGCCATTTGAGACGGTTCGGTAAAGTGAGACTGATGGACATACCGTTGACAGCTACCCACTCCATGATGTCGACATACTTTGGAAGAACGACGATGGTTTTGAAGTTGCCTTTGACGAGTGCTGCCTCTACAAATGGGCTACACAAATAAAGAGGTTTTTGTGCTACAGGTGTGACTGGAGACGAAGGTACAGGTGGGGGTGGCATGTCAGAAGAGAACGCCGAAGAGGTTGGTGTAGGCGAACGCTTTGGTCCGCGCGGTGTACGCGACATGGAACGACTATAATGAATTGTTAGATAGTTTTTACAACTCTGAGCATAAACTCACCCTATTGAATTGAAGAAAGACATGGTAAACGAAAGTCGAAAGTTGAAAGAAGGACGATCAGTAGCCTAACTCTTGGATTTCAAGAGCAGAACTATCATTTCCAAAAAGGGAAAATAAGTATGCATATGTGCCGTGGCGTGGGAGTCTATAGCAGGCGTTGCATTGTCTGCAATTTCTTGTAAGACTCTGGTCGTTGTCTCTCTCCATATTACATGGTGGGCACAAGGCGAAAAAGCAAGGCTGCCGCAGCCGCAGCCGTCCAGAACGACTACGATGGCACATCAACTCACGAAACAGACGAGTCCAGTTATCCACAACCATTCAGCATCCCACTACCTACCGACATCGATGTTGAAGCACTTTCAAGCTTGATACCGGAAGTCTCGTTTGCTACCCCAACCCCTGAAACCATAGTATCTGTATACAGATTGCTCCTTGCACAAGTAACCGAAACCAATGCCACCCAGAGAGACCTAGAGGAGGCGAGGGCCGATGTCGAACGGAAGGAAGTGGAACTAGACCAGGCTTATCAAGATGCGGAGAACAAGACAAAAAGTCTCGAAACTTCCCTCGAGAATGTTCAGAGCCAACTCACAGTCACGAGGCAAGAAAAGGAGCAGCTTGGTAGGTATAGTCCTATCGTGACACAATACACTCAAAGCTTATGTTCTCTGCAGCTGCATCGAAGAGTAGCCTGGAAGCACAGATATCAAACCTCAGTACCTCGCAGTACACTTCATCGACCGAACTCGATCAATTCAAACATCGCGTTGAGGACGCTGAGCGTGAAAAACGTGACCTTATGGGTGTCGTAAATAGGTTGAAGGAAGATGCAACGCAACGCGACGGTACGCTATTTACATCTATTTTATGAATCCATAATTTATATTTCTTAGATGAGGTGCAAAACTTGCGCAACAGCCTCCGACAAGCACGTCAAGAACACCAAACACAAGAGAGTCAAGTGCGCGAGCTTCGCTCATCAGAAACATCCAACAAGGTATCTGTACTCTACCTGAAACCTGGCGCGTTTTCGCCTAACGCATTTTTAGTTCAAGATCGACTCTCTTACGCAGCAACTCCAACTCGCACAGTCCGAAGTTGAGCGAGCAACCGTCGAATTATCGTCTAAAATCGAAGAACACGCCAAGTACCGACGCACGAAACACGCTGAGTTCGCAACCCTGCAAGCCGCACATGACTCACTCACCCAGCAACACTCCGCATCGGAGAGTGCGTTCAAGGCTCTCCAGAGCGCGCACGCGTCTCAAGCACACCAGCTCACGCAGGCTCTTGCACGTGTGCAGGATCTGACCGTACAGCTCGCAGAACAGGAAGCAGCATTCACTAGTGAAGCATCTGGGCTGCGACGACTCGTCAACATTATGGAAGAGCGCGAGAAGCAGGCGAAGGAGATTGTCGAAGGTATTGAACGTGAATGGGCAGGTGTCGGAGAACGCGCCGAGCGACGGGAGGCAGCTCTGCAGGCTGAAGTCGAGAAGGAGAAGCGGGCCCGAGAGGAAGCAGAACGAAAGGTTGATCAACTTGAAACAGTCGTCGAGCGCATGAATCGTGGTGAATTGCCTGTCGCCTCCCGCGGAACACCCGTCCCAGGAACCCCTGCAACCCCTGCTCGCAATTCTGCTCAAGCGGCCGGAATGGAAGGTATGTTTGGCCTGAGCCCGACGGTCGCAATGGTCAGCAGAGCACAGAAGACCGGAAAGACGTTCACCGATGTCTATGCCGATTATGTTCGTTTGCAAGATGAATTTGCGAAGAAGTCATCCGAGTATGATCACATGGACAGAACACTTTCTGCAGTGTTGGCACAGATTGAGGAACGGGTAAGTTGTATTTCCAAATCGTCAAATGCTAGTCTAATCTGTCTTTTCAGGCTCCCATTCTATCACAGCAACGAGAAGAGTACGACCGCCTACAATCCGAAGCCGCACAACTTGCCTCACAACTCTCAACGGCGCTCGCCGAACGGGAGGGTAACTCGAACGCATTCCAAGAAGCATCGCAGAAGTTGAAGAAATCCCACTCAGAGAATGAACTTCTGCAACGGCAGCTTGATGACCTCGGTCGGCAAGTTCAAACTCTGCTCAAGGAACTCGGGAGGCGCACAGACCCGTCTTTGCCTACGGATGCTGAGATGGAAGAAATGGAACCCTTACCAGCTGAAAACATTAATGCTGTCATCACGAACAACCTCGTACTTTTCCGCAGTATCGGTGGGCTACAAGAACAGAACCAGAAGCTACTCAAGATTGTACGTGAGCTCGGTTCTAAAATGGAGGCGGAAGAGCGTGACTACCGCGACGCGCTTGAGCAAGAGCAGAGTGAAGCCGTGAGAGAGGCGCATGAGGCGATTCAAGATTTGGCTGCACAGCTTGACAGACAGAAGAAGAGCAGCGATATGACAATCCAGGCGTACATGAAGGAGCGGGATGCGTTGAAAGCCATGCTTGCACGGGCTGAGCGCTCTGGACTGTATGCGGGCGTCAACGGTGACATCAACGGCGCCGCTGATCCTATCAAGAACAATCTAGCTGCGGAACTTGAAGACGTGCAAGCTCAGTTCGAGGCTTATAAAGCTGAGATGGGTACGGATTCTGTGAAGCTTCGAGAGGACCTACAACAAGCGCATCGCGATCTCGGGCAGGTTAACGTTACACTTGCCAAGGCCAATGCCAAGATCGAATATCTCACTGGTAGGCACTTCCACAGTTTGTTCGTGCTTTTGATCGTTTAATTTTTTTTTTACTTAAGACCGTCATCGCATGAGCCAAGACGAAGCAGCGTTGCACACCCGCAATCTCGACAACTTGACCAAGCGCAACCAACAACTCTATGACCAGTATATCCGAATTGATATCGAGTGTAACCGAGCCCAGCAGGAGTTGTCCGAGGCTAATGGTCGTGTTGAGCAGTTGCGCAATGAGAACGCAAACCTGCGTGCAGAGAAGAAGATATGGGAGGTTTGTCTTTTTTGCTGTATTTACGAGAAACGTTGTGTTGAGTATTGTCATTTCAAGTCTGTCCAAGTTCGCTTGGTGCAAGAGAACAAGACCCTCTCCGTGGAACGATCTCACCTGACTGACCTTATAGCCAATGTGCAGAGGATGCACGGCGACCTTGAACGATCGGGAGAAAATGACCGACGGCGTCTGGAAAACCAAATTCAGGCGATGGATGACCAGACGTGGGCATCTGAATGTATCTCAATACAATAAAAGGCTAATTGACTGCCACAGAAAAGACATGAAGGCTCAGCTCTCGCAGGAACGTGACGCAGTCCGCCACGTCAGGCTTCAGAAGGATATCGACTCGAAGGACCTGCAAACCCGCCTGGACAAGACGGTATGCTTTACCTTCTTTGTGGATATACACAGGTCCTTATACTTTGCAGACCGAACAGCTATCTCAAGTTCGGGAGTCTCTCGTTGGCGCAGAAACCAGCAAAGTCCACCTCCAAGAGCGTGTTGACCAACTAACACGCCAGCTACAAGGTAACGAGGAGAAGCTTGCCGTGTACGAACGTCGCCCATCGACTGGCAATGGCGTTCCTCGTTCTGAGCAAGACCTTCCACGTGAACAGCAACTCGAGCAGGAAGTCGCGGAATTACGGTTGGTGTCCAAGCACCATGTTTGTGGTACCATACTGAACAGATTAATTCTAGGTCTGCATTGAAGGTCGCCCAAGTCGATCTTACAGCTGCTCGTAGTCATATGCAGCAATTCCAAGAGATCTCTCAAGCTAACGAAGCTGCTCTGTCTGCACTGAATGCTACGCATGATCAATACAAGACTGAGACTGAGGCGCAGATCTCAAAGAACGAGGTGGGGCCACTAGAATCACCAGAGCTTTAGTTCTCTTACCGCTTTTTGCAGCTGGAGTACAAGGCCCTGCAAGATAAACTGCGCAGCGTGGAGGATGATGTGCGACAGTCTGCTGATAAGTTCTCTGAACTTCAACGCACGTTTGAGTCGGAGCGGCTGGCTTGGACTAATGACAAGAAGACGTTGGAGGATACCATTGTCGACTTGAGCACCTCTGAGAAGACTTCTGAGACTGACCGCACCACTCGCGAGAGTGAAGTTCGTCAGCAAGAGGAAAGGGCCCTTGTAAGTTGCCATTATTTTTTTTTCTACCCGCATTCTTAGTCTTTCCAGGCCGCAGAGGATAGATACTCGCGTGAAGTGATACTACATGCCGAATCGATCAAGACCATCGAGACCCTCAAGCAACAACTATCCGTCGCTCAAGCTACCTCCAGGGAGAACACGTCAGAAGCTGCTAATGCCCAAGCTAAGCTGGCAGCATCTGAGAGCAGCTGGAAGCAGCAAAAAGAGGCTTTGGATAAGGAAATCACTGATCTCAACGCACGGTAGGTCCCTGGCTCGGTGCCGATCGGTTCTAAAATCTCATTCAAACACAGGTCCAAGGATCTGTCCGCACAGAATGCTCTTCTTCATCAGCATCTCGAGACTGTCAGCACCCAAGCTACGCGCATACGTCAGGCTGCGGACTCCTCCGCTGCGGATGTCACTTCTGGTGACGCAGATATTCGTGGCGATGTGGACACTAAGGTTTCAGAACTCAGATCTGTTGTGGCTTACCTGCGCAAGGAGAAAGAGATAGTTGATCTCCAACTTGAGCTCAGTAAACAGGAGAACGTCCGCTTGAAGGCTCAGATCGAGCATTTGGCTCAGAGTTTGCAAGAAACCAGGGCAACCCTTGCTGAGGTATGCTTGTTAGTATCCATTATTGATGATGAATGACGCTGGCATCAGGAACGGGAACGGGCGATGGAAGCGGCAACTTCGGATGCTCAGCACGCTGAAATGTTGGAGAGGATCAACCAGTTCAATATTCTTCGGGAAAGCAATGCTACCCTCCGCGCTGACTGCGAAACTTATGCTAAACGCTCTCGCGAGCTCGACGCAAAACTGCAGGCATTGTCCACAGAGCTTGAACCTGCCAAGGAACAGGCTCGCATGGCACAGGCAGAGCTGCAAGCTAGGGATGCACAGATCACACGTCTTGAGGGAGAGAGTCGCCGTTGGCAAGAACGCAACGCGCAGTTACTGAGTAAAGTAAGTGTTTGGAATTGTTTGCTTTTTGTCAGGCTGACGTGGCTTGGCAGTATGATCGTACTGACCCCGCTGAGATCCAAACGCTGAAAGACGAAATCGAAACGCTGAAAACTCAGAAGGCTGGTGCAGAGAAATTGGCTGCAGAACATGAAGAACGAGCAAACACTATCCAGGCCCGGGTACGTATTTTCTTTTCAAACGATAACGCCATTCTAACTAGTCTTTAGCTCTCACGTCTCGAAGCTAATTTCAGAATGCACAAAGATAGCAACACGAAAAGTGTAGACAAGTTCAAATCTAGCCTTGGATTACTTAACAACGAGAAGTCTCAACTTACTGCCACTGTCAATGAGCTCGAAGGCAAGATTAAAACTCTGACCGCCGAACGAGACACATTGCGCACCGCATCGGCATCTGATGCATCGCAACAGTTGAACTCCCAGCTAGAGACGTTACGTCAAGAGAAGGCCGCTTTGGAGCAAGCGTTGGCCAATGAGAGAGCTGTGAAAGCCCAGGCGCCTTCCGAAGGTTCATCAGATCAAGCTGCGCTCATTGTATGCTTTTCCCGCCAGGCAGAGTTTTGTTACTTACCCTGTTTATGTAGGCTTCCCTTAGGGATGAAAGAGACAGGCTTTTAGCAGAAAAGGAGGCTTTGAGCAAAGCTGGATCCTCTACTCTACCTTCTGATACTGCGCGCTCATGGGAGTCGGAAAAGCTTGAACTCATAAAGGCGCGAGACGAGGCAGTAGCGCGTGCTAGTGTTGGTCACTTGGTTTGACTGGGTGAAGCCACACTAACGCCTTTTTTTTCAGACCTCAGATGAATTGGCAAAAAAGGCCTCCGATGACGTCAGGAACCTCCGTCAATCCAATGATAAATTCCAAGCTAGAATTCAAGAAATGCAAAAAACCAGAGAGAAGTTTAACTCGGAACAGGCAGCCGTTGTCGCCGCCGCTGTCGAGAAGGCCAAGAGTGAAGTCGCTGCCGGCGTTGCTTCTGTAGACACCGAGGAACTCTCGAAGAAGCATGCCCAAGAACTGGAGGCTCTACGAGCTCTGCTGACTACCCAGCACGAGACAGCCCTCAAGGCAGCAGTAGACGCTGCTACTAAGGCTGCCAAAACAGACGCTGCCAGTTCTTCTTCCGATGAGGCAACGAAAGCCGCTATTGCCGCTGCCATCGCTGCTCATGATGCAGAACTCCAAGAACGACATAACGCAGAGTTAGATGCAGCGGTCGAGCGGGGTAGATTAGAATCGCAGGCGAAGAGCAAAATCAAAGATGGTCAGCTTGTTCGATCTCAGGTCAGGCTTAAGGATCTGGAAGCGCAAGTGCTGGAGTGGCGAAAAGCTGGATTAATCCCCGAGGCTCCGCCACCACAAACGCCCACAGCGCCAACCTCCAAGGTGCCGCCCCCGGTTATTGCTGCAGCTTCTACTTCACAACCAGCCACGGCTTCCACTCAGGCAACAACTGCATCAAGCGCAACACCCGTGAAGCCTGCCGCCGCAGCCCCAGCAGGTCAACCTGCAGCTGCTAGTGGAGATAAGCCACCCACCAGTGGTGCAGTTTCCCTTGGTATCCCCAGAGGTGGCCGAGGTAGAGTTGCTCCGCGCGGCACCGCGAGAGGCTTCGCCCGAGGTGCAGCTCCTGGTCGGGGCGGCGCTCCACCCCCTGTTGCAACTACCTCCGGTACTACAGGGATATCTATCATTGGCGCAGCTAGTAAACGTGGTCGAGAAGAAGATCTGGCCACGGATGATTCCCTGGCGAAGCGGCTGAAGCCCGCGGGGGAGACCGCACCCGCACCAAAACCCCCTGTTACTCTCCGTCGCCCACCTCCACAGTAGCCGGACTCGCAGTAGTGTAGTACGGACTTGCATTTTACCATGACTCCACATATTGTATCAATATTTCAGTTGTCGATTCACTATTATTATATCCTGTTTGTTATTTGCATACTGCTCATGTAGGTAAGTCGAGCGCATTATGTTCAACGGAGCTCGAACAATCAGAATACCTGTCAATTGCCTCCATCAGTCTCCCCCACCGCCCTCTGTTCCAGTTCTTCATTTCCTCCCATTCCAGATCCTCACAGCAATACTGTGCCCATTTGCACAGTGCCGCAACTATGAAGTCAGCGAAACACGGCGTATCCCCCAATAAGAATTGACCGCGGCTCATCGCATACCATCCGTCTATGATATTGTACCCAGTACGCAGTGCATTCCATTGTGCCACTCTTATCTTGATGCTTGCAAAATGCATCCATGGGATGTCAAATCGCTCCACCCGAGTGCGGATATAATACCCCTTGCTCTCGGGTTTGAGTTTCTGAGCACTTTTAAAACAGGCCAGCAAGATGGTATTCTTTATAGCTTGATAGAACGCGGTGTGAAAGACGTGTATCAGTGCAGCTGTGTTGTGTGGCATCAATTTTGGTGTATCAGGGTATTGCTCATCGAGGTACTGTGCAATCTCAAAGGTGTCTTTGATCCATCTATTCGTATTTGGATCCATGATGACAGGAAGCGTGTGTATGGTTATCGGGGTTCCATTGACGTTGCGCGTGGCGAAAGGTGCGAGAGAATGCTGCTCGTAAAATGGTTTGATCTCCGTGTATTCGAGCCAGACGGTCTGGAAGGGTAGGCGCTTGAAGGTAAGACAATATCTATGACGTGACAGTGTCAACGATGAAGAGGAACTTCTGAGGCGGGTAACATACCTTGTCTGTATCGTGCCTACAAACCATGATTTACCCTGCACTATGCTGGAGACATCGTAAAAGATAATGGGTTTGAGCATCGACATTGTTTCCACGATATTCGCGTAGAGTAGTACCAACACGGGGTTAGGCTTTGCCAGTACTCGATACTATCCGCAATGCGAAGCTTTTAGCTCCTGAGGCTAGTCTGAGGGAAAACCACTGTTTGCTACCCCCTAGACACGGTCCCGGATTCACAGTCACTATGACTCGGAAAGACCGGGTTTCATTTTGTTCCCCTTACCGCTTCTCAGTTTACTTGTGGAGCCTCGTCTAACGCTCTGCCTAACACGACTGTAGGAGTCAGATGTGAGATTATTACACAGGGATCTTGCACTTGACTTACACTGGCAGGTCTTATATATGCTGTCCATTAGTACGGGTGTTGAGCGTTCAGATATTTTGGGGTACTTCACACACCAACAAGCTGCGGGACCCAGGCTTTTGTTTGTTGAGTTCCGCAAGTAAAATGCAGGAAGGGGAATAAAATGAAATCCGGTCTTATCACCAAAAGTCTAATCAGCTGGGGAAATCTATAAATCAATTATGTAGGTGATGTAAATTTTTGAAATCACTATACGCTTACTACGGAGTGTTTAGGGCAAGCGAAGTCCCCCAGCGGAGAACTCGGTCACAATATTTTATTACAGACAATGTCACTGAGTACAATGAATTGAAGTAGTACACGGGAAACAGCTGGGGACTCGCGAAGAAGAAGAGATGAAACTAACTGGCGAGATTGAGACTCGAAAGAGATGACACGAACTACAGGCTCGATTTCTTGACAGAAGTGAAAGTGGACTACGATAGGTAAACCAAACGCATCATGTTCAACGGAACTACCTCGAACAATCAAGATACTTGTCAGTCGCCTCCACCAGTCTCCTCCACCGCCCTCCGTTCCAGCCCTTCAGTTCTTCCCACTCCTGGTTCTCAAAGCAATACTGTACCCACTTGCATAGTCCAGCAACTATGAAGTCAGCGAAACACGGCGTATCCCCCAATATGAATTGACCATTGCTAGTTGCATACCATCCGTCTACAGTATTGCACGCAGCACGCAGTGCATTCCACTGTTTCTCTCTTCTCTCGGGCGTTGCAAACTGTTCCCATGGAATGCCAAATCGCTCCACCCGAGTACGAATATAATATTCCTTGCTCTTGGGATTGAGTTTCTGAGCACCTCTAAAACTGCCCAGCAAGATGATATCCTTTATGAGGTTATGGAATGCAGTGTGAAAGGCGCACACCAGCGCGGCTGTGTTGTGTGGCAGCACTTTCGGTGTATCGGGGTATTGCTCATCGAGGTACTGCGCAATCGCAAAGGAATCTGTGATCAACCTATTCGTATTTGGATCCATGATGACAGGGAGCGTGTGCACGGGCGTTAGGGTTCCATTGACGCTACGCAAGGTGGTGGGTGCAAGAGAATGCTGCTCGTAGAATGGCTTGATTTCCGGAAACTCGAGGCAGACGGTCTGGAAGGGTATACCCTTGAAGTTGAGACAGTATCTATGACGTGTCAATGTCAACGATGAAGAGGAACTCCTGAAGCAGGTAACATGCCTTGTTTTCATCGTGTTTGGAGACCATGATTCACCCTGAACGATGCTGGGGATATCATAGAAGATAATGGGTTTGAGTCCTGGCATCGACATTGTTTCCACAATATCCGCGTAGAGTATTAGGTGACGGGATTGGGTTTGGGGTTTTCCAGTGCTTGATATACACGAGGCGAGGCTCTTAGCTTCTAGCCTGGATAGCCGCTGGTTGCTGCCCCCAGATGCGGATCACGGGAAGTAAAACTTGAAACGATTAGATTACAGCTACTTTCTTTCATATCGGATCGTTCCCCTGGTACCTGGTCTAGCGTTGACCAATTTGAAGGCCTGACGAGGTCTGCTGGAGAAATTGATAAACCGTGACGCACCTGAGGCTCCCACGTTGTCAAGCCTGTTAGATGTCCAGTCTAAGTCGAGGGGCTTTGAGTAATTCCCTGCCAGTACGAGCCTTTGCAAGCTTACCTATAACTAAAGTCATCAAGTATAGGATCGAATATTTAATTCCTGTAATAGGTGGTATATATAAGAGAAAGACATACCTTTGATGAGCTGTTTCAAATTTGATTTGCTGGAGATCAGTGGCTCATTAATGTCATCCCCAGTGACAGTGGACATTTGAGGGGATGACTTAGCGCTGGATGTGCGCCCCAAAAACCCGGCTGGGCCCGGGCCACAACCTGAAGCCAGGCTTTGCACATGGAACATCGGCACTATGCCATGTCCGGATGCGTCAGGTTGTCGCCAGGTATTCGTACTGGCAAGGAATTAACTCAAAGCCCCTCGACTTAGACTGGAGACACCGATACAGGTATGCTTGACAACATGGGAGCTTCAGGTGGATAAACGATTAGTTGGTTCAGGGTAGGGTCGCCCCAAAGTAAGCGCATCATAATTAGACCGACAGAACTACTTCGAACAATCAAGATACCTGTCAGTTGCCTCCACAAGTCTTCTCCACCGCCCTCCGTTCCAGCCCTTCAGTTCTTCCCACTCCTGGTTCTCAAAGCAATACTGTACCCACTTGCATAGTCCAGCAACTATGAAGTCAGCGAAACACGGTGTATCCCCCAATATGAATTGACCACTGCTCGTCGCATACCATCCGTCTACAGTATTGCATGCAGCACGCAGTACATTCCACTGCTCCTCTCTTCTCTCGGGCGTTGCAAACTGCTCCCATGGAATGCCAAATCGCTCCACCCGAGTACGGATATAATATTCCTTGCTCTTGGGATTGAGCTTCCGAGCACCTCTAAAACTGCCCAGAAAGACGATGTCCTTTATGAGGTTATGGAACGCAGTGTGAAAGGCGTGCACTAGCGCGGCTGTGTTGTGTGGCAGCACTTTTGGTGTATCGGGGTATTGCTCGTCGAGGTACTGTGCAATCGCAAAGGAGTCTGTGATCAACCTATTCGTATTTGGATCCATGATGACAGGGAGCGTGTGCACGGGCGTTAGAGTTCCCTTGATGCTACGCAAGGTGGTGGGTGCAAGAGAATGTTGCTCGTAGAATGGCTTGATATCAGGGTATTCGAGCCAGACGGTCTGAAAGGGTAGGCCCTTGAAGTTGAGACAATATCTATGACGTGTCAACGATGAAGTAAAACTCTTGATGGCGGGTAACATGCCTTGTTTTCATCGTGTTCGGAGACCATGGTTCACCCTGCACAATGCTGGGAATATCGTAGAAGATAATGGGTTTGAGCCCTGACATCGACACAATATCCGCGTAGAGTAAGTAGCACGGGGTTGGGTTTTACCAGTACTTGATGTGCACGGCAAAACTCTTAGCTACGGAAAGCTGTCTAGTGCCCCAGATCGATACGGATTACGATATCAAGCGCCAGCGTGGAGTTGAACATTGATCGATGACCACATCCACGTAAAATCGGACTGTGTCATGGTCATCAGATATTCGCCACATTTGGGGTCGACTCAGACATCACCTGTATACCTGCAAAACATAAATTCCAGTCTGGTCTGATTTATCACTCTCAGGCGACAATCCAGTTAAAGTTCAAATTCTCCACTACAAGATTTCTACTGTCCTGATTTCCATATCGTGAACGTGAGTCGTGTCTTTGAGTTGTGCGATAATATTGAGATCTGAGGCGACTCTCTTATATTCTTTGCGGAGCAGCTCGCGCTTGAGCAAAAATGCGCCAAAAGGCTGTCCAAGACGAACGATTAATCGCAATGCTCGTTCCGGATCAACCTCATGCTCTTCGGAGGACCCGACAGACGAAACGTCTGCAGGGGATTCAGGCGGGGTCAAATTGCCTACGTTGTGCACGTCATCAGACCCGAGAAGACCATGATCCCACGGACGAATAAGCAAGAACTCAGTTGTTCGAATGAGTCTAATCGGCAATTGGAGTTCGTCTTCCGTGGTGATCAGTAGGTCTCGAAGTCTGTCTGTCTTGACTTCATACGTGGTACGTGTATCTTGGCCTTGACGGCTCTTCCGTTTGATTTCGGTGACACGGAATGCGATGCAAGGCAGTTGTAGACGTTTATGCGCAAAACGAGGAGCATGAAGGGAGTCGAGTTTGCTGTACAATTTCGAAGCCAATTGTACATCCCCAGTATCTCGTAGCAACGAGACTGATTCGGACAGCTCTTCAGGAGATAGAGATGGGAATGTGGGCGGTAGAGTTTTGTATGAAGATATTTCAGCTGGCAGACAGCTGTTGAACTCGGATGGTTTTCCAACCCAGTCCAGAGCAGTAATGTCGCCCGACTGAGCTATGATCGCTTGCAAAAGCCGCCCAAGGGCATTCTGCTTCCTTTCCCCATAAGAAACGCCTGGGTAGACGCGGAAGACGCCAAACAAGGAATAAGCAATGTCTTCCTGCCGTGTGGTGATACGCGAGGATGCCCATTGGAGTATCTTTCGGACATTTCTCGTCCCTGGATGGAAAGAAGCGAGGGACTCTCGATCTATGCCTGTGGCTTCTGCTAACTCCTCTGTGATCTCATTGGAATGCTTGTGGTTGGCAGAGCAATCGTTGAGATATAGGGTCCAATCCTTCTGATAAAAGAGGATGCATTTTGAAGCCATAAGTTCTTGAAATGTCCATCCTCGTTCGTTCCAAACACTCTTTCCCAGTGCGCCAGAATTGGAGGAAGGTAGAACATCTGACAGGTAAACGATAGTAAGTGCTGCATGATGATACCAGTCAAACATGGAGTCGATCGATTCGCTGAGCTCAACGTTGTTGGTCTGATCGATGCAGCACGTGTCCATCCAGGCCCAGCGATACCCCGCATCGCCAGCAGTCCTGCAGAATACCTGCAACTTCAGGATGCCACCAACTGGATGCAACTCGTATACGTTCTTGCCCTTGATGTCTTGCAACCGTGATTCCTTCCCCTCCCACCTGTGTGATAACATGACGCAACGGAAGTATTTTTCCACCACTGCTCTGATGTGCTCCATTCGTGAGTCTGGATGCGTCATTATGAATAGCAGAAGTTCATTGTACTCGCTGCTTTCCTTAAATGCGGTTATTTGGGCCTCTCGGTCACATAAAAGACCGGTGGTAGTGTCTAGTAGACGAAGTGGGGCGTTTTCGAGTTGAGGGTTAATGAAACCTCGGATATCAACTTCCGCTTCGAATGGACTGATATAATGCTGACGCAAGTCTGGGAAAAGAGTTAGCATCTTGATGGATGTGAAAAAAAAAGGCTTACTTCGTACGTGCGACTCGGAAGCATCCTCTAACTTGGAGAGCATGCCCTTGAAAGCATCGATAGCTTCGTCAAAGCGCTGTGCGCCATGAAGAGCAGCATGTTTCAATTGATATCCAATATAAGACGAAGGCTCGAGTTCGATAACCTATACATTACGGTGAGCGTTAGCCGCACAAAACAGATGTCATCGCACCTTTTGCGCATCCGAGACTGCTTCCTCCCATAGCCTTTTTTCTGTATTCGCCTTGCAGCGGTTTAAGAAGATGACGAGGGTTCCGGAACCGAGGTCAATCGCTGCCGAATATAAAGCGATTGCTTTGTCGTAATCATGCGCAGCGAAGGCAGTATCTCCCTTAGTAACACAGAGCGTGCTGCATTCATCCTTGAAAGCTGAGTAACACAGGTGAGGATTGCAGCATAGGTGACATTATAGAACACTTGCCAGTAGACCAGTCAAAGCAGCTGGCCTGCATGGTTTCGTCACTCATATCCATCATATGATTGTATGAATCAACGGCGGCTCGAAATTTACCCAACCGAAGGAGTGCATAGCAACGTTTCTGCCTTGCAGTTTTCCACAAGAACTCGATGTCCCATCCGAAAAGCTGCATAAAGCACCAGTTGGGCATGAGAGGCATGAGAGGCTGTGTTATATCAACGTACCACGCATAAGTCCTCACACGTAGAGTCGACGGCCGGTTTAGATGAGAAAGCGTCAGTGTTGATAGCAGTGGTGAAGTGATCATCAGCTTCGCCGTAACGCGCATCATTGAAAGCATTTATTCCCAGTTGAACATTTAAATATGCCTGACGTGTAAAAGTTAGAATAATTGGCATCGACGAGGCACAAACCAGCTTAATTGAGTTGATACTCACTTTCACCGTACGACAAGTAAGAGTATCGCCACCACGACAGGCGGCAGCCAGCTCTTGGACACGCTCCATTGCATCTTCGTGTTGATTTGCATTAAAAAGTGCAATAGCCTGAAAATGGTCAGGAACAAGGATTATGCGAGAAAATAATGACATACCTTTATTAACAGAAGAAAATGGATGGCCTTCGAATCTTCGTCTGCAAATATGAACGCGAGGTCAAATGCTTTCATCGCTGCTTCAATCTGTTTTTGTCCGCAGAGGGCAATGCCCTTGGAGATGCAGCCCATCAAAGAGGGCTGAATGCTGAGAGACTGTGCGACCAATTAACCTATGTCGAGGGGAAGATAATGTGACAGTGTATCTTACCGTACGTGCATCTTCAAGCGCGCAGTCCCATTCGGATTTCTGCGCCATAAGAAATGAGCGATTGGCGTAAGAAATGTAGTTGGTTTTTTTCTCAGCGTAGATCGCCTCCGTTAGCAGAGATTCAGCGGTAAACAAGTCTCCAGTTATGAACGCATTGCGGATTGCCGTGTTTACCGTGAAGAGCTATTTAAGGTATGCTCGTATCAAGTTATACTACACAAGCCAGCGTTGTAGACTTACCTTGGATTTAGGCAACGCGTCCTCTGGTATGGCCCACTTTGAGATACGCTTATCCTTACCTCCGCTGAGGATGTGCTTGCCATCCGTGGAAAAGGTGACGCGGAGAACATAGCCGGTGTGTCTGAATATGGCGATGGTCCGTCGATTCGAAAGCTGCCAGAGGCGGACATCATTATCATCAGATGCAGAGGCGACCAATGTCCCATGGGAATTCACGGCAATGGCGTAAATCATCTTCGAATGACCTGTCCATGGATTACCGACCAGATTCCAGGTCGACGTATCCCACTCCCGTATAGTTGGATCCTTAGAATTTCCTCCTGAGAGAAGCCGTTTTCCATCAGGTGTCCACGCTAGTGAAATGTTGCATGACTGCGAATTGATGACAGCATGAGCCTTGAAGATCGCAACACGTTTGTTTGTGCGCGTATCCCATACTTGGATAGTCTTGGATGTCGCGATGGCAAGAAGTCCACCAGATGGCGAATACCGAACGCAAAAGACTTCAGCGTCACAATACAATGGGTTTCCTCGCAGCCGCCAATCTTTTGTGCTCCATAGCTTCATCGTCTTATCCGATGAACCAGATACGAGCGTTGTTCCATCTGGAGACAAATCTATCGAGCGGATCCAATCGCTGTGGGCTTGATTGCACTGGCCGAGACGCTCCCCAGTTTCTCCATCCCAAACGATGAGCGTTCCGCAATCACCGCTTACTATGAATCGCCCATCTCTTGATATCACCAGACCTAGCACCCAGGTGCGATGTCCCTCCATGACTTTCAATACAGTTCCGTCCTTCAAGTTCCACAGACGAAGCGTGTTATCATTCGAGCCCGTCACCATGCGTTGTCTATCGGGTAACAGTGCGACTGAACATATGGTGTCTTCATGACCTTCGAACGTTCGAACGGGTGTGGTCGTTGGAATGATGGGTTGCGCTGTATTCGCCATTCTTGTGGGAAGTAATGGCGTCAAGCAGCAGCGGGGTAGACTTGTGGTGGGTATCTTTCTCTAATGAGTCTGCGACGTATGTGTACTGGGCATTTTTATGCATTTCCACTACATATGACTTAATGGGTGAAGGGCAAGGGGCGATCTTCTCCCGCAGCGACCTTGTACCGAATTATCTTCAATTTTGAGTGTGCCCTCGTACCCCATCTTTGCAGTGTTTGCACGTACCTTGTTCTTTACAAAACATTTTACAACGTTCAGTGATAGCCGAAGGATTTCGGAACCATATCAGGGCAAGTACTAGTGTTAGGCGAGCTTTGTTATTGTTAGCTGGTAACATTTCCCACATATATCTCTGAGGCTGCGCCCCTACATAGTACTACTGAGTACTAATCAATTATGTCCACCCCCGGCCGTTGTCCTTCTGGCATTGCCGCGTGCACTGATGCCATGATGGATCAATAGTGTGTTATTTATCGATACAATTAATACAAGGCCATGTATGTAAAAGCAGGTGCTATAGCAGTACTAACAGGATTCGTGTAGCGCCGTGAGCTGACAGATAGTAGATGACCGGAAAGCATACATCCACAACAACTAGCCCGCGAGATGCTTTTGCCGAGTAGATACACACATTAATCGTGGAAGCACATCCCTAGCCTTCCGCCCCGCAGCAAGTGCACTCGTGACATCCAACGCAAGCCTTCGACTTCGTTCCCAATCCATTGTCTGGTGCACTTCTTCTGTATCTTCGTCCAACAGCTCACGCCAGCGCTTGGCAGGACGTTTCAGAACTGCTGTTCCCGCGACTTGTTTTGACGGCCAGAAGGAAGACAGACGAGATGCAGGGTGGAGTTCTCGGCGGACCACAGTCGGCGACGGGCCATTAATCTTTGCAGAGATAGAGTGAGACTGAGACGAGCCAATTGCACTCGAGTTCATATCTTGGATGACGGATACCGACTGTTCTTTAAGCCGAGACAACCTCCTTGACCGCTTTGCTACATAGGAGGGATCAATCAAATCTGGACGAGCTAGAGAAAGTTTTTCGGCGATTTCTCGTCGTTTGCGCCGTTCTGCTGAGCGAGAGCTTGAAGATTTTTCTGAGATGACGAAGGAAGGCTGTGGAACCTTGGAGGACGAGGCAAGGCTGATAGTTGAAGTGTTACCCGACAGCAGAGGTATCGTGGGAGTGGGAGTGATAGTGCGAGGCGAGGTTAAAGTAACGAGGACGGAGGTAGAGGATGCTGGAAGGAGTTCATGGCCTCTGCGGTGAGGACTGATCTCTGAGTGAAGAGGAGGGGGTACAAGTAACGGAGCCGACTGATTGGGTGCAAAATTTCTAGGCAGGATTGCAGAATGAGACTGATCATGGTCGTGAGACAATGTCATTAATTTCGTATTAAGAAATGGATCTGGAACCCTAAATGACCTGTAGTACGGATGTACCGTATCACGGGGGTCATTGATGGATTCCTCGGTCTTTTCACACCCGAAGGCAGAAACAAAAGAAGTGACTTGCACACTATTGTTTGTCTCAGGAACATCGTTGGTATGTTCTTCAAGTCTGCGGCGTTTTCTCCTATGATCATCACTATGCTGGCTCTGAGCTAGAGGGAGAGATGCATAAGGAGAAAGCTCCTGATTGGCAAGGCTCTTAAATGGCTGGGAGCGCTGTGATGGTGGTGCATTTGATGATGCTTGGGAAAAGACATCTTTCTGTGATGTTTTAATGCTCTGCTGATTGTGTTCTGGATTCGCATCTTCGCACATCCGAATAGAACCATTCTGCACTCCAGGAGGCTTCAAGGAGTTACCATTGAGCAGTTCAGGTAGCGATAGCGGTTCCACCTCGGTCATGACCACATCCTCTAACGATGCGAATGGAGTTTGGCTAGATGGGTCAGATATCCGTGGAAAAGGGAAGGGCGAGGAGTTCCTGAGCGTGTATGGGGAGGAAGGTGGGAGCGAGGAATCTGACGTTTCAACATTTTTTTGACTTTCTACCTCCTTGACTTTTCCCTTAACATCTCGCAGACGCAAGACAGGTGACGATACCGGTGTGCGGAGGCTCTGATCAGCGGAGAGCGTGGTATATGGGACAAGCACTGTGTCATTAGTCTGTACGAACACCGGGACCTGAACGCTGCTTTCCAATACCGGAGCCTGGACGTCAGCTTCTGATGTTGGAGCTGCAATGACGTGTTCTTGCACAGGGCCCACCTTTTCGGCACCAATGATCTGTGGCTCGCCTTCAGATATATGCGACGGACTCGACGACAACCAGCTTTTAATCGACTCTTCAATGCTGTAATTCCCAGCAAAGAGCAAACGTGCAGTCCTGACATGTGCATCAGACCCATCGTCGTCGCTCGAGTCATCCGAGTCTTCCACATAGCGTTTCACTTGCATGTGGGTTCTAGTCATCCTTTTGGAAGTCTCCGGCGCAGCATCGTTCCGGGACGATAACGGGGATGAGCCTTCATACTCAGAACGTGAATTCGGTGGACGTCCAAGCGCTCGATCAATGATTTCCTTTTCCTTTGGTCTCAACCACCCTCGAAGTACCTCTAGCCGTCGTCGCATACTCCCGTCATCTGCCCACTTCCGTGCTTCAAGTTCAGCAGAGTCGCCGACAAAATTTTTCATTGCCGGATCTGTATCGGCGAGGTCGAGGGAGGCGAGATCGAAGACGCTGGGATGCTCAATTCCTAACGAGCTGGACTCGTTCTGGATGGGATTGCCACGGTTATAAGTGGGCGGTGCCATGCACTCTTTGAACATGGCATTCATCGCAGTCCAATCGAGACCGCCGAGGGCGGGCACCAGGGTATTGGGAATTAGCCGGTGCGGGCGGAAGAGGGAAACAAGGTTGAGCAGTTCTGGTAGTGGAGAATGTCGTTCGAGAGGTACGAGCTATAAGAATACCAAAATCAGTGTCTTGTATCAACTGAAATCAATAATGGAGAGAAACGGATCGAGGGTGAGAAATTCCATGATACCGACCAAGCGATCAACATCCTTCCCCATCGCAAGACGTCTTCGTACATCCATGCGATAGCCCTCCCACTGTGCACATCCCATAGCCACAGGATTGACGTATACGACCTTTTTTCCCTCCGTGCTCCGTGGCGCTAAGTCATTCTGGAAGTCGAAGCTGATTCCGGTGAATGGTCATAACAGGTTTTGCCATACGTAAACCATCACAGATGAGTCAATAAACACGACGTAAATCACAATGCTCCATTGGTGAGTGAAGTCGATTGATAGAAGATGGAATACATACTTAGGTACATTCACGAAACTACACCGCTCAAACCGTTCACAAGCATGGAAGCGGGTGCTCGTCACGTCACGTGTGACGAGAGTACGAAGAAATGGATCTGATATATGCGTGTAGACCGCATATTTGTATCGATCGACATGAATCTGTCAAAGTAAATATATCAGTAAAACGGAATCCTACGTGTGATGGTAGAAACAAGAAGGGTGACATACAAGGCAGCACAGAGAGGAGAATACAGAACACAAGCCAAGCAACATGTAAGCGCATATATGTGCCATGATAAGACGACAACAGTAAAATACAAGTCGCAAGGGCAAAAATCGAACAAATAAATGGCTTCCGAAACGAACGCGCACAATATATAGCTGAAGTTCTGAAAATGGATGTTTGCCTACCTGACACTGGAACGCTCGTGCTATACCCTTGAGCACGTCCTCGTATCCCCAAGTCCACGAGTTTACGAAGAAATAGGTGTCCTTATCAAACAATGCAATAAGCTCGACCAAGCCTTTGACCGCGTTTTCCTGCTCGCGTTCGTAAACCAATGACTATTACAACGGTATCTGGAATAATCACCTTTGTGGGGACAACAGTTCCCCTCAACATGCATGCCGTATCCAAATAAATCGCATTCAACGTTTTGGTCAAACTCGTTGTTTGGCCGCCTCGCGCTACGAGAACACGGAGATCTTCCTCCGTATCTGGAATATATGGTTGGAGAAACGGGTTTCGAGTTAGAGATTCTAGTAGCCAATGTTCGGCGCGTACGTCGCCCGTATGAAGAATCGTGCCACGAGGACCCTCGATGAGGAACCTATGCAGGAATGAGCAGAAGGGAGAAAACGAACGACGTGAAACACACATAGCAGCACCCGGACAGTGATTTGCATCGATGAGCGTGATAGTTACCGTCTCAGTAGTCGATAACTCGAATTCGGTTGGAGTATTCAGTGGAACCGCGTGCTTTATATTGTCAGGACACGAGCGTGAAAGAAGCTCTCATACTCACCAACAAATCCCTACTAAGTGCTCCACCCTCAGCCTTCAAATGAGCAAACGTCCTCGTTGCGACTTCACCTGAATCTTTCTTTGTTCGCTCCAGATGAACCTCATGCCTCAAGAGCATCTCTTTTGTATCAGGCGAACATACTACCCGAGAAGCAAATGATTTTGACGATAGGCCAAGAATGTGGTCGGTATGGGAGTGTGTGAGGAGATGCAGTGCTGGTGTATTGTACGGAGGTGGAAGATGAGCTGTGCAGGTGAAACAGTCAACACGGATGGGATAAGGGAGCGCAAAAGAGGCGTAAGGGGTTCCTGGAGGCATCGTTGGGAGTCGACGACTATGAGAGGAGAGCTTGAGAAAGCATCTAGGAGAGGGTTTCGTGGAAAACTAATGCAAGTCAGAAAGGGCGTGGACAGGAGATGACCAAAGAAGGACTCCCTGGGAGCGCAGATGATTGTCAGTCACGTGCTACGCGACATTTTCTGGACAAACTATCAATCAAGAAAACTGCAAATGCCGCGGGGACATGTGCTGGCGATGATTCAGTGCACATAGATTTACTTTCATGGCTGGCAGTACCATCTTCCTCGGTGTCGACGTGTTGTCAAGATGGATGAACTTATCCAACGTTGAGGTAGCCACTCACAGGACCCACGATGATCGGAGAGAATCGACTGAAGCGACAACAATCTCTTATGTTCTTCGACTTGACTCGTTATAGGAACTACCATGATGGGCTGGCCAGATAGCAAGTACCGCAATGTTGGGTACAAGTACCCCCACGCGGAACTTTCCCCAACGAGACTGATTTTTCAACCCTCGGAACGCATACCTTGCAAGTACTCGAAGGCGTCGGGTGGCAGGACATTATCATTTGCGAATTTATCCGTTGTAATTATTGATGAATTCAGTCGCGGAGACCGTGTGACTTTTGAGTTTAGCAAGCATGCACGCCTCCCGTCGAGTCAGCCTCACGTATTCAAATTCAAGTCGAACGTCGCACCGTATATCCGTGTCCTACCATATTCGAGGTAGTGGACACGCGGAGTACTCGTGATTGAGCCCAACGCCTTCTATCACTGATTCAATTTCAACAGTCCTTTCCCCTTTGTTCCCTCCACATTCCTTTTTACTTAAATCCCTCTCTGCTGCCTGCCAGTGTTCTACAAAGGACTCACCATGGCGCTATCTCGTTCAGCTCGAATCACTCTATTGCTCGTCATTGACATCCTATTCTTCTTCTTGGAACTCGTCGTTGGTCAGTCACATCTTCGGCTATCACTTCCATCAATCACCGAATTCACAAATCAACAGGTTATGTTGTCGGTTCACTTGCTCTCGTCACCGATAGCTTCCACATGCTCAAGTAAGTGTCACCCTTCAAGTCTATAAATGCTATTGTTTGACCATGTCATTGGCAGTGATGTAATGAGTTTGGTGGTCGCTCTGTATGCTATCAAGGTTCGAGTCACACCTGGTCTTTCTTCGTTGATATAGTGAACATCATGGTGTCAGCTGACAGGAAAGACTGCCGACCATTCTCGTTACTCTTATGGCTGGCAAAGGGCAGAAATCCTTGCAGCTTTAACAAACGGTGTTTTCCTACTTGCATTATGTTTCTCCGTTAGCTTGCAGGCAGTCGAACGCTTCTTTGATATCCAAGGTCAGTTCAACAAGCATTCCATGCATACACTCACAACTACCCCACCATCAAGACGTATCCCACCCACTTCTCGTGGTCATAGTCGGAGCTTGCGGTCTGGCCTCAAACATTTTCGGTTTTCTCTTGTTCCATGGTACTGTCGCACTATTTCAACAACCTCGTCTTATTTATCATCCATGTCTCAGAGCATGGTCACTCTCATTCACATGGTCATTCTCATGACAACGAGAAGATTGGCCATGTACATGCATCACATTCAACGCACACCATCGTCGATGACGCACCCGCTCAGGACTCATCGACCCCAGTTCGTGGTCGCACAGGATCTTACTCGTCGATGTACGGACACCCAGCAGCTACCAGAGCTGCAGTTTCACAGGCCGCGCAAGATATTGCTATAGCCTCTCCTAGCACACACCAACGAAACCGCTCATCATCATCTCGTTCTATCCGGATAGTTCCTGATGGTTCAGTAGAAATAAACATCTCGGAGACTCCGCCTCTCGATAGCAAGCAAGACAAAATCGAATCCTTCACCATCGAGGCCCCACTTCCAAGTGGTCACAGTCATGGTCATGGTCATGGTCATTCACATGGGTCAATGAATATGCGCGCCCTAATGCTTCACGTCATGGGTGATGCCCTCGGTAACATTGGTGTGATCGTGACAGGTCTCATCATCTGGCTCACCAATTGGAGTGGTCGATTCTACCTCGATCCTGCAGTCAGCATCATCATCACTATCATTATTTTCACATCTGCATTACCACTAGGTATGACGCTCCTAGCTGTGTTCCAAAACGGAGGCACTGATTCATTCTCCTCCAGTTCGTAATGCTTCATTCATCTTACTTCAAGGAGTCCCACACACCGTATCGCTCGAAGACGTACGCGACTCCATCCTCAAAGTAGACGGCGTCTTATCAGTACACGAGCTTCACATCTGGCAACTCTCAGAATCCAAGATCGTCGCATCTGTACACGTCATGGCCTCAAGGAATCACGATTTCATGCCTATCGCAGCAGACATACGCAAGGCTCTGCATCTTAGCGGCATCCATTCTAGCACCATTCAGCCAGAATACTATTATCGACCTGCTATAACCAGTGAGGATGATTTGAAAGTACGCCGCGTGTATGCTGTTCGTCGGTCGGAACTGATGGATTTTTAGACATCTGTAGATTCGCCCTGCTTGATCCTCTGTCCTAAAGACCAGCATTGCGACCCCCTGGAGAATTATTGTTGCCGTAAGTGGTTTCAGGTGTCCACCGTGCGTCCTCATGCTGATTCATTCCTCAGCACCGACGCCGCTCAGTGTGTAAACACGGCCGTAATACCAACACCTTATTCTACTTCATAGGAGTCGCGATCCGAAATATGATTATTTTGATTTCATCACCGATGCGAACGGTTTCAATACACGTGTACGCTGTACAATGGCAGTCGTAGATGAGGCGTCGAGCATACACGTGTGCTCACTCATGCAAACGAATATGAATGATAGTCTGCACCGTGATCAAACCGTGATCTCTTGGCTTTGCACAGCAAACAACTATTGACCCCCGCTGGCTATCTCTTTCTTGCCCTCAAAAAGTTTCACTCCCTTCACTTCCCCAACACTGCCCTTACCCACAGCTGCAGCATCCATGTTCCGTTCTGCCTTCGGAACACCCAATGCATCCAATAGATTCTGTGCAGCCTCGGGAATGAAGGGTTGCAAGCATATACCAGTGACCCGTAGAACTTCGAGCGAGAGGAGATAAGACACTCGTGCGGCTTCAGGCGGATTTTGCGTCGACCAGGGCGCGGTGTGTGTTAATGCACCGTTCGCCTTTCAAGCTCCTCAGGGGGGTTGAATACGAAATAAACAAGACTACGCACCTCCCTAAGGACAAGGATGATTGCATCAAGCGCATCTCCCACCTCAAACTTCTCCATACATTGCTCGATTCTTCCCTTCAGGTTACGTAGCGATGACAGCACGTCACCATTGGGACCATCAAAGGGCCGATCGAGGAGCTGAACAAAGGTGAATTGAGGCGCAGATGCTACACGTTTCTGAATTGTTCTCGAAGTGATGCGCAAGAAGAAGTTGCCAAGCAAACTACGGATTTCGTCCGCATGCTTCTCCAGTTGTTCAGGAGACCAGTCTGGGAAATAAAATATCCCTCGTAAATACACAGGAAACAAGAAAAGTAAATAGCCGTACCAACATCGTCTCTGAAACGGCCACCGATACGTGCCATGTAAAATCGCACGGCGTCAACACCCCATGTGTCCATAGCATCAAATGGATCCGCTACATTGCCTATAGATTTCGACATCTTGCGCTGCTGTGCTGTCCAGTGTGCATGCGCAAGGAGGGTATGCGAAAGCGGCATTCCCATCGCGAGGAGCATAGCAGGCAGGTACAAAGCATGAAAACTTGATTTCCGGCATCAAATTTTACTAATAAAGCCCGATGCATATCAAAACATACCGAACAATATCCTTTCCAATGACCTGAATGTTCGGAGGCCACAGTGACCCTTGCCGCTCAGCAGGAAATCCGATTCCAGTGAGATACACCGTCAGTGCGTCGAACCACACATACATAGTATGCGATGTGTCGCCCGGAACGGGAATGCCCCAACTTAATCTCTCCCGCGGTCGTGAAATTGACAGGTCATCAAGAGGTTCATCTTTTAGGGTCTGTATCAGCCATTCCCGGTGAGCTGATGGGTATATTGATTTTGGATTGGTAGTATAATAGTCTAGGAGACGTTCCTGGAAGGTGGAGAGACGGAACTTGTAGTTTGACTCGCTGGACCACTCGACTGCAGAACCAGTCTCAATGGAGACAGGAGTGGGAGAGGATGGCGGATGAGTGATCTGACTATCGGTATAGAAGCATTCGTCGGAAATGGAGTACCATCCAGAATATGTGCCCTTATAAATAAGATCTTGTGCAGCGAGATTGCGCTACATGGTATGAATTGATAACGTCGAGTATTTGATGAAGAACATACATACCCAAACGTATTCCACGGCCTCTCTATGTCTAGCTTCGGTCGTGCGCAAAAATACCGTATTGCTAATATTAGCGCGAGTACCAAGCCTCTGTAACGCATTTCATGTCAATGAATTTGAGAAGACATGAGCTGGGACACACACGAAACTGCTCGCTGAGAGCATCACAGAGTATAGAAGGCTCTATTCCGCGGTCCTTAGCGGCCTTTTGTATTTTCAAACCATGTTCGTCTGTTCCCGTCAAGAAGTGGACCAGTCGGTCCGGCTCAGAGATGCGCGTAAAGCGAGCAAATATGTCAGCAGTGACGAGTGAATACAGGTGGCCTATGTGCGGAGCTAGGAGATATTAGTTGAGAAGCTATTGAGGAAACGGAGTAGACACCTGCGTTCGGATAGAAGATTGGTGTAGTGATATAGAATGGCTTGCTTGCGGAAGTATCAATGGCTGTAGAGAGAAAACGACACAGAGCAGGTAATCGTGATCTACATGAGATGTGAATGGGAGCCCTGGTTGGAATTTTGCGGCAGAATAACATTCAGAGCTTAATTAGAATTGTGTTCTGGCCGCTAGTCTTGCCTTATTGAAAGCTAAAGGCTCTGATAAACAAGTGCAAATATCGACCTCGAGCCTGCTTTACTCCAGCTCTTTGGCGCACTCTCGGAACCAAGGTTGTCATCGAGGACTCTTCAACGCATTCTTAAGAACAACCAACCAACCCTCTATGCTGTATCTCTACTGGTAGGTCATCTATCTGCGGCTCACAAATGCGGACTCATAAATTATTTGGGAGTAGAATGATCCAGTCATAACGACGGGAAATGATCATCGTTTCACCCCAACCATTATGTCATAATGTTTGCCTTCTACAATTTGATCGTTTGATGCCAGTCACGAGCATTAGGCACGATAAACCATGCCATGCTGTCTTGGATGCACTGGGCTGTTCAGAACAACGGCAATCTGTGCTTCCGGTTGAGCCCACCAACTCGGAGGCTGCGCCACTCCGATGCTCCTCGAAGTTCAGGTCGTTTGATCCACATCGTGATTCTAGAATGTAGAAAGCGGATGCCCATACTCAAACTACTCATCATTTGAGGAACGTATCAACGCAGCACCAGGAGTGCATCCAACTACTGAAACGCGTACGACGGTACCACCTGTAGGCTGTGGGAGGAGGTACAATCTGATGCGCCGGCCACGATCCTTTCATACAGCTGTGCCACTCGCATAAACCGGCTTCCGTGGCTTAGGAGCAGCAGGAAAGCCCGCGGGCAAGAAGGAAATGGCTCTACTTCATACACCTCGGATGTTCGTCTTTTGACTTCTTCGCCTGCTCTGCAATAGTTGGCTGTCTTTTCTGTCCTGCATACGTTGCGTTTAGCTTGAAATCATATTTGTAACAATATCCAACTAGTCCAGTTTCTAGCCCACACTCGAAAATTTCTTCTGCCAAGTCCGGATTATGGTGAGCTTCGTCTGTATCACGCGTCCACCCCCTCACCCATGCCCCATCAAAGCCGGTCAATATATTATATAGCTCTGTGCTGCGTCACGACCGTGTCAACATTTGAGCATCCTAAAGCGGATACCCAACATATCATTTCGACAGACGTATCAATGCAGCACAGCTAAGTTTCAAGGAGTGTATCCAACTACTGAAACGCGTGCGCCCGTATGACCTATCTGAGGAGGCATACTCTGATGTGTCAGCTATGATATTTTCCTGTTTAAAAGACATGCACTTCAGTCACTAACTCCTCAGCCCTTTCACTTCTTTCGCTTTCACGGCTCACCCAGGTGCAGGCAGTACGTTCATTCTGTCCCATCCGATTGTCTTCTACTGACCTCATCATGTTACAGCCTATTGTTTTGAAAAACTTCATACACTCTCATTCAACTGTTAACTTTGCATTTTCACACCTCGACCCGGCGTTGATTTCTAATTTTTAAGAGCCTACTCATTCAAGACCATCATGCGCTTTGCTACCCTTGTCGCTCTCTCTCTCGTAGCTTCGACCGTCCCGAGTCTTGCAGCGCCTACTTCATATCCGTACGTGTCCCTCTCAGGAATTCGAAGAGCAGACCCGCTGAATGCATTTCCAGTCCCCGCCGAGGCACTTCCAAACGTGAGACGGCTTTAAGGAATGGCGAATTTGTGCCTCCCCGCATCGGGACAGTGGTCCTGCCAGGAGAAACCCTGTCTCTAGGTTCCAAACGTGACACCACCTCCGATGTCATTCAAGCCATTGAAGCAGCATTCAATGAGTTGCCCTCCGCAAGGAAGCGCGATATCACTGCAGAAATCACTGCCGCGCTCCAGGCCCTCCTGCAAGAAGGGAGCTCTGCGTTGAGCGATTTTAACGTCAAACGTCAAGCGGACTCCATCCTTCCAGTCGAAGAGCGCAGCCTCATTTCTCCCACTACCTCAAGCTGGCTCAAAGATATCGGGAGTATCATTAGCCTGGGAGCAGGCGCTAATGCCATTGTGAATGCCTTTGATGGTAGCAACAGCACTAGGCGGGACTTGGATCAAACTTTCGACGGAGTTGATGTCGGCGAAGCTTTGGGTGGAGCAGTACCTCAGTTTGAAGACCGTAGCATCACGATCCCCTCAGACATCACTGCCGCGCTCCAGGCCCTCCTGCAAGACGGTAGCTCTGTGTTGAGTGATATTAACGTCAAACGTCAAGCATACTCCATCCTTCCCGTCGAAGAGCGCAGCCCCATTTCCATTTCTCCCACTGCCTCAAGCTGGCTCAAAGATATCGGGAGTATCATTAGCTTGGGAGCAGGTGCTAATGCCATTGTGAATGCGTTTGATGGCAGCAACAGCACTAGGCGGGACTTGAGTCAAACTTCCGACGGAGTTGATGTCGGCGAAGCTTTGGGTGGAGCAGTACCTCGGTTTGAAGACCGCAGCTTCACGATCCCCTCAAGTGTCTCGAGCGTATTGGGGAAGGTGGCAGGGATTGTTAGTACGGGAGGTACTATTGCGACGGTCCTGTCTTCCCTTAATGATGGGAGCAGCAACACTATGAAGCGTGAGCTTGACATGGGCTTTGAACATGTTAACGACCAGAAACGCGCCTCCCCCTCTGATATCGAAAGTATCCTCCAGCAGATCATAACTTCTTTCGAAGGTGCTGCGGACGCAGCAAACAACACCTCTACCCTTCCTTCTACCAAGCGGTCTACGAGCGATAGCGGCTTTCTTGGCCTTACAGATATCATTACCCCAGAGCAACTTGACGAGCTTAGTTGATTTACATTACGCATAGTATCTTGTAGTGCATACGATTTATTACCTTGAATGATACCGACGATATTTGATATATAGACATCCCAAGGGTAGGCATTCGTACATTGAATGGATGAGTTTGGAACGAGCATTTGGAAAATCCCTTGCTGGCGTTCTCTGTTGTACATGCACGACTGTACATACGACGCGTACTCGGTATGGAAAACGTGTATCTAAGTTGATTCTTGGAGACATGGTGTGCGTGTGCATGAACACCAGTCTTGACTGCAGTTGTATCATAGTATGTGAAGTAAAAATCAATTCCCCAGAATCCCCACCGTGCATCTTTCGATCATGTAATTCAGTGCGCGCTATAAATATCCGTTTTTCGAAGATACAGCACTACATCACTTTAGCGTACTGCCCTCCACGACCAGCAATTCCAATAGGATGAATTCACCATCCTTATTGTGTCCTATCTTCGCCGTCGCCACCGCTATGAGTATCAAGGTAACGATGAATCTGTGACCATTCGTAGCCAACAAAAGTATTCAGCATGAGTTTCTGGAGGCCTGGCCACATTTGATCGGCGGATACTTGTCGTAAAGCCTCGAGTAACGAGGAGGCAGCCCAGGGCCCTGTCAAATTGAGGTGTGTAACGCCAGGAAACATTGATGCAAGAGTGACGATCAATGAGGAGAAATGCGCGCTATCGATGCGATGGATGCCTAGGGTGCGGAGGGCGGGGTACTGGTGATTGTCCGTGAGCGACTGATGCGAAGGAATGTCGACCACGAGACCGTAGGTTACCAACGAGGTGAGAAAAGGAAATGAGGCGAAAACACGCATAAAATGGTTAAAAGGCGTAATCACAATCTCTGATGGTATGTCGTTTGTGAGGATTAGAGTGGTGATTGTCGAGTTGTAGGAATTTATGGCAGCAAGTATCTTCATGTTGGAAACCTCGAGGGTAGAGAGCCTTGGAGTGCAAGACTCGTCGAAAAAGAGGGCCCGTGACCAAAAGTGGACTTGCATCTCAGAGCCATATAGCCTCACACATTCGAGGGATGGTAGATATGTTCCGTAGCGCGTAAAGTAGAGCAAAACAAAAGAGAACATCGGTTCTACCAGTCCAGACCGAAGAGTGAGTGAGCGCCACCGACTTGCATGACGGAGAATGATGTTCAATTGAACAAGTAACGACTGCGGTGCAGCTCTGGTGGACGATGTTGGCCAAGGATATATGTCGACATCAATAAGTAGATCCAAAGAACGATGAATACGCGTTAGAAGGAATGACGGAGTTTCCTCCGGGCACACAGAGATATGGGTCCATAGTGACGGATTAGATATGGCTATAGTTCGCCATCGCATGGACACGTGTGACACTGTCTTCGCCAAACTGTTGTCACTCCCATCTATTTTCGTCTCAGCGCCGTGCTTTATTATCTCTACGAGGATCTCATCTGGGAGACGGAAGAGTGGAGTAAGGTCAGTCTGATGCTCCCTTCCTTTCCTCGAGCACGAATGAGCAAGATATGCTTGAATACGCTCGGTAGATTGCTGGCATCCTTGTCCCTCATGTCCACTCAAATCCATGTTTTCGAGGGTGGTTTCTGATGTGTGCTTCGTATCACCCAAGCTACGCGCTCAAGTTGTTAAGATGTTTAACATGACATACATCCATAAACCCACCTTAGGTTTGCAAGCTGTTCCTTGAGTGGTACCATGATCGTGCTAGGCGGCATAGGTCGCATAGCTTGATAAAATTTAGATACAGTTAGTCCTATCGTCAATAGATTAGCGTCTGTCTAGCTAACACGAAATAAGGAACGGCGAGACGCACCCTCAGTTACGCGTAACGGCCTGAAGAGAAAAGGAATGATAAACGAGAACCGGTACTTATACCCCTCAATGGTTGGATTTCTGTTTTCTGTACTCCGCCTGTCGCGTGATCACGTGCAGAAACATGGGAATTGATGAAGCAAGCGACATCCATATTAAAACCAAGCGAAGGCATGTGTGAGATGTAGTCCCACATTACCTTCCATTATTACAGGGCGAATCCTTGTACTGAATAGGTATCACTGTTGAAATGCATTCCACGCCTCATTCAAAGCACTGAACACCCCATTGGCGATCATCCTCTGTTCAACGGTAGTATTTTGCGCGTTCAACTGCAGGAGGTATGGTTAGCTTCCGTGATCTAGGTTAAGAAAATGATAGATGACAAAGGCGACGTATACCGATATGTGAGGGGGCCCAGGAACTGTCACAATAATAACTGACCTTGTCTGGATGTACACGTGCAATGGCACGTGTGTAACGAGACTTTACTTGAGCATTCGACACAAGCTCATGCATGCCCACTTTCTGCCATTTTAACTCTGGCCACAACACAGAGTCGAGGCTAGCAATCAATGCGCGGAGGTTAGCTTCTTTCCCGCCTTTCCATGCTGCCAACCGAGTATCGACGGAATCCTTGAGTTCGTACCGCTGATTGTCTTCGGCTTCAGCTGCACTGGTCGCAGCACGCAAAGCCTTGAGCGCTCCAGAGTTGGAGGAACTTGGCGCGGGCTTGATCGATGTGGCTTTTGGCTTTGGCTTGGGTTTTGGTACAGGGGTGTTCTCGTCAGCGTTAGAATTGAGCATCCGTCTGCATCGTCCAGCTCCGCGCGCGCCTTCAGCACGTATATTCGATGGCGCCCATGCAGCACCCGCAACCAATTCCCAGTCTTTCCTTGCATTCTCCCACTTCTCCCTTCCCTCATAGGCTTCTGCACGCCTTCGCCAAGCTTTCACAAGGGCATCCCCTAGATCTACCCCCTCGATAACGCCTCTATCATCGCCAACTATCTCTATCACGCTTGCACAGTCTTCTATTGCACCACAAGTCTCACCTGTCTTGAGCCTTGCGAGCGCACGATTGTTGTGCAGTGGAACGAGGAGGATGTGTGAGGCTGGCAGAGCAGCGATGGCAAGGGAGTAAGCTGATTCTGCATTTGCATACTGCCCGAGTTTATATGCAGACGTGCCCGTGGCTTTGTGTGAAGCAGATGTTGAGAGGGCTGAAGATGATGCAGGGACGAGTACGCGTTGTGGCTTCGGAGGTGAGGGAACAGGAGCAGGACGCGAAGGAGCTGCAGGAGGCTGAGGCTGCGGTGTTGGACGACCACGTCGGAAGGGAGACTGATAAACGGGGGCCTCTGATGAGAAAAGATCCACTTCTTTCAGCTGAGACTGCGATGGCAACTCGACAGGTTGTGGGGGAGGTTGTGTAGTCAGCCCATCTTGTTGTCGTAATTGTCTAGTCGGAGGAGAAATTTGATCGTCATCCTTGAAACCACCAGTCACTCTTCTATCATGTTGCTCCACGCCAGCTCTGTCCGGTACTTCATCTGATATCCAACGCGGTCTCCCATCTCCTCGCTTGGTTCCTGCCCCAGCCCGAGCTGCATTCGCACGTTCTTCATATAGCCGCTGTGCTTTCTCTTTGCTCTCCTTCCAGAAAGCGTTTGCGCGATTGAAAACGCTTATACCGATTTCGCTAGCTTGTGCGATGATCTTCTCTGCTTGCACATTAAGATCTGGAGATTGACGTGTTTCCGGTTCGACACTGCGCAGAACTTCCCTGTCCCGGTCTCGGTTTGAGTTGATACGCTGATTTGGTGGGCGTCGCGGGGGCGGTCGAACTTCGTCATGCGACGAGAGAGGTGGGGTGGAGGTATTACAAGAACCATTTGCGAGCAGAGTCTCTAAAGCGGCTTGTACATCAAGTCCAGTATCCGTAGCTGCAAGAGCTATACGCGCTTGCTGTGGAGAGAATCCCATTTCCACAATTTGCCCAACGATGTGGGGAGGTGGTGAGACAGGCCTTGATGAAACGCGCTGCAATTGTGGAGCTTGAGGCGATGGTGTAGTGCGAGTTGATTGATTCTGCCCGATCAATGAATGATGAGTGCAAAATCGGCAGGGAAACTTAAGTGCGACATACGCGCGAAGATGGTTTGACCGCATCAACTGGTCGTGCCAGGTCACCCAAGATGTCATCATTGCTATCATCGGAGTGGGTCTCCAAAAGGCCATCATCGCGATCGCCAAAGTCAAAGTCACCAGGTGTACGTGAGCGAGGAGGGATCGGGGAATTGGAATGCGAAGATGAATCAAAGTCATCAAGATCCCAGAGCGTTCCCGCAGGCTTCTTTTGAGAAGCGGTCTGTGGTTGAGGAGCTGTAGAGTCATGTGAACTCCAACCATCATATCCCACTGGTGATTTCACGGTAGTGGTCGAAGAAGATGCAAATGCAGAGAAATCGAGGTCGACTTGTGGTGAACGAGAGGGTGATGGATGTGAAGGCGTTGCCTGTCGCGCAAGAGAATCAAGACCATCCCAAGCAGATGGCAAGGGCGCAGTAACCCTGGGAGGTGCCTGGGCTGGCTGTAACTTTGCTCTCTGGGCCGCTGCCGCGCGCTCAGCCATGGTCATATTGGTAGTATTGTTATCTCTTCCATCTGCTAACGAGCCAGAAAAAAGACTACTGAAGGCATCTACGTTTCTCGCTCCACCTACTGGCACAGGGTTTCGTGACCGAGTGGTAGGACCGGCGACCTGCGGGGAATGCGTGCGTGAGGTTGGTTGAGAAGCGGAAAGAAGGGAGAATGTATCCTGGGAGCGTTGAGGAACGGCTGTTCGTTGTTTGGCAGCCCCAAGTACCTGCGGAGATGTGGGATTGGACGGGACAGATGAACTCCAGAGGTCTGCGAATGAGTCAGACATCTAAATTTCGAGTAAATGTGAAAGTTCTTTGTCTTCGAATCGTTCTCAATATTGGCCACGAGCTAGTAGACCAGCTACGTTCAATCTATATGCGAGGCACTACAAAAAGCAAGATTAGTAGTACTCGAAGACGAGCAAGCCCTAGATGATGTAATCGCTTTTGGCCACGTAGCATCATGATAGTCGGCCAATAAAAATCGTTAAGCGTTCCAAACTTGCCAGAGCTCCAACACAATCTGCGTACATCGAATAACCACAATTGTAATCCACGCGCAAGGGATCAAGATACACTGCAGTCTGGACTGGATTTCAGATGACCTTGAGACCGCCACTGTTCCAAGCCCGAGGTCCGAGGATGGTTGGTCCTTGATTTGTTCTAAATCAAAGCAAGGTATGTGCCTATAAGCCTTTCAAATCATAATTAATGGCCATTGGTTTCCTTCCGCTTTGTTTGGCTAGTCAAAGCCCAGTTAAGTGCACTCCAGGCGCCATCATAATTGCATCGTGGCAGGGTGGCTCTTTCAAATCTTTACGATGGCTTTAAAATTCTGGAGGGCCGCTGCGCACATGCTTGTAATAATAGGCCTCTCATGTTGAGCATCCTATTCGCTTGTTGCTCAACTTAGTGGTTATGCTCCGAGAGTCGTGTTTAGTGCTTGTACTGCACAAGAGTGGATGCGTCCACAGCCTTGTCAAACCACAGATAATTTTGTCCATTGTACGTGCCAGTGGCTTTTCCACAGTCCACCACCCAAAGCAACCAAGGATTCGATGGCTATAAAGCTCTTACATCTAGTGTGAGTCGTGAGTCATTGCCCACTCGCTTCTACAGCAAGCACATCTACAATATGAACACTCGCGTTCGCGAAAACCCCTTTTCAGAAACCAACTTGGGCATCACCAAGTGTTTCTGCGGAAATCTGACGGTGGAGAATCACGATTTCTGCTTTTGCTCTCCGGAGTGTGCTCGTGCGGATGCATTGGCCGCCCTCGGGGGAGAAGATTCCCACTATCGGAAAGTCGTGCGGAAGGCGTATGTCAGGTGTGGTGCTCGGCCGCCTGCCATATACAAGCCCAAGACAGAGGAGAAAACTCCGGCTGCGAAGCATATTCCAGTCATCCCCGTCCCTCCGAGTCAACTTGCCAATGCAACGTATCAGCATAATAACCAAAATATAGGTGACCTGAATGATAGGTCTGCCAAAAAAGAGAAGGTGTTCCCTACGCTGGCTCAAGTGACGACCGCCGTTCTTGCTCGAAAGGCAAAGCAAGGAGGCGCAGCAGCGATCGAGACTTCGGTGAATATTCCCCAAGCCGCCGTCCAGATATCCTTCGATGCGCTTCCCGTTGCCCCTCCCCCACGTATCCAACGAACTATGCCGGGGCTTGATCGGGGCGCTCATAAATTACCATTTACACAATTGCGTAGTGCGCCACGGCAAATTATCCCACTAAAAGGCGATGACAAAACCAGTGCCCTCAGAAGTCAACCGTCAATCCTTCATCCGGTAGCCGAAGACAGAGGAAGGAGGAACGGCGATCGTGTTCCTCTTCCCCGAAAGCCGGATCTTCGCGCACAAGAAAGGCCGATGCTTCCGCGCCTTCAACGACCAGTGCTTCAAAACGCGACCGCTACAATCCAACCTCCCGGTAGTCTTCGCCGCTCGGCTTCATTCGCAGGTTGGCACAGCCCAGCTGAGCATCACAATCGTGTCCCAGAGGAGGGCGAATCTCTCGAGGAATTATTCGACCAACTCAAGGATATTCGAACTTGGATTGAAGGATGGGATGGTACACCAGACTATAATAAAAAGCCGCACAGGGTGCGATTGGAATAATTAGACATCGATGAGGTGTAGGTCCCAGAGTGACCCGAAAAGTTTTCTGGTTGTTGTTTTGTAAACGACAAACGATATATAATTGGCTGACTACGCTACGGATGTAACTAAGGTACTATACGTACAGTAAGTACATCGTCAGCTCATTGATGAGAAAAAGGGGTGCCTACAATGTAAATGTGTACAGGATATTACCTAGTATTTTGTAGAGGTCCCGATGTCGTCTTGCAATCACTTACTGCGGAAATGAGAAATTAACCTAATAGGTTTGAGGTAGATGTAGCAATGATAAATCCTGATAAAGGTAGAGATAAACGTTCTGGACGACTGAAGGACTCCACGAAAAAAAGAAGAATCTGGTATAAACTTGATGAGGGTCGGGTTGTGAAGAATCACTGAAGATGTTGTCTTTCCGAAGCTTGGTGGAATATCGTTAAGTTAGCATTATGTAATATATCTGGCGCAGCTGTTGAATTTGTCATGGATATTCCTACTACTAACGGCAGTCAGGCTCCAGCTGGCCACTAGCTCTTCCGTTCGAACGTGACTACGTTTCCGACCCAACTGCAGCCTTCCTCAAGTACGATCAGATTGGTCAAAAGTTGAAACCTGATTTGGGGAAACTCCGCTTCGAGTTCAACACGCTAAATAGTACAAGTGAAGATTCAGAAAGCTTTACATAAATACCCGGACTACTATTGGCTTCATTCCATTTCCTACTAGAAAAGATTTGTACCGCACTCCGCATTCACGTCTGCCAAGACATGTGCCCATCGCCCGCCATTCCAAGAATGGAGCTCTCGGAGCTGTTCTTTGTCAAAGATTGTGTTCCACCACATCATTCTGCAAGCCACCACCATATCCGCGAACGAGAAGGTGTCCCCCATAATCCACTTTCCTCCACCTTTCTGGTACCATTTGTCGATTTCATCAAGACCCTTCTTCAATTCCTCCCATTGCTGCTGTGCGTTCGCTTCTGTCACAGTCTCCCAGCGCGATTCGCCGAGCAACTCCAAGCGCGTCTGAATGAAGTACTCCCTGTTTGTATCCTTCATGATTTCGAGAGTCTTCGTTAAGATGAGATTCACTACTTTTCCGTAGGCAGTGCTGCAAAATGCGGGCTCGAATAAGCTTATAAGAGCGCTGGTGCCGCGTGGTATGATCTCCTTCCCTGGATATGTCTTATCCAGGTACTCAGCGATCGCCCATGAGTCGGCGACGACGGATCCAGTGTTGGGATCCTTGATCACTGGAAGGGTGTACCTGCCACCTTCCGTAGTTGAGGCGCCAATTTCTTTCATGGTCTTGGGAATGTCCTTGAACTCTACCCAGACGATGGTATGTGGGAGACCTTTGTATGCCAGGCAAAACCTAACGTTTGCATATCAGCAACATGCAGCAATCTGGCTCTGACTGCACGACTTGCCTGGTCTTTCCAGGGTTTGGAGCCCATACCCCGTTTTGGGTCTTGCTTGGTGTGTCGTATAGTATGATGGGCTGCATTGGAAATATGAAGGCTAACTTGGAAGTATGAAGGCTAACTTGACTGGTTGATCTGGTGTTGAACCATTGACGTTGCTGCATATATACCTTTCTCGTATAGGCTGTGAAGTTTTTCTACCTCAATTCTCAATCCATGACCCTAACAACGAATTCTACATGATGAGTGCTAGTGATTGGTGTCACGAGGATTTCTAGATCCCAGGATGATGTGGATTTTTCGGGACCGTCCGCCGACTCCCTCCGCCGCTGTCCGGGTTCAGCAAACTTCGGCGGACTCCGTATGACAATCATTGAGTGTAATACTTTTTTATATTGCTTACCGACACAGAACTACGGCATCGAGGCCTCGAGTCTGGTAAGTATTGATCCAATTCCTATTGTACACTCATTTGTGTATTCCATCTAGGTTTCCAACTGCGTGTGGACCGTAAATACGTCGAAGTCCTCACGAGTCATGAAGTTCTCCAGCGGCACATTACATTAGCAGCGCACCGCGGCCAGGGTAGGATAGTCCTGGATGGAGGAGCAGGCCCGAATGAGCGTAAGTAGCTTTAATTAGCATGTTCCGTATAGTGTGCGATGTCGCGATGCATCGATTTTCGTATGATTGCGTCAAAGCCAGCAAGGGATCAAGGGATACGCAGTTATATTAAGATCTAGGAAATTCTATCTGGCTAGTAGTCAAGGAAATTCAGCGTTCTCCGCAATACGAAGTGCCGCGGACCACGGATTCATAGTCCGCCGGAATGTGGCGGATGCCGATGAAGAACCAACCTATCCGGAGTCCGGACTGCCCTGGAAAGGTCACGTTCCAGATTTTCTGCGACCCTCCGGCCCCCTCTGCGCCAACATAGTCAGGCATCATTTATTCATTTATTTTATTGGACTACTGTGCTGTTGTATTCAATGACTGGTGCTGCACATGATGTAGGAGAAGGACAGGCCGCGAAAACATACGACCCGCATTTCGCTTAGTCTTGCAAAAATAAAATATGTCCGACACCGGCAGCCACGGCGGGCGGGTGTTTATTTGCAGCTGGTCGATCCGTACCTGGCGCCGATGCTGGACAAGGGTCGAACGGCCGGACATCCTGGGACCAAAATATGATTCTGGGGCGTCGTGACGGTCAATCCTATCCCACAATTCAGCGGCCAGCCTCCTGGTATAACATCCGATCATTTGCCAAGTCATCCACGCCACGACGCCGAGTACAAATCTGCTCAAACTGACTTTAACCTTCACATGGAGGGCTTCTGAAGTTCCTTGGGTTGGCATCAATGTCAAGCACCACAACTAACATTGGTGCAGCTGTGAGCTTGTAACTAACGAAATGCTCCCTCACGAGCCATTGCCATTATCCCCATTTCAAGCAGCTCTGCAGAGGACCCACGAAAGCTCCGAGGAGACGTGGTTATATGGCCTGCGGCATGTATTTAGCCACTAAGGGTAGCGGCAGTTGGTTGGCCAATCTGGCCTTCAGTGCATTCGTATGCTATTCATAAGCTCTTCGCTGGCAAAGTGATATCTGTTTTGCAGTGGCAGCACTAGTGCCTGGTGCGAGCTGGCTGGGCACCCGCCAGTACTAAACAAGAAACCCATATCAAAACTTTGTCAGATTATGCGTTGTCTCGGCCACTGTATCGTGTGCACCTGGCCTGGTGCGCTGCACTGGCATGCATGTGACGTGGTAAAATCTCTACCTACTATCTCAGGCAAGGGTCACTTGTTCACTTCAAGTCCGACATCAGAGTATGCACTCTATCATTTTCGATGACACCTGCTCTCGCCGCCAAGCCAAATGCACCTGTGAAATACTGGATTCCGCAATGCATGTTTTTTTTTACAGGTTTCAACCAGTTCTCCACGTTCATGGTCACTACAATTCCACCGAATGAAACTGAATCCAAATGGATTTGCCAATTTTTGGAGCGTCCAGTTGTGCCGGATCTTACTAGTACACGGACCCAGTGATCACCCTGGTGTGAGAGATTTTTACCCCAGTTCAATTACGGTGCTGATTGCGGAATCCCTGCGGTTTATACGTGGCTTACTCCAACCTTATCATCGAATATACTAGTCCTTTTTCTTTGTGTTGAATCAGGTGCAGCTGACCTATGGTATCTGGCCTCCGTGCGCTAGTAAACGTATTGACTTATATCGTCGTTGTATGTACAGGCAAGGTCTGAAGGACTTCAGCTAAAGCGAGTTGTGAAGCATTTATCATCGTTAATCTGCCCCCACAGTGATTGATCCTATACAATACAGGCAAGTCTATTTCTAAGCCAAATTACACTCCTTCTCGACATCTGCAAGGACTTGGGCCCATTTCCCCCCATTCCAAGAACTCAACCTGACCCACTCATCCTCCTTCAGAACTCGTTTATACGCCAGCAGCCAACAAGCAACCATGATGTCTGCAAATGAAAAGGTGTCGCCCATGATCCACTTTCCGTCACTCTTCTGGTACCATTCATACAAAGTATTGTGGCCCTTCTCTAGTAGGGCCCAGTTTGCATCCCAGTTCTCATCCCAGGGCAACGGGACGTCCATCGAACGAACTTTAGTGAAAAACTTTGCACTAGCGGGCCTCAATATTTCTGCGGCACGTGCGAACAGAAAATTGAAACTAGGCTGAAGGAGCCTTAAATAGGCAGATTCGAACGCGCGTATCAAGGGTTCTGAGTTGTGTGGGAAGATGGGCTTCTCGGGATACGTCTTTTCGAGGTAGGAGACGATTTCGAAGGAGTTGCTGATGATGGCACCAGTGTTGGGGTCGATGAGGACGGGAGAAGTATAGACGTCCGAGCCGTCTGGGCGTTTGTGTGGCTTTGAACCGATAGCCTTCATAGCGATGGAGATGTCTGAGTATTCGACCCAGATGGTCACGAATGGAAGATCCTTGTAGCTCAAGACGAACCTGGCGAGCAGTATACTTTGGTCAGACATCAAAACTTCAAGTGGCATGCATAACATGAACTACTGACCTTGGCTTGGCGGGGTTGGGTGACCAGTTGTTGCCTGGTAGCTCGGAAAGAATGTCATACAAAACAAGCGACTGCATCGTGGAGTGATGCTACGTGGGTTTGATGGGGTGTGCCCCATCTTTGAAGCCTTTTTCAAGGCTGACCTTCAATCGTAAGCACCGGCTAGATCGGAGCTGGTATTGATCCTCGGCGCGTACCCGTTCATATTGAGCAGAGGGCGTGGTTTGTTAGGCTTTGCACCGATGGCTTTCATAGTGATGGAGATGTCTGAGTAATCGACCCAGATGGTCACGAATGGAAGATCCTGGCAAGCAATAAACTTTTGTCAGATATCAAAGCTTCAAGTGGCATGCATAACATAGACTGCTGACCTTGGCTTAGCGGGGTGGGGTGAAAGTGATTGTCTGATAGGTCAGAGATGACATCGTACAGAACAAACGGAAGCATCGTGGAGTACCGGGACATGGGATGAAACAAGTGTGAAGTGCTGCGGCGTAGTATGGCAACGTTGAGATTCTTTTGCGGTGTACAAGGCTAAGCTTCGTTCGTAACCGCTGAATCATCTGGATCTAAGCTTGATATCGATTAGCTCGTGATAGCACGCTTACACGTTTGAAGCCCCATGAAGAAAGTGCACGTAAAGATATCGCACCGTGACGAGAAATTGTAGAGAATTTTACCGCGTCCTCATCTATATATGCAACATATAGAGGTGCCGGCGGCAAGGAACCATAAAGGTTAACATTTGATGTGGGTAACTGTCGCGCAGATGGGCTTGGCAAGCTTGAAGGCCCCCACGTGCACAGCACATGTCGGACGTCTTGGTCTTTCAGCCTGACGCTGAGAAGGAAAACAGCCGAATTACCAATTTCTCCCCGGATTCAGATTCACGAGGTCAATTAGTCACGGGACCAGTGACATCATTGATACATCATAGATTCCCAGGCTCGTTCATGGATTGCATAGGTACGCGTCGTTGATCACATAGTACACATGTAGTCTTCTAAGCCAAATTGCACTCTTTCTCAACATCTGCGAGGACTTGAGCCCATTTCCCCCCATTCCAAGAACTGATCCTGACCCAATCATCCTCCTTCAGCACTCGTTTGTACCACAGCAAATCACAAGCAACAATAATGTCCGCATGCGAAAAAGTGTCGCCTATGATCCACTTCCCATCACTTTTCTGGTACCATTCGTACATAGTATTGTACCCCTTCTCCAGTAGCTCCCAGTCTGCATCGCGGCTCACATCCCAGGGCAACGGAACGTCCAGCGAACGTGCTTTAATGAAGAACTTTGCACTGGCAGGACTCAATATTTCTGTGCAGCGTGCAAAGATAAACTTGATAGAAGGTCGAAGGAGGCTTGAATGGGCCAAGTCTAATGCGCGTATAAGGGGCTCTGAATTGTTTGGGAAGACGGGCTTCTCAGGATATGTCTTGTCAAGGTAGGATGCGATTTCGAGGGAGTCGGTGATGAGAGCACCGGTGTTAGGGTCGCTGAGGACGGGGACAGTATAGACATCCGAGCCATCTCGGCGCTTGTTTGGCTTTGCACCGATGGCCTTCATAGCGATGGGGATGTCCGAGTATTCGACCCAGAGGGTCACAAATGGAAGGCCCTTGTAGCTCAAAACGAACCTGACGAACAATAGACTTTGGTCAGATACCAAAGCTTGGCATGTAGAACACTAAGTGCTGACCTTGGCTTCGCGGGGTTGGATGACCAGTTGTTGCCTGGTAGCTCGGAGAGAATGTCATACAAGACAAGCGACTGCATCGTGGAGTGCTGCGACGTGGGTTTGATGGGTGTGCCCATCCTTGAAACTCTTTTTCAAGGCTGACTGACCTTCAATCGTAAACACCGACTACATCGGAGCTGGTATTGATCCTCGGCGCATGCTTGTCCACATCGAGCAGAGGGCGATGTTGAAACCATCAGGAAGAAAGTTCACGTGTAAATTCCAGACGCCCAGACACAGCTAGTGATAGTGCTTGATTGACTTACAACACGTGGGAAAGATGGCCATTCCTTCTTTTACAATGGCCAGTACTTGTGCATTGTACATAGCGCTTGGCAGCAAAAAGGGTAGCGAGGATAGCATATACAAGGTTATATAGTGTCCATAGTATGATATCAATCGCGCATACCCCTTGCGATCTGAATACAATCCAAGGGTTTTTAGTCGGGAATAAGTCGAAGAAAAATTTATAGTAAAACCTGGTGCAGCGCGACCAATCATTCGTACCGACGAACTCTCAAAGGTACTCCAATACCATCCTCTCCAACAACCCGTGGACGGGGTAAAATTCCCCTTGCAATTTCAACTGGAGTATCCAGTCCATCCCGCATCTCAAACACGAAGCTCTTCACAAGAACCGATAACACCGTCTGTATCGCAGTGAGTAACCTCCAAGCTGATTCGCATCACTCACCTTGAATTCCATGATCGCAAAATCTTTTCCAAGACACGTCCTCGGGCCATCGACGAATGTCAGCAGATGTCTGTGACCTTGGACTTCCTTGGCCTTTCCAGAAATGCCTTCGTCAGTCAGCCAACGGTCAGGCTTGAATTCTTTTGCGTCAGGTCCCCAGATGGCCAAAGAGCGATTGATCGCTGCGACTGGTATCGTGATCAATGTCCCTTTCGCTATATATATACTGTCCGTCATTGTCCCGGACACCGTCCGCACAGGTTCGCTCAAGGGAATAATGTCATCTGCCGCTGCCTGTAGACCTAAAGTTGTTGTGTTTGTTCACATGTAGACACGCACACTCACAAGACGATTAAGTTCCGGCACTGAAGGATGAAGCCGTAGAATTTCATGGACAACTGCATCCAAGTATGGAAGGTTGGCCTTTAATTGGTCATATGTCGGATCAGGGCCAAACGCAAGCAGTTCCTCTCTGAGCCTGGTTTGAATGTCGGTGTGACGCGATAGCTCGATCAACGCCCACTGATAATCACATGAATAGCAAGCACGGAAGTAATCGTGCAGTGAACTTACCGTAAGAGTGACTGTCGACGAAGAATCAGCCAGGTGATAGCAGCGGACAAGAAACTGACTCACTGGATGTGGTCTCATAACCCGCGAGAAGTAAGACCTTCATCTGCAGGATGTGAGCTCTTAAATAATGGCTGTGATACATCGTCTCCACAGACCTGGGCCAATACTTCCTCCGGCGACATATGAAGCTCGGTATTCTGATCTTCGGATTTAACTGATCGCCGCGTTAATCACGAGACTACGAGGAATCTCTCGGAGAGCGTACTCAACAGTCCGATGATGGACTTCTCCTCGTCTTTCTCGTTCATATTCTCATCCTTCTCCTGGCGACTACGGGTCAATAACTCTTGAGATATTTTTCCCATGGTTACCCCAAGTTTCTTTAACAGATCCTGTCGCTTAGTGGGAATCTTGAGAATGATAGGAAATACTGATGCAAGCAGGATAAAAACTTGGTTCACTGCTGAGGCCTGTTGGTTGCTTCCGAAAGTATCAAACACTTCGGTCACACTGGCGTGCTTTCCATCGAGCGAGCCAAAATCATGGGAGAAACCCGCAATGCCAACCGTGTCCAGACTGATGCTGCATCAGTTCGAGGCGTCAATAGTAAAGTATCTTCGCGTACGATATATGATTCATCCTTTAAGTCATTTCGATTAGGGATGCCACTTGCCAAGTCAGAAAAGCTACGCACCAGCTCTGGACCTCGATGACGGCGTCGCCATCTTTGCTCGATTCTATGACAGAATCCCATTTTCCTTTAGCCTGTAAGGTATCAAGTTTAGAGACGCTACATTTCCCACATTGTAAATCCTTGCCTTGTAGGCTGAGTCATAAAAAACTGATGTAAGTTTCCGAATCGCTGCATTGCTAAATGCTGGCGTGAGGGCCTTCCGCTGCCTAATTCGCAGGTAGTAGGTAAGTGGCCTGTGTAAGGACAAAAGCTGAACAGCACCTCTTGTGTGTTTCACCCTCAGACCACAACAGCCCTTTACCGATCTGACGGGAGACATGAGAGGGACAAGATAAGATCATGACGTTGACATACTGATGACTCCAGAAGCGCCAATGAAAGGGGCGTCTGTACATATGTCCATGTCTCCCGGGCGTAGAAATGTGCTATAGCTCTTGGATCACACATCACGACCTCAGTCCGCCCTAGGACGCTCGGAATCATATACACGACCCCATATTCCGTTGCCCAACGTTCATACATTGCAGCACTATCTTGAGATAAAGCGAGGTCGTGCGAAACCCCATATGCAAGGCTGGTACGAGGCGGACCTGGCAGTTGAGTCGTCTTCGATTGCCAACGAAGCATCCTTAGGATTTTGACAAAAGCTAACAATGCAGCAAATGAACAAGCGACATTGAATGGGCCAACCGAGCGTACGGTTGTCCAGAGACTTGATGGGGATGATGCAGTGATAGTACTAGACATGTTTATGGTGATGTCTGGGAGTTGTTGGGTGGTCATTTATTCTGTCTGGCAGTGATATGCGCCTGCCTGTTGTAGGAACCGGACCGTCGACTGCCACGGTGTTTGCCCCCCGGCAACCGTTGCTTATCATCGGCAAGGATGATTCATAGTTGCAAAAGAAGTGTCCGAATTGAAATTGTTACACTGCCAACTGCCGAAAACCTCTTGTAGAGCCCTAAAGTGGTCAGGGTGTCCCGCATCAGGGAAAACCTTCATATCAAATTGGATGATATTTGATCCAACTTACGCCAGGAGGTAGGGGAAATGCAGATATCTGATATCAACCTGGACAAACTTCTACCTGCCGTTACACCTCCCTTATGTTCGCCATCTCCCGAGCGGGTATCTTTAGAAATTTTGAGGCACTTTACTCGACATCTGCAAGGGCTTCCCCCCATTGGTCCATTCAACACTCGTTTAATTGCCAATCTACATGCATATGATTGACGTCTATCTTACCATTCGTGAGCACTATTGTGCCTTTTCTCTAGGAGCTTCCGTGAAGTACTTGGTACTAGCAGAGCTCAATACTTTCCCGCAGCGCATGAGGATTTGGACTTCATGCAGGGTATTAACGGGCCCATGTGGGCAGATTCGATGGTGCGGACAAGGTTCTGAGTTGTTTAGGAGGACGGACTTCTCAGGGTATGTCTTGTCGAGGTAGGAGACGATTTCGACTCTTCGAGGGAGTCAGTGATAAGAGCGCCAGTGTTGGAGTTGCTTAGGACGGGGACGACGTAGATGTTCGAGCCATCTACGCGTCCCTTTGCAATATTGGAGAATTGGGGTTAGACAATCACGAATGCGATAGCCTTGTAGCTCATCGTAAACCTGGGGATAGACCTTGTTCAGATAAATTGTTCATTCACTACAAAATTACTGCTGACCTCGGCTGCGCCGTGTTGGGTGACCAGTTATTTCCTAGCAGATCGAAGGTGTTATACAAGACAAGTAACTGCATCGTAGGGGCGTCAGGACGTGGGGCAAGTGCCGCAGCCAGTTTTAGAGCATCTTGAGCCAAGGCTTTGCTTCAGCTTGATCAGCGCAATCGAGTCTTTGAATAGGTAGCCCAAGGCTCTCGAGGTGATGGCATCGATAGACATACTAACTTACACATAAGGCAAGATATATTAATATCTGCAAGAAGAACATCATGATGCACGTGAAGCACCAACGTGGTTAACGATGGCGCTAGATCATATAGTCCCGGCGGTAACCCGACGATAGAGCTGAGAGCGAAAATAACAGCTAAGTTAACAAATCCTACATGTGTTAGCTTATACCATTCCCGACAACATTTTCCCTACGCTTTCCTTTCGTATCTTTCGTCGTTCCTTCTGCGCGGAGATATCCAAGCAACTCCCGAATCATTTCGCCCTGCATCTCCACCGTTTCTCGTAGTTCTGATATCTGTTGGCTTAGCTCAGTTTGATTTTGAGCGAGCTTCCGATTGGAAAGGTCCTTTAGCGGCTCTGAAGGCTGAGATTCTAGTCGATGGTGACCGAAAGTAGCCATAGAAGGGTCATGTTCTCGTGCAATACCCTGAGAAGCAGGACACCTAGCTGAGTTGAGTTGTCAAGGGAAATGAAACTGACTGACCCCGTCATCGATCATCTGCTCCCAGACTAGACTAAATTCTCTACCGAGAACGAAGCTTGGGAGGGCAATAAGAAGCAAGCCAAAAGCAAGAAGAGGAACTGTGATCAAGCGTCCGAGAATAGAGCGAGGTGTGATCTCTCCATAACCCACTGTAGTAATTGCTATTTGGGAGACAAAAGTGAGCAAGCAGGATGCGACGCCGCAGTATGTCCGTCCCCCACTTACTAACTAGCACGAACCTGTCTAGGTCTTAATAAAATAGATAGCAAGATGAGAAACACAAGCGCACCAAGCAGCTGCGGGTATAGACTATGTGGAGATAAGTGTTAAATATAGACCAGTAGACAGGGCAAAGGAATAATTACTTGGAACTGAGTTACATCACCGTCTGAATTAATAAACGTTTCCAGATTGTCGTCCCAAGTACCACGCTCTGCGAAATATCTGGTAATGTGTTCAGTGAGAAGGACTCGGGTTGAGTAGAGTGGCAGCGTACGCACAATAACGTGCTGAACACGGTCAACAACATTGCAATAAAGAAGCTAAGTGCAAGTAATGCGTGATGTGATCTACGAACAGCCAAATACATGACCTCGATGGTTCTTGATGAAATGATGGTGATCACATATATCCTCAGACGAAAAGATATATATAGGCTTACAGAAGTATGGTGCTATTGTATCGGAACGGTCTGAAGACCCGCAATAGACGAAACATGCGCAGAATGGAGAAGCGGAACAGAACAGACTGTCAAAAGTCAGTTCGGCGAGTGAGCAACCAAAACAGATCACCCACGGTATCTTGCCGCAGCATTATCTCAATGTAATAGGGTAGTATAGCCAGCATGTCAACGACTCCGTAGAAGGCTGAATGACGATCCACGTGAGAAGGTATATCTGAAATTACGAGATTACACGCACAGAACATCCATTTAACCAATGAGATCCAAGAGGAGCTCCATGCGACACAACGTGCGGAGTATTCTACGGTGAAAAGAAGCACCAGACTCGTTTCTAAACCAAACCATACTCGAGGGGAGATAGAGTGAAAACTTGGCACGGTCTCCAAAATTGTAACGATGGCAGAAAATACAATGAGAGAAGTTGATGCGAAGTGAACGAGAAAGGCCGACGAAGATGAGGTTGGAGATTCGAGCAAGTCGAATAGGGCACGTTTCCACGGTGAATTTATAGGATTTGGAGTCTGGTCGAACGATGGAGTAGTTGGGAACACGTCTTCGACATCTCTCGGGGATTCCTCAGTCAGAAATCTTGATGCAGCTGGTGACCCCAGATAAGAGAGAGGAATTGGTTGAGACATACTCCCAAGGTGCTCGGGAACGAGCGCCTCAATGACCCATACAAGTGACGAACTCTCACGCCCATCATCCTGTACTTTGTTTGACGTAATGTTGATCCATGGGGACGCTGCTTGGTACTACCAGTATTTGTCCTGCTCTTGTGGGGATTTCATTGGACACGCAATCCGGAAGCTCCCACTATAACGTTCGTGTGGATAGACCATTCCTGCCTAACTGGAAAATTCTCTGCCGGGACTCCTTCGGTCAGTTTTCCTTTTGGGCTCGTACGACAGATAAGGCGCGAAGGAGCGGTGCCGCGCTCTGATACGACTTGACATAAATCAGCTTAGCGCGCTATCTTTCTTTCACATCTTGTCTTCGTACCACCTGTGACCCGTCTGTCAAGAAGAACAAAATGGAAGAACCACCTGTCACTGTCAATGCGATACCAAAGACTCGAGATTATCAGCAAGAAATGCTGGATGCCAGTCTCAAGGAAAATATAATCATCGCCCAGGATACAGGTTCTGGAAAGACTTTGATTGCGATTTTAAGGATGAGATATGAAATCGAACGTGGCTCTCAAAAGGTACGTTCAGGTCATGCATTCCAAAGATCTTATTGTAAAGAGGTTCTTAGGTGTCATGGTTTTTGGCGCCTACAGTTGCTCTTTGCAATCAGCAGCACAGCGTGATCAAAGATAATATGCAGGTCCCTGTTGGCCTAATTCACGGGGGGCTTGAGCCAAAGCAATGGACTGACGCTACCTTGTGGAAACGAGTGCTGGAAAACAACCGCGTTATAGTTTCCACTCCTCAGGTACTCCTTGACGCGCTGAGCCACGGCTACGTTCATATGGGGCTGGATATCGGTCTCCTAGTCTTCGATGAGGCCCACCACGCAGATCGGAATCACCCCATGAGCTGCATCATGCGAGATTTTTACTTCTCCCTCCCTCCCCGTCTCTCCACAACCCACAGCTCTAGTGTGACAACTGAGCAGGACGAACGTCCCATGGTATTGGGACTCACCGCTAGCCCTATGTTCGGCGGCAATCCTACTGCAGCCTTCCGGTATGGTGCTCGGATCGGAGACAACGAATATAATTGATACCCTTTCCAGGAAATTGGAAGCTAACCTCGACTGCGTTATTCGTAGTCCTCGAGCCAATCGGGATGAGCTCTTGACTCATGTCCACCGTCCGATTTTCCGACACGTGCGCTTTGATACACCGCAATACTCAGATCGCAACTATACTTCTAAAAATTTATCAGCAGTCGAAGCCGTTATCGCTACTATGAAGATTGAAGATGATCCTTTCGTTATACAGCTACGTCAGAAACTAGCGAAAACTGCCCGAGGTCCGGAGTACACACGAATGGACCAGAAGCTTTCAAAAGCTATCCAGAGCAAGAAGACATACTCGCACGGTGGGATGAACGATCTCGCGAACGCGGGAAAAGCCATATGTTATGATATCGGTCCGTGGGCGGCGGACTGGTACATCGAAAGCGTTGTATCCCGAGCACTAGATAAACAAACTCCCTGGGACGAGTTGATCGGATCCTTGCAACCCAAGGAGAAGAATTACTTGATGAAGCATTTGTCTCAGATTGAGCTAACACCTATCTCTTACGATCCTGCGGACATTGAGGCCGGGATCACGGACAAAGTTCGCGTCCTCTTGGAAACATTAGAGTACGAAAAAGATTGGTCCGAGTCATCGAACGAGCCTTACAGTGGCTTGATCTTCGTCACACGTCGTGACGGAGTATTGGCATTGTCGGAAGTTTTGAAGAACCATCCCCGCAGTGTTCATTTCAGACTTGGGTGCCTGCTTGGAAGTTCTCAAAGCTCCTATCGCAACACCTTTCTTGACATCACTCGTACGCTTCTGAAAGACCAACCTCAAGCAGATATCCTCGAGGGCTTTAGGTCCGGAGACAGGAACCTCATCGTCGCCACGTCCGTAGCTGAAGAGGGACTTGACATCCAGGCCTGTGGAAATGTGATAAGGTGGGATATCCCTGACAACATGGCAAGCTGGGCCCAAAGCAGAGGTCGTGCTCGCAGAAGGCGGAGCTCTTTCGTTCTTATGTTTGAGTCGTCAGGTATCGACGACGCTAGAGTGGCGGAGTTCGAGAAACTGGAGGCTCAGATGACAGCCCTTTATCTAGCTGATCGTGCCCCCAGGCCAACGGTCTCCAGTGATGACGAAGTACTTGATCCAGACGAGCTTGTTTTCAAGTTAAAGTCTACAGGGTGAGTAATGTGCCTACAGTCAAAGCCATCCTGCTTATCCATGAATAGGGCTGTGCTTACCCCGCTACTTGCGGTCTCTCATCTCAATCACTTTTGTGCTGTTATTCCCAATTCAGTCAACCTTCCCATCTACGATATCGACCCCCCTGATATGCCCGAAGGCTGGCACTCCTTTGACCCTGTGAAGCGTGTTGTTCCCCCTCCATATCCGGGACCATTCGGGTGCACGGTGACTTTGCCAAGGCGGCTCCCAGCAGAACTTCGTATCTTCTCAGTTGAACGCATATACCCCACAAAGCAATCTGCATACCGACACGTTGCATACAAGGCATACCTTGCTCTCTATCGCGCCAATCTCCTCAATGATCATCTCCTGCCATTGACCAGCACGGTTGAGCCTGATTTGGAGGAGGAAGTCAAAAATCTTCTCAAAGATGTCGAGAAGCGATCCAGCATGGCCTCCGTCACTAGCCAGATGAATCCTTGGCAGGATGAATTAACGGATACGGCTTGGACAGCTACTCGCATCGTTATACCAGGCTTCTCTCCTATCCGCATGCTCACCCGTGTCGACCTTCCATCTTTCACGGCTGGGGAGGCACCCGTACTTTATCATTCTCGTAAAGGTCGCATCGATATTGAATTGCAGGCTCAGGGTGTGGCCCGCCATTCTGCTAGTGACCTTCAAGCCGCTCATGAATCTACACGACGTCTGTTCTGGTGTCTGTTCGGAATCCGCATGCAGTGGGATAAATTCGACTTTGCATATCTTTTTGAACCTGCTGAGGAAGACCCCGAGCGAGATGTGTGGGATGCGCGTCGAAGGTGGCTGCGGGACTTGCAAGGGGAAGAGTCTTCCGGAGATGATCTCTTTGCAAACGCAGCCGCTTTCGGACAAGCATTCTCGCACCCGACTGATATCACCTGGATTCGCGATGGGTTTCCCTACGGCAAGGTCTATCGTTTTCTTGGGTGGAGGCATGATCCTCTATCTGAGGAAGAGTTGCAAGATTTCATGGACAGGTATTCAAAAATACCTGAGATGAAGGTTACCTACCCGTTGCTTTATGTAGAGGAATTGCCGCAAAGAAGAAATTTCTTGCAACCTCTACCATCCATTAGTGATGCGCCTCTCAGGAGGTCGTTCCTCCCTCCCCAATTATCTCGTGTCGTTCTTCTTTCTCAGGTGCAATGTGACCATGCCATTATGATCCCTTCCATCGTACGCTACATTTCCATCGCTGCAACTGCTGTCTCTCTTCGAGAGAGTCTGTTCACCGGGATCCAACTCTATGATATTCCTTTATCTCGCCTGATTACAGCGATTACGGCCCCTGTAGCCCAAGGTCACGTCAACTATCAAAGACTGGAGACCCTCGGAGATGCCGTCCTCAAGTTTGTGGTGTCGATGCATCTGATCGCCACTTATCCCTTCTGGCACGAAGGGTATCTCACCAGGCGTAAAGATCATGCTGTCTCCAACTCGAGATTGGCAAAGGAGGCCATCAGGCTATCACTGTACAAGTGGATTATACGCGATCGCTTCACCCCTCGGAAGTTCAAACCACAGTACTTTACGACGGGAGAACCAAACGAGATCACCGAGGACGTAGTCGCTGGTGATTTGTCTCAAGCAACACCCAAAGCCCCTGAGGACCTATCCACAAAGATGCTTGCAGACGTGGTAGAAGCCCTTATTGGAGCTGCCTACCTTCATGGAGGGTACAATCTTGGCATTGAGTGCACCCGACTCTTCGGCCTCGGCATTGACCCCAAGGCAGGGTGGCAACCACTCGAGGTTTATATCGAGAAGGCGCTTTCGTGTGTGGAAATCACTGAGGTCTCCACTCCAACAACCGACATCGAACGCATGTTAGGATACACATTTACTCACAAGCTTCTCCTTCTCGAAGCCATCACTCATTCTAGCTACCAGTTCGATCTTCGAACGGTATCGTATGAGCGTATGGAATTTTTGGGCGACTCTGTGCTCGACATGATCGTCACAGAGCATCTCTATCACTACCCAGGAAAGCAATTTACCCCAGGCCAGATGCATATCCGCAAATCTGCTGTGGTTAATATGCATTTCCTCACTTACATTTGTTTCAAGTGCTCGCTGGAGAAAGACGCGAGCTTACCGCGCCCCACCCGCAATGGCATTGTCATGGATGAAGAAACGCAAGAGATATGCTTATACCAATGCTTGCTCCATTCCAGCTCAGTAGTTTTTGACCAGCAAAGAGCGACGCTCGCTCGTTATCGGAAAGTGAAAGATGAAATAGAAGAAGCTCTCCTTCATGGTCCCACGTTCCCGTGGGCAGCCCTCACTCGTCTCCAAGCGCCCAAATTCTTCAGCGACATGATCGAAAGCATTATCGGCGCTGTTTATCTCGACTCTCGTGGAAATATAGATGTCGTTCGCCAAGTACTTCGCAAACTGGGTATAATGCAGCAACTGGAGCGCAACCTCAAGGACGATGTCGACGTTTTGCACCCACTCACCAGGGTGCACATATGGGCTGCACGCCAACAGAAGGAGTTAACCTCCGTATTTGAGGAAGAGAGGGGTCATGTAACCTGCATCATCACTGTGGAAGGCAGAGAGCCCGTGCAGGCCACGGCAGAGAAACGAGGACGGGCTAGCCAAGAGGAGGCACGATTTGCAGCAGCGGAGAAGGCGATACAGCTTTGGGACATCCGAGCTAACGACGGAATCAAAGATGCATGAAGTCAATATTTGATATGGTTTGTGGTACATAGAAATGTAATCGTAAAGTCAAAGTAACCCGAAGTGTTGTTGAAAATACATGGGCCACGCGTTATCTTCTATTTGTCTCTAATGCTCTGTTTCTTCCCAAGTCCTACCAACTGTCTTGACCAAGTCTTGCTCGGTGATTGGCTTCCCACTAGTAAAGTATCCCGCAGCAATTTTGGCGTCAATTTCAACACGCGAGTCCGGCGGGATAAGATGCTCTAGAAGAGGTGACATCGTCGATTAGTGATTGCTGACCACGCCAGCATCAGAAGATCACCCACCTGGCAGATCGTACCGCTTCAAAATTGGAATTCCGGATTGGACGATGGCGTTGTATTTCCTGAGGTAATCCGTGTTAGCTCCGATCAATGAATAGTACTTGTGATTGACGCACATATCGCTCATGGACACCATGTTATCTATCTTCTTGATGCCAAGCCAGTGTAGCACGTCCGGCATGAGTGCTTGGAATCGCATGTCCTTCACACCTGCAATAAGCTCCGTGGACTTGAAGTACTTGTCGGCAGAGTCGCCACCACGCTTCCGGAGATTGTAGACCAAGTACCTGAGGAGGTGTTGTGAGCCTGGGAGTACGAAAAGAGGATCAATATTTACTTTGTGACTTCACCTAGCGCTCTGCCCTCTTTGCGGAAGTACACTACAAGGCCTACTCCGCCTCTCTGGGCACAACGGATACACTCTTCGATTGCAAAGACCAGGTAAGGTTTGCAGGTGCAAATGTCGGATCCAAAGACATCAGAACCATTACCTGATAATTATAGTGTTCAGATACGACTAAGAGAACAGATGGAGAAACATACATTCATCGTGTACACGCAAGGTCAGTTCCTTAGACTCATCAGCCAGGAAGGCAGGGTTTCCAACTGGGGAAAGCGGTCAGTAGAAATTTTGTAGACGAATAATAACACGAACAAATGTAAACTGTCAAATTGCCAATAGGAGGGAGGAAGACCTTGATATCGGGGCGGGTAATCAATTCAGGATACATTCCTCCAGTGTCTTCGAAAAGAGCACGGCGAAGCAGGCTCTCGGATCTGACGACCGATTAGAAATTAGTAGATTGAGACAGCAGCGGTCACCTACATCCCAAAACGTTCAGCGACGCCAGGCAGATACCATACTGGCTCAACGGCCGCTTTACTGGTCGTAATTTCTACACCAGAATAAGCCTCACTCTCCGTTCCATCGACATTTTTGAGAGGACGCGTGGCTAATACAATCTTGCCGTCCACCTCAAGCTCGCCCTTCCTCGCAGTCTCATCAATTTCACTGAGTTTGATGTGCGCCTTCGTAACTGCTATACTGGGACGAACATCGAGTCCAAGTTCATCGACCTCTTTTCTATAAATCTGAGGCACAAGGTGTCCCCAGGGGTCAAAAGAAACGATCTTGTGTGGGTCTGACCATGCAGGCTGCGGAGGAATAGGCACAGGCGGCTCTGTCATAGAGTAATCTGGTTTATGAGTGGGGTCGAGAGTTCCCATAGCTATAGCAAGGGCGCGATAAATCGAATATGAACCGGAGTGGGCACCAATAGCGTTGCGTTGCTTGACTGAGGAAGGTAAACGTGAACAGATCACAGGTCCTCTCACGGAAGGATCAGGTGCACCCCATTGTAATGGGAAAGGTTTGATTCCATGTTGGTCAGGATGAGCTATAGAGGTCGAGATTAGTCGAAGTTAACAACAGAAGTTTATGAAAGGTAGTGTCAACAGCTCTAGATCTATCTAGAAAGACTTACTAGTCAAAAGCACTCTCCCTGGGTACAGAGCCTTCTCTCGCTCTTTATCAGTCAGATTGTGATCTGTTGGAGTGCTTGCCGGCGATGATGAAGCCAGGTGGACTTTGCTCAAGGAAGAGGAAGGTGATAGCAGTAATGTTGGTGAAAGTGGTGAATCATGGTGGCCTGTGATAGGAGTCCCATGACTTAGTGGACTTCCAACTTGAGCGGGGGTGGTAAACGCATCCAACTGGTTTGTGAACTGTATCAGTCTTCATATTTATAAACTGGAGCGTCATCTTACTTTAGCCTGTAGGGTCTGCTGTGAGACCTGAAGTGCGCTAAGTTGGGCTAAGATCTGGGTCAAGAGAGCGTCGGAGGACATGCTCGTATGCAACAGAAAGAGTCAGTGGCGAGGCGGTAATGATATGGGTCGTACGAGAGAATTGTGCTGTTGGAAGTGCTCGCTTTAAGGCTTTCGGGAGTCGGCACTATCTATGAGGGAGGCGATTTGTTGCACGATTAGCCGGAAGTCGACACGTAAGTTAGTCATCGAAGCGACCACTGATATCATCGTTAACACCTTCCTCTTCCGGATCGCAGCAGCTTGATGATCACAATACTGAGAAGCCAAAGATACAGAAATCGTTGTTCGAGTCGTGGCATAAGTAGTTGTGTAATAAGTAGTCAATAAGTAATAGCAGTGCAGTACATAATGTGGCATATTCATATCATACATCGGGGGTTTCAGCATTCTATCTCTTCAACAGATCTGGACCTGGCTAGAGCACTCCAAAATGTGGTTTCAACTGGCGGGAAAAGGCGTCAGTTTCCCCGCTGTGTCAAGCTCAAGATAGCTCACCAATCCTCATCGTCTGACCTCTCATCAAAGTCCGGCATAAAGTCTCCTGCTTCGTTCCACGCTTGACGAAGTTGGAACACTACCTCCATTACAGTTCCTCTCTTGTCGTCAATTTGGCTTCTCGAGCCTGCGAACGAAGCCGAGCGACGAATGATACGTGATTGCCGAGCAGCAGTGGTCTGTCTGACTTGATGGTGAACCAAGGTAGGGGGCCTTGACCTGTCCTCCGTGCGGTTCAGAAGTCTCTGCCAAGCAGCCTCTTCCTCGTCTTCCTCCTCCATTTCTTGTAAGATCGCTCCAGTTATCGACGACTCTCTTCGAATCTTCGCATCAGGCTGGGAAGTCTGATTGTTCCGGAAAAGAGCAACGATCGAATTACGAATATTCTTGTTAAGCCCTGCTTCAGACGGCAACGAGCGCTTGAGGGTCCGCTGAGGAAGAGGGGATCTTTGTCCATCAACTGATTCGTTCCGTGACTCGAAGGGCCGCCGAGGACCGTGAGCAGAAGTGTCTCCGCCTTCATGTCTTCCTTGTTGAGCGAGAAGAGTACTCGTGACTTCTTCGATTGTGGGCAAGGCCTTCGTTGCTTTAGGGTGATGTAGAGGATGCTGTGACACGGAAACATGTCTCGAGGTTGAAAGACTGCGAAGCTGGTGCGCCGACTTGTGCCTTGACAGCCCGCGCTCTGGAGCAGCCGAGCCGGTATGTGCTCTCTGCATGACGTTGCGATAATGACAGTCACCTTGACCGCCTAGAGCGCGCAAGGAATCTGCGCGAGCACATCCAGGAGAACAGAAGTAGAAATCGTGATCTTCAATAGTCGGTTTGCCGCAAAAACATTCTTTGACGCCGATGTGAACGGATGCAAAAGCGTTGGTGAAGATGAGGGGGTTCATTCTGAATGATCAGCGACTTACGACCGTCTCCGCGTACAAGGATTATATAGTCATCTTTTACTGTGGCAGAATACTCATAATGTGAGTGGATTGTGGAGTGATGCAGTTGTGGATATTCGGGAGTGTCCAATAGCTGACATTGTGTTAAGTAAGTGCAAAGCGAAGCTGCAATGAATACAATACCCACCCAATATTGGGGATGTGTTCAATGCACAAATCTTTGGCTGCCATTGACTGAGAGTTGCCTGTGGACGAATAACGTTGTGGATAATCATTCTGGAATACCCACTGGCCGACGCTGACATTGTGCAAAGCTAGTCCAAAACTGAACTGTAATGAACACGACGTCCAACACCCATCTTCATACTAGGGCGTTTACACCCTTTAATGAACGTGTGCAAGGATAGATCGGTGTATGTAGTAAGTAGATCTCCTGGCCATTGGATGTCGGTTGGAGAAAACCTAGAAGCTGTTATTAGGGAAGAGACAGAGCTGCTGAACGTGGGCAAAACAGCATTGTGCATACTGATTGCGCAGTACATCAGCCCTTCCAATCGACATGAATGCGTGTTGGCGAACACCAGCCTGAACCAGCATAATCGTGCTTGGAGAAGCTAATGGCAGGGGAACGATCCGATATGAAAGAAAATAACTGTAATCTGATCGTCTTTACTTCCCGTAATCCGCATCTGGGGGCAGCAAACAGCGGCTATCCAGGCTAGTAGCTGAGACTCGAGAGCTTGTGTCAGCATCAGGAAAAGTGTCGAGCGGTTCATAAATTTCCTAAACTGGTTAGACTTTTGTAATTAGACCGGATTTCATTTTATTTCCCTTCCTGCTTCTCATTTTACCTGCTGAACTCAACAAACAAAAGCCTGGGTCCCGTTTGTTGGTGTGCGAAGCGAAGTACCCCAAAATATCTGAACGATTCAACCCCCGTACGGATGGCCAGCATATATAAGGCCTGCCAACCAGTGTAGGTCGAGTGCAGGATCCCTATGCAATAATCTCATATCTGACTCCTACAGTCGTGTCAGGCACGAAGCGTTAGACGAGGCTCCAACCATTTTTCCACAAGTAAACTGAGAAGCGGTGAGGGGAACAAAATGAAACCCGATCTTTCCGAGTCACAGTGACTGTGAATCCGGGACCGTATCTAGGGGGTAGCAAACAGTGGTTTTCCCTCAGACTAGCCTCAGGAGCTAAAAGCTTCGCATTTTGCACAGTATCGAGTACTGGCAAAGCCCAACACTACCCTACGCGGGATATTGTGGAAACAATGTCGATGTCAGGGCTCAAACCCATTATCTTTTACGATTTCTCCAGCATAGTGCAGGGTAAACCATGGTCTGTAGCCACGATGCAAACAAGGTATGTTACCCGCCTCAGGAGTCCTTCTTCGTCGTTGACATTGACATGTCATAGATATTGTCTTACCTTCAAGCGCCTACCCTTCCAGACCGTCTGCCTCGAGTTTCCGGAAATCAAGCCATTCTACGAGCAGCATTCTCTTGCACCCACCACCTTGCGTAGCATCAATGGAACCCTAACGCCTGTGCACACGCTCCCTGTCATCATGGATCCAAATACGAATAGGTTGATCACAGATTCCTTTGCGATTGCGCAGTACCTTGATGAGCAATACCCCGATACACCAAAAGTGCTGCCAGACAACACAGCCGCGCTGGTGTGCGCCTTTCTCACTGCATTCCATAACGTCATAAAGGATATCATCGTGCTGGGCAGTTTTAGAGGTGCTCAGAAACTCAATCCCAAGAGCAAGGAATATTATATCCGTACTCGGGTGGAGCGATTTGGCATTCCATGGGAGCAGTTTGCAACGCCCGAGAGAAGAGAGAAACAGTGGAATGCGCTGCGTGCTGCGTGCAATACTGTAGACGGATGGTATGCAACTAGCAGTAGTCAATTCATATTGGGGGATACGCCGTGTTTCGCTGACTTCGTAGTTGCGGGACTATGCAAGTGGGTACAGTATTGCTTTGAGAACCAGGAGTGGGAAGAACTGAAGGGCTGGAACGGAGGGCGGTGGAGGAGACTGGTGGAGGCGACTGACAAGTATCTTGATTGTTCGAGGTAGTTCCGTTGAACATGATGCGTTTGGTTTACCTATCATAGTGCACTTTCACTTCTGTCAAGAAATCTCTTCTTCTTCGCGAGTCCCCAGCTGTTTCCCGTGTACTACTTCAATTCATTGTACTCAGTGACATTGTCTGTAATAAAATATTGCGACCGAGTTCCCCGCTGGGGGACTTCGCTTGCCCTAAACACTCCGTAGTAAGCGTATAGTGATTTCAAAAATTTACATCACCTACATTTTGATTTATAGATTTCCCCAGCTGATTAGACTTTTGGTGATTAGACCGGATTTCATTTCATTCCCCTTCCTGCATTTTACTTGCGGAACTCAACAAACAAAAGCCTGGGTCCCGCAGCTTGTTGGTGTGTGAAGTACCCCAAAATATCTGAATGATCAACACCCGTACTAATGGACAGCATATATAAGACCTGCCAGGGTAAGTCGAGTGCAGGATCCCTGTGTAATAATCTCATATCTGACTCCTACAATCATGTTAGGCAGAGCGTTAGAAACCATTTTTGAGATCCACAAGTCAACTGAGAAGCGGTAAGGGGAACAAAATGACACCCGGTCTTTCCGAGTCACAATGACTGTGAATCCGGGACCGTATCTAGGGGGTAGCAAACAGTGGTTTTCCCTCAGACTAGCCTCAGGAGCTAAAAGCTTCGCATTGCGGATATTATCGAGTACTGGCAAAGCCCAACCCCGTGTTGGTACTACTCTACGCGGATATCGTGGAAACAATGTCGATGCCAGGGCTCAAACCCATTATCTTTTACGATTTCTCCAGCATAGTGCAGGGTAAACCATGGTCTGTAGCCACGATGCAAACAAGGTATGTTACCCGCCTCAGGAGTTCCTCTTCATCGTTGACACTGACACGTCATAGATATTGTCTTACCTTCAAGCACCTACCCTTCCAGACCGTCTGGCTCGAATACTCGGAGGTCAAACCACTTTACGAGCAGCATTCTCTCGCACCCATCGTCATGCGCAACTTCAAGGGAACTCCGGTAACCATACACACGCTTCCTGTCATCATGGATCCAAATACGAATAGATGGATCAAAGACACCTTTGAGATTGCACAGTACCTCGATGAGCAATACCCCGATACACCAAAATTGATGCCACACAACACAGCCGCACTGATACACATCTTTCACACCGCGTTCTATCAAGCTATAAAGAATACCATCTTGCTGGCCTGTTTTAGATGTGCTCAGAAACTTAAACCCGAGAGCAAGGAGTATTATATCCGCACTCGGGTAGAGCGATTTGACGTTCCATGGATGCATTTTGCAACCGTCAAGAGAAGAGTTGAACAATGGAATACACTGCGTACTGCGTACAATACCATAGACGGATGGTATGCGATGAGCCGCGGTCAATTCATATTGGGGGATACGCCGTGTTTCGCTGACTTCATAGTTGCGGGACTGTGCAAATGGGCACAGTATTGCCTTGAGGATCTGGAATGGGAGGAAATGAAGAGTTGGAACAGAGGGCGGTGGGGGAGACTAATGGAGGCAATTGACAGGTATCTTGATTGTTCGAGGTCCGTTGAACATGATGCGCTCGACTTACCTACATGAGCAGTATGCAAATAACAAACAGGATATTATAATAATTGTGAATCGACAACTGAAATATTGATACGATATGTGGAGTCATGGTAAAATGCAAGTCTGTACTACACTACTGCGAGTCCGGCTACTGTGGATGTGGGCGACAGAGAGTAACGGGGGGTTTTGGTGCGGTCGCGGTCTCCCCTGCAGGCTTCAGCCGCTTCGCCAGAGAATCATCCGCAGTGGCCAGATCTTCTTCTTGACTACGTTTACTAGCTGCGCCAATGATAGTTGTACAAGCTGATCAAGGTGTACTAGTCTACAGGAAAATATCCAACTGCGAACTTATATGATACGTCAAGGTGCGACAGTGACAAGAAACAGGAACACAGCGAAATGCCAACACCGGGAGTAGACATGGGATGATCCAGCCAATATTGATGGTACTCAACGAGATCCATGGTTGCTGACAAGGAAAAAGTACAATTGGCTGGTAGATGTCATTCAGCACGAAGCAATCATGTAAATACCGCACTACTCATAATATACATCTGTGGAGTCTGGCTGAAGTCGGCCGAATCATTGCGAGAGAGTTGCCAGTAAATCCTTGTTCCTTGGGATGAACCTGCACTTGAATGGTTTAGGGAACCTTTGAGTGCGTGAGAATGTGTTTCAGGCTCATGCAAGAACGAATTACCAAAGTGGACCGGAATTTTCGAACTCTACAGGAGGTGTGATCTCTTTCCCTCTCGCATCCAGCGGCATGCCGATCGTGAACGCAGCAAGGATACAAGAAATATTGATGTACAGCGACGCTTCGGCAAAATGTGACCCTAAAATAAGATGCCATCATTCAGTGGCAGCTTGGATGGTATCATGTAAAGGACGCGCACCAGGGCATCTACGGCGCCCGAACCCAAAGATAAATTTGCGTGGGTCTAATTGGGGAGAGGGACCGAGGAAGCGCTCGGGCCTGAATTCCAATGGGTCAGGGTACATTGTCTTATCCCGTGACATGGAAAGAATGTTCGCGATGACGGTTGTACCCTTGGGTATGCGATACCCTTCGTAGACATCTTCCTTCATCGCATGATGCGGAATCCCTGCATCGCTGAGAGTGAGTGGGATCTAGGACAAAAAATGTGGCTGACCTTGCGGAGCCACAGGTGCCCAGCGGAGGAGCTCTTGCATGAGCGCTCCAATATATGGAAGCTTTTCTCTGTCCTCAAACGCGGAAAATCGGTCCTGACCCACGATGGCATCGATCTCTGCCTGCGCACGCTTCTGCACGTCTGGATAAAGCACCATCGCCAGGATAAAAGACGTCAAAGTGGATGATGTCTGCTCATTGTTTTAAAGTCACACGAGGGAGGGTGTAAAAGATATCTTACGGTGTCTAATCCTCCTCCATAAATCCCTTGACTGCACCACTTGGTGATCTCTTCTTGTTGAGCGCTAACCGTAGACCCATCTTCCGGAAGGAGCTGCTCCGAAACAAAGGAATGCGTGTAGTTGCCGCTTTGCTGATCGGCAATAATAATTGGTTAGGATTCCGTATAACAAGAAGAGGCTTACTATCTGTTGTTTGGCCCAGTTAAATGGTATTGTCTCAAGCCTAGTTAAGTTTTGCCCGATGTCGCGGGCTACACGCTTGAAACCTGCCCCTGGAAACCATGAAGGTAGGAAACGCACTCATGGAAGGTCGGCTAGTTGGGGTTTATGACAAACCGGGAAATGAAAGGAGGACCTACATGATGGTATCGCTTCGACCAACCAACGTCCAGGCTCAGCTAGTATAGCGCTCAGTGCCATGCTTTCTTGTAGGATACTGATAAAATGATCGTTATTCTCGGTGACCTTCCAACCATACGCGAGATTGAGGACGACAGCCGCTGCGTTCCTGCACCTTTGATGAAAAACGAGCAAAACTGCCAATCAATCGAAAGAGTTTTACCTTTTGATGTGCTGGGCGAAATGTTCAGGGTTCTTGTGCAGAGCATCAAGCAGCACACGAGATTGTTCGGTTTGCAGCGATTGGTAGCTTTGTATAGTGCGGGGACTCAGACTGGCCTTGAGGGTTGTGCGGTACATCTTGAAATACGGATGAATGAAAGATATGCCGAATGGGGTCAGGGTGCGTTTCGCAAGTTCTTTCTGCATCCATATTTTTGGACGATCAGAATATATGGTGGCGCGTGAATCGAGCAATTCAGTAGCAGATTGTAGGGAGCTGAGCACTATGAACTGCCGGTTAGGCACGCGGAATGAGAATATGGGCCCTACGAGACGTAGGTCAGAAATCACATAGCAAGCGGAAAATGGACGATGTTCACCATAGGTTTCAGCCCACTTGGCATACACCAGCCAAGGCTCTTTCTTCGGCAGTTGATGAACATTTCCGGTAAAGAACTTTGGACATGGTCCAGGGGGTAGTGGCAATCTACTGCGTCGACGGTTGTAAAAGAAAACTGTGACCAGTGCAGCCACAAAGAAGATGAGCGTACCAGAAGACATGCAACAGACGACAGGTGGCGGTAGACTTTGCGCTCTGAGTCCTAAGCAGATGATATAAGCAGCGCGTCTAATTACCTACGGGCGAGTTACCCCACGCTCCTACCCAGCGGACGTTTCGAGGGTGGGGGTCCCATCCTAATAGTACATAGCTATGTAGATGACCAATAGAGCAATTTTCCCACAATTCAAACCCCGAACTTCTCCCTCCACCCTCTCAACGACCGCTGGCGCAAAACATAAGAAAACAAGTCAGCCACAGGTCCGTCGGTAGATTTACGAAGACCACCACCCAATTAAGCAATCGTTAAGAAGCTTCCGCATTGGCAGATGTCAGACGGTGTGCCCTCGGTCAGCGAAATATGCAATAGAACCCTTCAAGTCTTTGGGCAGAGACCATGCCTATGGCAAGTCGAAGTCACGCAAGCAGTCCTCCGACGCGACCAAGATGTTGTTTCAATATCTGCGACCGGCTCCGGAAAAACAATGACATTTTGGATGCCATTACTATTCCACCCCCAAGGAATCCAGATTGTTGTCACTCCCCTCAACATTCTCGGTACCCAGAGTGTGGCTGCATTGGAGAAATTGTCTATCAAAGGACTTGCACTACATGCCGAGACTGCGACGAATGCGAACTTCAAAGTAAGACTCACTGTGCGAGAAGTTTGGCTCGAACCTCAAATTATTTGACATAGGCTATAGAAGATGGTCAGTATCGTGTTGTTGTCACCAATCCGGAGACCCTTATGAAGGCCAATGGCAGATTCAATAAACTGTGGAAAAATCATCGACCTCACCAGATCTCTCTTCGACATCATCAACCTCAGCCCAATATTGTTCTTCATCTTCGTTGGCTATGTCATGCTCCATGGTTGGATTAGCGAACCTCTGATTGGCTGAGAGCAAGGCATCCAGTAGGTGCCACAGGTCCGGTGCAACATGCTCGATGTCCTTGGCCATGTCTTCTAGCCGGAATTCCTCCAGTTGCTCAGCAAGGACATTGGTTGCGCTAAAGTGCCATCCATGTTCTTCTTTTGAAAGCTGCACTACTGATTGCTTGAGCCGCTCAGTACATAAAGTGGATGCCCACAAGACGACTGAGGAATTGAGATTTGGGTGAGCGAGAGAAGTTGCCAAGACTGTTGTAAAGTGAGCAGCGAGATCATTGACGGGAAACTGGGAGAATTTGTGGGGGGATTCCAAAAGAGAAATGACAAAGGCTGAGACAGAGACATTGAGTTCTGTAAGTGTTTGTAGGATACAAACTACTTGCGCTTGTGTAATGGTCATAGTACTTAGCGAATCGATAACAGCGCAACAGCCTCAAACATGAATTCGTCCACAGGTGCGACGGACCTGTGGCTGACTTGTTTTCTTATGTTTTGCGCCAGCGGTCGTTGAGAGGGTGGAGGGAGAAGTTCGGGGTTTGAATTGTGGGAAAATTGCTCTATTGGTCATCTACATAGCTATGTACTATTAGGATGGGACCCCCACCCTCGAAACGTCCGCTGGGTAGGAGCGTGGAGTTACCCGGACTATGCTCCGAAGAGAAGTGACTTGGAAGTTGATCTCATTGTTCCCGTCGAAGGGGAACCAAACCTTGTCCACTTCTGTCTCTATCGCATTTCAATAATAAAATGTAACTTATCTGCCTAGATTACATAATACTAGTAATTGATCGGGCCGCTTTCGCACGATGTATCCGTGCTCCTTGCAGCAAAATGTACAGCCATAACTTTCAATAATTGTCAGTTCCGACGTTCCTTCTCGCGCAACATGGTCTCCCAGAGCCGTAGGATAGCCTGTCATGCTGAAGGGTGGTTACATCCAGGCAGTGCGGCTTCGCAATATGCCAATATCTGAATTCTTGCGATGCCTTGCTTCGGTAGCCTTCTCGCTTCAGCTGCTTCGATCAATATCGCACCATACAGGCTACAACGTGCTTTTGTCGTACAAATCTGACGCTCACTTTAAACGATTCAGAGGTTATGCGTGGCACGATATGTTGCGAGTCACTTAGTATGTCCTATCAACATCAGCGCTGCACAGTGTGGATGCCACATGCATGCTGTGATTCTCTCATTTATAATCCATCAGAACCTCACAGGCTCTGCAGTATTTTCTTGACTTCCAACACACATTTTGTTCTCAAGTTTCTGTTGAAATCCATCCCTCAGTCACATGTTGAGATCCGTCCCTGGTCATTTCAATGACTACCCTCCACCCTTGGGAGAAGACTTCAGTCACCCAGAACAACCCCAGGATACAGGACAGGAAAACATTACGATTATTGAAATGCTACAAGTTGTTGTCGACAGTATGTGTCACACCTATCTTCATTTACCACGTACCAATGATCTTCCAAAGCACTCCTGGCGGCACTCTCTTTCGTCATCACTCTACTGTTTTGTTTCGCGACAGACTCCGTGCCAGGCCTGCTCGAGGGTACCCTCCAAGCCTTAGGCGAGGAGTCGGGCCAATCAGAACAACTCCAGGATCTGGGAGAGACAAACCTCCTGAACATTGAAATGTTACAAGTCGCCATCAACAGTATGTGCCATCTACCTTCACCTAGCACGTGGTGCACATGATGTCCTATGACAGACTCCGTGTCTGAACCACCTGATGATACCCCCCTAGTCATGGGTGAGGAACCAAGCCACCTAGAACACCCACAGGACTCAGGAGAGACACACCTCAGTGGAGTGCAACAAGTCGTCATTACTTGTATGTATTATTTATCTCTGCTTGGCTCGTATCGACGATTTCCCTCAAGCCATTCGTGCAACCGATCTCGCTCTTGGTCTCCGACGAATTCCCGCTGGTTTTCATGTGGTGGTTAAGGCTGACGGTGCCGAATATCAGACAAGCATTAAATCTGCACATGTGGACCAAGCTGTCGTCGAATGGCACGAGCGCATTCTTCTGTAAGTCCTTAGCCCCGTTTGTCTTGCAGGTATTGAGAAAGACTCGAGGCCACGCGAGCCATCTTCTAAAGTTTGGGTCAGCGTGTATGCCACATTTGAAATGGGTCCTATGCTCTGTCACGGAGAACTCCTCCGCATATTCGAGATCTCCGTCGGAGAATTACTAGATTGCAGCGAAAGGTCACGTCGTCAGTATCTTCCATCCCATATAACGCCTGACGGATGCTAACGAGTATCACAGCCATGATATTTCCTCCGAAGCAGGAGGAAGTCGTATCTGCTTGTACTTCACTGTTCGTGACGGTGGAGCAGCGGCTTTCTGATCAAAACGACGGCGGAGTTCTCTGTCCCCTTACTACCGTAAGTGGTCAATGCAGTCTGGGATTCTGATGCTGATCATCGTAACCTGTAGCTCACGTCTCGTGATATGGATGCGTTAGCACAAATGACAGATGCTGGACATCGTCTTCTCGCACGATACCGCAGGAAGCATAACAATAGTGATCTCGACCAATCCATAAATCACTTCGAACGCGCCTCGGATCTCTGCCCCGTGGATCATCCCTATCGTTCTGCAGCACTGGTCAATCTAGCCACCGCAAAGTTCATTAGTTGTCAAGCCAACAGAATATACCTCGACCTCGACATACCTATCTCTCTTTTTCAAGAAGCACTTGATTTGTGTTTCACTGGTCATCCAGACCGACCCACCACCCAACTCCATCTTGCGATTTCTCTGCTCTCTCGCTTCGCGAGACAGGGATTTCAAACAGATGTCGACACGGCTAAAGAGTTACTGAGCGAAGTGCTTGATCTCTGTCACTCCAACAGCCACATTTACAGAGCATGTTTGATTGCAATGGAAACATCCGCTCTGCATTGTGCTGGAAGCTTGGATGCAAACGATCTTCAGCAGAAGCGGCCTGCCGCATCCATGCTTCCGTTATCGCCAACTCAACTTCTTCATCGAGCAGAGCAGTGTTTGCAGGGAGATGAACCCCGTGTTTTAGATGAAGTGATATCTCTTCATTATGATGCACTGGGATACTACAATACCAGACATACTTACCGAGGGAAATTGCTAGGTAATTTGGCTGTAATGCTGGCGACTCGCTTCGAGCGTCAAGGCAATGGCAAAGACTTAGATCAGGCTATCACACTTCAGACGGAAGTGCTGACCTTACGCCCGGTCGGTCACACAGATCGGTCCACATCATTGTATAACCTTGCGGCTCTTCTCTCCTTCAGCTTTGAGCACCGAGGCAGCGACAAAGACTTGGATCAGGCTATCGCACTTCACAAGGAAGCCCTGGACTTGCGCCCCGTCGATCACGCTGATCGGTCCATGTCATTAAATAACCTCGCAGCTCAACTCTCCTCCCGCTTCGAACGCCGAGGCAACGAGGAAGACTTGGATCAGGCTATTGCACTTCACAAGGAAGCCCTGGCCTTGTGCCCCGTCGGTCACACAGATCGGTTCATGTCATTAAATGACCTCGCGAATCAGCTCTCCTCCCGCTTTGACCACCGAGGCAACGAGGAAGACTTGGATCAGGCTATCGCACTTCACAAGGAAGCCCTGGCATTGTGCTCAGTCGGTCACACAGATCGATCTATATCATTAAATAACCTTGCGAATCAACTCTCCTCCCGCTTCAAGTACCGAGGCAACGACGAAGACTTGGATCAGGCTATCGCATTTCACAGGGAAGCGTTGGCCTTGCGCCCCGTCGGTCACACAGATCGGTCCATATCATTAAATAACCTCGCAGCTCAACTGTCCTCCCGCTTTGATCACCGAGGCAACGATGAAGACTTGGATCAGGCTATCGCATTTCACAGGGAAGCCCTGGCCTTGCGCCCTGTCGGTCACACAGATCGGTCCATATCATTGCATAACCTCGCAGCTCAACTCTCCTTTCGCTTTAACCACCAAGGCAATGACGAAGACTTGGATCAGGCTATCGTTCTTCAGAGAGAAGCCCTGGCCTTGTGCCCGATCGGTCACACAGATCGGTCCAAATCATTAAATAACCTCGCAGCTCAACTCTCCTCCCGCTTTGCCCACATAGGCAACGAGGAAGACTTGGATCAGGCTATCGTTCTTCAGAGAGAAGCCCTGGCCTTGTGCCCCGTCGGTCACACAGATTGGTCCATGTCATTAACTAACCTCGCCGATCAACTCTCCTTCCGCTTCGAACGCCGAGGCAACGGCGAAGACTTGGATCAGGCTATCGCACTTCTCAAGGAAGTCCTGGCCTTGCGCCCCGTCGGTCCCACAGGTCGGTCCAAATCACTAAATAACCTCGCGAATCAACTCTCCTCCTGCTTTGACCGCCGAGGCAATGAGGAAGACTTAGATCAGGCTATCGCACTTCTCAGGGAAGCACTGGCCTTGTGCCCGGTCGGTCACTCAAATTGGTCCAAATCATTGAATGACCTTGCGAATCAACTCTCCTCTCGCTTTGCCCACAGAGGCAAAGACGAAGACTTAGATCAGGCTATCGCACTTCACGGGGAAGCGCTGGCCTTGTGCCCGGTCGGTCACACAGATCGGTCTACATCATTAAATAATCTCGCGAATCAACTCTCCTCCCGCTTTAACCACCGAGGCAACGATGAAGACTTGGATCAGGCTATTGCACTTCACAGGGAAGCCCTGGCCTTGCGCCCGGTCGGTCACGCAGATCGTTCCACATCATTAAATAACCTCGCAGCTCAACTCTCCTCCTGCTTTAACCACCGAGGCAACGAGGAAGACTTGGATCAGGCTATCGCACTTCACAGGGAAGCCCTGGCCTTGCGCCCTGTCGGTCACATATATCGGTCCATATCATTGCATAACCTCGGGAATCAACTCTCCTCCCGCTTCAAGCACCAACACAATAGAGAAGACTTTGAGGAGTCACGAGAGAACCTACGCTGTGCATTGTCCCTGATGATGCCACATGATTCTCGTCAATTACGAGTCCATAAGTCGCTAGCTAAGGTCTATCTGTCGTTCCATCGTTCAGGCCTTGACGACATCGGCGCGGGTGAAGATACTGATAGTCTGAATGCCGCCATGCATCATCTCAAGGCAGCAGTAAATCTTGTCTCTGGAGGATTGCTATCCCGCCTGCGAACAAGTCTGCTCTGGGTTGATGTTGCCTCTCAACATTCACATGCCACTGAACTAGAGGCATATGCAACGTCCATGCAACTTCTGGACGCTTACATGTCTACAACAGCTTCAATATCGTCTCGTCACAATATCATGAAGGACTTCCCAAGTACACTTGCCGTTGATGCTGCATCCTGTGCTCTTCGTAGTGGTGATGTGTGTCGCGCTGTCGAGTTGCTGGAACAAGGCAGGACTATCATCTGGACCCAGATGACACGACTCCGCACCCCTCTTGACAGCCTCCAGACTCATGGCGATCATGCAGTAGCCCTGATGAAGAGATTCAGAGACCTCAGCTCCCTTCTCGATAAACCTCCTGCGAACTATTCAGAAGGAAACCCGAGAGTCGACATAGAAGTGGAGGAAACCCGGTACAGACGTCTAGTGGAGGAGTGGAATAAAGCTGTAGAAGAGATCCGGAAGATCGAGAGCTTCTCACGCTTCCTCCTTCCCCCCTTATTCTCTGATCTTCAAGATGCAGCTTGTGATGGGCCTATCATCGTGCTCATCCCGAGCAAGTCGTCGTGCCACGCCATTATCATCCCGCACAAGCAACCTCCAACTAGCATACAACTCCTTACCGATTTTCTGAAACTCTTCAAATTGGTACTGGCACTCCGAGAGGCAGTTGAAAAAGAGGCCGGTCCTAAAGGGCACCAAACAGCGCTGATAAAAGCTTTGAGAGAGTTGTGGGACAACGTGGTCGGCCCGGTAGTCGAAAGTCTGGGCGGAATTGCACGACGAGGTTCCCGAATATGGTGGTGCCCGACGTCTCTCGCCAATTTCTTGCCATTACATGCTGCTGGCGAGTACAGGCCCAAGGGAAAGTCCCTTTCGCAGCAGTATATTTCTTCGTACACGCCATCGCTCACCGCGCTGATCAAGGCTCGCGGAAGTCATGGCAGGTCCTTGTCAGTGCCCTTCGTTGCCATTGGTCAGGATTGCCCAGCCGGTGCCTCATTCACTTTGGATGCTGTGGAGCCTGAGCTGGAGTTGGTGCGGAGGCTTTTGCCTCCTCCCCCTACTGTTTCCTTCTCCAAGGTCACCAGCATTGATGCTACGAAATCGAGAGTACTGCGTGCATTGCGGGACAATACTTGGCTCCATCTTGCGTGTCACGGGACACAGAGATTCGACGAACCCTTCAAGTCAGCCTTTCTTATGCACGACCAGCCGCTTTCGCTCCTCGACATCACACAGACGGATCTGTCTCGGCATGAATTTGCATTTCTCTCTGCCTGTCAAACCGCAGTCGGTGCCTTTAGCACGCCCGACGAAGTGATACACCTAGCGGCTGGCTTGCAATTTGCTGGGGTTAACAGCGTCGTTGGAACATTGTGGAAGGTCACTGATAGTACCGTGCAGCACTTAGTCGAGGCATTCTACAAAAACTTATGTGGGAATGGCCCAATGAATTCCAAACGAGCTGCCTGGGCGCTGCACCAAGCGGTCCAGTCGTTGGCTCATGACGAGAACATTATAATGCCCTTGGACCAGCGCATAGTGTTCGTGCATATCGGCATATGATCAATTCCGTGCGTCCTCCCATCTTGTGATTAAAGCATTCTGACGACTTCTCAAGTAGCGTCCAGTGAGTCATAGCCACGCACAACCTGTTACTTGCCATGCTCTGTGCCCGATGTACATGGCGTGTGGGCCACTTTCCATGGACAGATCCTACGTGCATATTTGCATCAGGGTTTTGAAAAACCTCTGAGGGGAAATTTCTCTACATCATATAATTTTCGAGTATTATCTCATAAGCTTAGAGATTAGGAATTTTTATAGTTTAGAATCTATGCCTTCGACGCTCGAAGTTTATTGGGATGTTGAAGATATGTTTGAGGTAACTAGGTACACGTAGCGCAATGCAAAAACTGATTGATGTAGTGAAGGTTTTTTTGGGCAAAGGCCCGAAGGGCTTTTCGGCCCGGTGCATGCGCGCGAACCTAAGGGTTTCAAGGTGAGCTGTGATCCCATAAGAGTAGGAGTGCTATGACGCAAATAGCGAAGCTTGACACTCTAGGATGAGTAGGAGAAGCACTCACTATTAGCGTTTACCGTACCGGTGGCATTGTGTGACGGGTAAACGGTTCGAGCGCGGGAGATGATTGAATGTAAGGTGCGATGATTACCGCATGTTCACGTAGGTACAACGTGAAAGCATCACTTGACCACCTGCCCATAGATTTGACGACATCGAATGGAACTCCTCTCAACAAATACTCGAGCGTTCCGCCTATTCTGAGACCGTGGCCTTTGAGGTCTGCGAGATTCGCAGTTCGTGCAATAGAACTGAGTCTCTTTGCTAGTTGCGGTTTCGAGAGCGGTCTGATGCCCTTGGGGTGTTTCCATGCAAAGAGGTGCTCCTTGCCATTGCCTTGATTCATGCGAAGATGGTTTTCAAGCGCTGTTTTCGGGTCTGAAGGACCATCTTGAGCTGACCAGTAAGCGTCTTCCCCTTCTATAGGTGATGTCTTGGTGCTTGGGATCCGAAATTTCGTGACGGGCAGATTATTGCGATCGACGGTTTCTACAACATTTTCACGTGTTATGTGCTTGGATGGATTGAAAGCTTTGATGGCTGGAACAGTGAACTCTCCGAGTCTAGCAATAGAGTAGAATGTAGTAGTTATGCATGCGAAAACAGCCGCGTCTAGCGGGTTATTGATGTCGATGTTTGCACGCATTATACACAAGATTTCGATAGTAAAAGGGAGTCGTTCGGAATGTTTGGATGTAGCTGGGGCTAAGGCAGTAGCTCCGTCGAGTATGGCTTTCAGTTCTCTGGCGTCGACTAACCATGGACTGTCCATGCAAAAGATGCCAGGCTTTAAGACCAGCAGCATAGTTAGCTAAGGCTGTACCCGAGTATGAACCGGCACAACTCGATAAGAAGGCGAGTAGGAGAGTGGGAGATATTGGACAGCGTTGATCTTCTGATATGTTTAGCGAATCACAATAGATGTGAAAAACTAGGAGCCCAGCTCCGTACGTTTCCTTGGTGGACATTGCCCAGGATGACCCTATTACTTCTAGTATGTGATCCAACTGTTCGTCAGATATACTGATATCTTGGGTTCTGGATGTCGTTGACGAAGGTAGGCGTGTGCTCTCTCCTGCTGGCAACCACTTCCACAATCTGTCCCTTGCTAAGCAATGTGGTCTTAATGGAGATGGCATGGGAACTAATCCTGTCTTGTAGCGCAAAGGGGAAGGGTTGTTTGGTACTAAAGTGCGAGAAGAAGGGAGTGGTGCACTGTAAGAGTGTAGGTGATGCCGGCTTTAAGGTTATTGTGATAGAGCATTGAAGATGATTTGGTCCTCTTTGGCGTGGGAAGCTCTGGCTCTTTCGAACACTTGCTGCTGCACAAGTGTTCTGTTGATGAATTTTGCGGCAGGAGTGGAGTACTGCCCATTTCGGAATAGTCGGAATTCTGTTGGAGATGGAGGGGCCGTAGCATTGATGACAAGGTGTTTGATTTCATTGGGAATGCAGGTGGGAGGTAATAGAAGGTGCTCTGGTCCATATTTCCCTCTGGATGGATCGTCTGCAGGGTTGGCTGCACTAATGACATATTCTGTACGGATGATGCAATGTCTGGGTAGATTGTGAAGGAATTCATGGATGCATTTGAAAACTTCATTGACGGCTTTGTTTCGGTTACTTCCTTTCCACCATCCTTCAACAACACTGGTGTTGTCACCATAGACAGTGATGTGGTTGCTAACGTTAGGGAGAGCGGTGAGTGTGTAGACCAAGAGCTCAAAACCAACGGCTTCTGCCCATGCGATGTCTTGTTTTCCATTTCCCGCGGTCTGCCAGCCAGGGACTAGTCTCCAGGCTCTCCACCTGTTACCTATGACTATGCCTATGCCTATGCCTGAGCTAGAGCTAGCATCTGAGAAGGCTAAAGGGATTGAAAAGGTTGCTGGTGGGTATATTGGACAAGAGACACCACCAGATTGCAGGAGATTTGACCACCACGTGAGGTCCGGTTCAAGTTCTTTGTCGGGGCGATGAGGAAGGTGTGGCTTCTTCCAAAGGACAGCAATTGATCTTTCCAGGCTGGTAAGGTACGCTCTTCCTCTTTTGGCTGCTGCGCACGCATGCATTAGTTTACCGTAGAGTTTGAGGGCTTCTTGCAACACGTGTGTAGGCTTCCTTCTCCATGTGTGAATGGCCATGAGATATTTCTCGACTTTCGATTGGCTAAGTGAGACCGTGCAGGTGATAGATGTCCCATAGAAAACCAATGTAAATGGTTGAGGAAGCGAAAGGTTGATCTTTGGTAATTTGCCAAAAAATTCCTAGATCTGAGGACGAGTCATCTATATCTTGGAGGTTGTAACAGAAGAGTGCATCATGTTCGGATCTAGGTGAAGAGCTGGAGAAATCTTTAATGGGTTTGGAACAGTCCTCATTAAATTCTTCTATTGATCCATCATCGAAAATACGACCACCATACCAAAGGCGACTGCCTGTTTGGTGCATGCCTCGCTTAAGAAGGTCATGATGCCATTCTGCTCGGTTGCGATTGTATTCGTCTGAGAACTCCTTACGGATCCTAAAGAATATATGATCATCGACCCATTTATCTAAGGGGCCTAAGCCTTGGTTGCGGAAGATTTCTGCGCCTGCATCTGCAATGTGCCCATAAGCGCCTGCAGAAGGGGTGGCTCCAAATGCTGTACAGGTGTCCACGCAGAACTCGGTGTTTGAGGTGCGTACTACTGCGGCGGGCCATTGGGAAGGGTGTAGAGGGACAGTGCAATATGCCTCCGCTACGTCTCGAGTGGCTGCTTCTGATCCTAGAGGAAGTCTCAAAATTAATAAGTAAATAACGGAAAACTTTCCCCAAGTCGTAGGGAAGTCGCTAGCATTAATATGTGAATTAACAGATGGGTTGTGGAATAGGGTGTCGGGAGAGCGAGGAAATGAAAAATTCTGAATTAATCAAAACTTTCCTGGTTTACCAGGCTTTGGAATGATTGATAGTGGGGAAGTTTGAAAAGGTCCTATAAGATTTGTAAGTAAAAGAGCGGGAAAAGGTCCTATGTAACGAGATTTTTGGATTTCTTGTTTTATACTTGCGTCGAACTGGTCCTTGTAAGTAATAACAGATTGACTATTAGCGAGGGATTGGGTGTTATGTATCGTAGGGAAATTTAGAATGAAACCGGAACAGATACCTTCAGGAACTTTAGCGAAGCGTGCTAAGAGGTTAGCATTCTTCAGCTCTCTGTACCAAGCATCGGCTTTGTACGGAGTGATGGGATTAAGCTTCCTGTGCTCTAGGGCACTTTGAAGCTCCGTGAGTGATGGCACCACATCCGGAGCATATGTGACAATCGTCGTGCGTGGTGCTGTTGCATCCTCCTTCTCATTGCCAGGCAGTGCACAGTTGTTTACCAGCTCTGGTCCAGAGTGCTTTGTGAATGCGTTCGGCGATGGTGTCATGTTTTCCATCCCAAGTGAGGGTTGCAGAGCAATCAATGACACGGTGAGAGTTTCAGCCAAGGCAAACAGCGCAAACTGGGAGCGGGACGCTGGGGTCTCGAAAGGTTTTAGGCCTTTTGTTGAACCTGTTGTCTGGAGAGGATGGCGGGGAGCGCTTCTGTGAACTAAATGAGCGTGCATGATGCTGATTGCTCTTGGATGTCGACACTGCCGGCGCGGCTCGTGGTTGTGCATTGGATGTAACCTGGCACATGATGGCCATAATGCAAGAGCGAACAAGTGTTTCGAAGAAATGCGCCATGATTGGTGGAGCGTTCGAAAACCCAAAAGGGTGTGATATGGTTGACCGTGATTGGTCATTTTGTAATGCAAAGAGTGGGGGTGGAACATTATGTCCACAAGGTGAGGATGTTTGGACGTTATGCCAAAGGGTTTGTGCAGGTTGTGGTGATCGCAGGATAAATGATAGGAATAAGGAATTCTTTAGTTTTGTGTTCAATTTTTAATGGTGAAGGGGAGACGCACCTGAATAGCTAATTGTTGCATTCAAAATTGGTTGAAGATTGTTTCTTGGGCCTCGTCTAACAGATCTTGATTGATCTTAGCTAGGCTCCAGCTGTTCGAATTGCCTACTGAAAGATGCCAGTGTCGCCGCTGTTGGGCTTGGTATAGCAATAGCGCTCGCTGTTTATGAGTATTGAAATCGTGTCTCCAGCGATGATTTTGTAATGCGGACAAAAATGAGACGTGCATGGCTACCCTATCATCTGGCCAGTCATTTTCTTTCATTAGTACAATCATTCGAGGCGCTGCTTCATTAAATTGCTCCCAAGTAAGGTTCTCATCCTTTACTATCTGCGCTTTGGGATCTCGAGCGGCACCGGCCGGAATCCACTTGTGCATTCCATCAGCAGTAGGTAGCATTATTAGGGCGTCTTCATCAGCTGTAAAGGTGTTCCAAGAAGCTTCTTCTAAGCCGCTGTTTGTGAAGTAGAAGAGTTCGCAGTAGTCGCCTGATTTCATTTTCCGGACGGCATATTGACATGGAAGGATGATCGGGTTGGACAGAACTTCAGTGTTGCGGATTGGTGTGTATGTTACGACTTGGATGGTATCTGTTGGCGACACTCAAACAGAGCGTGTGTCGTCAACGGTCGAGGATGTCCTTGGGCTAGCCCAAGGTTAGGGGTCTTACTTGGCGAGGCTTCGGCAAGTAAGATTTGATGCCTATGTCCAAATCAGGTAGCTTATGTCAAGCGGGTGCGAGACGATAAGCTATATCGGCCTAGGCTTACGACACCCGAAGGTTAATCGTAAGATCGTCGTTAATTAGAAGGACAGAAGTCTGACTAGTTAACAGGGGCTTTGCTCGTCGACGAAGTCGATGAGTAAAGATCGAGACTATAGGCTTATCCGCGAGGAGCAGATAAGAAGATAGAATATAGACTGCTGGCGAGGCAGAAAGGATCACTCTGGTGAGAGTAGGAGGTCAAGAACCAAGTAGATTCAAGTTAGGGAATATAGTACATGGTAGCGAGTTTATATAGAGGACAGGAGACGTATTAGTGGGTGATAACTCGTACTACCAAGAGAGGCAATCGGTAAAGGGCATAACCATAAAAGGAAGGCACGTTCGCGTTGAGACACGGGCGAGGCAGAACGTGCTGGATAAGAAAGTGGGTCAAAGGTCGAAATAAGAAGTGAAACGCGCAGGGGCACGATCGTGCAGCTGTGGAGCTATCTATAAGTTGCATGTGCGACTGCGCACTGAGTCAGAGATCAAGAAAGGGAAAAGGGCAAAGGGGATGCGTCGTGCATCATATCATAGGTTACCGTCCAGACGGTAAGGGCAAGGGGACTGTCCACAGGATCAGTCAGGTGGTGGAACGGAGCATGGGTATGCTTCGTCAGTGAAAGGATCCGGCCAGATGTACTGGCTCTGCTGAAGTGACAGGTAGAGGGCAAAAGGGAATGCGAGGATGACAAGGATGACCAGGGTAAGGTCGGGGTAAGGGTATGATGCAAGGGCTGATATGAGGAGGATCAGGAGAAAAATGGTAGGGGCCCAAGTGTCTAGATGTTCTTGTAACAGCGTACTTGGATTTGTTCTTTTTCCGTTCTTCTAAAACAGCAGCTTCTTGCTCGGTAAGGAGTGTTTGTTGCCGCTGTGCTTCCTCTTCTGCAATACGTCTGCGCTCTTCTTCGGCTTCTTCAGCTTCCTCACAAATCCTGGCTGACCACCGACAGTCTGTCTGCATTGTTTTGGATATGCCACAGGTTGTCCAATATTTCGGCGGCCTGCTGGTCGTTCGTCGTTTCGTTAATGAGCTGAGCACGAGCTAGAGTGTATTCTTCCGACTCGAAGTCTGGTGGAACGGCTAAATTGGGGTCTTCTGCGATGATAGGCATTACAAATAGATAATAACGCAAGGAACGACGAAAATTTAGCGTAGATAATACGAGAGACTTAATACGAGTGACTGATACTTGTCTGCTGTTGCGAACCAGGACAAGAGGTGTTGCGCCACTTCGCTTACTCACGCGTAGACTCAATTCTGTGTCAGCCTCGTGACTCGGCTGACGCAGAAAACCAGGATGTTTCACCCGCTTGTATATAATTATCATGAAATAGTTGATATTAGACACAAGTACTTGGTAGGGTCGGCTGTGAGACCTGAAGTGCGATAAGTTGGGCTAAGATCTGGGTCAAGAGAGCGTCGGAGGACATGATCGTATGCAACAGAAAGAGTCAGTGGCGAGGCGGTGATGATATGGGTCGAGAGAATTTGTTCCTCTATAGTTCACACGGTCACAATATGGAGATGAATTCACTGCAATGCTAACTTGAAGGTGCGGTCTACGCAGCCCATCTGTGTAGACCGCACCTTCAAGTTACGCACGCAGCTTCAGCATAAGAACCATCTATCCAATGTCCGAAAAAAACGAGGAACTTATGTCGCGCTCCATTCGAACACTTGCGGCAGAATTCGATGCAACGCAATGAGCATTTCAGATACAGATTCTCTTCATCCCCATCTCAGTGATCGGCCATCAAGGACCACCATTCTGTCACAGGGCTAGCGATGTTCCCATCAGGTGGGTTGAACCATAGTTGAGGGAGTTGAGTAGGGGCCTCTGACATGAAAGGACGAAGGAGTGCAGCTAGGAAACGGCGACCAATGCTGGTGGGGTTTCTTCCATCTTGTTTTAAGTACATTGCAAGCTGACAAGGGTTTGAACACGTTGCGTCTAGCCTCGATGCCAGACGTACATTGTACCGGGATTAACGGACCGCTACTCAATTTAATGGCTCTAGTTTACGCATCGCCATCGTGCATCATGATGCGCGATGGAACAAGACTGTCATTGATTCACTTTTGGCAGGCATAATCGAACAAGCTGAAAGCATGCGGGGTTAAGGACTCAAACATCATTGTCCAGTCTGTCCCTGGTAGTTTTGAACTTCCTTTCGCATGCTCGAAGTACGTATGATACAGTTTTTCCGTCTTACACATCAGCTCAGTTATTCTATAGAGTGATCGCAGGATCTCATGTTCAAACGGCTACATCTTCTGGCGATCTGCCTTGGGTTGAGCTTCGGTGGTTCTTCAACATCACTTCCATCCAACAAGGAACCGTCTGCTCCCACTTCGACACTTACCAACATACCAAACGCTCCATTTGATGCAGTAGTAGCCATTGGTGTCTTGATCAAGGGCTCTACGATGCACTTTGAGTATATCTGCGACAGCGTTTCTCACGCCCTCATGAAAATCCAAATTGACACAGGTGTCCCTGTGATCTTTGGTGTCCTAACAGCACTCACAGAGGACCAAGCATTGGAACGAGCTGGTCTCGGCAGAAAGGCAGAGAAGGGTCACAATCATGACGAGGACTGGGGACTTGCAAGCCGTGTAGATGGGAGTACAGAGCAGACGATGGGCTGAAGGGAAATTCCTTTGATATTGATGGGTCGTGGGCCCAGTACTCAGGCGGAGAGCATTTTCGCGTTGCCCACTCTTACGGATCCTTGTGACCCAACACAGATCCGAATGATCAAATTCACTTCGACATCTATTCCTCGTGGTACCTCAGGTGGAATACAAGTAGGTATAGCACGGTCGGAAGATCGACACCGTAGCTAGCCGTGAACATACCCCCGTTTAACCGTGCTGACGGGCACGGGTAGCACATCCGAGTCTCTACACCGTATCTGTACCCGCCGATACCCGCGCTATACCCTAAAATACAAGTGCGTATACCCTTCGCCCACTGGATCTAGATCATCTAGATGCTGACTTCAACTTGGACAGAATTCACCACCAATGAGGCTCCGACACTTTTGAGTCTCCGTCATTTTTACCTTCTCCCATAAATCTCTCAGAGATAAGAGAGAAAATGGGTTGCTTTCGAGTCCTCATAAGTACATAATGTTGAGAAGCCAAAAATACAGAAATCGTTGTTTGGGTCGTGGCATAAGTAGTTGTGCAATGAGTAGGAAGAGAAATCGTTCTTCGAGTCGTGGCATAGGTAGTAGGTGTGTAATAAGTAGTCAATAAGTGATCGCAGCACAGTACATAATGTTGTATATTCATATCATACATCGGAGGGTTCAGCAGTCTATCTCTTGCAAGATTTCAATCAAACGCAGATCTGGACCTGGCTAGAGCACTCCAAAATGTGGTTTCAACTGGCGGAAAAAGGCGTCAGTTTCCCCGCTGTGTCAAATTCAAGATAGCTCACCAATCCTCATCGTCTGACCTCTCATCAAAGTCCGGCATAACGTCTCCAGCTTCGTTCCACGCTTGACGAAGTTGGAACACTACCTCCATTACAGTTCCTCTCTTGTCGTCAATTTGGCTGCTCGAGCCCGCGAACGAAGCCGAGCGACGAATGAGACGTGATTGCTGGGCAGCAGCGGTCTGTCTGACTTGATGGTGAACCAAGGTAGGGGGCCTTGACCTGTCCTCCGTGCGGTTCAGAAGTTTCTGCCAAGCAGCCTCTTCCTCGTCCTCCTCTTCCATTTCTTGTAAGATCGCTCCCGTTATCGACGACTCTTTTCGAATCCTCGCATCAAGCTGGGAAGTCTGTTTGTCGTGGAAAAGAGCAACGATCGAATTACGAATATTCTTGTTAAGCCCTGCTTCGGACGGTAACGAGCGCTTGAGGGTCCGCTGAGGAAGAGGGGATCGTTGTCCATCAACTGATTCGTTCCGTGACTCGAAGGGCCGCCGAGGACCGTGAGCAGAAGTGTCTCCACCTTCATGTCTTCCTTGTCGATCGAGAAGAGTACTCGTGACTTCTTCAATTGTGGGCAAGGCCTTCGTTGCCTTGGGATAATGCAGAGGATGCTGTGACACGGAGACATGCCTCGAGGTCGAAGGACTGCGAAGCTGGTGCGCGGATTTGTGCCTTGATAGCCCACGCTCTGGAGCAGCCGAGTTGACATGTGCTCTCTGCATGACGTTGCGATAATGGCAGTGACCTTGACCGCCTAGAGCGCGCAAGGAATCCGCGCGAGCACATCCAGGAGAACAGAAGTAGAAATCGTGATCTTCAATAGTCGGTTTGCCGCAAAAACATTCTTTGACGCCGATGTGAACGGATGCAAAAGCGTTGGTGAAGATGAGGGGGTTCATTCTAAATGATCAGTGAATTACGACCGTCTCCGCGTACAAGGATTATATAGCCATCTTTTACTGTGGCAGAATACTCATAATGTGAGTGGATTGTGGAGCGATGCAGTTGTGGACATTCGGGAGTGTCCAATAGCTGACATTGTGTTAAGTAAGTGCAAAGCGAAGCTGCAATGAATACAATACCCACCCAATATTGGGGATATGTTCAATGCACAAATTTTTGGCCGCCATTGACTGGGAGTTGCCTGTGGACGAATAACGTTGTGAATAATCATTCTGGATACCCACTGGTCGACGCCGACATTGTGTAAAGCTAGTCCAAAACTGAACTGTGATGAACGCGACGCCCAACATACGTCCTCATACCAGGGCGTCTGGACACTTTGAGAGAGGTGTTCAAGATTAGATCGGTATGTATAGCAAGTAGATCCCCTAGGCCATTGAATATCGATTGGAAAAAACCTAGAAGTTGTTATTAGGGGACAAAGCTGTTGAACGTGGGCAAAAACAGTATTGAGCACGGTAATTGCGTAGTACATCAGCCCTTCCAATCGACATGAATGCGTATGGACGAACCAACCTGCACCAACAACACGATGGATTGGAGGAGCTGAGTTAGTACTGCACTTGAGCTTAACTCAAATACTTCAAGGTCATGAGCGTGCGAAACACCTTCCCTCTGCGAACCCGATAGTGAATTTTGTTATACTTGCCTTGAACGGAACGTTAGGACCTGACAGGATTCGCCTTCGCTTCAGAAAGTATCAGCAGCCTCCATGCGCAAGCAGCTTGATCCTCGTATACCCGTACTAATTAACAATAATGTCAAAAAAAATCACCGGTCCTTCATAGTTTTGGTCGGTGATAAGGGAAGGGACCAGGTATGCATATGCAGCTACGTTTGTCGACCGTTCTTGACTCTGTCTGTTCTAGATCGTGAATCTCCACTTTTTGCTTTCGCAAGCACGCGTGTCGGCACGCCCTTCGGTATTATGGTGTTATAAAAAGGATCTTGGTTTCACCGCGTGAGTGACATGATATTACTTTCTGAAAAGGCCTAAGATAATCTGTAGAGCACGAAAAAAGCGAGAGGCAAAAATCAAGCGGGACGTAAAGAGAGGTGTGCGAGAGGCAAACGAGCAAAATCCTTTCGAAATTTTTGTGACTGTCACCGATATTCGTTATACGTACGTGAACATCACTAATTTCCAGAAGCAAGCTTACAATCCTCTAGCTATTATAAAGAATCGCACCGTATATTGGGAAACACCTATGGAATGTGCATCCTGCAAGACTTTGAGGCAATCACGCCCAATCTTCTGGCACGTACTATCGAGACGGTAGAGGGCGGCGGACTAGTGGTGCTTCTCCTGAAAACAATGTCATCTTTGAGGCAATTATACACTCTTACCATGGTGCGGTATCACAATCTTATTATGCAGAGGGTCGCGCGCTAATTCGTCCCGCAGGATGTACATGCCAGATACAGAACTTCATCTCATGATTCGGTAGTTGCCCGATTTAACGAACGGTTCATTCTCTCACTGGGATCTTGCTCTGACTGCTTGGTTTTGGATGATGAACTGAATGTCTTGCCCATATCTAAAGCCAAGGATATCACCCCGATTGAAGAGGAGCGCGGGAAGGGTAAGGCGGACTCCGAGCTCAAGGACCTCAAGGATAGTCTGGCAGACACAAAACCTGTGGGCGAGCTCGTAAAACTCGCCAAAACAATAGATCAGGCTAAAGCTGTTCTAACCTTTGTCGACGCGATCGCCGAGAAGACACTTTCATCCACCGTCACGCTCACCGCTGCTCGAGGTCGCGGTAAATCTGCGGCGCTAGGCTTGGCAATCGCTGCCGCTCTCGCTCATGGATACTCAAATATCTTCATTACGAGTCCTAGTCCAGAAAACTTGAATACGCTTTTTGAATTTATCTTCAAGGGTATGGATGCTCTCGGTTACGAGGAGCACTTGGACTACGATATTGCACAGAGCACGAATCCAGAGTTTAATAAGGCCATCGTCCGCGTAAACGTGTTCCGTCAGCATCGTCAGACCATTCAGGTGGGTACTCCCGTCTCAGCACTTGCGCGCACATCCTGACAAAGACATTCTCAGTATATCCAACCCGAGGATGCACACGTTCTTGGTCAGGCCGAGCTAGTTGTCATCGATGAGGCAGCCGCTATCCCCCTCCCCCTTGTCCGCAATCTCCTGGGCCCGTACCTTGTCTTTATGGCATCGACTATCAACGGATACGAGGGCACAGGTCGCTCTCTTTCTCTCAAACTTATTCAACAACTCCGCGAGAGTACTCGACCATCACTCACAAAAGACGCTACTGCACCTGTTGAAGATGGTGCTACTGCCTCAACCTCCAAAAAGCCCACGCGCTCCGCTGCCCCTAAAGTTCGCAACCTTCGTGAAATCAAGCTTGAAACACCTATCCGATATTCTGCTGGCGATCGCGTCGAAAAATGGCTGAATGGCCTTCTTTGCTTGGATGCAACGATCTTACCCAAGGCCGCTCAACAGGGCTGCCCGCACCCTTCTACGTGCGAGCTGTACTATGTCAGCCGAGATACACTCTTTAGCTACCACCCCGCATCAGAGGTGTTCTTGCAACGTATGATGGCGTTGTATGTTGCCAGTCACTACAAAAATCAACCAAACGATCTCCAGTTGATGTCGGATGCCCCAGCGCATCACCTTTTCGTACTCCTACCCCCTATAGCAGATGATGAGTCTCATCTTCCGGAGCCACTTGTCGTACTGCAAGTTGCACTGGAGGGGAATATCAGCAAAGCTGCCATCATGGACGGCCTGAGCCGCGGTTTGCGAGCAGGAGGTGACATGATCCCTTGGCTTGTCTCCCAGCAGTTCCAAGAAAGCAAATTTGCGCTCCTCTCTGGTGCTCGGATTGTACGGATCGCAACACATCCCGATTACGCCAATGTGAGTTACCTGCAATACATTTTAGCTTGTGACTCATTGGGACCAGATGGGGTATGGATCTCGGGCTCTGAAAGCGCTGAATTCCTTCTATAGCGGAGAGTATTTCAACCTCGATGAAGCTATTCCTGCCGAACCCTCCTATCCAGATGCGGCAGCCCTAGATCCGGTGAGTACAACATCCGTGCCAGGTATTTTTGTGACATCATGTTTATTTGGTGAAGGGAGTGGATCTTCATACGGATCACCCCAGAGTGCGCGCTCCTGAAGCGATGCCCCCACTTCTCCAGAGGTTATCAGAAAGGAAACCTGAATCTTTGGATTACCTTGGAGTCTCGTATGGCCTAACGCCCCAGCTTCTTCGGTAATATACGTTTCTTCAATTCAGTCATTCATACTAATTCGTCGACCCCAGTTTCTGGAAGAGAGCTGGATATGTACCATTATACATCCGTCAGACCCAAAGTGAGCTCACGGGAGAGCACACATGCGTTATGGTCCGGGGACTTGACAGTTCGACGGACAGCGAACTTGAGTGGATGGGCGAGTTCTCGAAAGGTGCGTTTATTTGATTCACCATACCGAATTCAGCCACATGCGTTGACGTAGATTTCAGGCGGCGGTTCCTATCTCTGCTCTCTTTCAAATTCCGTGAGTTCGGCACCGTCACTGCGCTCAGTGTGCTCGAGGCTGCAAATGTCGGCGTGAAGAAGCTTGAGGGAAAGAAGTCGCGAGGTAAGATTGTTTTCAAGAGCTTTCTAAGGTTTGTTGACTGACACTACCTCTAGCTGTTGGATCGCCAGAGTTGTCCATCCTCATGTCACCATTTGACTTGAAGCGTCTAGAGTCATATGCCAACAACATGCTTGACTATCACGTGGTCCTTGATTTACTCCCGATAGTCGCTTCTCTGTATTTCGAAGGGCGGTTAGGAGATGACGTAAGGCTGAGCGCGGTCCAAGCTTCTATCTTGCTTGGTCTCGGTCTTCAACGGAAGACCATCGAGGAAGTCGAGGTATACTATTTCATCTTATGCATCAGGTGGTACTCAGGGGCGTGATTCTTCAGGGTGAGCTATCGCTGCCGGTTTCACAGGCACTAGCTTTGTTTGTGAAGATTATCCGAAAGATAACCAAACATCTTGTCGACATCCAGAAGGCTTCGATTGGGGCCGACATTCCGCTGACCCTGCCAAGCACGACTCCACGTGTTGGGGATGATGGCGAGCCTACGCCGTGGAAACCTGTTGAGACCAATATCGAGGATGAGTTAAACGAGGCCGGCGACGAAGCAACAAACGCGCTTCGCGAAAAGCAACGCGAGATGATCGATTCTCTGGATCTGAGCAAGTGAGTGCGTTTACATCCTCCCTCGGTCATCTATAATGTGATTTATGGCTGTGTTTCATAGATATGCAATCAACGATGCCAGCGGAGATTGGAGCGTCGCTGAAGCGCAAGTATCGAGGCTTTCGAAGGGAGGAGCTAGCGTCGTTAGCGTGAAGACGACGGAAGCTACTGCTGGCAAAAAGCGGAAGGCCGAGGGTGGTGATGAGAAGGATAAAAAACCGACGAGAAGGGGTAAGAAGCTGAAGCGCTGAACTAATAAGCACAAAAAACCCGCCTGCTTGCGGACGGAGAAGTGATCATTTCTTACCTACGGTAACGAGGAGTCAATGGCACTCATCCTTTACCCCATTCATCATCGACAAGAACATTGTCTGAGAGAGTTGGGGTATAATTGACCAACATGTGCAAATCATGTTTGTGCGAAAGCAAGGACAGCACGGATGCAAATGAATCATGACGGGTCGATCTATTAATAGGACTTAGGTGTTGAATGATTGGATAGCCAGCCTTGACACGCATATCAACCGTCGCGAGGCATGATGACGGTAAAAACAAAGAGATAATCAAAAGTTCAACGTTCAGTTTGATCCGGTAGCTAGCACGTTAGTATGTAATAAAGTAGTAGCCCCTCCAGGGCCCAGCCCTCGAGGACACCTTGTGTCTGCCGTAATCTGTCGGTTATCGTTGAAGTTAGACTGTGCTAACCGTGACCTCTCGCCAGCCCAGGCACTGAACGCTGACACATAGGTTTAGCTCCACAAGAATTGAGCTAAAGCTCAAAGGCAATGCTGGCACTTGGCTGGCACTACTGGCTGAGGAAGCTATAATGATCAGCCCCGTATTGTGTGGGGAAGGATTTGACGTGAGTACTTGTCGGTGAATCGCATCTTGACACCTCAGTGCTATACTTATGTTACTTATGGTGCCTGACAAATTAAACTGTTCCTGATCAAGTTCTCAATATAAAGTGATCATTCAAAGGCATGCGGCAGCCCTAGGGTCCCTCCGTCATCCCATCTCCATCCTTCCCCACCATGGTACCAAGATTTTTGCGAGACCTCGTTCCCCGTCGAGAGAATCGTTCCTCTGGTACTAGCGTAGTCGTCGCATTCAAGGATGTCACATGGGTCCAATGGGCTCAGTTCTCGTCGGGGTCAGTGTCCTCCTTCCCATCAATAGCCTCATCTTAACCACATGTTACACCAGTTGGCTTGCCTGGACATGCGACGCCATCGATTTCTTCGCCGTGTCACTCACGATATCCCTCTTGGCAAAACAATTTAACAAGTCAACAGCTCAAATCGTGCGCTTTCCCCCCTTCCCTCGCTGCTTGTGCGCTAATGTACATCACGGTCATAGACGACCGCCATAACGTTGACTCTCTTATTCCGACCTGTCGGCGCTGTAAGCATCATTCCTCCTGTCTCTCACTAACCATACTTATCGCACCTAGATTATGTTCGGTATCTTATCTGACCGATTTGGCCGCAAGTGGCCTTTGGTTTTCAATCTTCTCCTCTGTTGTGTCCTCGAGCTCGGAACTGGCTTCGTCAACACATTTGCACAATTCCTCGGCATTCGCGCCATATTTGGTATTGCGATGGGTGGCATATGGGGACTTTCGGCAGCCTCAGCTCTTGAGAACCTACCCGTCGAACTTCGTGGGATCGGAAGCGGGGTTTTACAGGAAGGCTATGCCGTCGGCTACCTGATTGCAGCCGTAATAAACCTGACCTTGGTCGCCCAACATGGATGGCGCGTACTTTTTTGGACTGCAGCAGGCATCAGTTGCTTTGCTGCATTCATTCGTGCTCTTGTCCCAGAGAGCGCCTTCTTCTTGCGTGCTAAAGAGCAAGAGAAGGCGAGAGGCGCCAATACAACCCAGAAAACTAAGGTTTTCTTCATCGAAACGAAGGCGATGCTCAAGCGTCACTGGCTTCTATGCATTTATGCCGTGCTCTTGATGACAGGTGAGCCTTCTCTTGCTTCTAGCAATCAACATATCAACATTTCTGTGCAGGTTTCAACTTCTTGTCTCATGGTTCACAGGTAGGCGCATCTCGTGTACGAAATTTCGCGGGCGAGCCAATAATGACATGTTCAGGATTTATATCCCACGTACCTCGAGACTACCAAGAACTTTAGTGCTCACGATGCCACTGTCGCGACCATTATTGGTAACTGTGTGAGTCTTATAAAATTACATGTATGCAAACTCTCATTATGCATCAACAGGGTGCGGTTGCGTAAGTCATCGATTAATTCTGCATGCATTTCAAGTTCTGACGATCTTACAGTGGTGGTGCTATTGCTGGAACGGTGAGCCAATACATCGGACGCCGCCTGACGATTGTGTATGTGTATTCAATCAACGATGATTATGATTCCATGACTTTACTCAAATTTCGTCAGAATTTTCGTGCTTCTCATCGGAGGTAAGTATCAATCCGGGTTATATTGAATAAAAGTCATGTTCTCTCGCAGCGTTCATTCCGTTATGGGTTCTACCCTCCTCGTTCTCTGCCCTTTCTGCTGGAGCATTCTGTATCCAAGTCGGTGTTCAGGGAGCTTGGGGTGTCGTACGTGTTCTCCTCTTGTTACGAATCCGATTCTAAAAATAAATGTACTAGATCCCGATCCTACTGGCTGAGATGTCTCCGCCAGCTTTCAGGGCAACATTTCCTGGTGTTGCTTACCAGATCGGTAACGTAGGTTGAATGAACGTCGTACGATGTTTGTGGCTAATATATTCGCGATAGATGATATCGTCAGCATCAGCTCAGATTGAAGCAAGTGAGTGGATAGTCGTAATGCATTCTGTGAACGAAGTTCTTAATATATATATTAGCTGGCGGTAACAACTTCAAGACAACGGTGATAAAGAACGGAGTTCCTACTGTGGAACCAGATTATGCAACGGTAAGCCACAGAGTCCCACTCCCGCACAGTCTTATTCATCACTTGATCAGGTGCAAGCCATTTTCATTGGTGTCGTTGCTGCATTCGTGGTCGTTATCACAATCATTGGTCCCGAGTAAGACTCACACGTGTACTTGAACATACAGAGGCTCACCTTTCTTTAGAAACCATGGCTCACACTTCGAGAACCACAAGACTGCTTTCGAAGAAGGAGGCGGAAGAGATGATGCTGTGGCAGAAGACGCATCACAAAAGTCATATCACGATGTCGACGAGAAAAGCAGTGCTTAAGCTGCTTAGGCGCCGGCGCCTTGTACGCAAATGATTGTGGTATTTATTTATCTACAGTTAATCATGTATTCAGAGCGCGAATATGACCATTACACGATTGCAACACAACTCCGAGGCTCCAGTATATTTTTCCCATATAAACATACACTTCATGAGTACAATCATTTGTGTTGAATACAATGGGGAACTTCAATTTTGGGATTCCCCGCTCGATGAAAAACCTTATCATTTCCATATTGGGATTTAGCAAAAAAAAAAAAGCATGTATTTGAATATTGGATTGAGGATGGCCCAATATTATGTGACATCATGGCTACAGCTTGACAAATTCATAAACCAGTTTTAATGGAATGCCCCAGGTCGAAACGTTGCAATCGATGATTTGTGATACAAATCCCGGGCAAAAGGCCAAGGCCAATGATTTGCCGATGCCACGTGATATGGTGAATTTCAAATTATGCAAGGCCAAACCTACCACCTGGTCACCTGCCACCGCCATTTGGCCTTTGCTTCCTACTGATTCTTTGAGTGGAAATGAAACTTCTTTCTGTTGACACCAACTCTTCAGGCCTTGATGAAGGCCGACAACTTTATGTCAAACTATGTGATAATATTCATTTTATATTTCTTCGCTCATTCGAAATTATTATCCGAGTCCACTACAGCAATGATAGGCGTACCATTCTGGCCTGCTTGCCATTTCCTGGAGGCCTGGTGACGAAGGGCACGATTTTGGTACCGAGTGGTAGGTTGTCACCAAATCGAGGAACAACCAGGAGGCCCTTCCAACTTGGCTTGGCTTGGCCGCGTCCAAGGCCAGAACTGACTGACCAGACACGGTGCCATATCATGGAGACATCCTCTGGGCGTACCATTCCCCAATAATATCTGCTATCCATAGGATGACTATAAAGGACAGGGGAGGTATGATGGTGCAGTCCTGTTCAAAGCTGCGTATCCAAGTCCTTCAACCGCAGAGCACGATTGCATTGTCTGCACGTCCGACCCATCCGATGGCACCTCGCAAAAAGCACTCTGGCCAGTCCTTTGGAGAATCTTCATCCGTATGTCTTGGTCGACTTTCTTCAGCAGGACATATATCCATCTGTTACTTGATAGTCATCGGTTGAACGGAGCACTCCACCTCCCTCACCTACGAAGCGAAGTGTAACTAAACGTATTACCCTATCGGATGGAAAAACAGCAGATCGTGTTCCAATTCCATGTCGTTCGGACGATCCTACGATTCTATTTTCTGATAATGGCAATCCTGGCATGTCGGTCTCGAATGTCTTGAATGGTGGACATGTTCAGGACGTGCCAGAACCAGATTTTAAGGCAGGGCCTCTCACTATCGTCTTACAGGTATGCTCAATGCATGTTTTAATCCGATCAAGAACCTGATATTTAATTCTCAGTGGCCTGGTTACGATTCTTCGGAGATTCTTCACGACAGACATATTACAATCAATCCAAATACAAAACAGGAACTCGCAGTCGCGCTATGTACTGCACTGTATAAGTTTTATACATGCGCATCAGTAGGTGATGCCCTCAAATCGGCTTTTCGCTAGAATTAATCGAGTCTACAGAAAATATTGCCTTCGGTCGAATCTGTTCCCTGGGCTCTTTCTTCGCGAGTTCTTTTAAAAGATATCATGCTCATGTCCATACATTTTGACGCTGGCGTATGGGTTCCGGAATTTTATGTACTCAAGAAGTAATATTGTTGGATTCGTTGAGTCGAATCCACGCTTATCGCACATAGCACATGATACAATAATGCAGCGGTATACATGGCATACACCTACAGGTAGTGTTTGTAGTGTCAGTCGATTAATATGAGAAGATCCACAAAGTAGTTTTTTACTGCGATGGCAGGTTCGAGACTAACCTTAGCATGGCAAGAAGCGGGCACCAATGCATCATCTGCGCCTTTAAAGCGTCACTCCCGAGCCCCGTACACGATAGCAAACAGTATCTGAAGCTCGACGCCGCTTTGTCGCTTAGCGCAGACGCTGAGCCGCATATGCCTTTTTTTGGTAATTTCAAATTTAACACAGGTTTGCGCCACAATATGTTCAGTACTGCCCACTGCTAGTCTACAATGACTACATTGACCCTGTCACTCATGAATGCGACCTCTGTATGCTCGTTGCAACGAACGCTCTTTGTGTAACCAACAGTCGTCAAGGATAACTAGACTGACACGCGGTATTCTGAGTTTTTCTATGTCATCAGGCTGCCGCCTCTCACCTGCAATTATCGGAGACCGATATCGGTAAGCTGTCTCTGGAAATTTCTCGTTTTTATCCCCCACTGTGTTCATAGAATCTCATGTCTATGGCTGTTACGTACCCCTGCTATTTGCATCAAGAACCAGTTTGTTACGATTACTGGACCACCCGCAGTCACGGTTGGTGAGCTTTGGCTTTGGCTGTCATACTCCATAAGGATACACACACATAATCACTCTAAGGATTTTTGACAGATGCTAGACATCGACAGGTCTCACGCTGCGTTACACGTGCACCTTGTCTCAATGTTTCCTAGTGACCCAATTACGCTTGATGACGCCGCCGTTTGACGGAAGGAAATTACGTTCATTGTGTTACGATGTATATTGTCGAGTGGTTAGTGTTTCGCTTCATGATTCATAATCTACTGGACAACTTTGAGTGGTCGCTTTGGCGCCAGACAGCTAGTGCTTCATAACGCGCACCGCTTTATGGACCGTGTCGAAGCGATGGGTAGTATAAAATATGCAGGTGTTTAGGATGGGCTCCTCATCAAATCGAACATCTGCAGCGTAGATTTTCTATTCCAAATTTTAATCACTCCAGTATGCAATACATGCAACCCAGCCAAATGATTTTAAACTCTAATGGAGCCGGGTCGTCTGGGGTGAGCATCCACGTTTTTTCCGTGTCCCTTCTTATCCAGGAATTATATTAGTACTATGCTCAATATACCAATCCTCCCCCTCACCCCACGATGGTGAACGCCGAGATGCCACCGTATTGGAAACTCAGGGATGGAAGAATAGCAAAGCGTGTTCCACGCTCGCGGGAATTCAATCCTTCCCAGCAGAGCTTTCCCGGAATCTTTTTTAGCATTCATGGTTGGTGCGGTGTGAGCGCGGAAGATATTCTCAACAACAACGTTGTCATTGATTATCCGACCGACACGATGTTCGCTCATCACGGCTGGCGAGAAACTACTCTGGCACTAAATGTGAGCGTTCACCTGTCTCTGATATCATTGTTTATGTTAACCGATTCATGTAGTGGCCTGGATACCTGCCCAACAGATCTTCGGATGCATCTCGTTGTCGCTTTAAAATATTGAAGGATAAAAAACAGCCGATGACTCGTCAAGATTTCGCCGTAGATATTGCCAGGCTAATTAAAAATCTTGCGAACTGTGCAATGGTATGTGTGATCTTAAAATGGATACAGGGTCATTAACACCTCGGTCATTAGGACAGGCCCGTTGCACCTGGTTGGGAAGATTGGGCGTTCGGCGCGAACAAAGTTCGTATGTCAGACATATTTATCCTATCGGCCCATTATTACAGGAATGTTTGGGTCCCTGAGCTCTACGTCGTTAATATGGAATAATGTTCTCTGGCGGCCTCCTTTCGCCTACAGCCCTATAGAATAGATAAATATATTTAGTTTTCATGTCACTAACATCCCCTACATGATTCACGACACTGTATTCCATACCTACCTTGCAATATCTTTAGTTACTTATCCTTCTTATTAGGCACTAGCTTCGCGCATGCATATCGTACCCCGTTTTGGTATAGAAATGGAAGTCCACCTGCGCAATGCCCTAGTTTGGATCGAGAAGCGAAAACTACAACCTCGTGGGGCTCGATGCCGTATGGTAGTCTCCACAACTGCCCTCTAAAGAAGAGACGATCAGCCATGAGACGTCTAGTGTATTGCAAATTTGGTCCTCGAGGCAACAGTGCATGTCAAGATGTAGATGTATAATAACCACCACCTTCTGCGATAGTGGAAGATGATCCATCTTTACTACCTTTCCTTCAAGAAACAAAACTATAACCCATTGCACGAAAAATGGGCGCGTCGATGTCCTCCCCCATGCAAGGTCTTCGGATCATTGCTGGCATCGTTCGTACAATCGTCGATGAAATTCGGTCGTCGACGATCTTGGAAAACCCTACTTTTGACAACATGAGACAGGCAAGAGACCCGCGCCCCCGAAGGCAAGCTCGTAGGACACGAACGGCAAGGTGGCAGGATGAAGAACGGCAAGAATATCGTACTGTTATAGACACGGAAGGAGAGATCAGAGGGGAAGATATAGATGAGCTCCCAGCCGCTCGAGCTCCAAATGCCACTGGGGAAAATGTTGAAGGATTTCCCTCTGTACAGACGGGCGTATGGCAGAGGCCAAGCGAAGCGGAGATACATGCTTCAGAAGAAACCCCACGTCGGCATCTTTATGAATCGTCAGGGCGTTGCGCCGCTGTACTCCAGATGAAGACGAAGGAAGAAGATGTCTCGGCCACGAAGTCGACCAACAAAGGCAAGAAAGTATCCGTTGTCCATTTGCATTTTAGCTCAACTCGAAGGTGGAGCAGGTGTTCCGATGATTGAAGATACCATCAATGGGGAAGAACAGACCTTGGAGAAACACAGCGCATTCCAGCTCGTGAGCATCCCGAGTGAGGAGGAGATACAACTAGCGAAGCAGAGAGTCCAATACCAAGAAGGACTATTCCATTTCGCAATAACAGGAGTTTCCGGTGCGGGAAAGTCATCGCTGATCAATGCCTTCCGAGGCCTCCGAAACAGAGATCAAGGGGCTGCACCAACGGGCGTAGTTGAGACCACCACGGATATCGCTAGATTCCCAGATCCAAACTCCAACAATCCGTTCGTTTGGTATGATGTCCCAGGGTCCGGCACGTTGAACATACCTGATTGGCAATATTTCACCGCACACGGACTCTACGTTTTCGACTGCATCATCATCCTTTTCGACAGCCGCTTTACGATGACTGACCTTGCCATGCTAGTCAATTGTCGGCGTTTCAACATTCCTACTTATATCGTGCGGTCGAAATCAGACTCACATATAAGAAACATCATCAAGGACTCGGGTTACGACAGCGATGAAGATGAAGACGGCTCGCGTCGCAACGCGTTGTATAGCTCCGCACGCGAGCAGTACATCGCTGAAACTCGTGGCACTGTGAAGGGAAACCTTCAGGAGGCGAATTTACCCGATCAGAGGGTGTACATTGTTGCCAATAGCACTATGGTTTCCACAGTGAGAGACCAGAAACTATCGGAGAAGACTATAGACGAACTAGAGTTGATGCGAGATCTCTTTAGGGAAGCTCAGTCAAGGCGTTGTGGTAAAGATATTGGTCGCTCGCAGGCATAGGAAGCTTTAACGTCTTGTTCAATTGTATGTAGCAGTTGTCATGTTCTGCATCATGAAAAGTGATTAAAAAAAAGAGGGCAACGTGGTCAGGCTGATCATCTGATGCCATGTCCATCGGTGAGCGGTGCATCAATGCGAATCAGGTTTGCCAGCAAAGCATTTTGTATGTGAATTCAAACACCGTCACATTTTGATCGACCCTGGGTTCCACTGGTACAGTGACGTTTATATAGATCAGGCCTAATTTTCATAGATTCCTTGCGAAAGTGGCCAAAAAACCTGTGACCGGTCCGACGCAACTCGGAGTTGTAAACAAGCTGCTCCAAGGTACTACGGGACGGTGCACTGCGGTGGTGTCACATAACGCCCGGGAAGGCCGAGTACGAAAATAAGTACTTATCGTGGTTCTGCATTTCATTGATGAAAGTTCACTAGGTGACCTGATCTGGACAAGTTCAAAGAGCTGGAACTCGGAGTCACGGGAATTCCCGACCTCTCTTGACCGACGGTACTTACTATATCGAACCCATCGATGATTTTACCTTGTTGCCCTGCACCACCGAGTCGATACGGCTCTGTCTGTCATGGTATAAGCGGATAGATACATACCAACTTCCGCCGTGATCACGGTGTGCGACTAACTCGGCATGAAAATTTGTAATTCAAATCCCAGAATCCTTTATGCAAGATGCGGCCAACAAACCGTGACCAAATTCGAATCAGCAGACTTTCTAAACAGGTTAGAATTTGTCCAAGATACGATGCATAATGCTAACTATATGCATGATCCATCGATATGGCTCTGTAGCGGGTGCTCGAACCGGTTGCTTTGAAGCAGATTCTAGTATGGTTCAATGAGTATTTGAAGAACTCATCCCAGCTCCTGCTTAACGGTGATCACAGGCCCGGTCACGGTAGTTGTTGTATCCTCGTCAGCATGTAATCTGAGATGCGGTGCTGACAAGTTGAAATTATAGCCGCTTATATTGTTACCATTCCGATCATCCAGGACTCCCGAGTCAACATCTTCAGTCTGAAGGTTTGATTTGAGTGACATTAGAAGTATCCACCTTGTGTGGAGATAACGTGAAGCGTGAGTATCCGGCGAGGCCATCATATTAATGGCGGCTTGTTGCCCGCTGGGTGCCTGAGGTCAATGGGGTCCTGACCGTCTTCTCGCGAATATAAAGTATAATCTGACGCTGACTCTCTTCTGAGATCAGACTATCTCTATCATGCCACCGAGATTTATTCGCGAGCTCATCCCGCCTCGCGAGACTCGTACCCCTCTTGGCGCTGTAGTTGTTGCACTCAAAAGTCTCACCTGGGTGCAGTGGGCTCAGTTCTTGTCTGGGTCAGTGTCCTACTTTTATTGCGCTTCGTGCTATCATCTTTACCACAATACCACAATAGCTGGTTTGCTTGGGTGTGCGACGCTACTGACTATGTCGCAGTAACGCTTACGGTACCGCTCTTGTCTACACAATTTGGAAAGTCGACGAGTGCGATCGTACGCCTTTCCATTTCTTTGTTGTTTTGCGCGGCTGATGCACGACTCGGACATGATCAAAAAAGACGACCGCCATAACGTTGACGCTGTTATTCCGATCAGTCGGTGCCGTAAGTGCCATACCTGGTATTCCCCATCGAGCTTATCATTTCCTAGGTGATATTCGGCATGATATCTGACCGGTTTGGGCGCAAATGGCCTTTGGTTGTTAATCTCATTCTGTGCTGTCTGCTTGAACTAGGAACTGGCTTTGTCGAAACCTTTGCACAATTCCTCGCCCTTCGTGCCCTATTCGGCATTACTATGGGTGGAATATGGGGACTTTCGTCATCCTCAGCTCTTGAGAACTTGCCTGTTGAGCTTCGTGGGCTTGCAAGTGGGATTTTTCAGCAAGGCTATATGGTCGGATACATCTTTGCTGCTGTTATCAACCTGACCTTGGTGGCCCAACATGGATGGCGGTTGCTTTTCTGGACTGCAGCAGGCCTCACTTGTCTCGCTGCAGTCATCCGCGCTCTTGTTCCTGAGAGCCCGTTCTTCTTGCAAGGTAAGGAACAAGAGAATGCGAAAGGGACCAATACCTCGCAGAGTTTCCTCAAGAAAACAAAGGAGATGCTTAGGCTTCACTGGCTCTTATGCATTTATGGAGTGCTCTTAATGACAGGTTTGATTTTCTTTTACTTCCAAGCAACGAATATACCAACGCCTCCCTGCAGGGCTTAACTTCTTATCTCACGGTTCACAGGCATGCACATACCGTGAATGAACGTGCACTGCATAATGCTAATGTCCTTCTAGGATCTATATCCCACGTACCTCCAGGTCACCAAGGGCTTTACTGCTCACAATGCCACTGTCGCAACCATTATTAGCAATTGCGTGAGTCTTAAAAACTTATCTCTTGGTTGAATCTCAATTTGCCAAACAGGGAGCTATCATGTGAGTTGTTGGTTAGTTCTGCATACAGCCAAAGCCCTGAGAGTCATACAGCGGTGGTGCTATTGGTGGATGGACGAGCCAGTACATTGGACGTCGCCTGACAATCGTGTATGTCCATTAAATAAGCGGTGCTTTGCGGCTTTACTAACCTTCCATAAGATTGTCTGTGCTTCTCGTCGGAGGTAAGCACCAATCCTAGTAATAGAGAACGATATATATATATATTCGCAGTGTTCATTCCATTATGGGTTCTGCCCTCGACATTCTCTGCCCTCTCTGCTGGAGCATTCTGTGTTCAAGTTGGTGTTCAGGGTGCTTGGGGTGTCGTATGTGTTCGCTTGTTCTCATCGCGAACTCGACCATCAACATCATTGTAGATTCCAATCCAACTGGCCGAGATGTCACCACCAGCATTCAGGGCGACCTTCCCTGGTGTCGTTTACCAGCTCGGCAATGTAAGTCGAGTGGACATCGCACGATACATCTAGCTAACATGTTCGTGGTAGATGATTTCGGCAGCATCAGCACAGATCGAAGCCAGTGAGTAGACAGTCACGTTCCCACTTGCAAATGGAGTTCTTAAATTAATCAGCTGGTGGTGACAACTTGAAAACAACGATAATGAAAGATGGAGTCCTTACAGTGGTACCAGACTATGCAACGGTGAGTCACTGAGTTCCGCTTCCGCACGGTCTCATTCATACTTCATCAGGTGCAAGCCATCTTCATTGGTTCCGTTGCTGTATACGTGATCTTCATCACACTCATTGGCCCCGAGTAAGCCCTGCGTACGTCCTTGAACAGACAAATGCTCACATTCTCCTAGAAAACACGGTTCTCGTTTCGAGGACACTGCTGACGCTGGCGGGGACGAGGCTGCAGATAACAAATCACAGATGTCATGTCATGAAGTAGACGAGAAGAGTAGCGCTTAGCATTTTATTACTTATCTATGACGAGGTGAAACGAGACGAAATAATTGTGTCCATCTAGATGAATGGGCTTTACCTTTAAAGTTGATGAAGTTTCGCGCGTAACGTGAGTCCGCCACTCAGCTGTTTGGAACGTCTACGTGAGCCTTGATTTTTTTTCTCTTCGCTGTCTAAGTTGATGAAGTTTCGAGCGGTTGCCTGCTGCATCTGGCAAGGCTAGTCCCCCAGTTAGCTGTTTGGAACCTCCACGTGAGCCTTATTTTTTTTGGTCTCTTCGCTGTCTTGCTCGGTTGTCAACATAACAACTCTTTGTCAACAACGGTTGGATACCTTGTTCTCAAAACGTAACTCGTCTCGATCTAATATCTTTGTCTCGAAAAGTTACAATTTGGCGATACACCTCGAAACCGGTCATGTCCTTATTTTTTTTTGACTATCATTGCATACATATCTACCTCTAACTTGTAGATTTTCATTGGGAATGATCTACCACCAGCGTCAATATACATACCTACGAATCAATTCCCAGCCAGTGTTGTACCGTGCTCCTCTAAGTTTGTCGTACGGAACCTGTTGCTTTGAGTCGGCACCAGAAATTGAAAATAAGCTCGACGCTGACCAACTGCTGGGTAAATGCCTCCTTACCACTCCACTCCATCCATAGACACCAATCCAGTTGCAAAACCAGTCATATGAGCCCACGAATATTGATGCGCATACGTCGCGCTTAGGAAGAGCCGGGACGTGAGTATAGGTGGCATCCTAATACTCATCCATGGTCGAGATAAAAGCCTGTTTAACGGTGTCATTTCGGAAGATAAAGTAACCTATGAAGGAGGGGTTCGCATGGAGGGGCGATTGAGATATACTCTATGAGAGAACATTTAGGTTGCTCGAAGAAAAGTAGCATTAGCTCACTTCGTGATATGGTAGCGCAAGAACTGCCGCTGTCCGTTCTGGCATTGGTTTGAATCTCATGCTTGCGAGTCCCATGACGAGTTTGAGCAAACGAGACGACCGAAGAAACCACGCTTGGAGTGTTCTTGTGGGACAGATTTCTCTGGCGCTAAGCGACGTCGAGATATCATTTAGAAGTGGTAAATCTAAAACAGGTTGAGGGCTTGGGAGCCAGGGGACGGCGATGGAAGATATTGCTTCAGGGACTACAAGCACTTGTTGTTAGTGTTGATGCCCTTGGATGAAAATAAAAGCTTTACTTGGAAGAAACCATGGGTCGTCGTGCGCCCCTTCGATGAAGCCACCACCTCCCGTAGCATCAGCTTGTAACAGAAGTATAAGCAAAGAAAACAGGCAGTCGAACGTGAAAGTACTGACATGGAGGCACGATAGACTGGATGTACAAGGGTAATGTTATCGTTGTGCTCGAAGGAATAGACCCCTGCTCTCGAACACACGTGCGAATTTGTCGGATGCGAAATAGAGCTTGGTGCTATCTGACAATCACATCAACGACATCACATAAGGCCCCAGGCCTTTGATGGGGCTGACAACAAGCCTATCGCTTTTCGCCTGCCAGTTAGTTGCTCCTGCCTGATGCGATTCTCTCATCCGAAGGCGAATACGAAAGACTCCGCACCTCGCTCTGCTCCGTCTTGATCGGGCCCGGCGACCACAAGTTTTTCCACTTTCTGGATTTCGAATCAAGATTGGTCCATCATTGGACCCGCTGGAAATAACTCCGCTGGGTGACCATGATAGCAACTCTACCCAGTTGCTCTGAGCCGTCTAGACGTCTTCGATTCTCACTATCTGTAGTCCACCCGCCCTTCCGCACGCAAGCATTTTCTCGTCCGATGAAAGTGCCATCGCATATATCCTTCCCCCCTTACCTTTCCATGGTTCCCCGACAGCGAGTCCGGTGTCGCAGTTCCACTTGCGCGTAGTGTCGCCTCCTGAACCGCTTACAATGTGAATGTTGTCGTGCAAGAAAACAAAACCCCAAATTGCTTGTGTCTCTTAGATTCGTGCCTTGGAGTTGATCCTTTAATTTCCGCTGCGACTGAGGCGAATCCGCCAGCACTCGTTGGTATACTGGCATGTTGCTGGGGGACAGGCGAGTTCTATCTCCTGCAGGTGGACGTCATGGATTCCGCGAGGCAGCGTTAATTGTGTGTGGCACGATTCGCAGCCATCCTGGCAAACGCTATACACCACGTTTTCGCACTGATTGGCGGTGTATTGGTTAGGCCATTGTGGCCATCTGTGGTCCATGCGACTTTAGTGAATAATTCCTATACCATGATAATGATGATGATGTGCATACCCTGGACCCTGGTAAAAGCCTGGCTCGCCCTGCTCAGCACGGATTTGAGAAGACTTCCTACAGCACCAGTACCAAGGAGCCTATGCAGATTAGTTGTTCCGATGATCAAATGCTGCCAGTGCAAACCCTTGTCTTGCTCTATGAGGGTCCACGATTCATGTGAGACGGCGTTCACCTGGTTTGATTCATGCTTATGATCGCTCAAGGCCGGGATTGGAGAGCTTCGACGTGAGGCGAGCGTCAATATCAAATATAATAATGTTTGAAGGGCTAGTTTGTCGTCTGAAATGAATTTCTACCTTGAGCAGCCATTGAATCGATGAATGACATATCACTATCATGACTTTCGGGGAGTCCCTAGCCAGAGCGTGTGGAAGGATAACACCCTGATACTCCCTCCGCAGTCTAGCTATGGGGACTCGTTCTTTCTGGAGGGGCGTCAAGCAGGGTCTTGATGTAATCCGAATATTGTTACTAGAAGAACCTAGCCTCACATGTTGACCGTATCAGTGCCATCATATCCGTGGTCAATATCAAGTCTATGTAGGCCATGGCTACTGAGTACTGCCCAGTGGAGGGTGCCGGTAATGGTCTAGGGAAAGTAGTAGTTCAAATGAATGGAACCTGTTGAAAAATCGAATTCCAACATGATGCAGCGGTGCGGCCGCTCCACGTTGCCGTGTTTGGCCCGAGACGTGCCGCATATCTGAGGCAGAACTTCTCCTTCCAAGACTCTCAACAGGATTCTATCATTCTAAGCTATATACCACGTATGAGACATGATACCGAAAAAACAACAAAATCCAGATGGTCTCAGAACTTATGGTCAGTGTATAGTATGACCCATCGGACTTTGAGCGAAAATCCCCTAGGAGGGAGGATTGGGCTGCGGTGACATAGTTCATGTCTGAAAAGAGAGCATACATCTTTTTTTTTTTCAATTCGCACATCCAGTTTTGCAGTTATCACAGTGATATTTTGTTTTCGCTAACGTGGAATTGCACACACGAGACCGCAGGTAAGTATTGCAAAATTATTGAGGGTCAACGCAGAGCTACCACGCCCGTCTTTGACGCCTTTTTTGTAAGAAGGGTGTTCTATTGTTAGTTCGACGTTTCTAGATCAGTGTAGCAAAATGATCAAGGCTGCAGCCGATGTCCAGCGCCAGTAAGAGTATCCAAAGGCAGGCAAGACCGAGATATCATAAACTAGGATGTGTTTTACCGTTCATACGTACTTCCCAAAGAAAGGTATTAGTGATTGTGCGAGGGTATAACTGAAGACCAGCTTCGGTCCAACCACAAGAATCTGCATTCACAAGTCATTAGCACGCAGTTGAACTAGGATAAATAATAATCACTTTTGGGGTCAAGCCCTTGAAGAATGCTGTAGGGCCTTCATTTCGGATAAGGTCCTTCATGACCGTCAGACCAGGCACCTTCTGCTCGAAATTTGCATTTTGGATACGAGTCTTCACTGTGTCTAGGGGTGCTGCAATTGTGATCGATGCAACAGCTCCTGCGATAGATGCAATGAAGTTCTGGGTCCATGTGGCTTTGGAATAGTCAGTGACACCAAGGGCGTACTCCTTCGTCACCGCCGAAGCGCCGAAGAGCTGAAACAGAAGTTTAGCACGATAAGTCTGGCCACCCAAGTAGACTCACCGCAAATGAACCTGGCGCATTACGCGCCATGGTCCAACCCCATCCACGGTATAGGGTAGTGCCTTCCTCCATGAATATCCGAAGGACTCCTCGTCCACGGAACGCTTCAGGGTTGACTTGTCGTTTTATCTTCAAGGCGTCTAAAGGAAGTAGAACCTAATAGAACGTTACTACCCAGTCAGGAAGCTAGTGTAAAAATAACCCACAACTTCACCAATACCAGTCAAGCTGCGCAGAGCAATTAGCATATTTGCATTTACCAGTGGAAAATGAAAATTACCTGCCAGCCGTTGCCTGCATCATCATCTTTCCCTTTCTCTCGCCAAATACGCTCGTGAACTCGTCCTTGTAATTTCGCGTGATGATCTCATTGAACCATGGCTGTCCACCGAACTTGTATATCCGTTGGGAAACTTTGTACCCTGCTGCATACCCAAGACCGGGGAAGAGAGACAAAAGTTTTTTGGGTAACGAAGCCGTAGCGTAGTCACGGAACACGATCGGGGAGAGCGTCGAGAAGGATACCTGGATGTCAAGGGTGGTCAACAAATTGCGGCGAATGACTTTTGCAATAATAATGTACTTTGGCTTTATTGCTCATAAGCCGTTTTGCTACTGTGTCGACTGGATGAAAGACCAGCAGCTCAGCGACACCTAGTGGCCATGACGCAGTGAGCTACTTCTCTCCTAGCATGACAGACCAAAACCAAAGTACAAACCAGATGCACCAGACCCCAGAACCCGGGCAGTCCCTGATTCTTTGCTTTTACCAGAAATTGGAGGAGACATAGTTGGATGGTTAGCGAGGGTCTGGTAAGCGAAAAGGGAGATCGTTCGAGTGCGTTAGTACTAGGACAACTGTACGTGTCAATGGCCCAACCTGCTTAAGCACCGCGCCATATATGTTTATACTTCTTTGTCCGCAAATAACAAATAGCTAAATATGGTACAATCGCACTCGACTGGATTTGTAGGTCAAATCGACCTAAATTTGAACGTCATAGAAGAGCAGAGTGCTACATACTTCAAACTCGCCTATTGAAGTCGAAGCTTCCACCGTCACTATCTCCCACACTCCGTCAATAGGTTTCTCACTGGAATGAAGGGTCTGGGTACCACACCGGTCTCGTGATCGCCCGGTGACCCGTAAACGAACACGATGTGGGAATCACTCACGTCAAGCCTTTTGCTTCTTAACTCTACACTACCACCATGTTCAACAAGAGGGGAGCTTTCGGCACCCTCTGTTTTGCGCTCGCAGTTGGTGCGACAACCCAGAAGTTCCTTGGTTTAGGCACTCCCAACTATGGAACTTCAAGGCAGCCGATGAAGTCGTTCACACAGTCTTTCGCAGCGCCTTACGATGAAGGGTTGTTCGTGCCTGTTGAGCAACTTAGCGCACTCTCAGAGGCCCAATTCACCACCCTGGGCCATCCTTTATTTCCGAACCATAGCGTTCGGATTAAGAAGTCTTCTGATTTCTGTGATGGAACTGTGAAGTGAGTACAGTCTGCAGATGTCTAGGACTGATGAAATAACGTGTCTAAACTTCAGTGCTTACACGGGGTACATCGACATCCAGGCCAGGCATCTATTCTTCTACTTTTTCGAGAGTAGGAACGATCCTGCCAAAGATGATGTGATCTTCTGGACCAATGGTGGTGGGTTCTACTTAAGTATAATTCTGTTGCGATTCACCCAACGCATTTATCAGGTCCTGGGTGTTCCTCCAGCCTTGGCGTTTACGTAGAACTAGGACCTTGTCGAGTGGTGAACGACACTAGCACGGTGTTCCATCCCGAGTCCTGGAACTCTAATGCGAATATCTTCTTCGTGGATCAGCCAATTGGTGTAGGTTTCTCGTACGCAGACTATGGAGAGACTGTGGTAAGTCGAACGGCTGTCGCATGAAACTTCACTATTAACCGTCTGGAAAGAGCACTACTGAGGAAGCTGCACAAGATATTGCTGCGTTTGTCGCGATTTTCTTTGAAAATTTCACTCAGTTCAAAGGACGTGCGTTCCACATGGCCGGAGAGTCTTATGGAGTACGTATGGTTCATACCGTTTCACCATGGAGAGAAATTAATTGGGAAAGTAAAGGGGCGTTACGTTCCAGTTTTCGCTGCTGCAGTCTACGACCAGAATGCCATGTTGGCTGCGGCTGGTGTTACTCCAATCAACCTTCAGTCTATTATGATCGGTAACTATTCGCACCAGAAACAATTTCATTAGCTTATCCCTTGTGCAGGCAACGGTCTGACCGACTTTTACACAATGACGGCGGCCTATGTAGACATGCAATGCACTGGCGCATCAGTCTTTCCTGTGCAGAGCATCTCGTATGTAAATTCCGACACTACATAGTATTTATTGACTGACATACATATATCTTCTAGTGCGTGTAATCGTATGAAACAAGCGGTTCGGTTCCTTCATATTGGTGACAGACACCGTTGGAAGCTGATCTACTTTCCATAGCTCCCTCGGTGCCAAAAGTGGTTGACAGAATCATGCATCACCCAGTTCGATTTGATGAACTGTGAAGCAGCTTCAAACTTTTGTGACACTGAGATATCAGCACCTCTTTTCACGACTGGTATATTTAATGATTTCCCAACGTCTACATGCACATATTTATATTATGATAGGCATGAATCCCTACGATCTCAGCAAGGTCTGTGATGGACCTATCGAGGAGACATTGTGTTACCCGATCACGCTGTGAGCCGACAGTTTTTTTGTGCAACCAGCCTAGCTAACTTGAGGCTAGGTCTATGGCGAGCTACCTTGACCAACCCTCCTTGCGTCAGAAACTTGGCGTGGACGCCGCTGTCACAGGTAACTATAGCTCCTGCAGTGATCCTGTTGGACAGGCTTTCTCGTTGGCTATGGATGAGTATCACCCAACCTACCCTCACGTTGCCGCACTTCTTGAGCGCGGCGTACACGCATTGATATATGTGGGATCTTATGACTGGATCTGCAACTGGCTTGGTAACCAGGCGTGGACGCTCGACATGGAGTGGAGCGGCAAAGAAGGCAGTTTGGGCAGCAACCCCTCGAGTCTTGGCTGGTTGATGGAAAAGTTGCTGGAAAGACTAGGAGTGCGAACGGACTCACGTTTGCCACTGTGGAAGGTGCAGGCCATATGGTTAGTTTCAAACTCACCTTCAACTTCATTGCAATGCCGACTCAAGATGACAGGTTCCGCTCGACAAACCCAAAGAAGCACTTGTCATGGTACAGCGTTGGTTGGCTGGGAGGGGCTTGTAGGCATCCACACAGATACCCATGTATATCCGTGGTTTTCCCCTTCTCAAAACTTGGAAGCAAATATAATTTTATTGAGCTAGAGCGCCCGATGCTGCGAACACAATGCTGACTGAGCAAAGATCACAGTGCATCGATCAGTCAGGTATTGGAAGTTGCTGACAATGGAGCAAGTGTATAAGAGTGTCCCAACCGTGATCATGATGTCGATCATAGTGTTAGATACTTGTCTTTGGATGACGCCGAATCATCGACGACTAGCACAGTTTAGCTTCGGAGGGGCACAATCACCACTTGGATCACATTTTCTAGTTGAACAAAACTAGTTTTCTTTTAGTTCAGCACCTAACAAGTCTGACTTTGACCTCGGGCCCACTTATGCGCTCACCTGAGGTTCGTCAAATCCGACTGCCCCACATTGTTCGACAATCTGACAGGAGGCCCTAGAAGTGCCAGTGAATTATGGAGATAGCCCCGTTACCGTAGAAGGGGTAATGGAGACTGGGTTCGGCACTGTGGAAATGAGCGGCTTAGTTTGACTCTTACTTGGCCAGATCCCTATCTGGTAGCGTTCGCTCTAACATTCGATACTCACTTCAATTGTGCATGCACCATACTCGATATCATGTTTGGAGGATATGGAATTATTTTATTTAAATCCTATATCATAATGTACATGAACGAGGAAAATCACCAAGAGCACTCAACCATGAAGCACCTGCAAGATGGATGGAATCAGTGATCGAAGTGATGGATAAGATTAGAATGGAACAAAGGTAGTCTCAGAAAAAACGTGGTGAGGTCATGTCCTGCTTGTCGGGCAGGTCAGTATTCATTAAAATCAGTACATTTTTAAGATCATGGACAAAATGCGTGTGCAATATGAAGGCCAGATAAGTAAAAAAAAAAAAAAAAAAAAAAAAAAACTCACAATATGTAAGAACCAGGATTGGAGAAAGATGAAGATATTTGGATGTCCCAGAGAAAAATCGACATGCCACGGTCTCAGAATGGCACCGCGACACTTCCTATAGTGGGTTTGCTCTCGAAGGTAAACAAAGACTCGTAGAGTCCATGGCACTGAGTCGACAGTAGAAATTCTGAAAAACGACCAGCGTGGCAAGCCTTCTTGTGGGAACAAGAAGGAATGGCACTGCTTATATATAGGTATTTCAAGCGGAGCTCAAACATTGTAAACGCCCGTTTTTCCGATCGGCTAAGTGCCGGGGCTATGTCATATGAACGTTCACGCACTGGCATTATTAATTGTCAGGTTCACACAATATTGGCTGGCTGGCAGGGAATTATTGTGCAGGTACTATACTGAATCTGTGGAGGATATAAAACTATTTTATTTGAATCCTGAATAGCGTACCACCAACAGCAGTCGACTTGAAGCATCTACAAGATAGATGCAATCAGTGATCGAAGTAGATGAATAAGATGAGGTAGTCTCAGACGTAAGTATAATGATATCATGTCCTGCTTGTTGGGCAGGTCGTAAACAAGAAGCCTTTTAAGATCATGGACGAAATGCATAGGCACCATGAAGGACAAAAACATGAAAGACTCACGATATGTAAGAATAAGGATTGGTTAAAGACAGATGATTTTAGATGTCCCAGAAAATTCAGCATGGCACGGCCTCCAAATGGCACCGCGACACCTTTAATAGCGGGTTCGTTCTCGAAGGTAAACAAAGACTCGTAGAGTCCTTGATAATGGAAATTCTGCAAAACGACCAGCGTGGCTAGCCTCTACGAAGGTTAATGATGCCTATATATAGTATTTCGAGCGGAGCTCAAACAGCTGTTTTCCCACTCAGGGGCTAATCTGATGCTCCCGAGCTGACGCCATGCCAGTTACACTTAAAGGAAGTTGTCATTGTGGTACTGTGCGATTTACAGTGGAAAGCAGTACTCCTGTCCCATATCAGGTGTGCATGTCACCACAACTTAAACCACTAGCATCTTTCTTGACTATGAATGTTGAAAGCTATGTGTATGTTCCATTTGCCGCAAAGTAGGTGGTGTTGGTGGCTCGATCAACCTTGGCGCACATTCAAAAACCTTGATTATCACACAAGGTAAAGAATACATCAGGTACGTAGTTCAACGAAACTTCCCGTATGTCCTTGTTGAGTATGAAAATCAGAGTGTATAACGCTGTGATGGATAGAGATACTCAAAAAGAGCATAACACCACTTCTGAGCGCAATTTTTGCATGAAGTGCTCTTCTATGCTATGGCTTTATGACAAAACCTGGTGAGCACTTGAGCGATATTCCTGTGTTGAATTTTGTGTCGTGATATATTGACATGAAGGTCTGAACTTTTGCATCCATTTGCATCGGTCATTGACTCCCCAGAACTTGAGGCGCCTGATGAGATTGTAAGTGTTTTAGCCACTCAAGTGCAGTTTCTGATATGCGGGTTTCAAAGGTTGTTCTGAAAACGAATTCAAAGCCTGAGTATGTGCGCCTTCCAGAGGGAAGGAAGAAGGTGTTTGAAGATTATCCCAGCGATTCCATTGAGAGCTGGCACAAGAAGCACAACAAGTACGTGGAGTGAAATATTGACTTTGACTTTGCCAGAAGCACGAAAGAGTGGAACTGTATGTATGCTCAACGCTGGAAAGGAGACTACCGACGAATTGGACAGACGATTGTACTTGAGTAGCACATGTGATCCATGAATTGCGAAAACCAGCTAGTAATTAGGCAGGCCGATAGAGTCGTGCCAATTCATGGATATGAATATAAAGGCCATCTCCGCTCACGGAAGCGATGAGCACTTTGTCAAGTCACGTGGTACAACGCGTCCCACCTAGCATGTGACTATGATAGTACGCGTTTCCATTCCCAGGGTTGAACAACTTACGTCTGCGGCTTGCCGCATCGATCTGCAGATAAATACTTCGCATCTTTATTGACGACGACGACGACCGCAAGATACATACCAACGATGGCATCCACACCGGCACCCAGCAAGCTCACACGATCAATACCCTTCACACCCAAACGTCCGCTTTCCTTTGCATCCAGCAGTGAACTTCCCTCTGCAATAAAGACTAGTAGCGTTCTTGGTTCGACAGCAAAGAAATTTAAGGCAGCTTTATCTTCTGAGTCCCGACTGCGGACTACTGCTGCGACCAAGTCGTCCCTTGCAGCTGTGCCTGCAACTCCAGCAAAGAAGTCCTTCGAAGGAGCTCGCCCTCGCACACCTGGAACTCCAAGGAGTCAGACTCCTACCTCCCACATAACCACGAGTGAGATGGATGTTAGTCGGATTGATCCAGAAGATGCACTAGTCGATTTTCAGACTGTCGAGCCCGGTGATGTTTCAGGAGACATCGACGAGGCCGCGATCCCTGGACCTAACTACGGAAAGGAAGATAAGGTTCTTGTATCTATAAGGTTATTTTGCTCCTTTGGCTTATTTTCGACACATCCTGAAATCATACCAATACACAGAATTCGCCCTACTACCTCTGCGCATGCCGCATGGGATCATAGCGCACAACGCACCATAAAACTTTTACCTCAATACGCCAAGTCGACTGCCACCACACCACCAGAGTTTAATTTTGATGAAGTTATTACTGGCTCTGAGAATAGGCCAGTCTACAATGCTGTCGCTCGCGGCCATGTCTGCGCTGCCATGGACGGCTACAATTCTATTATTTTCGCCTATGGTCAAACAGCCAGCGGGAAAACATTTACTCTTGTGAGACCGCGCCTTTGCATCCACTATTGAATTTGCTCATGGTTTCACTTAGTCTGGGACCGAAGATCAACCAGGCATAATACCACGTGCAATGAAGGATGTGTTTGCTTACATCCGCCGCACACCCACTCGCGAATATCTTCTTCGGTGCTCTTACCTCGAAATTTACAATGAAACGATATATGACCTGCTCGCACCACCTTCAATGTCTGCTGCTCAGCCAGTTCAAATTCAGGGTTCGGGTATTCTCGTGCCACTTCGAGAGGAAGTGGTGACAAGTTTGAAGAGCGTCAAAGAAGTCCTTGAGCGAGGAGAAAGGAATAGAAGGACGGCTAGCACAGACTGGAATGAGCGGAGTAGTCGAAGCCACAGCGTGTTCCGACTTGTAGTGGAGAGCAGGGAACGGGGAGAGAAAAGGAGCGAGACACCAAGCGGCCGTCAAACTCCCGGTACGCGCCCACCGACACCTGGCGGTCCTCGACTACAGACCATCGGAGGAAGGAGCGTGCAAACCTCGGTGCTGGTGGGCTTCATTTCTCTGTCTCAGTGGGTTTTTTGAATATCATCATCCAGAGCCTGATTGATCTTGCTGGTTCCGAAAAAGCCACTTCGGATAAAGAGAGAACCAGAGAGGGCAAGTACATCAACACCAGCTTGCTGACACTTGGAAGCGTCATTGGTACTCTAGCAGAGAATGCTGCAAAGAATAAAAAGTCAGAGACATCATCCTCTGCCATACTTGGAATAATCAAACTGTCTTTCTCAGTGACCACGTACCCTATCGTAACTCCAAACTAACACGGCTGCTTCAGCCTTCACTATCAGGAGATGCTCGAATCTCGGTCATATGTACTATCAATCCCGATGCAAATGCCGTGGCAGAAAGCACGAGTACGCTTTTGTTCGCTCAGAGGATTAAACGAGTGCAGGTTCGTTGTATTGTTACTGTATATTGCTCCTAGGATGCTGATTCCTCGGGCTCCTAGCTTAACGCGAAGAAGAAAGTGATTGTCGATACTGATGCCTTGATAGAAAGATACAGGAAAGAGATTGAGGAGCTCAAGAATAAGCTTTCAGAACGAGAAGCAGATGCGCCTGCTCGAACTCGCAGGCTCTCAGCACGCGAGGTAATGTCTCTCGCTACATAAATATAATTCTTAACTGACTGATTTTTGACACAGCAAATTGATGAATCAAAAGCGATGAAGGACCTCAACGCTCGAATCCAGCAGCTTACGAAACTCATTCTGACCTCTCAAACGGTTGATGAAAGCAAAGGAGATGAATCACGTCCTGCCAGCCCATCCAAAGTTGATTTTGATATGTCACCATACCAGGTTTGTACGCTCGGTACAGTTATACCATTCTATCTCACCGATTCATGACAGCTTCAACAAGAGCTTCTTGCGGCTCGCCTTCAACTCGAGTCACAATCGACTCAAATTCTTTCCCTAGAAACTGCTCTCCTTTCTCGCCCAGAACTTCCACCGGACGCTTCAGAAACCGAGAAAGATAAGCTCATTGCTGAGCAAGCGAAGACGATCCGTGAACTTGAAATTGTAGTACGTGGGTATGAGGACAACCTAGGGGAGCCTCTAAGAGCGGTCAGAGAGGACGTTGAGAAGGAGTGGGTCGGTAAACTTGAAGAGGAAGTAAAGAAGCGAGAAGAAAAGGAGGCTTGGGCGGCCGAACTTGTCAGGCAGCTGGATAAAGAAAAGAAGGTGAGCTCATGCGTGTTAGTATACTTTCTTTTATGGTGCTAAGATCTGGATACAGCTAAGGGTAAAGCTTGAGGAGGAACGTCGTGCTCTTACATCTTTCGTCAGCAAATTCGATTCGCTGGGCCTTGGTTATAGCAACGCATTGCCTTCCAAACTCAAGCCTGCAAAACCGACGCCGGGAGGTGCATCAGCATCATTCGCTGAACGTCAACAGAGCCGAGCTGCAAACGTGACGCCTGCAATTATGGAAGATGCAGAATGCTCCCCCGTCCGTGTTGATTTTAGCAGTCTGAGGGCACAGCCAAGTCTTCTGGATCAAATGCCCGAGGATGAGTGGTGTATCATGGACGATGTAAGTTTCGAGATGGAGTCTGTGAGGCATAAGTCCGGAGGCACGAGGTCGGAGAATCTACTGGCAGACAAAAACGTTTTGTCGAGCAAGGAGAACATACCATTGTAACTTTTTTGAGGTCTGTTGGCGGTAACTTTGTAATATCCATCATCTCCGTATCACTTGTGTACACATCTCATCATGTTTTATGCATTTTCACTTTCATTTCTGTATCATTGGCAATTCATGGATAACTGAGTTGTTCTCGCCCCGTTCAAGAGATCGTTCATGTTCTCCCTCCTGTATCTGACGCTGAAGTTTCTTATGGACTTGAGAACCCTCTGCACAATATTCAATCTATGGAGGATATGTGATATTAGACGAGCCCGTTAAGCTTCTCATTGGATCTTTTCCAGGAAGTCTCATTTAAATCACGTCCACGCAGAAGAGCGAATTTTCAGATAAAAGATTATCCAACAAAGCTATCAACTCCATTGCCTCTGAACCTGCGGTTAAAATTGAATTGCATTGATTAGACGGAAGACCGAAATTGCAGTCGCGTGACGGTCAACTGGCCATATAGATACAGAGATGCAGGGGCATGAGCAATGATAATAGAATTTATGAGATGCAAGCAGGAGGCGGGAAAAGAAAAGAAATCTATCTATGCACAAACAAAATAATGCAACGTGGTATGGAGCAAGCAGGGCGAGTGAAATCAAAAAAAATCTAACATGGTATGAAGCAAGCAAAGCAAATGGAATCAAAAGCGCAGGATGTCCTCTATAGCCTTTCCACAAACTGACACGCATCCTTGAGCTGCTGAGATGTTTGTTCGATCTACATAATTGAGTGTAAATTGATTGTGCTTTTCATGACGTATCAAGCGCTTACGTTCTCGGGAGTGAAAGGTGCGAAATGGTCGCCAGGAATTGACCAAGTCTTTACAGGAGACCGTGCGAGGGCTTCCCATTCGCCAACGACGGCATTGTCGCTTCCACGATGTTGCAACCAGTCAGGAACGTTCAAACCCGGAGGAGCATACCCCTCAGACGAGCGAAGCAGGACTATCGGAATTTCAAGCTTTCCTTCGAGAGATGGTTTGTAGAAGGAAAGGAGTCGTGTGCTTTCTTTGAATTGTTCCGCGATAAGACTGACGGTTCCTGGATCAATGCCTTGAGAGTGCGAATTCGTGACGTGGTCTATGACAGATGATGAAAGGGGTACATGTTTGCCAGGACAAGGAGCGTCGATGAGAACGATGCCACGGACACGAATGCCATTCTGAAGGAGCCTCTTAGCGGCCTCGAATGCCACTACGCCACCAAATGACCATCCTGTATTGCGCCGTTAATAAAGTTCTGCTGAACAATGATGACTGCTTACCGCCAATAATGATCTGCTCTGTTTTCGCAGCCAGAACGACGTTGGCATAAGACTGTGCTATCTGCTCAACGCTCTCCCATTTCCCACCGGTAATCAGACATGGATTGGAGAGGGCAAAGACGTCCCGATGTAACGGCGCCAGACGACTATAATGATTTATCAAGCCGCTGCCATCGTGAATCAGAAGTAGCGGGGCAGCGTTTTCGTCCTTGCTGGATTGAATTCGTGACATGCGAGTATCAAACGATGCGGGTTGTAATGTTCTCGTCGACGATCTTCCCGAGGCTTTCTTGGGGGAGGAGGATTTATCAAGAAAAGCGTTCAAGGAAGCGATGCTGGAATGGGACTCGAATGCATCGTGCGGGAGGTCGATATTGAGGTCGGTTTTGAGTGCATGCAGTGCCTCTAATGAACTGAGGGAGTCAAGGCCGAGGGATTTGAAGTCGGAGTCCTCTTCTACATCGGAAACTGGAAGACCGAGCACCTCTGCGATGATACCTCTCATGCGCATGCATCTGTCACCATCAGACACCGTTTCTGTCGACTCCACGGATCTAGCTGGCGGAGAATGTGATCTTTCCGATGACTTCTGGGGAGTTCTTTCTATGGACTTCTCAGGGGAGGATTTATCAAAAAAAGCGTTCAAGGATGTGATTGTGGAATGAGATTCGAATGCATCGTGAGGAAGGTCGACATTGAGTTCAGTTTTGAGCGCGTGTAGAGCCTCTAATGAGCTGAGGGAGTCGAGGCCGAGCGATTTGAAGTCGGAGTCATCTTCTATATCAGAAGTCGGAAGGCCGAGTACACCTGCGATAACATCTCTGATGCGGGTGCGTCTGTCATCACCGGACACTGTTACCGTCGACGCAACGGATCTAGCTGGCGACGACTGGGGTTTTTCCAACGACCTCTTGGGAGAAGGTGATTTATCGATAAAAGCGGTCAAGGATGCGATTGTGGAATATGAATCGAATGCGTCGTGAGGAAGGTCAACCTTAAGATCGGTTTTGAGCGCGTGCAGAGCTTCTAATGAACTGAGAGAGTCAAGGCCGAGCGATTTGAAGTCAGAATGATCTTGTATGTCGCCAGCCGGAAGGCCAAGCACTTGCGCCATGACATCTTTGATGCGGATGGATACGTCATCTTCAGACACTAAGGTTTCCGGCGAAGATGGTCTGCTGGAATTACCAGAGTTGCTTGTCTGCACATCCCCTTGCGTGCTGGTTGAATCAGTTCGGTTTCGTGTCTGCGCAGGGCCAGAGTCTGCTGCACTTTTCAACGCTAGAGCAAGACCGCCCATACGCACACGCTTGAATTGAATGCCTTTCATGAGCGCAACAACACGGCGAGGTTCTTGGTCTTGGACAGCATAAGCCTCAGCGAGTACGATGTTCTCAAACGACGTCCACTGCCCGCGACAATGAAGAGTGTATGTTTGTGCGTGGTCGATGAACTCGGAGAGCATCTGGAATGACCCGACCTCGCTGCAGATATAAGCATCGCCGATGTCGCCTTGCGTATTTGCCAAGAATCCAACGGAATGGAGGAGGGTGTCGGCGAAGACGGGATGAGCGGCGAAGGAGTGTCGTGGGGCATCTGGAAGCTTGACTTGTGCTATACCATCCATTCCATTCGCGCTGGCAGTCAAGGACTGGATCGTGTGATACTTTGAGGAGTATTCAACGACACGAGGGAAGACGACTTCATATAGGGTTCGAGTGTTGAAGACTTCTGCTTGACCCTCCTTCCGTGAACCAATCTCCGAGACACTAAGTTTGGGCATGAGGCTGAATTCATTGTCGAGACTGGCAGCGACATCCTTGGTGGATTGGAAACGTATTTCTCCGCGGACGTGAACAGATTCATCCGAAGAAGATTGCAGCCTGGATGTCACATTGAAGGAACCGGTACCATCTTGCTGAATGGTGACATGCGTACGGACAACGCGCTTGACCTGGGGATGGTAAACAAGTGGTTTCGCAAAAGTGACCCCTCGGAGGACAGGGAAACTCTTCCCGAAGTCGAGGTTCAAATGGCGCCGTGAAAGATCTGCACCCGAAATGACTTGTTCAAGGTAGATTGATGCTGGGCATAGGTAGTGCCCTGCAACCTTGTGTCCTTCAATGAACGGACCTAGAACTTCGATGGGAGTGTCGAAACTGGCGGAGTTGCCGTTCTCGCGCGATGGGCGCTGTACCCACCACCCAAGCATGGTGTATTCAGATATCATATCAGCTTTCGGGATGATTTGTTGTGGTGCTGTGCTTCGTACTGGTGCTGGTGCCGCGCTTCGTGTAGGTGCTGGTGCTGGTGCTATGGTTTTTGTCGGCGCTGCGCTTCGTGCTGGTGCCACGGTTTGAGGTGACGAAAGAGGTTCAAAAAAAGGCTCCTTGTACGGCACCCAAATCTTGTTCCTCTCGAGCGGGTATGGTGGCAGATCAGCGCATGTAGCTGGAGACAACTCCGCAAAGACATTACGCCAGTTCAAAGGAGCACTGGTTCTGTAGAGCTGGGACAGGCTGGACGTAAGAGTGGCGTCGTCGTTTTTGCTCAACGAAGGCAATAGCACCGCATCGCTGGGAGCAGATGCGCAAGCCCGTACCATCAACAAGCATGACGCTTGGGGTCCCATCTCGATCCAGGCATCTACCTGTGAGAGCGAGGGATCCTTGTACAGGACATCAACAGTTGGGGAAAAAAGAACAGGCTGGCGGAAATGCGAAGCGAAATAGGTTGCGTCGAAGGTCGAAGTGTCTCCTGCGGGAACGACTCGGGCGAGAACGGTAGAACAAACGGACACCTTTGGTGAGGACAAGGGTACAGTGCGTGCGAGTTGAGTAAGCTCATCCAGAACTGGGTCCATTGCTTTGCTGTGATATCCATACGGAACGTCCAGGAGACGGGCCTTGCCACCGGTAGTCGCCAACTCCTTTGTCAGAGCTTGCAGCTGAGATAGCGGGCCGGAAACGACACAGGCACGATCGCTGTTTACGCAAGCGACGGAGAGATCCGAGTATGACCCGGATTTCAGGACGGTATTGATTTGTTGCTCTCCGAGCCTGATAGCCAACATGCCTGTTGCACCCGGCACGCAGCCACGCCATGTGAGACGAGCGCGGGATGCAACCAAAAACAAGGCTGCCTCGAGCGAGATCACCTCTGCAATGACCAGAGCAGCGTATTCTCCAAGACTAGTAAGATAACGTTAGGTATCGGCCATTTACGTATTGGAATAATTCTCACCTGTGCCCAACGACTGCAGAAGGCGTCAAACCCCAATGTATCCATAATTTCGCCAACGCGACTTCCAACGCCATCGTAGAAGTTTGAGACGCTTCGAACTCTTCCATTTCATCTGACCCACTATCCGTGTTCCCTCCAATGATACTTGGAAGGATGTCTGCAAATCCTTTGGACACAAGGTATCGGTGGCATCTGTCAATGCAGCGTCGGAAGACCGGAGAGCTTGTATAGAGGAGCTTCCCCATTCCACGGTAATAGCTGCCTTGTCCAGAGAAGACAAAGACGATTTGACCGAAAGTTCCCTCAACATGAGTCACTTCAGCGCTTGCAAGAGCCTGAACGAGTTGTCCCTTGTTCCCTACGTCGACCGAAATCCTAAAAGGGTGCAGCTGTCTTCTTGCGGTGGCAGTGTATGCGATGTCGCTCATCGGAATCCAGCGATTTCTGGCGTCGTGAAGCCATTCAAAGTAGTGAGAGCGGAGAGTTTCGAGAACCTCGCGAGTTTTGGCAGAGATACCAAAGACGTAAGATGTGCCACTAGCTGGAGCTTTAGTTTGTTTTGGATGATCCTCCACTATGAGAGCTCCATTTGAACCTGATGCTCCAAAGTTGTTGAGCAGCGCCATGCGGGGCGACGATCCGCGCACCCATGGCGTGGGAACCGTGTCGATGACGGTATTATCCTGAGATAGGGGTGTGATACGCGGGTTCAATACCTTGAGGGAGACTTGAGCAGGAATTGTTTCGTGTTGGAACATGAGCAAAATTTTGGCGAGTCCAGCAGCACCAGAAGCAGCCTCCAAGTGACCGATGTTAGCTTTGATCGAAGTGACATGAAGGGGGTTTGCGCTATCGCGCGCACGGCAAAGAACGGCGCGGATGCTCTGGAGCTCGGCAAAATCGCCAGCCTGGGTGCCAGTACCGTGCGCTTCTACGACGCTGATACGCGATGCATCGATACCGGAGTTCTTCAGGAGCCTGTTCATCAGATTGACCTGGGAAGGTACGTGCGGATGGGTGATTGAGTGCGCCTCCCCACTCTGATTGAGATCAATGGCGCGGATGACACCGAGGATGTCGTCGTTCTCTGCAACTGCATCTGAAAGACGTTTGAGGACAAAGAGAGAACATCCTTCTGATCGAGAGTAGCCGTCGGCTGATGCGTCAAAAGATTTGCACTGGCCGGTCGGGCTGAGGAAATGCCCGTGATCCAGGCCAATGAACATCTGCCAGGGGGGTATTCATTAGCGTCAAGGATCGATATCGAGAACACGAAATGTCTGGCTTACATCCGGACTCGACATGACGTTGACTCCACCTGCAATTGCAGCATTGCAGTCCCCATTCGTGAGTGAACGACAGGCTTGGTGGATACAGACAATTGACGATGAACAAGCAGTATCAATAGTCATGGAAGGGCCTCCAAGCTGCATTGCGTATGATATGCGACCACTAAGGAAAGCCTTCAGGGTTCCTGAATATTTGTCAGAATAAGTAATGCATCGAGAAGAAGGCTGCACACCTGTGCTGTAATGCACGTCGATATTCTCCCGTAAATTATCTGCGTAATCATGGGTAGCGGTGCCGATAAAACAACCAAAACTGTCGCGCTGGAAAGACGGAGTAGCATCTGGAACATAACCAGCACTTTCAAGGGCATCATGAGCAGTGTGCAGAAGAAGCCTTTGCTGCGGATCCATGCTCCTGGCTTCTCTGGGCGATACCTTGAAATGTTTATAGTCGAACTCATCAGGACAATCTATAAAATTTGCAGTATGAGCCTTCATCCCCCGGCCACTTTTAGCATTGGCGGATGTATAGCGCTCTACTTCAAAACGGTCTCCTGGAATCTATAACAAGAAAAGTTCAATATGGAATATACCACGGAACACAAAAAAAAGCAGACCTCAGAAATGGTATTGATTCCTCGTTCAAGAAGTTCCCAAAGCTCATTCGAAGTTCTTGCACCACCAGGCAAGCGAAGTGCCATTCCGACGATTGCTACCGGCTCTTGTTTGAAATTGTTCCCGGCCGGACCGTCAGGGCTGCTGGAATTGGAAACAGCCACATCGGTACAAGTGACTTTCTTGGTTGAGAGTGATTTCTCCAGCATTCGGAGAAGACCAGAGCTAGGGCCGAAGTTTAATACTTGTGGGGGAGCATCGGTCGGGACCGCACTTCCAAGCCCCTGTACCACGGACAGCCAGTCTACGGGAGACACGATTATCATGTCGAGGACTGCGTCAACAAGAGAGCCTTCGGAGCTCGGCAACAAAGGCTTGCCGGAGACGGTCGAAAACACGGGATATTTAAGGTTGGAGAACTCAGGGAAGCGAATCGAATGTTTCTTGACGTCAGCTATGACTTGGGCGTGGATATTGTGGAGGACTTGTGCATGGTATAAAGCATCTACGGTTGTTGGATGGATGGTGCAAGATTTGGAAATAGAAATTGAGGACGAGAAACGCTGTAGGATATCAGGGCGACCCGACACGGTGACGTGGTGTGTATCTAAAATAGCCGTCAGGTGAAGGGAAGAAATGCAATCGTTCTGATAGTCCTTGTTTAGCTTTTCTTGAAGGTCACCGATATGAAAAATCCTCTCACCTGGGTTTCGAAATCGGAAATGGAGCCCAAGACATCGGCTTTACTCAAGCCGATACAAACGACGGTCCAAGGGAGTCCTGCATCAGGAAAGCCTGAAACAGATTGAAGCTCTTTGTTTCTATACTGCATAGATCGTACGCCGATCCAAAATGCAAGGCGAAATGCCTCTACTGCATGCGCCATGAACGTAAGCACACTGTTGGAAGCTCCTACGACGCATGCGGTGATTATTCCAGATGAGAAGCCGGTCACTCCAAGACTGTGATCGGCATTATCTGCAAAGGTACTGCGGCCATTTTGTTCCGCTGGTGAGCCCGAGAAGTGTGCGAGATATCTCAGAGCTTGGAAGAGGAAGAGTGAGATGCTGGAAATGACGGGGTTGTTCTGGTAAAGACTCGATGATGATAGAAGCGAGGTGGCTTCCTGGAAATCGGCGATTGAAATACGGGTTTCGTTGAGCTCATCTAGTGTCAGCTTCAAGACCTCTGCATGAAAAGCCTCGTGGCATGAAGCCAACAGCAATTGGCCGGATGGTGAACGAATGTCACGGAGGGCCTGCTGAATAGCCAATGCTATGGCGGCGGATGAAGATCCTTGACCAGGGAACAGAGGTACGATCACGGATGGGGAAGTAATGTTCTCCATCCTATACAGGGGTTGGAGTGATATGGTGTACCTTTGACAAAACGAGTCAATAAAATAAGAAGATGGGTTAAAAGAGGGCGATTACCTTTGGAAAGAGGAACAAGGGTGATCTTGTTGGGATGGATGAAATGGACGTCTCCCTATTAAATACTAGTAGAGTACAGCTACGGGCAAGGTACGAATGCCGTAGAGTCGCAGGGTCTAAAGTTTAAAATAGAATTTGTGGGTCAAATGGTGTAAAGTTTGAGTGAGAAAAGCAGGTCGGAGCCAGTGGATTGAGAATAAACAGCTGCTATATTCACATTGCACGAAGAGGACGGGTACGAACCTGTGATGACCTCCGCGGTCTCTCCCATTCTTGACAGAATGTCCTATTCCAAAGATGCGTTACATAATTAGTAACTCAACTCTGGAACGCCGTACTACTTGGAATCTAGCAGGTATGACGATTGTTTATCACCAGCTGCACTGGAGCAATCGTGGGGCTTTGATGAACAAGCAGTTAAGGAGGTATACCGCGCCCCGAGAGTAGGTTGTGACATTTAGAAACAAGCGTGACGAGGGACCCGTTAGTAGGATTGAGGACAACTAGTGACCGAGGGAAATTTCCGGTGACTAAGAGTACGATTATAGATGCAACTTAATAAGAAAATTGATAGGATGTGATAAGGATCGACGCGGACAGTTTCTGTCATGGGTCGTTTCGATACCTTCTATTTGGTTCCTGAAGAAGTTGTCGCTTGCCAACTCGACCATCTTCAATTTGATCGATATTGTGAAGAAACACGGTAAAATCATAAGAGAGGCTCGAGAGGGACTTGGGGCAGTTGGAAAGTAAACTCGTAGCCAAAGTTTGAAGCCTGAGATTAGATGGGATGACAGCGTGGGTCAGCTGATTAGAAAGGCTAGAGAAAAACACCTTGTTAATGCGTGAGTATGCTATAGTTACTATCTGGGCTGTGAGGTATATATTTTAATCTCAAATAAACTCTTTGACGTATAAATTACAACTTAAACATACGGGTTTATGACAGGGTGGGTCAAGAGAGATACGCTGCGAACGTGTTCATGTTTTTTTAAATTTTGCACCATATCCGCACCCGTAGTCGTGGGAAATATATTCCAAAGTAAATCTGAGCCTATCCGCAGGGACAGCTATGGTACTCAGTTTCACTTTGGTACATTGTAACCTCCTCATGACATAATCATTCGAATATTCGATGTGAAAACGTATGACGATTGTTGCGATGTTCTACTTTCTAAACTATTCACCGGTTATCTGATGTGGGGTTCTCTACTTTCAGATGATACTACAATTACAATGGTTTCCCCAGTTGGTGAATACATGTGACATCGATATCATGATAGTCAATTTCTAAAGAACGTTGACACTGACCGGGTGTAACCGAAGCTTTACAAGTACGACAGGGTTAACCAGCTGCAACCTCCATGTCGACTTGAAAGGAGTTCAAAGGACTGGCTACATATGGCTAGTGCCAGTGTGACACCTGCTGTCTCTAATTGTCTTTCCTGAAGGGGGGTGTTGGGCGCTCTACACCAAAAAATGTAGTGGACGACTATCCTGCGCACGTATTTTAGTTGAATCCGCAGATATACATAGTATCCGCTCCTCGGACTGCCGGGTACATATGTGTGGTCACGGTGTTCATTGGACGGATAAATCCACCATGCACTGACAATTCAAACTCAGCTCGCAGGGCCTACAACGACACCCGCTAAGCTCGCTTCGAATACTCGCTTCATTTGCTAATCTGCAAAACTCAGATCTCGCCGCACCGGAACTTGAACCTGTCATCAAACCATTCAAATCTGCAGATCATCCATCATCCTTTCGTAAATCTCCATTTTCACTCTAGCACCATTTTCCTATCGAGTTCTAGAGTCCATCCGAATTATGGCGCTTTCAACGGATTGACCCGGCATGCTCAGGGTTGTTATTATCATATATCATATCTCAGTGGTCCCCGTGGGGTTGTCTCAGCTAGCAAGTGCTAATCTACGTGCTTGCCATCCATCGATCGTCAGGCTGCTGACGCTCCTCTGTACACCAGGACTGGAAACTCTACCCTTCCACTTGGAGGGAAATAGCACCAAGTAATCGCCGAGACATACGATCCGCAGCCATTAGCTGGAGACTGGAGAGACCAATCAACAATATTTGAGTAGCTCGACGCGGGCGAAGTGCGGCTGTACAAGTTACTCTCGAAGTTATTTCCTCAAGTTCCGTCTATAAACGGTTAGTACCTTGAACGTTTGTACTCTGAAACGTGCCTTCATCAAACCATCCCATCCCCAACAACAGACACCACAACTCAAATCGGGTTTACCTCTTGATCAAAAGAAGATCTGGACTTGGCTGGAGCATTCGAGAGCACTCTAGAATACCTTTCCGATGTAATTTCGCTGGCCAGTTTCACCATCTTGAGACTCCCAGTACTCAACGCGTTTCTTGATCAAGGTGATTCTTTTACCACCTTTGAGTCAGCTTCTACTTCTACTATAATGAATCTTCCATTGCAATGATGACCAGTCAGACTAAGCCGATCAAGCACTGCTGCGTACGTTCATCATCACCGTGGAGCTCGAATTCTTAGTACAATATTGGCTCCCCACTCCGTGCGGTGCGGTTACAATCTTCACAAGCCGCTGACTTTCTCATTCAGGAATTGTATATGCTGTAAGCCTGTAATCCCCTGAATTCGACATGAATAAACAAAGTAATTACATAAATAATTATGGAGCGATAAACCAATAAGAAATCGTAAAGGGAATCCATACACTAGACATTTCGTTGCCCGGCCCGTCATCGACTCGCTTTTCTAATCCTACGTAGATTAGCGAGCTCGCTGAGGAGTTTCGCTCGCTCGTTCAGAAGTGCAACTGTCCGTTCTGTGGGAGAACAATAATCTATATTCCGTATATGTGTCGATGACGACGGCCCCCCCAAGCGGAAGGACGATATCCCAACGTCCGAGAAATTGTCCACCCGGGTTCGTGCCGAAGGTGCACTACCAGGAATGCGCATCGACGTGCGGGGGGTAGAATTCCCGCTTGCCACGGTATTAAGACCAGAACTCCGCCGCCAACAACTTTTGGGCTTGACAGGCGTGCTTGTATTACACTTGTTCGCTGCGAAAGCTTTCATCTCAAGTTCAGAATCGACAGCACTGATCCACCCTTTCAGACGGATGGGCTGAGGCGTGGGAGTTGGGGGCTGTTCTCCTGACGACGTCGATTGCATAGAGTAATCTGCATCTGATACTTCCATCGATTCATCGACATTAGATGCATAAGAACCACCCCGCTCGAGGAAATATGATGGGTCCTCGAGCTCGTGAATACATTGTGGTTGGTGATACACACCACGATCGTCCAGCGCCTGCGTCTCTGTCCGATCTGAGAATTCAGACTCTGCCATGCTCGTGTCAGACTCCATATGTGGGGCATTATGCATAGATAGATCGGTCTGCGCGCTCATAGTAGCAGTAGACCGCGTAGAAGGGGAAGTAACGCGTGGATGTCGCGGGACGTCTGTGATATGCGACAGTTCTACGTTGTAGGAAGGTTCTGGACGGAACAGCGCCGACGATGTAAGATCTACCTCGCCCTCGCTATCATCACCGACGAATGCCTCGACGATGCCTCGTTTCCTCCCAAGCCAGCAAAGCAGCTCACCGACAAAAACTGTCTCCTCCCAACATCCATCCGCCAGTCTGCGTGGATCAAGGTCTGCGAGACCGATGTCCTCGTCTGCTGGGACGACGTCGCATTCGAGTACGCCGAGAAAAACTTTCATCGCTTCTACTTTGGCGAGGGATGAGCGAGAGGCGCGTATTGAAGTTGGGATAGGGAGGCGGGATTCGAGTATAGATTCTAGGATTGCGAGGAGTAAAGAAGGCGCTAGATCCGTCGGGGAAGCGAGCACGAATGGGAGGGATAGACCGGCGAGGAGCGCATTCAGAGTCGGTACGAGGGTTGGTGGAGAAAATGATTGCGAGAACTCTGCGAAGGAAAGTTCAGACATCGAGCGCGTAATATGGCATGCACAGAGCGAGTGGCTTGAAATCGAATGGAGAGTATTACTCTACGCGGGTTTGCTGATTGGTGTAAAGTTTGTGGTCAGAAAACTTGCAGGTGGTCGATCATTGAGTTGAGCATGACCATTTCGAGAACTTGAAGGTCGCCGACTTTCAGCGTCTATACCAAGCCGTCATTTGGTACCGGGTGCAATTACCAAGGATGAACTTGAACTACTCAACTTCAAACTCCATCAGGTCTTTGTTTTTTCGTCAAAAAGCTCGGCTGCCCTATGATCCATCATGATATTCCTCAAAGTCAAAGTCATTTCCCTCGTTCATGCATCCCAGCATTATATACACTGTGACAATCGCAAGTTATCTGAAAGTGCGTGCATATTTCTGACAACAACTTCGCGGTTGGCGTCCTTGTCCTGATGCTCACACTGTTACAAGGCTCCAATGCAGGGGGTTGTCAGACTCGATGACGCTCTGCTGGACTTTTCTGACACGGGCCTCGCTTCGCTGTCAGTTCGCTAATCAACAACGCGTTATACCTGTCTAGGCGCGCAGGCTAATTACGCTGTTCTTTCGTACGGCAACTCATTGATGACATCGTTCCGGGCGGCCTGCAGTCCGCTGCCAGTACTGTCAGTTGGAGGCTAATTACGTTGTTCTTCCGTACGGTAACTCAGTGATGACATTGTTCCGAAGCTTGCAGCCGCTGCCAGTACTGTCAGCTTGAGGCTTCCTTTCGTCATAAACTTTTATTCTGACCGGCGTTACATGTAGCACTCATGGCGCCCGGCAAGAAGTCCCGATACTCCGAGTCTCATCACCTCTAAACTTATGGTTAGTCGAAAGCATGTTACCAGTGAGTGTGGTAAAGCTTTTCACTGCGTCTATATTGAATCCAACAGTATTATTCGGAGTAGCAAAAGGAGACGATTCGGATGCTGATCTTGGTCTCTTTAATTTCTGCCATAAATTTGAGACTGATCGACGACCAAGTATTAATCCCGGATGCTTAAAGCTGACTCTACTAGTTGCGATATACCCGAGCCCGCGACTATCACGACATTCTTCAATGTGCAATTCCGATGAGTCCTCGCATTTCTCAAGAACCTCGTGCTAGTCGTTCTTTCTCTATTTCCCATTAAGCATGTCTTTATGTGCCTCGCAAGAAGAAGCTGCCGGTGATACTCGTTAGCGGCAAGACCTACAGACACGACAAATACATCTGGCTCCCCTTTTCACACAATTTATGAGACCGCGGTTACGGCGACCTATAACGCGACAACGCGACAATATTATTTTTACTTCAACGTAAGTCGCATATTTTTTTCTAGTCCAGTGTGTGAGCAACTCGCAACAGATACGCGGTCCATAAACGAATGTTTTCTCGTCAGTGCCTATGTTCAATCGTACAACGCAGAACGATCGAAAGTATGCAGGATGTACCTGTAAGCAAACCTTTGGCTCTTCCTTGGTCAGGATCTCAGTAGGTTTTTTCAAATATAATCGCAAGTCGACGCTCACTATGAATGTCAATCGATCATAGCTGGCGGAAGTTTGACTCACCGTATGTAAGTCATCGACGATGATATCGAAGCACCCCACCCAAACTGGTTGTTGTGCTACGTGATCGCAATGCTCTTAAACATGACTCAATAAAGGCATTGACGTTAGCCGATGTTGAACGTGAGATGGAGATGAGCTAGTTCTAAATCAAAGTCGGCAAAAGATAGACGGAGAAGAACGTCGAGAATGTAGGAGACCGTGTCGTTATCCCCACTTGCAGTCCATTGCAATCCGCACTGTCTTCGAGCCTTAGTTCAAGGAGCAATTATGGCTGTCGAAAAGGATCACGGTGCTCTGGAGCGAATTGCCTCGCACCGGGAGCTCCTGCACAACTCTAAGAAAAAGGTAAAAGAGGGCCATATATATAAGTATCCGTGCCCGGACCGCAGCTCAGAACGATCCATCTCCAATGGCGGCCACTCTCGTCATCGACATCACGCTGAGTGGCCGCGGCAATTTACGCCAATCATTGCTTACCTTCTCGCGGCCGCAGATGCGATTATTGGAGTGAACTAAATATCTCGTTCTCAGGTAGTTTAAAGAAGCGCGATGGAAGTTTGATGTATCGTAACAAGCCCAACAAGCTGTGGGTCGATGTCACATGTTGCGGCCCGGATTCATAGGAAACCAAAAATGTGAAGAAGTCCCAATTGAAACCCATGGAGTAAAAACCAACATATCGATGACCGGTCGAGTCTGCGGCCTTTAGAAATGAAACCAGGCTCGGTTGTGCTTTGTAGTACGTATCGTACTGACCTCGCGGGAACCGGCGAATGTGATGGACTCCATAGTGACGAGTCGTAGTAATCCTTCTAATTAGAACCTTGACATTGTATTTCTAGTATTATTGATGGCTTCGCGACTACGCGCTCTAACCCAGCGCACGCTTACTCTCCTTACTCTATCTACCGCAACAGCAGCAGGCGCTAGCTACCTCTACCTCAATTCTGGACCTGCCTACCCACAAACAACACACGAGTCTCGACGTCCACCACCATCATGGTCTCCTCCTCCCCGTGCAGCTATGATCGATGCCTTAAAACGCAGTGCCGATCCAAAGCGGGGCGAAGACGATGACACCCAGTTTGATATATTGATCGTAGGAGGAGGCGCAACCGGTGCTGGTGTCGCTGTCGATGCTGCAAGTCGCGGCTTACGAGTTGCCTTGGTCGAGAGAGAAGATTACGCTAGTGGCAAGTCTATTCACTTCCTTCCATGCAACCTCACTACTCACGTTTATCAAAAGGTACGTCCTCCAAGTCAACCAAACTTGTCCATGGCGGCGTGCGCTACCTTCAGAAAGCGATATTCGAGCTTGACTACGAGCAATACAAGCTCGTTTGCGAGGCTCTGCGCGAAAGGAGGATCTTCCTACAGACTGCCCCTTATTTGAGTCATATGCTTCCTATCATGCTTCCCATTTATAAGTGTGTCATTATCTCCAATCCCCCGTTCTCAACCCAATTCCAACTTCCCCATCTATTTACCCCCTCTAGCGATCACCTTCGCTGACGAATAATCAGGTACTGGCAGGTTCCGTACTACTGGTCCGGATGCAAGCTCTATGACCTTCTTGCTGGCAAGGAAAACATGGAATCTTCGTACCTTATGTCCAAGGGCAAGGCCCTCGAACAGTTCCCCATGCTCAAGAGCGACGGGCTCGTCGGTGCCGTAGTGTACTACGATGGTATGTCCCATTTCTATTCCATTCCGTTCTCTTCCTCACCACTTACAGGTCAACACAACGACTCCCGCATGAACCTCGCCCTCATCCTTACAGCTATTAAACTAGGTGCAACCGCCGCCAACTACTGCGGCGTTACCTCCCTCCACAAAGACCCTACCACAGGCCTCATCACAGGCGCACGCGTCAAAGACTACATCGCTGGAGGCGAATTTGACGTCAAAGCCAAGGCGCGTTTCTCCACCCCGCCCGGATAACAGCTAACACCCCAACAGGTAATCATCAACGCCACAGGTCCATACAGTGACTCCCTCCTCTCCCTCTCCACTCCTACACACAAACCCATCGTGCGCGCAAGCTCGGGCGTACACATCGCCCTTCCTTCCTACTACGCCCCTAAAGGCATGGGTCTACTAGACCCCGCAACAAGTGACGGCCGCGTAGTCTTCTTCCTCCCATGGGAAGGCGGCGTCGTAGCGGGTACCACCGATGAGCCCTACGATATGCGCGCGCATATCAAGTCCGAAGGAGAAAAAGATGCGTATCTAAGCGGTGACGACATTCTCCCCCGGGAGTCTGAAATCCAGTGGGTCATAGATGAGGTGCGTGGGTATCTGAGTGGGGACATCAAAGTGCGCCGTGGGGATGTGCTTTCAGCGTGGTCGGGATTGCGCCCGCTTATTTCATCTGGCGCGGTGGGCAGTACGGAGGGGTTGGTGAGAAGTCATGTAGTCAAGGTTGATGAGGGTGGAATGGTAACCATCGCAGGTGGGAAGTGGACTACCTATCGTGCGATGGCGGAAGAGGCGGTCGATGAGGCGATTGAAGTACGTCCCGAGCTGAGGGCAAAAGCTCGGAAGTGTCAGACCCAGGAACTCAAACTTGTAGGAATCGAAGGGTGGGATCGCAACATGTTCATTGGTCTGATTCAGCGCGTGAGTATCAACCATTTTCTCTCTAATGCATTTCACATTCCGTATTACACATCCGCTGCAACTCTTACTGACGTGCACTGCAGTACGGCCTCCACCCAGAAGTCGCACAACACCTCTCCTCATCCTACGGTTCACAAGCATGGACGCTTCTCGCGTCAACGACCCAGACGGCCGCTTTGGACCCACACCGCCCTCTCTCCGCCCCGTATCCTTTCACACACTCCGAAATCACATACGCGCTCACGCATGAATACGCACAGAAACCACTCGATGTGCTCCTGCGGCGCACACGCCTAGGTTTTGTCGACGCACGTGCAGCGCTGAGTGCACTACCAGATGTTGTACGGGTCATGGGCGATACCCTGGGGTGGGATACGAGACGAAGGGATGATGAAGCGAGGAGAGCAGAGGAGGTGCTGCGCGGGATGGGTGCGGGCGGACAGGTCGAAGTGGGTACACCTTCATCGGTAGAAGGTTGGTCACGCATAGGAGAGGTACAGCGGAGTGTGTGTGCACTGTTCGGATTTTGTTCTCCGCTTTTACGCCCATTTTCGGGTGCGGCAACGTATCCGCGTGCGTTGTTTCAGCAGGGGGAGATTGAGGCGATGCGGGAGGTGTTTGGGCAGTATGCACACATGTCTGGCGACTCTGGCACCGATTCTGAGCCTGGTTTACGTTTGGGAGCACAGGAGCAGATGAAGATGCCTGTATCGATGATACGAGAAGCTGTGCGGTCTGTTGCGGGGCTTGGGTATGCTTATGATGGTGTGCGGGAGTCGGACTTCCGATATGTTCTAAGGGAGGCAGGGCTTTCTGATTCGCCTGAGGGAAAGGGGAGGAGAGACGTAGATTTTGAGGAGTTTGTCGAGGTTTGTTCCTATTCCATCTCCCACTTCAACTTCGTAGTGTCTATCGTACCATTTCATGCTCACGCTCACACAAATCTTAACTTTGCAGATCTGTGGAGACTTGAAAGACGTGTCGATCGCACCTGCTGTGAGCAAGAAGAGTGTGCAGAGAAGGAGGATACCTGTTGAGAAAAGTGGTGGAGGTATTTGAGGTTTAGTGTTGACACATTTACTATCATGATGTTTTTCCAGCTTTAAACGTTAAACAGTTGTCGGTTCGAGGTTTTGCACAATTAGAGTTTTCTGTTACAAATATTACTCACGTGTCACGGACCGGAAGCAATTCACGTCTCCATGGCCGCCTTCCTCAATGGCGAAGCAACATTCACTCTACAGTGTCCTGCGCACTGAATATATAGCTTCGATACTCTTAGCATCAAGCGCTTCTGCTGAGTGCTCCACGCGCACGTTCCTCCACCTGTCATAACTTCCCACTCATATCCGGTTGCGACTAGTTGCCCATCTCACCTTGTAAAGAGATCAGACCGCAAAATGGAGACTAAAGCAGAGTTGTCGCCTCTTTCTGAACTGAACTCCGGTTTTACGTTCTGAGCTTGCACTGTAATCGTTTTGCAGATCCTTTGCTGCACATCCAGCGGTTCAAGTTATCCACTGCTCTTCCAAATAAGTCACATTAGCCGACGAAAAATTCATCGTTGATGGGACAAAGATCAAGAATGATCAAGACCTGGCCATAATCATTCCAATATCACTGGCAATTCCCTCACCACAAACGATCAGATGTGACCGGTCTCCAGACACGTTGACTCAACCAACTTCGATGTTCGGGACAAAACGTGATCGCCGTCGTATGCATCTAACACCGTTGATGATCAGACGTTCTATAATGACCTTAAAGCCCTGGATCATCGGATGGTGGTGGTGTTTGCTCAGATTTACTCCCAAGCTGCCGTACGGTGACTTTTTCTGTCCGGGGTGCCCAATTATGGGGATGACTGTTTGCTTGAAATGGAGAGTACAAAGGTTGGAAGCTTATACGTACTGTCCGGGCCGTTGTTCACGATAATCAAGCAGCTGCAAATTTTGGGCTGGCAACAATCGAAACGGAATCTAATGTGAGCTTTTGTTAGATATAGTTGAAAGACTTGACTCAATAAGCACCAGCTAGTTACCCGGATAGATCGTGGACCTTGTTTACGAAATGTGAGCTCTCTGATATCATGGCATCTGAAGTACAAGCGAAAGTCTTCATTGATGTCTGGTGGTGTGATAAGATAAGTCTGTGCTACCTTTCGTTCCGATTCTTCTGGTGCTACATCACAAGATTCATATCTTTTATCGTGTGTGTAGTACGTTCAAGCGGCACGGTGAACGTACCATTTGTAAGAGGATGTGGATCGTAACACTATGTTCTAACTTCTTTAGTGCCAGCTGATAATACGAAGAGCAACATTGAATACGCACGGTACAAGTAACCGCATACCTTCTTAGCCATGAGCTAATCCATGAAAATAATAACGTTCCGTTCAAGGCAAGATTCACTATCGAGGTCGCAGAGGGAAGGTGTTTTGCGCGCTGATAACCTTGAAATATTTGAGTTAAGTACTATCAAGTACAGTACAAACTTAACTCCTCCAAGGCGTCGTGTGGTTGTTTCACATTGGTTCGTCAATACGCATTAATGTCGATTGGAAGGGCTGATGTACTGCGCAATCAGCGTGCTCAATACTGTTTTTGCCCCGTTCAGCAGCTCTGTCTCTTCCCTAATAACAGCTTCTAGTTTTTTCCAACCGACATCCAATGGCCAGGGGATCTACTTACTATATATACCGATCTAATCTTGAACACCTCTCTTAAAGTGTGGTGCAAACGCCCTAGTGTGCGGACGTATGTTGGGCGTCGTGTTCGTTACAGTTCAGCATTGGACTAGCTGTACACAATGTCGGCCAGTGGGCACTACAGAATGATTACTCACAGCATTGTTCATTAACAGGCAACTCCCGGTTAATGGGGGCCAAAAATTGGTGCATCGAATACACCTCCAATATTAGGTGAGTATTATATTCATTGCAGCTCCGCTTTTCACCTACTTCATAGAATGTCAGCTATCGGGCACTCCCGAATGTCCGCAACTGTATCATTCCACAATCCACAGTGTTCTGCCACAGTAAATTATGTGGCATATAAAACCTCCGTACCCGGCGACGGTTCTCTTTAAGACTTAAGTCACTACACTGATCATTCAGAATGAACCCCCTCATTTTCACCAACGCTTTTGCATCACTTCACATCGGTGTCAAAGAATGCTTTTGCGGCAAACCGACTATCGAAGATCATGATTTCTGCTTTTGCTCTCCTGAATGTGCTCGCGCGGATTCCTTGCGCGCCCTAGGCGGTCAAGGTTCTTTTCCCCCACATTTATTGTCATTCTAGGCTGACCTATCGCGATCAAGGTGACTGCCATTATCGCGACGTCATGCAGAGAGCATATGCCAACTCGGATATTCCAAAGCATGGGCTATTAAGGCCTAAGTCGGCGCACCAGCTTCGCAGTGCTTCAACCTCGAGGCATATCTCCGTGACAGAGCATGCTATGCTTCAACCCGATAGAATGAAGCCCTTGCCCACAATTCCAGAGTCGCGGAACGAATCCGTTGATGGACGACAATCCCGTCTTCGGACCTTCAAGCGCTCCTTGCAGTCTAAAGCAGGGCTTAACAAGAGTATTTCTAATTCGATCGTTGCTCTTTTCCGCAAAAAACAGGCTTCCAAGCCTGATGCGAAGATTCGAAGAGAACCATCGGTAACTGGAGCGGTCTTACAAGAAATAGAAGAGGAGGAAGAGGAGGAAGAGGAAGAGGAAGAAGAAGAGGTCGCTTTGGAGAGACGTCTGAACCACACGGAGGATAGGTCAAAGTCCCCTACCTCGGTTCACCATCAAGTTAGACAGACGACAGCTATTCGGCAATCACGTATCGTTCGTCGCTCGGCTTCGTTCGCAGGCTTGGACAACGGCAAGAGGGGATCTGTGATGGAAGCAGTGTCCCAACTTCGTCAAGCGTGGAACGAGATGGATGACTTTATGCCGGACTTTGATGAGAGGTCAGACGATGAGGATTGGTGAGTTATTTGAGATTGACACAGCGGGGAAACTGATGCGTTTTTCTGCCAGTTAAATCACATTCTAGAGTGCTATGGAATGCTCTAGCCAGGTCCAGACCTGCGTTTGATTGAAGATAGAACGTTGAAACCCCCGATGTATGATATGGATATGGATATGCTACACTATGTACTGCGCTGCGATTACTTATTGACTCTTATTACACGACTACTTATGCCACGACTCGAACGTCGATTTCTTTTCCTACTTATTACACGACTACTTATGCCACGACTCGATTGTCGATTTCTTTTCCTACTTATTGTACAACTACTTATGCCACGACTCGAACAACGATTTCTTTTCCTACTCATTGTACAACTACTTATGCCACGACTCGAACAACAATTTCTTTTCCTACTCATTGCACGACTACTCATGCCACGACTCGAACGACGATTTCTGTATCTTTGGCTTCTCGATATTTGTACCTATGATCATCAAGCTGCTGCGATCCGAAACAGGAAGGTGTTCAAGAAACGAAGGATGACTCATCAGCGATCGCTTGTCGACGTCCGGCTAATCGTGCAATATTTCTCCAAAACGCCTCCCTTGTAGATATTGTTAAAGCGAGCACTCCAACAGCATAATTCTCTCGTACGACGCATACCATCACCTCCCCCCTACCGACTCTTTCTGTTGCATACAATCATGTTTTCCGACGCTCTCTTGACCCAGATCTTAGCCCAACTTAGCGCACTTCAGGTCTTCAACAGCAGACCCTACCAAGTAGGTACAAAATCCTTCTAAACTAAATAAGTTTCCTAATATTTAAGCTTATAATTTGAGATAATACTCGAAGATTATGATGCATTTCCCCTGGGAGGTTTTTCGAAACCCTGATGCTAAATATAGTTACGGAGCTTAAATCCGTGTTGCACTCAGAATTCTCATCCACCAAAAGACGCGTCTAGATATCCCTCCTGCAATTTGGTCGAAGGCGTGGATTTCCGGCGTTCTTATTCATTCGAGAAGTAAAACTAGCGCTCTCGTCGGGCCATCAAAACACCCGACAAACTACGACGAAACCCGCAAACGAAAATCTATCTCCCATAATCATCCACCTCCCTCTGCTCTTTTGAATATATCATTCATGTATCACACCAAGGCCCTTCTTGAGTGCAGTCCACATATGTCGTGCCTTCTCTTTGGGAGTTATATCTTCCCGCATGTTTCTCTGCATGTGATTTGACGAGGGATTTCCGGCTAATATCATTCTGTATCTCGACAGTTCTGGCGATAAGGAGTGTGAAGTAGGATCACAAGACTGTGCTAGTGTGGGTCTTGTATACCTATACCTTTCATGCTTGCGGTAATATCATAAAATTCCGCCCATATAACTTCATACGGGAAGGTCTTAGTCTGACGCTTAGGCTATGTACTATGAAGCGACATGTGCGCAGCATCTCGGCGTCCTTGATAGCTAAGGCGTCCGATTGCTCCTTGGGAGGCTTGTTTGGTATGCCAGTATGCCGGGCTCTTGTCACCTGTAATGGCCATGTGCATCTGATGTCAATTCAAATTACCGGTCTATTGACCCATGAAAAGCTCATTAAGCGAGGTGACCGTTTACTACCTCCCTCCATTCCAATAATTAATCATGGCCCCCGCATCTTTCAAGATACCCTTGTACCAAAACTGTCATGAGCGAATCTCGTGCCTATCGCTATTCTCGCGCAATGACACTCCCTTATTGTAACCTTGCTCCAATCTCCACCGCGCTGCGGACCCTTGGCGAAAATTCTTCCCAAGGAAGTCGTTATCTCTTTGACCGAGTTCAGCGGAAAGACTACGCACTCACGGTATTATGATAGGTGTGCGTCGTTAAGATGTGCAGAGCCGGATATACGAAAGGGCATCTCATAGATGCGCAAGAGATGGGCTTTAGTAATGGAGAGCACTGGTGTTAGGAACACTGAAGACGGGCACAGTGTACATGTCCAAATCGTCGGATCCTTGTCAGGTCTCATGCGAATCTGGGAGAAGAGGTAAGGAAATCATATTTACACCCAAAACGAGCATACTGACATGGGCTTTGATATTCCTAGATACTAGTAGTTTCCACGCAATCAGGAAGGGATATCAAATAGAATGAGCTATTGAATGTCTATCGTCAACCTATTGTGTTAACCTCATCAAGCGTGATGTTGTGAGGTGAGCAGAATACAATACTACCTGCCAGTTAGTCTGGACGACACGAACGCTGATAGATGCAAGATCTATAACCACAAGTACATGATCCAACCTACCGGCATGCATATATCACCAGAATTCGTCACATAGTTATTGGCTTTCGTCTTCATGGTGGAAAAAGTCGGCGGGTGCGTGGTTATTCAGACTCAGATAATAACTCGTCAACACTGCATGATTTAAAGTGTTCTAAGCCACAAGAGCATTGGTACGTCGGTCGTATCCTCAACAGAGCTACATAAGTTCTAATACCTGACACACCGTGTCGCTCTCGATCTCGAGTCAATACGAGCACCCCATCACGGTGAGGCTCCAGCGAAAGGTATAGACCTAGCTATGGAACATGACGCAGCCCATACCATTGGGCTTCTTGAAGTTGTTTGAGTTGTGCTGTCCCTTAAGCTCAGATAGCCACCTACTTGTACATAGAAGAAATATAACTATCAAAATGGAGTGTTTCGATCATCTGTGCTATCAGTATCGGCGGGAGGTTCGTTCCTTGTCTGTCCCTTTGTCTTTTCTGCGCAGTGCTTATCATTCACGGAACACTGACAGTCGTATTGAGATGACAGAGAGCCGAAATACGACTTACATCATCATTATGGCATGTTCACCTTCCTCCTCGTCGTCTTCTCCTGCGCTGGCTGTTCCCTTATGGTGCTATAATTTATGGTTATGTGTATCCAAGCGATGCGACTGGTGAGTTTGAGCGAGAACAAGCGTACGTAAGAGTACAGGTCCAAGGAGCTTGCAGTGTGCACAGGTTTCCGCTACTTCATCGCAACCAAGTTCGTTGCTCTGATTTTTATGTGCGTGCGCATTGCGATTCATACTTATCTACCTGGACTTTGCTAATGAAAGGCGCAGATAACTTGTCATCTTCTTGCGCCCACTTGCGCTATTCAGCTCCATCCACCCCGTGTTCCTGACAGTCCTCGTGTAACTTAGTTGTGGTGTTACAGCATGACAGACGATGTGGAACAGTGTCGAGCGGCATTGAACAGATACCCTCTCGGCCATTCTGATCGACCACAGTCTCTCAACAATCTTGCCATCTGCCTTCGAAACAGATTCATGCAGCAAGGCGCCCCATCTGACATTGATGAGTCCATAGAGCTCCATCGGGCTGCACTACTCCTTCGTCCTCCCGGACATTCTGATCGACCAAAGTCTCTCAACAATCTCGCCGTCAGCCTTCTAAACAGATTCACTCAGCAGGGTATCCTGTCTGACCTTGATGAATGCATCGAGCTACATAGGGCTGCACTACTACTTCGTCCTCCCGGTCATTGTGATCGATCACATTCTCTCAACAATCTTGCTGTTAGCCTTCAAGACAGATTCACTCAGCGGGGTGTTCTGTCTGATCTTGATGAGTCCATCGAGCTACATAGGGCTGCACTACTCCTTCGCCTCCCCGGTCATGCCAATCGACCACATACTCTCAACAATCTCGCCAACAGCCTTGGGAACAGATTCAGTCAGCAGGGCGTCCCGTCTGACCTTGATGAGTGCATTGAGCTCCATCGAGCTGCGCTACTCCTTCGTCCCCTTGGTCATTCGGATCGACCATACACTCTCAACAATCTCGCCAACAGCCTTCGAGATAGATTCATTCATCGGGGTGTCATGTCTGACCTTGATGATTCTATCGAGCTTCATCGTGCTGCACTACTACTTCGTCCTCCCGGTTATCCTGATCAATCGCACTCTCTCCACAATCTCGCCGCCAGCCTTCAAGACAGATTCACTCATCGGGGCGTCCTGTCTGACCTTGATGAGTGCATCGAACTCAATCGGGCTGCACTACTCCTTTGTCCCCCCGGTCATTCTGGTCGATCGAACACTCTCAACAATCTTGCCAACAGCATTGGGAACAGATTCAGTCAGCGGGGCGTCCCGTCTGACCTTGATGAGTGCATCGAGCTCCATCGAGCTGCACTACTCCTTCGTCCCCTCGGTCATTCAGATCGATCACACTCTCTCCACAATCTCGCCGTCAGCCTTCGAGACAGATTCACTCAGCGGGGCGTCCCATCTGACCTTGACGAGTCCATTGAGCTCGATCGGGCTGCACTACTCCTTCGTCCCCCCGGTCATCCTCTTCGATCGTCTTCTTTCAACAACCTCGCCAGCAGCCTTCAAGAAAGATTCGCCAAGTGGGGCGTACCGTCTGACCTTGATGAGGGCGTCGAGTTTCTTCGGGCTGCACTACTACTTCATCCTCCAGGTCATTCTAATCGATCGCAGTCTCTCCATGATCTCGCTGAAAGCCTTCGAGAGAGATTCATGTAGCATGGGGTCCAGCTTGACCTTGATGAGTCCATCGAACTCAATCGGGCTGCACTACTCCTTCTTCCTGCCGGCCATTCTCTTCGATCGTTAGCTCTCAGCAGTCTTGCCAACAGCCTTCAAGACAGATTCAAGCAGCGAGGCGTCCCATCTGACCTCGATGAAACATTTAGCCTGTTCTCACAACTCTCTCGCATATCTTGTGCAGTGACGACTGCCACCCTGTGAACGTCTAGACCATGTTCTCGTGCGCGAATCGATCCTAATCGATGTTCGTTTATGATTGCAGTCAGCGAAGTCAAGAACATCAAATGTCGTCCGACGCCGTCACTGGATTGTCTTGCAGTGCCATTTTTTTTGTAATTCCTACGTACTATACTACGTGCTTGTGCCTTCAACCAGATGCTATGATATCTGCAACATGCCAGCAGATCTTTCCAGTTAATAATGTCTATGAGCAATTAATGGTGTGGAATCCCATACTCTTTGGATGGCAGACTGAGATAGGTTCACTGAAGAGGCGATCATCTATTTCGGTGAGTTCCGCTCGTAGTACTTTACTACACTGATCATGTTCTCCGCTACATACTACTAGCGTAGTACTTGCACATGTGTCCACTGATCGGACATACGCCTCGAATCACAACAGGAACAACTTCCAGAACATTCGCATTTCTAACCAGCTGTCAACTTGGTATCAAATGTGCTCAACATCTTGGGGTGTCCGTATGAATTGAAACTTTTTACATGGTTACTCAATTTAATGGCTACAGCTGTACATAACCTATTTGGTATGCTGGGCAAGAATCGGATCGTTGCACTCATGATCAACGATTTACCGCTTGACACGATAACGGCTTACCCGACATACTCGTGCGCACATAGTATAGTAAGCATATATACTAGTCCATACTTATACTTACGAATTTATATACTACAGGCACATATATTATAGGCGATAACCAGAATCAGCTTTTCTGCTTACCTTGTGCTTATCTAGATCTTGTCGGACGTTTTCAAAACAATTAGAGTCAACATTCGAAGGAGAGAGTGGTATAAGGGACATAGTAGGTGTGTTTTTTTTATTAGGTGCAGTACTTATGAATTATGATTGTTCAATATGCAGGCTCATGTCCGTCACGGCGATTCAGCAGGAGTAACATTTACTGACGCTGCGTGGTGGACTGATATGTACAGCAGTATATATCATTATCCGTGCACGTCTCATCTAGCATTTCCCAATCAAACGAAAATCACGCCCGCTTGATGTTTTTCTGACGGTGCCACGATCAAACTCTAGAAATCACTAGTAACCCGCTCGTCAGTACCAACGGCCATATTGCAGCGATATGAAAGCAGAAACACAACTCACTGTGCAGAAAGGAAATATCTGCCATGCAGGTGAGTCATATCATGAAGTCCAAACCATCGATACTCACGCAAATCCCCCAAGTGCAGTCGTTGCAATTGTTGTCAATCCAGCAAAAGACGGGACAGTCCTTGGCATCAGCCTCAACTAGCGTGGCGGAGCTTGATAGCACCAACGCAGCAACGGTGGCGAGGACAATCGCAAAGGAGAAACGCATTATGTATGAAGATTTTGATATGGAAATTTGAAAGGTTAGTAGGAAGACGGCGGCTTGCTTTTATATGCTGAATCGCGTTCCTTATGCTGTTTGGAAGAGCCTATCCGTCCATAGTCCACCATAATTCCCTCAATAGCCTCTCATTCGACCATATAATATATGATACATGCGATGCCAGCAGACTGTCATTTGGCAATTTGGTTATGGATTCAGCCATCAAAAAATATCTCCGTGGGTGAATCTGAACGTCAAATCCCGCTACCCGCATGCATGATGCAAGATGATTGAAAGAAAGACCTCTCGATCCCAGAATATCCACTCCCATCCGAACATCCAAACCCTATTTGTGCCAGCACAGCCATCGTTCCCATGCACCACGTCGGAATCAAATAAATACTCATATCCCACACGCCCCCACTGCGTGGAGCCACCTTGCACACAACGCTAAGGATAATCTAAAATATATCAGCACTCGCAGCTGCTGGATCGGTGTCAATTGTGTCCACCCTGGTGCATATTTGCAATCTGTTGGCGTGCCCTCCTTTTCACTTACAAGTGGCCCTTCCGTTGTATTCCACGACACTATCAGTTGTACATAACTACTGCCCGCACCTTCCATGGCTTACTCGGGTTTCAAATGCGTTGGGGTGTCAACATGAGAGCAAACACTATTGGAAATACGACAGTTACATTACTTTGCCTGACGTCGGTGACTTATCTGTCGTCGTTTTTACTTGTGGAGCTAATACAGCTTCCGAGAAATTGACGCACCTGAACAAACACCAGAATGCTTAGTGATGTTTACTGTACCCAGATTTCCTCCCCGTCGACTGGATCTCAAATAAATGGTACACGAGTACGAATAAAAGCTCTACATTGTCGATTCGTTGAAGTCCGACTGCTCAACAATCTAGAATACCATTGTATCGCATTTTATTTTCATCCTTCGAGTTACCGCTCAAGCTGAATGGTGAATATTTGAATCGCACAGTTTCCTTTGAGACTAGCTTAGGCAACTACTTTCAAGCTTATCTGGTGCAAATAATAATGTTCATCTGCCTGCTTTTGTAGTGGAATGACATAAGTGTGACAATAAAAAGCAATGACCGACTCGGGAGGTCACTGCTTGTGTTAAATAAATAGCACGACGCATCCTCGAACAAATTTCTCCTCCCTGCAGGCCACTCAACAATTATGTCACTACACATTACTGCTAGTTGATACATGTGCACCCTCCTGGAAGATAATCGAATCCATGCTTATTTCTGCATCGGAGTCGGCCACAAGTTCGGCGTGATATTCTCGAACGCTAAGGATGAGACGTGGTCCCAACACAAACATCTGCAGGACTAATAAAACTTGAAAAGCATCATCGGATGTCAGAACTCCCGTAGAATCTAATTGCTACAGAAACGATGAGCAGTAGTTACAAGCAAATATCAGCGAAAGATCAACATACCATGAGTGAAGATACATTAAAGAACTCGAAGCAAGTGACACCAAAAAAGCTAACACATGCAGTATTTGAGCAGAAAAAATGGCCACATTCACATTACAAGCTCACCATGCGAAATAAAGCACGTGATATTTTATCAGGACTCTGAAACAGTTCCCGATGGCCAATCCCGTCGATGGGCCGAATCGTCGCAGGTCACGGAAGTGTTTTGCGGCAATCCAAACTGCAAGACACAGCACGAGGACCTCCCAAACAGTGTAGAGCATCCAATACATTGAAAACAGCAACAGGACGTCCCCTTCATATTGATAATTGCACATATACGTGCCAGAGAGTATCAACTCCTCTGGGTTCGTCCAATAAGCCGTGTTCTTTCAAGTCAACCAACGGTAAAGCTTACCCCATACAACATCCTTGACTGCTATTGGCGCGATTACTCCACCGGCAATGATAACAACCAGATAGATAGTAGCAAGAAAGATGAGCATCATTCTAGATCCCTGATACATGGCATGTAGGCGAGCAATCATGATGACTGGCATCGTGTTTCAATCGAATCAATATCGCAGAGGTATTTCAGCTAGGTAACTCACCGCACAACATAGCATATACGACCACCCCTATCCCATTCCGTGCGTAGTACACAATGTTGCCTGAAACACCCAGTAAGTGAAAAGCTCTTGTACTAGTATCAAAAGCTATGACTCACACCTATTGTCATTATGTTGAGCCAAGTTCAATGGTCAGAATCTCACTCACCCCTACAAATTAGCGTACTCATTAGATAGGAATGAGATGATTGTGGAATACTCACTGCATCTGTTAAGGAGACCGACGGCATATTTTCTGTGTGTCGCTGGTCAGAATACTTGAACACAGCACATACGAGACATACCCAAAACATTAACACTAATTGTGAGAGATGAACTATTAGCACAATATCAATTTCTTGACCTCGACACGTACATAAGATATGGTATTTTAATATAGCGTATCTAGAACATTGGAGAGTCAGAACAATTTGCCAACCATCATATAGCACAATATGAAGTACGAACAGCCAAGTACAGCACAGTCATGAGAGACCAGCCTTGCCTCTGTCGTGAATTAATTGTATTCTCCTGCTTTTCTTCTGATACGGGGATCTTGTCACTCACCCAGACCAGTTCAATCTATGATGCCTTTCTTAGCAAGTTGGATGCTCCGGCGATAATATCGACCTACCTCTTGTCCTATTGTTAGTGCTGGAGATATCATGAGAATATCAGCGGTTTTTGAACAATGTCCCGCTCACCAGAATCGTATACCACCAAGACGCCGGCGGCAACTGCAAAACTGCGAGTCAATGTTAGAATTAGACGTCTTGATACTACGAACCCATCCAATAGCTGAAAGTGATATTTGAATCGATTACTGGCCACCAACTGGGATCGTTGAAGACTACAGTCATATTTGAGCGGTGGGTGAGAGCGAGTGGGGAATGCGGTGTCACATCACGATACTTAATGTACCGCTATCAGGGCTCCTTTGCCAAAATTTACATGATGGCATCATGGAGTGGGCATTTGATCCTGCTTTGATTGGGTGAAGTAGTAAGTATTCCGGTGTGCCGTTGATTAGCGCCACGACTTACATAGTACTAAGATAGACCGCAGTCGTTGGTGGTACTAGCAACCAGGAGTAATTTATGTAGGGCCATCGATCTAGTATCTACTACACCGTGACCTAATACCGTGACAGAGGCGCCACAGCCACCGGAATATTCCGGCATCTATGCTGTCAGTTCCCCGCATTCATTTTTCCCTAACCACGTCCTTGCTTGAATAAATCTTTCTTCATACCTACTCACCATTGCAGACCCCATACGGCACGATCGAATTCGTAAGCAGGTGTCCCACATTCCCGGAGCGGCTGCACCACAGCCCGACCTAGCTAGTAAATGGTGTCAGCGACTTGAGCTATAGGGTTAGGGATAAAATTAATCGACAAATTATTAGCCTGCTTTTTAGCCAGGCGGCTCTTGGGGAGTTATTAACTAGCGGATTATTAGCCACTTTTTAGCAAGTCACGTGACGTTGTGTTTAGCGGGCAAAAACATTGCTAATGACCTAGCTAGCCGCTCATGGATCCCATTCTTCCGGCCAGTCGTTATCGACGTTATCATTCCCCTCGATCTCAACCTCAGCTGTGACTTTGCCTTTTCCCTTGTCTTTGTGTGTGCCACCAGGACTTACCTCCGCCAATACAGCCAACAATCTCTCTGCACTGAGATCTATCTCAGATTCGACGTTGAAATCAGCATCATTGCATGCGGTGAAACTCTCTTCCGCATTGTCCAACCAAGAACTGGACTCATCATCTTCGATTTCTTCATCTCCTCCAGCACTTTCGGTCGACAACAAGCTGTTCCTCGTATCATGGTGCTGTTTGCCTACTTTCGGTCCGGACCCAAACAGTTGGGCGTCGAGGCCATAAAAATTGATGCTCGGACGCTCTGGATGTTTGGACTATGCTTGTGTGAGTGTGAGCCAAAGAAACTTGGGGGTTTACTTACAGTAGAATCATACATGTACCACTGCCGGATCTGTGTCATGTTCACAAGTGTACTAACATTTTGACGATTTCGCAGCGCAGAGTTCATCCGCGTGAATACTGACATTGTGCGCTCTTCTGGCATTGAGCTTGGTCGGACGGAAAATACCTTGACAGCGAGGGTCTTTACCGGAGTGAGCAAACCAGATTGTGTATACAACAAATGGACTGACCGCGAGGATATTTCCCTCAGGAATTCTTGTTAAGTGCGTTCACCATGACAGTGTTGATTGACCATCTTCGAGGGGGGTATCAAATGGATACTGTCCATGTGCGTAACGTTCAAATTGCCGAAGGAACGATTGCTGAGCCTCATGACTAGTTAGTTTTTTGAGAATCACATTCTCTTTTGATTGACTCCATTGGGATTGGTAATGAAGATAGGAGTGCGTGACCAGTTGGGATGGGGTGTGGGGGTTCCAAGCAGAAGTATTGCTCAATGTTCGGCAGGTTAGCCTGAGGGATGGAAGTGATAGATGGAATCGCAAATTTGATGAATGCAGAGATGGGAAGGTCTGAGGGAGGGAAAAGTGTTGCAGTCAGGGACTCCGGAATGTCGGAGTACATCAGTGTCCCAGAAGTATACTCACTGGAACGCTCAGTGTCGTCGTGCAGCTCGATGACATCCATGGTGATACCTTGCATGGGTTCAAGGTTGAAAATTTGACAGAACTTAGGACCTAAGGATTATCATTGAACGCGCAGGCTTGCACCAATTAGAAAATTTGAAATAAATATATGGTAACTAGTTCATTATATGTCAGGAATTTAGCCTTCCGACACGATTCCTGACCTGAATCACCTGATTGACAATGTACCTCTGATATATGACGCACAGGCAGCCATGGGCAGTTCTTAGCATTATTAGCATGGTGATTTTTGGGATTGAATTATTAGCGTGTTATTAGCTTGCTAATATCTCGCTAATTAGCACCCGGCTAATAAGCAACGAGTTTTCTCCCGAACCCTATTGAGCTAGACGAAGCTGGAGCACCAGCGCCTCCACCGATGATGTGCATACTTGTCGGCATACATGGCGATCAACTCTTGTTGACAAGGAGACTAGTGCAGAAAGATGTGACTGAGGACAATTGTTCTCACTTCCAAAACTTGTAGGTAAGCTTCGAGAATAACTCGGGTCGGCGGCACTGGAATGTTGATCATCCGTAAATAAAGGCAGAGGTGGGTGAATCAACGCGTCATCTTCGGGTACCTGCTGCTTTATTAGAGAATGTAGAATATTAAACGCACGTCGGTCGGCTTACTCTGACGGTTCGGGACGATCCCTGAGTCTAGCTGCAGTTGTTTGTAGTCTACGCGCCAATCCCGTGTTGGGATCAGGAGAGCGGCAAGGTCATCTTTCGTAACTCAGCACACAGGATTTCCGCACCCGGGCCCAAGACGAATATAAGGGTTTGGACATTTCTTCAGAAATTGAAAATTAAAACAGCATTAAACTGGTCGTGCACCTAATTGCTTGAACTTGAAACTGGCCCGGTGATCCGACACCTGCTACAACAAGTTTCGAACTCTGGCCCTTTCCTCTAGTTCGGCTTTGATTCTTCCATCGGACTCGCCGGAAATGTGATCTCCACTGTCACGAAAGCGACTGCCAGCTCACCGCCTTGATATGCCCCTTCCAAACACCTTCGATCTTTTCATTAATAGCACCCCGCCGCTGAATACATCTCCGCCTTTCCTTGCGCACGCTCTTCCTATCTGGTGAGAGCGCCAGTGTACACTGCATATGTGCTGCCGCCATCCCCTTCCCTGGCTTCCCAAGGTTCCTCAACAATAAGACCTCTGCTGCAGTTCCACTACCGCATCCTGACGATGTAGATGTTATCGTACAATAAAACGAAATTCCAATTCTTGTTCACATGTCCCTCAAATATGTACTTTATATTCCGGAATTAGTCCTTTGTCTTATGCTGGGGTCGAACGAAAATCACGCCCACTTGATGTTTTTCTGACGGTGCCACGATCAAACTCCAGAAATCACTAGTAACCCGCTCGTCAGTACCAACGGCCATATTGCACCGATATGAAAGCAGAAACACAACTCACTGTGCAGAAAGGAAATTTCTGCCATACAGGTGAGTCATATTATGAAGTCCAAAACACCAATACTCACGCAAAGCCCCCAAGTGCAGTCGCTGCAATTGTTGTCGATCCAGCAAAAGGCGGGACAGTCCTTGGCGTCAGCGTCAACTGGCGTGGCGGAGCTTGATAGCGCCAACGCAGCAACGGTGGCGAGGACAATTGCAAAGGAGAAACGCATTGTGTATGAAGATTTTGATATGGAAATCTGAAAGGTTAGTAGGAAGACGGCGGCTTGCTTTTATATGCTGAATCGCGTTCCTTATGCTGTTTGGAAGAGCCTATCCGTCCATAGTCCACCATAATTCCCTCAATAGCCTCTCATTCGACCATATAATATATGATACATGCGATGCCAGCAGACTGTCATTTGGCAATTTGGTTATGGATTCAGCCATCAAAAAATATCTCCGTGGGTGAATCTGAACGTCAAATCCTGCTACCCGCATGCATGATGCATCATGATTGAAAGAAAGACCTCTCGATCCCAGAATATCTACTCCCATCCGAACGTCCCCCATTTGTGCCAGCATAGTCATCGTTCCCATGCACCACGTCGGAATCAAATAAATACTTATATCCCACACGCCCCCACTGTGTGGAGCCACCTTGCACACAACGCTAAGGATATCTAATCTAAAATATATCAGCACTCGTAGCTACTGGCTCGCTGTCAATTGTGTCCACCCTGCTGCATATTTGCAATCTGTTGGCGTGCCCTCCTTTTCACTTGCAAGTGGCCCTTCCTTTGTATTCCACGACACTATCAGTTGTACATGACTACTGCCCGCACCTTCCGTGGCTTACTCGGGTTTCAAATGCGTTGGGGTATCAACATGAGAGCAAACACTATTGGAAATACGACAGTTACATTACTTCGCCTGACGTCGGTGACTTAAGTATCTGTCATCATTTTTACTTGTGGAGCTAATACAGCTTCCGAGAAATTGACGCACCTGAACAAACACCAGAATGCTTAGTGATGTTTACTGTACCCAGATTTCCTCCCCGTCGACTGGATCTCAAATAAATGGTACACGAGTACGAATAAAAGCTCTACATTGTCGATTCGTTGAAGTCCGACTGCTCAACAATGTCAAGTATCACTGTCTCGCGTTTTCTTTCCATCCTTCGAGTTACCGCTCAAGCTGGATGGTGAATATCTGAATCGCAGTTTCCTTTGAGACTAGCTTAGGCAACTACTTTCAAATTTAGCTTCGGAGCAAATGAGGAGAAAGGTGGTGCAAATAATGATGTTCATCTGTCCGCTTTTGTAGTGAAATGACACGGGTGTGCCAATAAAAAGCAACGACCGACTCGGAAGGTCACTGCTTGTGTTAAATAAATAGCACGACGCATGCTCGACTAAATTTCTCCTCCCTGCAGGCCACTCAGCAATCATGTTCCTACACAGTGGTGCTAGTTGATACATGTATACGCTCCTGGAAGACAATCGAATTCATGCTTATTTCTGCGTCGGAGTCGGCCACGAGTTTGGCATGATATTCTCGAACGCTAAGAATGAGCCGTGGTCCCAACACAAACGCCTGCAGGACCGATAAAATTTGAAAAGCAATATCGAATATCTGAACTTCCATAGAATCAGATTCCTACACAAACGATGAGCAGTGGTTACCAGCAAATATCAGCGAAAGGTCAGCATACCTTGAGTGGAGATTCATTAGCAAGCTGAATACAAGTGACACCGACAGAGCTAACATGCGCAGAATTCGAGCAGAAAAGATGGCCAGATTCGCATTACAAGCTCACCTTGCAAAATAAAGCACGTGATATTTTATCAGGACTCTGAAACAATCCCCGATGGCCGATCCTGTCGATGGGCCAAATCGTCGCAGGTCACGGAAGTGTTTCGCGGCAATCCAGACTGCAAGACACAGAGCGAGGACTTCCCAAGCAGTGTAGAGCATCCAATACATTGAAAACAGAAGATGGGCGTCCCCTTCATATCGATAATTGCACATATACGTGCCAGAGAGTATCAACTCCTCTAGTGTTCATCCAATAAGCCGTGTTCTTCAAACCAACTAGTAAAGCTTACCCCGTACAACATCCTTGACTGATATTGGCATGATTATTCCACAGGCAATGGTAACAACCAAAAAGACGGTAACAAGGAAGATGAGCATCATTCTAGATCCCTGATACATGGCTTGTATGCGAGCAATCATGATGACTGGCATCGTGTTTCAATCGAGTCAATATCGCAGAGGTATTTCAGCTAGGTAACTCACCGCTCAACATGGCATATACGACCACCCCTATCCCATTCCGTGCGTAGTACACAATGTTGCCTGAAACACCCAGTAAGTGAAAAGCTCTCGTACTAGTATCAAAAGCTATGACTCACACCTATTGTCATTATGTTGAGCCAAGTTCAATGGTCAGAATCTCACTCACCCCTACAAATCAGCGTGCTCATTAGATAGGAATGAGATGATTGTGGGATACTCACTGCATCTGTCAGGGAGACAGGCGGCATATTTTCTGTGTGTCGCTTGTCAGAAGAATCGAACACAGCACATACAAGACATACCCAAAACATCAACACTAATCGTGAGAGATGAGACATTAGCACAGTATCAATAATTTATTGGCCTCAAGACATACACAAGATATGGTATTTCAATGTAGCGTACCTAGAACATTGCAGAGTCAACACAATTTGCCAATCATCCTATAGCACAACATGAGGTACGAACAACCAAATACAGCACAGTCATGAGGGACCAGCGTTGCTTCTGTTACAAATTCATTGCCTTTCTTCTGATGCGGGACTCTTGTAACTCACCCATATCAGTTCAATCTATGATGCCATTCTTTGTGAGTTGGTTGCTCTGGCGATAAAATCGACCTACCTCTTGTCCCAGTATTAGTACTGGAAATATTATAAGAATATCAGCGGTTCTCGAACAATGTCCCGCTCACCAGAATCATATACCACCAACACGCCAGCAGCAACTACAAGACTGCAAGTCAATGTTAGAACTAGACGCCTTGATACTACGAACTCGTCCAATAGCTGAAAGTGATATTTGAATCGATTACTGGCCACCAACTGGGATTATTTGGGACTACAGTCATATTTGAGCGGTGGGTGTGAGCGAGTGGGGGATGATGGTGTATCACGATACTTTCATGCTTAATGTACCGCTATGAGGTGCCAAAATTTGCATGATGGAGTGGACATTTGATTCCGCCCTGATTGGGTGGAGTAGTAAGTATTCTGGTGTGCAAAAGAAAAAGCCGTTGGATTTCATATTAGCGCCACCATCAATCTAATGCTGCCGGAGTATTCCGGCGTCCGGGTGTCTCACACTCCCGGAGCGGCTGCCAGTGCACCACAGCCCAACCTAGATGGTGTCGGCGACTCGAGCTAGACGAAGCTGGATTACACTCTCCGGATGCGCAACAACCCACCGATTAGCAAGTCCAACTCTACGTCATAGTACCAGAGAAGTCAAACAAGAAGCCGTGACAGAGTGGGTCGAAATATACCTCACCTTCAAGTTATCAGTCATATGGACGAGCTCTTGGTCGTCTCTTGCTTCGTTCTCAAGTCACCGACCAACTGATTGCTCTAGTGCAACAGAAAAGAGGGGTAAGGGCCCGAGCTACTAGTAATGGAAGATCCTGGGCATCTTGAAATCTTCCTTTCTCCAACCAATACATGAATAGCGGCGAGAAAGGACGCCATCACGGCTCAGGATTGGAGGGCACTGTGTAAATATATCATGATGTGGCAGGCCATGCAATGAGATAACTGTATGGTTTCGACAGGCGAAATAGTAAGCACAAGCACTTCCACTGACGATGTGCATACTTGTCAGCATACATGGCGATCAACTCTTATTGACAAGGAGACTAGTGCAGAAAGATGTAACTAAGGTCAATCATTCTCACTTGTAGGTACTCGAGACTAACTTGGGTCGCGTGTGGCGGCACTGGAATGTCGATCATCCGCAAATAAAGGCAGAGGTGGGTGAATAAACGCGTCACCCTCGGGTACATGTAGAATGCACGTTATTCGGCTTACTCTGACGATTCGGGATCTAGGTTTATATCTTTGAGTCTAGCCCCAAATCCCTTGTTAGGACCGAGGAGAGCGGCAAGGTCATTCTTCAGCCTAGCACACAGAGGACTTCTGCACAAGACGAATGTAAGGATTCGGACATTTCTCCAGAAATTGAAAACAGTGTTGAACTGGTCGTCATAATTGCTTGAAATTTAAACCGGTCCGACACCTGCTACAACAGGCTTCGAACTCCTCCAGTTCGGCTTTGATTCTTCCATCGGACTCGCCGGAAATGTGATCTCCACTGGGTAGTCACGAAAGCGACTGCCAGCGCACCGCCTTGATATGCCCCTTTCAAACACCTTCGATCTTTTCATTAATAGCACCCCACCGCTGAAAACCTCCGCCCTTCCTTCCGCACGCTCTTCCCATCCGGTGAAAGCGTCAGTGCACACTGCATATGTGTTGCCGCCATCCCCTTCCCTGGCTCCCCAAGGTTCCTCAACAATAAGATCTCTGCTGCAGTTCCACCACCGCATCCTGACGATGTAGACGTTGTCGTACAAGAAAACGAAATTCCAATCCTTGTTCACATGTCCCTCAAATACGTACTTTATATTCCGGAATTGGTCCTTTGTCTTATGCTGGGGTTGAGGATTCCTCGATGGTAGGCTCTGCAGAGGACTCAGACGCCATAGCTCGTTATTGTATAGTGTATGATGCATCAATGTAACTCGGACGTGGTCCGTGATCAATTATGAGGGCGAAAGCGCATCAGTTCTCACCAGGTTGGGTTTTATGTATCGTTCCATGAGGAGTCGAGGCACCACCATTTGAGCCTCGATTGAATGACCGTACCCGGTGCTAATGTGACAGTTTGTGGCTAGGTGTGGCAATCAGCTCGTTCAATACATGATAGTAGCCTCAAGGTTGCCTCGTGCCCTGACTACATAGTATAGGCTCCAAAATTCAAAAACAAATATACTGAAGGCACTATTATCACTATCAGTCCACAAATGATATGGCGAATACTACAAAATGACAATCTATCGAGGGTATCGAGAAAAACATACAGGAAACATATCTACGTGACGCTTCATAGTTTTGCTTTCACTGTTACTTCTTTTTCATACCCCTCAATCAATACCCGTCTTAACACCTTCCCAGTCGGTGACTTCGGAATCTACCCAAGGGCTCAGTCAACGTATCAAAAACAAGATGAGGAAAAGGCCCACCGTCTTCACAATCCCAATGCCCCCTCTCAACCACTTATACCGACTGAGGCGCTCCTGCACCCACGCATTAAGTCGTGTCACAACCTCTTTCTCACCCAACGCTGCACCCGCGGGAGACAACACGATCCATGCACGCGGGATGCGTTCGTCCGAGGTACGCCCACCCAAGATGCCCGCGACGCTCACATCAGTAATGAGTTTATCGGGCTGCGCCAAGATCGTATCCTCAATTTCGACGGGAGAGACTTGCATCCCTGAGATCTTGAGCGTGTCCTTAAGGACCGAGGTCAGTACAATACGAAACGAAACGAGTTGTGTAAATAGTCCGTGCAACTTGCCTTAATGCGGTCTTCGAAACTGCAAACAGGACAAGTCGACCTAGCATGAATAGGCATATCGTGCTCGTCGAATCGACTTACAAAAGCACCTCGTCCTCATCTATCCGGATCCGGTCGCCCGTGCGTACCCATCCATCGGCAAACGTTTCCCGAGTGGCCTTGTCGTTTCCTTTATATCCCAGTGCCACAGCGTTTCCGCGGACAAGAAGCTCGCCAGGCTCGTTCGGGCCTACCAGGGACCCATCGGGACGGACAACGCGGGCTTCGACACCTGGGCTGAGAATTCCAACAGAGCCAGGCTTGTTTTTGGCACGTCCACCGAGGATACCAGGGATGGGTTTTATGGCAATAGCCATTGTCTATCTCAGAAAACGATGTCAGCGAGCTGGAAGGAGCAGATAGATCACTTACAAATTCGGACATGCCGTAACCTGTAAAAATTAGTTTAAATAATAACACCAGGGTGGAGGACGCACCGTCAGTAATTCTTGGAATGTCTTTGAAACGGGCGCAAACCTGGTTGGCGAGCTGAGGCGGGAGATGTGCGGCGCCACACATGATTTCCTTCACCGAGTCCATATCAGTAGTTTTCGAGCGTGAATGATGAACGAGCTGGTGTAGAAGGGAGGGGACGAGTATTAGAGTCGTGATGCGGTATCTGCATACTCATAATGAGTGCCAGAAGTACTACAGGACACGATAAATATCCACTTACTTCGGGATGCTGTCAAAAAATTCATCGATGTTCCATTTTGGGAGCATGACAATGGTAGAAGGATTGAGGAAGCTTGAGAAACATGTCGTTCCAAGGCCGAAAGTGTGATAGAGCGGAAGGATACTGAAAATTACTTGTAGCCCATTAGGGGTATTCCATACTGGTGGCTAGCAGAGAAGTCAGGGAGACCAAGAAAGTAGCGTCGAAAGACGTACAGCTTGAGTTTTGGCTATTTCCATACCGTTTACCATTGTTGAAAGGATAGAAACAGTGATATTTCCGTGGGATGCCATGACGGCTGTACAATATAGTCAGACCTTGTGTGTTTCTGTGATTCGGAAACGAGACTAGTGACAAAAAGAGAAGCATACCTTTGGGAAGACCACTTGTTCCACTAGAATAGATCAGGTAGGCCAGAGTGTCCTTGGTGGCATGACGGACTGGCAAACGTGGAACACCATTTTTTCGAGCAGTGCAGACAAGCTGATCGTAGCTTGTATAGCCTTCATTCTCTCCCTCTAGAAGGTGGATCCGATCTGCTGGGAGACCTGAAGTCAAAGCGAGTGGGAGTAACGAAGGACTGGCAAAGATCCTAGTCGCCTGCGCTAGCGAATTAGCGTGATTGAACTCGTACGGCGTTGAATAGTGTGAGAACAGCACAAATGGAACGGTGATAGCCAATAGGGAATGCACCAAGGCTACGTAGTCCTGAAAAAATGTCCTTGTTAATTCACAGTTTCGACTGAACAATGAGATGCAACGCACTAGGCAGTTCTCACTCAGTATGCCTACAAGGTCTCCTTTCTCTGGACGAAGACCTAGGCCACCTTGCGTCATATCAGCACCCAATGCAGCAGCGCCATCGTGGACACGGTTGACAAACTCTCTGAACGAACGCCGTTGGCCAGTAGCCACATTCACAAACAATGTGAAATCTGGCCAATCCCGCTGGTCAGGTCGGTCCAAGAGCAGGTGGTGAACATTAGATTCTGAGACCTTTGGTAGGTCAGGGAAGAGCGACTTGTGGTACATACTTTGATAAGCGATGCCCGAGGCTTTATATTGAGAATATTAAGGGTCCTGTGACGGAACCAGACTTGTACGTTTGTGGTTATAAGTTGTCCGATTTATGAGCACCACCCGACTGGAATCGACTCTTGTCAATGAATTTACGGAACCAATATGGACCACGTAAAGTATTAACCGCCGGACTAGTAAGGCCGGTTTCAATGATGAACGATCTCCGAGTCTGTTTGGTATAAGTAGTCTTGGTCGATCCGCATTGAGCGAGGGACTTTGCCGAAATACCAACCGAAAGTTAAAGCAAGCGAACCGTATGATCGTTATCAAGGGTCGATGATATGATCAATGATCAGGATGATTGTATTAGCTGCATAGTGACCTTGCCGTACAATTGTGGTTGTTTGTATTGAGATCACCTACCAGTATTCAAAAGATCATTGCTTCTTGATGGGCCAATGCCCGTGAGATCGCTACTGGGGCGCGAGGATTCGGGAAATCAGACCACGCAAGGGTTAGATTAAATGAGGGTGTGACTCGAGTTGTGCACTCTTGCAGCGTAACCGTACATCCTTCAAATCCGTTGCTGATTCGTCCTCTTATTTCATTAGATTATTCAATTTCTCTGGAGTTGCGACAGAAGAGCAATACCTCTCACCGGGAAGATGCTCGTCACTAGTGTATCATGATGCTACATATGCTGTGACTCATCCTGGTCATGGGCACTGCGACTGCCAGAATGTCGATTTTTGGATCCATGATGAGTCACCGTGTCCACCTTGGCTAATGACACAAATTCTGTGATAGTGTTATAACGTTAGACTCGTGGGTCACGGCCGGTCACTAGCCGCCCAGTAGTTACGTCAGCGTAATACAGTATGGGTCCCACATGTCGTTATTTGACACCAGTTGAAGTTACAGTCGAGTTGCGCGTACGCTGCCAGTGGTAACCCTGTCCTAAGACTGATTATTACACAATGTACACAATAAGTTGTGATACGTGATAATAAGTACTCGAAATAGATAGAAAGGAAGGGCAGATGTGAATGGCATATGATAGAAAAACACCGAGACAATGCCAGGACGGTACCTCCAACTTGCTAGGGATATCATGAAACCTTTATGCAAGCTCACCTGTGACACGAGCCCCGACACTCCTCACGCACTCTCAGTCAAAGAGCCGTATCAAGTGACACCACCTCCGCCTTGTCATCGTCTGCACTACTCTCGGAACCAGAGCCGAGTGCGCTCGGTCTCCAATCCGCTGTTTCCACGCACGCCCAGCTTGTGTAAGCGAGATGCTTACTAGTCTAAGAGGGATTCAGAGTTAGCAATATGTGGATAAGCAGGCTAAAAAAACAAGAACAAACGGATGAAGAACAACTACTAAGCTTACATAATAAGTTCGGCTAGGTTTCGAGCCGTCGAACTTGCCGCAAGCCTCGATCTTGTCATCAAGGAGGTTTTCCAGGATCCAGGGCAGGATGACGGCAGGAAAGACACCAAACGGTCAGGGACTCCGTCACGCAAATGGACTTGACTCCGAGTCGGACCCCTGTCACGTAAGTTAAGTTGTAGTAACACCTGCGCATTGCGTGGCGATAAGACTTCTGATCAACTTACAACACTGTAGCTTCATCCAACGGCCCCACTGGCAGGACCGAAACATCCGAGACGCTCGCCGTTCCATCAAGAATGTTCCTTTTGTTCGACACCTTAACGTTGCCAAATCCACCAGCCTATCAGAAACACGCGGCATGGAAGCCTGTACAGGTTCGTACAGGTTTGATTGTACAGCACCCTGTCTCGTTAAAAAGTATAAAATACGCAGGTGCCAATGCTATTTTTCTCGTGTGTCTTGGCAGCACTAGGCACATATCGTACTATGAGGACACTTGAGGTGGTGTTTCAATTGTCGATTGCACCAAGGAACTGACATTTTCGGTTCCCAAATAACTTAGACTGTCGGTGTTCTACTATCCCAACAAACACTCGTCTCGAGTTGTTGTTTGCTCTCAGGTGAGTAACGAAGCCTCACCTGATGTTTGGTTCATAGTTGATTGATTTTAAGCTCAGGAACCTTTTTCAGCGCTACAAACTTGTCGGCAGAATTTTATCCGTGCAGGTATGTAAATTGCGTTGTATTACATTTTCTTCACTTAAATTTATTCACGTTTGTGACTAGTAGCGATCTGTCATGCTCGAGAATTTCGAAGACCGCCTCAATGAGTTTGACCGCGCTATGTAATGAACGACATCCCTATCCGCCTCATCCGCCTGTCAGATATAAGTTCGTTGGGCGTACTGACATGAAGAACCACTTTCGAAGATCTGTCCTTCAATGGGACACTTCTTACAGTTGGTATCCGAGGCCGTATCTTGCTCACAAGGTCAAGTACGCCATTCTGTCTCACTGATGGTTGGATGTGGGAGAACCGACTTATGAAGAGATGAAGGCCGGCGCAGCGACAGGCCCGGGATACGAGAAGCTGCTGAACTTCTGCGCAAAAGCCAGGGAGCATGGAATGGAATTTGCGTGGTCAGATACCTGTTGCATCGACAGAAACAGCAGTACAGAGCTCGACGAGTCAATTCGTTCCATGTTCCGGTGGTATCGCAATTCATACATCTGTATCGTCCATCTGGCACAAAGCATGATCGTCGAGGATATATTGGACGATGAATGGACGACGAGAGGCTGGACATTGCAAGAACTCCTTGCGCCCTGCCTCATCAAATTCTTCAACAAGCGGTGGATGCCCATGACGGATGATGACAAACCTTGGCAAGAGAAATAATTAATGGAGGTTCTGGAAAGAGCCACTGGCATTCCTCAAGATGATCTTCGCCGGTTTTATCCTAGTCCATCCAAGGTGGACGAACGGATGACCTGGGCAGCCAGACGCAAAACAACACGCGTCGAAGATGTGGCCAATTCCCTCGTGGATATTTTTGATGTCAGCCTGCAGATTGCGTACGGAGAAGGGGGAGACCGCGCATTCTGTAGGCTCATCGAGGCCATCATGCAGGCTGGCGATCCTTCTGTGCTCAACTGGAAAGGCGAGGCTGCGAAACATCACACTTCGCATGCTATTCCTCGATCACCACAGAGTTTCGTGGATCATCGAGAATTAAAGTTGACTAGTAGGCGACTGGAGATGACCATGACCGGCCTTGGCTTGCGAGTGCCTCTGGTGATACTCCCTCTCAACCTCCATTCGCTTACATATGATTACGTGTCCCGCGTTACACTCGACTGCCCGCTGTGTCCGACCAGTATGCTCTCGGCATTGTCAACTACTCACTCGTCAGTCATGGGTCATGCGAGATCCTAGGAATCAGGGGCAAGTCGGCCGGCTTCATCCTATTCCGGGTGCCTAGACATTCCTTACGCTCGACTTTACCACCATTATGTAAACCCAGATCAACTGACTTTGTCGGGCTCGGGAACGTCTCTTCCCGAAAGCAACACTTTGAACCGTGGATGCCTGTACGTCAGGAGGGCTTGGTCGAGGTTAACTTCCCGAACATACCGACTCAGTGAGTCAGCCTTTAACATCAGTCATAAGTACCTAGAAATCGTCTACTTGTGATAGTTTTGACGAGCAAGACCCATGAAACCTTCAATAGCTTAAATTGTTATTGCATATAGCCACTTATTTATCGTTGGATGAATTTTAATTCACATTTTACATCCACTCAATTCAACATGGATATCTTCTCCCTCAAGTCATGATTAGCACCTCCTGTCACACTATCTTCGAGTCGGTGTTATTTGATGTTAATTTATCTTCCACAGCAAGTACACAACACAATAGCAAGTCGCAGGGTGATCAACGACGACCCATCGGTCAAGGGCATTGAGAACACATATGAGAAATATACATACGTGATGCTTCACAGTTTGGCATTCGCTTTCGCATCTCTCTCATACCCCTCAACCAACACCCGTCTTAACACCTTTCCAGTTGGCGACTTCGGAATCTACCCAAAGGCTCAATCGACTCACCCCCAAAAAGAAAATAAGACAATAACCTACCGTCTCCACAATCCCAATGCCCCCTCTCAACCACTTATACCTACTCAGGCGCTCCTGCACCCACGCATTGAGTCGTGTCACAACCTCTTTCTCACCCAACGCTGCACCCGCAGGAGACAGCACAATCCATGCACGTGGGATGCGTTCGTCCGAGGTACGCCCACCCGAGACGCCCGCGACGCTCACATCAGTAATGAGATTGTCGGGCTGCGCCAGGATCGTATCCTCGATTTCGACAGGAGAAACTTGCATGCCCGAGATCTTGAGCGTATCCTGTAAGCACCAGGGTCAGTACAATACGAAACGAGTCACGTTTATGATTGGTGCAACTTGCCTTGGTGCGGTCTTCGAAGCTGCAAACAGGACCCCTAGCATGAGTGGGCATATCTTATTCATCAAATCAACTTACAAAAGCACCTCATCCTCATCGATCCTAATCTGATCGCCCGTGCGCAGCCATCCGTCGACAAACGTTTCTCGAGTGGCTTTCTCGTTTCCTTTGTATCCCAGCGCCATAGAGCCTCCGCGGACAAGAAGCTCGCCAGGCTCGTTCGGGCCTGCTAGGGATCCGTCTAGACGGACAACACGGGCTTCGACGCCAGGGACGAGAATTCCGGCAGAGCCAGGCTTGTTTTTCGCACGCCCATTGAGCATGCCAGGGATGGGCTTCATCGAGATGGCCATTGTCTATTTCAGACAATGATGTCAGCGGAAGCAGCAGATGAGGAGAATCACTTACAAATTCCGACATGCCATAACCTGTGAAGATTGACAGTAGCACCAGGGGTTTGCACGCGATACGTGGAAGACGCACCTTCGGTAACTCTTGGAATGTCTGGGAAACGGGCGCAAACCTGCGCGGCGAGCTGGGGCGGGAGGTACGCGGCACCGCTTCCGACTGATTTAACCGAGCTCATATCAGTAGTTTTGAAGCGTGAATGGTGAACGAGCTGGTGTAGAAGGGAGGGGACGAGAATCAGGGTCGTCATTCTGTATCTACGTACTCTAAATGAGTACTGGAGGTACCACATGACACGGTAGAAGCTCTTACTTCGGGACGCTGTCAAAGAATGTTTCGATGTCCCATTTCGGGAGCATGGCAGTTGTGGAGGGATTGAAGAAGTTGAAGAAACAAGACGTGCAAAAGCCGATAGAGTGATAGAGCGGAAGGACAGTGAAGACTACTTGTAACCCATCAGGGGTGTTCCATACTGATGGCTAGCAGAGAAGTCAGGGAGACCAAGAAGGTAGCGTCGAAAGACATACAGTCTGAACTTTAGCCATTTCCATACCGTTAACCATTGTTGAGAGGGTAATAGTAGCGATATTTCCATGGGATATCATGACGGCTGTACAATATAGTCAGACGGTGCATCTATCTTTCTCGATTCGAAAACGAGACCAGTGGTAAAACAGACGCATACCTTTGGGAAGACCGCTTGTTCCACTAGAATAGATCAGGTAGGCCAGGGTGTTCTTGGTGGCATGACGGATTGGTAAACGTGGGATACCATTCTTTCGAGCAGTGCAGACGAGCTGATCGTAGCTTGTATAGCCTTTATTCTCTCCCTCTAGAAGGTGGATCCGATCTGCTGGGAGACCTGAAGTCAAAGCGAGTGGAAGTAACGAAGGACTGGCAAAGATCCTAGTCGCCTGCGCAAGCGAATTGGCGTGTTTGAACTCGTGTGACGTTGAATAGGATGAGAAGAGCGCAAAGGGGACGGTGATAGCCAGTAGGGAATGCACCAAGGCTACATAGTCCTGAAAAAAGGCTCAATTCACAATCTCGACTGAACAATGAGATGCAACGCACTGGGCAGTTCTCGCTCAGAATGCCTACAAGATCTCCATTCTCTGGACAAAGCCCTAGACCACCTTGGGTTACATCAGCACCCAGCGCAGTAGCGCCATCACGAACACGCTCGACAAACTCCCTGAACGAACGCCGTTGGCCAGTAGCCACATTCACGAACAATGTGTAGTCTGACCACTCCCGCTGGTCAGGCCGGTTCAAAAGCAGGTGGTGAACGTTAGATTCTGGGACCTTTGGTAGGTCAGGGAAAAGAGACTTGTGATACATGCTTTAACAACCAGCACGGTGATATTGACAGTGGCTGAGAATATTCAAGGTCCTGTGACTGACCTGGCTTTTTATACGACAAGATAAAGCCAAACTTGTAACTTACGTTTGTGGTCAGAAGTTGTCCGGGTTACTAGCGCCATCAGACTAGCACCAACAGATTTTACTCAGCACAGACCATAGACGCTTGTGGCGGTTTGGAGCCGACCAACCAGAGTTGACGACTTTGGAATGCTAAAAGCGTCCCATTAACCCAAGAAAGAAAGAAAGAGAATTTCAGGCCGGTGGTACCGTCTCTTCGTGACACACGTGATTTCCCCCTCAACCACTTATACCGACTTCAATAGTCACTCCTCCCTGCTCGCGGGATCCCTTCATCCGAAGTACGCCCACCCGAAACACCTGCGACACCTGCATCGATTATCAGCTTGTTCAACTGCGCCAGAAGCATTTTCTCGATTTCGACATAGGAAACTTGCATCTTTGGAATTTTGAATGTGTCTTGTGCCACCTCAGGACAGTGTTAATAATGATATGTAGACACTGCGAGCTTGCCTTAAGCTTAAGTCGGTGCAGTCGTTATATAGTGATGAGCGTCATGGTGTCGGCTGTCGTCAAATTGACCAAAAGCAACCCGTCCTCTTCGATTGACACCTGGTCGTCCGTACACGGCCACCCGTCCACGAATGTCTCCCGCGTCGCCTTGACATCATCAGTGAACTGCTGAAGACCGAGAAGGACATATATTGCTATGGGTCATCACATTGTTTTCCTTGGCTTTATAGGTGAGATGATGCAGGCGGTTACGTGTCGAATTCCAAAGTCGGTGACTCGAAGAAATCAATTATGTTCACCGGAGATCATCAAGCTCAGTGAATTGCAATTATCATGATCCAGAGCGGAAGTGCACACGATTGCAATCATCTTCGCTTGCATGTTTCTGGATGCTGCACGTCGCAGTTGAAAGTACTCACTTGCACTCGAAATATCTTCTATTTAAAATTACAAAAAAGTACCGTTGTATCTTCACAATCTCGCCTTAGCCTGTACCTTCTCATCCCTTTCGTACTCATCCACCAGCAACCGCCTCAACACTTTTCCAGTTGGCGACTTTGGAATCTGCCAAAGCGTTCAGTCAACACAAGTGGAAAAGAAAGGGAACAACGCCACCGTCGTCACACAAGCGATTCCCCCCCTCAACCACTTATACCGACTTAGCCGCTCCTGCACCCATGCATCAAGCCGTCCCACGACCTCTTTCCCACCGAGCGCTACCCCTGCCGGGGAAAGCACGATCCATGCTCGCGGGACACGTTCGTCTGAGGTACGCCCGCCCGAAACACCTGCAACACATACATCGACGACTAGCTTGTCCGACTGCGCCAGAAGCGTGTTCTCGATTTCGACAAGGGAAACTTGCATCCCCGAAATTTTGAGTGTGTCCTGTAACGGCTCAGGACAACGTCAATAATGATACATAGATGGCACAAGCTTGCCTTGATGCGGTCCTCAAAGCTACAAAGGGTATGTTAGCATCGTGTGGTGATGAGCATGCCGGCTGTCGCCAAATTGACTCACAAAAGCACTCCGTCCTCATCAATCCGCATCCGGTCGCCCGTACGCAGCCACCCATCGACGAATGCCTCTTGTGTCGCCTTGATATTTCCTTTGTATCCAAGCACCATGGCGCCCCCGCGTACATAGATTTCACCCGCCTCGTTTGGACCCGCGAGAGATCCATCAGGACGGAGAATGCGAGCTTCAACACCAGAAAACAGCATTCCGACGGAGCCAGGTTTGTTCTTGGCCCGTCCATCGAGCATACCAGGCAGGGGTTTCATAGCTACCGCTATCTACCCCCGGGCAGTAAGATGGGGGGTTGTAATGAGTGGATGATCACTTACGAATTCGGACAAACCATAACCTGTATAAATGGGTTGTAGTACAATAATCAAGAAACAAGGGAGTGGGGAACGTACCTTCTGTAATTCTTTCCATGCCTGACAAGCGGGCGCAAAGCTGGGCGTCCAGTTGAGGTGGGAGGTGTGCAGCGCCACTGCTTATGTTTTTAATCGAGCTCAAATCGGCAGTTTCGAAGCGGGGATGGTGAACCACTTGGTGTATAAGCGATGGGACGAGGCCTACCGTCGTGATACAGTATCTAGTCGTGACACAAGTATATATATCAGTAACACAGTTGCCATCAATCGTACATACTTCGGGACACTGTCGAAAAATAAATTGATATCCCACTTCGGTAGTATGGCTACCGTGGAAGGTTGGAGGAAGTTGTAAAAACAGGTCGAGTAGAGGCCGTACGAGTGGTAGACAGGAAGGATGCAGAAGCGAACATCAAGCTCCTCAGGGGTGTTCCATACCGGCTGGTGGGGAGTTGAGATAACAAAAAAGTAACATCAGATGAATACATACCTCTTGGATTTTAGCCATTTCCGTAGCTTGTACCACCAGTCCTAGGAGGGCATGGATGATATTTCCATGGGATGCCATGACGGCTGTGTGACGAGGTCAGAAATGCTACATATGGTGTGCCCATGCTTCTGCGATAAAAACCAGAAAAGAGATACGTACCTTTGGGTAAACCGCTTGTTCCGCTGGAAAAAACCAGAAAGGCCAGAGTATCCTTATTAGCATAACGGACTGGCAGCCGTGGGATGTTATTCTTGCGAGCAGAGGAGACGAGCTGGTCGTAACTTGTGTAACCATCACGTTCTCCCTCTAGGATGTAGATCCGATCCTTGGGGAGGCCTGAGGTTAAGGCGAGTGGCAGCAATGAGGGACTGGAAAAAATCCTAGTTGCCTGCGCGAGGGAACTGATGGCTTCGAATTCGTGAGGTGTAGAATACGATGAGAACAGTGCAAATGGAACTGTGATAGCTAACAGCGAATGCACCAAAGCGATATATTCCTGACAAAATGAGGTTATTTCCTTACAGACTCAACGCAGGAAAATGCAACCCACTAGGGAGTTCTCGCTCAGAATGCCTACAAGATCTCCATTTTCTGGACAAAGACCCAGACCACCTTGCACCACATCGGCACCTAGTGCAGTAGCGCCATCGCGGACATGATCGACAAATTCCCTGAACGAACGCCGCTGGCCGGTAGCCGCATTGACGAACAATGTGTAATCTGGCCACTCTCGCTGCTCAGGCCGGTCGAAGAGAAAGTGGTGGATGTTTGATTCAGGGACCTTTGGCAGAGCAGGGAAGAGTGACTTGTAGTACATACTTGACCACCAATATGTTACGAGGCTTCAGCAGTGCTACGAGGATAAGAAAATGACCAGTGCGTTGTCCTAGGCCCTTCGTGCGGTAGATCGGAACTGCTTATGGTAGTCGCATCGTGGAAGTCAGGAATCTCGACTACTGAGGCTACTCCACGTAGAGGGAGTCTAGACTGTCTAGCCATTGTGACACGATGATTTTCATGTGCGCTCTTCTTGTTTCCTTGTTTTAATGTTGTGCAGTCGTTCTGTTATCAAAAACTGGTCGGAACGTCTTGTAACTCTGGGCAGACTGGGAAAGAGACAGTTACTATAAGTGACGAAATAAATCGGTCGTTCACTGACCAAGTTGAATTGATTCGCGACACTGGCTGAAAACTGTCCAATGACTATATCCCAGGCCGGGTCAGAAATCACCTGCCGCTGCAAATGAAGCCGGACCATGTCGGAAATTTCCCACCCTCATTGCAATACACGTGACCTAATTGCAACACAGCTCAAAGTTTTGCAAATACAACGTAGATATGATAATATTTTAATAATATTGATATAGACTTTGCAATTTGAGTCAGTTCCAATGCAATGGCCTATTTTATGTAATATAACATGCATACAGATTCTATTATCCACACAATAATCCCTGGTCCTCCAGCAGCCTCTAATAACTCCAGTACCTAGTGCCGCTAATATTCCTTATTAGACTTGTTGTCATCACACATAAGTGCACCACTGTCAGGTCATCAGCTCTCAAGTGAGTGTAGGTAATTATTGCAATGTGAATAATAATCTGACATATGAATTAATATCATGACACAGTCTGCGGACATGTTCCTCATTGATGCATTGCAATCGCGTGTGAGTTCCATCCAACGACATCTTTCATATGGTTCTCACCGTACTCTACCAGTACTCTACATGTATACAATCCTGAACTTCTGTCAGTGTTGCATAGCGCACCACTGCAGCATGTCTGCACATTTGCAATATGTACTGGATGACAGACATAGAGTCTGTGATACCTGTGAATGCAGTTTCAAGCCCAAAGGCTTCGACCATCACCAAAGAGCCTGTGAGCAATGAGCAAGGGAGTCAGGAGAAGACACAGAGCTATGGGCGTCAATCCCGCCTGTACAAGGTCAGTGGATCAATATCAACATGATTCTGCTAATATAACTCTACTTTTTACAGTTGCTGTGCCAGCCCTGGCCGTACAAAGTGCAAACATTGATGGCAATGACATGGAATACACTGTTTATTTTCACTCCCTTTGGGATTGGGTAGTAGATCTTTTGCAACACCCTGATATTGGCCCTCATTTCATTTTCAATGCTCAGCGGCTATCGAAATTTGATGGAGACTCGTTTATTAGGTTCATCAATGAACCATGGACTGCAGATGCATTCTGGGAATGCCAGGTATGTATTTCTGTATCATACTATGACATACCATTGACATGTAGGAAAATTATGTAGTCCCAGATCCCTCCAGAAGGAAAACCATTGGTGTTCATTCTATATGCCAACAAGTCGAAGCTATCATCATTTGGGCCCGAGAAGGGATATCCCATAATTGCTTGGATAGCAAACCTTCCTGTTGCCATCAGAAATGGAAATGGGGTGGGTGGGGGATGAGTGGTCGGATGGCTCCTGCTGGTATGTTTCAATGCTGATCATCACAAATTTGCATCAAGAGCTAACCATCACTCTGTAGGTCAAAGATGACCCAAAATACAAAGGGACCCAACAATTTGCTAACTTCAAAGTTGCTGTGTGGCATGCTGCTGTCAAGAAAGTGCTCGCATCAATCATACCACCTTCGAAGCATGGCCAATGGGCAAATTGCTGGGACAATGTTGCAAGGCTCTTCTATACACTAGTGTTGATATTATCTGTGGACTACAAGGAGCAGTCAGGTTTCATTTTTTAAGTTTATTGATATGTTATCTAACTTTTTTTGTGGTCCAGGAGTGTAATGTCCCTTACTCGAGGTGTGATGAGCAAATTTCCGTGCCCAATCTGCCTGATCCCTGAGGACAAATTGTCTTCTGTCATGCCCCATAACTATATTCTTCGCACATGCCAGGCAACAAATGACCTTTTGATCAAGGCAAGGGCAGAGCGCCACAAAGGACAGCGGGAGGCAATACTCAAGGGACAGTCAATTCGTGATGTTGATGTATGATAGTGTTTTATTTAATTTGATCTATTGTAACCATCTCACTTTTAGAACACATTTCATGAAATGGATCCCAAGACTACTAATGTGCATTGCGCACTATGCTATGACCACCTTCACACTGTCCTCCGAGGTCTCTTTGGGGACCACATGTGGCAAGAGCTACAAATACTGGTCGGTCTTTTGGGACGCAACTTCACCGTAAAAGTTGACAAGAAGTAAACTTGTCAATTAAAGTTTCATAACACAATTCATTCTCATTTCTCACTTGTAGTTTTGATACACTGCCACATTGGTGCAATATGAATCATTTTGATGCTGTCATGGCTATAACATTTTCTGATGGTGGTAAATACGAAGATATTTTCAAGGTAAATGATATTTTATTCAAGTGCAAGTGTCTTCTACTCATAGGGCTACATACTGCTGAACCAGCTGATAGTGTTTGTGACCCATGATGTTCTTCCAAATGATGATGAATGTAAAATTGCTTACCTTTTCCTTCAATGTATTCCTGCATACCACGAAAATGATTGCTGCAGGACAAGAAGCCCTTCAAAATTTCTCGGAACTAATGAATGTATGTCATATTAGACTTTTGATAAACCTTTCACTCTCAGATTGATTTGTTAGAAATATATCCGCAAGTCTAAAGTTTTACGGCCAGACAAAAACTGGTCATTCCCGAAGATCCATCTAGCTGCCCATTTATTTAACAACATTGAGGCTGAGGGAGTAACTCGCAACTACAATACAAAGCCAAATGAGAAGTGTCATGGTCCTCTAAAAGGGTCATATCAACAACAAACCAATTTCAAAGATGTCACACCACAAGTACATCATTCTCTTTTCAATATCATTGGTTCTATTAGTTTTAATCTAGGTTATTAAATACAAATTTTATGTGCAGACCATTGGTCTCTCGTTTCCAAGTTTATACATGGTCAAGTGGATGAACTGGCTGCATATGATGCTCGGATGGCTGAAGACAAGATCAACAAGACTGGCCCGGATACTAACATCACATCCAATTTCCATATCAAATTTAGATCAAGGCAACCGAAAAAGTCTCTTGAGGCAATTGAGGAACAACATATTGACAACCATTCCTTCAGGTGGTTTTGTACCAACCTCAATGCATTTTTAAATGCTTTGCCCACTGTCTTGCAGCAGGTGACCATGTTACCTTCTGACGAAGTAAGTCTCACAAATTGAATGATGGTGCTTACACATGACTAATACTGAGCAGATAACAGAGCTTCAATTCCTTAAGGTTAACTACGAGTCACTAGTTGACTTCTGCCAGACCATGGACTATCTCCATTGCAGCCTGAGATTCCACAATCTTCCCTGATATGACTGCATCATCATTAACACCACAAATAGTGTTTTTTTTGCACAGCTCCTATTCCTCTTTACATGTAATGTCAACGACACATCCTATTTCATCACCTTTGTACATCCATACAACATGCCAATTGGGAGGCGTCTCCAGAAGGACAAACACCTCAAGTTTTGGCGTGTTAGATCGCAACCAAGAGAAACTGCTAGTGAGTTCATACTAGCAGAATCAATCATCTGAGGAGTCGCTCTTGCTGCCAATCCCACTATAGCTGGTGATTTTCTTGTTATGGACACAGTAGACAGTGACATATTTCTGTGCATGAAGCAAATGCACCTTGCAGCTGGGCACTTAGACTAGTAACTATCATTGCGGCTTCATGACTAACATTCATTTGTTGATATATTGTTCATCATAGTAGAAACATTATATGTACTAAGACTTAATATTCTTTTCCTCCCTCCCTGGATCCACTGTGGACGATTCAGAAGATGACAAAACCTGTTACAATAACATTTACTCCTATTTCATTTTTCTTTTTGTAACCATAGCACCGACTCTAGACTCATCTAGACTTGGCTATTCTCTTATCAAGCGGGCTGTCCGCATATCTCTTCTTCCTGATTGTAACATAGATACTATCTTGCGCCGCATGGCAGTTTCACCTATCTTTACTATCTTGATAGGTTGTACTCTTTTCCTATCTTTGTTACTATTCTTGTCGCGGCTGTGCCGCTCCCTTTTACCTATATAAACCCCATGTACCATAGATGTATTCCTTAACTTAATCTACTGGGTTTTTCCCTTGAAACCTGATCTACAAGGTCTCCATCCTTGTAGCCTGATACCTGATTCTAAGACAGTCACTCACTGTCTTAGCCTGAACCCTTGACTGCAGTAGAAGTGCTAAAACCACTCGCCGCTGATCCTACATAGAAGCTGCAGCGCTCGTGTAGTGAGAACCCTTGAACCAGAAACCTTCCTTGTGCTAGGAAGGCCGACGAACTGTCAACTCCGACTGGTCTATCTTGACCATTGACAGAAGAACTATCTCAGTCGTAACAAAAGATTAAGTTCCTCACCCAGTACTTGTTTCCCAACAGTACTCCGCCACCATTGATTCGATAACTGCGAATATCCTTGCCGCCGCATTTGGAAACATGTCGGGACCAACCGCATCATCCAGTGCAGCATCTAGCGCAGCTATTGCCACCATGAACAAACCTATTGAAATCAAGATCGGAATGCCACCAGTCTTTGATGGGAACGAGAAGACTGCCAAGAGTTTCCTACTCGCGGTCTCCGCCTACCTTGACATCAACAGCGAAATCTACAACACCGACAAGAAATGCATTATTTTCGCCACCTCATTCATGAACGAAAAAGCAGCACTCTTATGGAAGGAAGACTTCCTGACTCTAGCTCAAGACACCACCAGGCTAGACAAAAACAAGAACCCTATCGGGTATGGAACTTGGGAAGAGTTCAAAAAAGCCTTCCTCAAAGCCTTTACTACGGGAGAAGCTTCAACCGAAGCATGGATTAAGCTGAGGACCTTCAAACAAGAAGGATCCTTAGAAGAATACATCGCAGAGATTAAACATCTCTTCCAGCTTACCGGACTGACTGAAGAAGGCTCCAAAGTCCACTTCTTCACCGCCGGATTGTAATTCGGCATTGCCAATGCTATCTATAGAGCAGGCAATGTCTCAAAGGACCTCGAAGGCATGATCCAATCCGCAAGAGAAATGGACAACATCTACCAGCAGATCTTGGCGCTAAGGCCCAAGAACCAGAACCAGAACCAGAAGAAGAAGAATAGGTTCGGACCGGAAAGATACCAACCCAGAGGAGACAGAGACGCCATGGAGGTTGACCACCTCTCAGAAAAAGAAAGGTCTGAACATATGAGAGCTGGCAAATGCTTCATATGCCACCAGACTGGCCACAGAGCCAATGATAGGGAATTCCACCCTAGAGACAAGAAGCTGGTCAGAGAGACCAAGCATAAGGAAGAGGAATCGGATGATGAACCTATGGACACCCGAAGGATGACTAAGAAAAAGGATTTTTAGAATGGAGGTCTGTATTGATGCCAGTCCCTCCCATTCCAGTTTGCACTGTACATTGTATTGGAAATAAAGAAGAGTTACGTGTCCCTGCCACTCTCATCTCAACTAAACATGCGCAACCAGTCGAAACCTCTGGTGTCATCGATTCCGGCACCGCCAGATCATTCATCAGCCGCGAATTTATTGAGAAACACAATATTCGCACCAAGAGATTATCAAAACCCTTCGCCATGGTCACAGCCGACAGCAGTGATTGCAAAGACGGGAAGATCCGAGAATATGTAGATCTCGGAATCAAGATCAATAAGAGAGTCATGTATGGAAAATTCAATATGACCTGACTCCGAACCAAGGACCACATCCTCCTTGGATTCCCCTGGCTCCAAGCCATGAACCCAACAATCAATTGGGCAGAAAGCCATCTTACCTTGGATGAAACATGTTACAAGAACATCTAGACGCTTGGGCCCCTACTATTTTTCTCCTAATCCTCCTCGTATCAGCCCTCGCATCATACCCTTACCCCGACCTCACCCTTGTCATCCTTGTCATCCTCGCATTCCCTTTCGCCCTCTACCTGTCGCTTCAGCAAAGCCAATACATTTGGCCGGATCCTTTCGCTGACGAAGCATACCCGTGCTCCGTTTCACCACCTGACTGATCCTGCGGACAGTCCCCTCGCCCTTACCGTCTGGACGGTAACCTATGATATGATGCACGACGCATCCCCTTTGCCCTGATTACCTTTCTTGATCTCTGACTCGGTGCGCAGTCGCACATGCGACTTATACTTAGATCCGCAGCTGCACGATCGTGCCCCTGCGTGTTTCACTTCTCATTCTGATCTTTGACTCACTTCTTATCTGCACGTTCAGAGCTCGCCCGTGTCTCACCTCGAACGTGCCTTCCTTTTATGGTCATACCCTTTCCTGTTTACTTCTCTTGGTAGTACGAGTTATCATCCACTAAATACGCTTCCTGTCCTCTATATAAACTCGCTACCATGTAACCTATTCCTTAACTTGAATCTACTTGGTTCTTGACCTCCTACTCTCACCAGAGTGATCCTTCTGCCTCGCCAGCAGTCTATATTCTATCTTCTTATCTGCTCATCGCGGATAAGCCTATAGTCTCGATCTTTACTCATCGACTTCGTCGACGAGCAAAGCCCCTGTTAACTAGTCGGACTTCTGTCCTTCTAATTAACGACGATCCTTACGATTAACCTTCGGGTGTCGTAAGCCTAGGCTGATATAGCTTATCAGTCTCGCACCCGCGTGATATAAGCTACCCGATTTGGACATAGGCGTTAAATCGTACTTGCCGAAGACCCGCCAAGTACGACCCCTAACCTTGGGCTAGCCCAAGGACAGTCCACAGACCGTTGACGACACAAGCTCTGTTTGAGCAGTCGCCAACAGATACCATCCAAGTCGTAACAAAACACCCCAATCCCGGGAAGTAGAAGAATGGCTAGATGAAGAAAGACTGAGAGGCAGGCTTCAAGCCGCTCTTCAAGAAACCGAAGCCTTACCCAAGGAAGGCCCCCAAGAACATCCTGCACCCCAAGAAGGTGCCTATCCCAGACCCGATGACCTCTAAGAAGGCGCCAACTCCTGAACCTGTTGTTCAGAAGAAGGAAGAATTCCGTGCCTCCATCGAGAAAATTCCCGATGAAGATGAACCTGTTCCACAGTTGAACCCTAACCCCGACAAAGAAGACGAGGGATTCGAAATCCCGAATTTTGACCAGAAATACGATGCATGGGTAAAAGATAACTTCGCACCAAAAGTCGAAGATTTGGCCTCTTTTCCTCTCACCGACAACAAATTCCTCATTGAATACTCCCAGGACGCCACCGCAGTACACCTGATAGAGAATTTGGATTTGGATACTCCCCTCACCCGCGACGGTACATTGGCCTTTGAAACCAAGAAAATGGCAAAACCTCCATCACTTCCAGAATACCTGAAGACTAGCAACAAGTCCCAGGAATTAGCCATGGAAGGTGAGATTGAGAAGAAGAAGAAGACATTCGAAGAATTAGTCCCTTCTTACCTTCACGACTTCGCCGACTTATTTGCCAAAGACGGTCTTAACTCCATGCCACCTCACCGACCGGGTATTGATCACAGGATTGAAACGAAACCTGGATATATATCCCGAAATCATCCAAACTCTACCCCCTATCTGAAAAGGAATGAACCGCGGTCAAGGCATTTATCGATGAACATGTGAAAAAGGAATTCATATCACCTTTGAAGTCCCCCCAGTCTAGCGGTTTCTTCTTCGTTGGAAAGAAAGATGGATCCCTTCAGCCTTGTCAAGATTACCGGTATATTAATGAATGGACAATCAAGAACGCATATCCCCTTCCTCTCATCCCACCACTCTTAGTGAAACTTCGCGACGCAAAGTACTTCACCAAGATGGATGTCCGATCCGGTTACAACAACATCCGGATTCACCCTGAAGATAGATGGAAGGCAGCATTTACTACTGAATTCGGACTCTTTGAGCCAAATTTCATGTTCTTTGGTCTTTGCAACTCTCCCGGTACTTTCCAGGCCTACATGAACCAGACGTTCCAACAGGAACTGAATGAAGGATGGCTCATCGTCTACATGGATGACATCCTGATATTCTCCAAGAACCTTGAAAAACACCACAAACAGACACGCTGGATATTGGATATTCTCAGAAAAGAGAAGCTATTTTTGAAAGCGGAAAAGTGCCTTTTCGACGTACAAAAAGTCAACTACCTCGGAATGATCATCAGACCCGGACAAATTGCAATGGACCCTACCAAACTCAAAGGCATTGCAGATTGGCCAACACCGAAGACAGTCACCGATGTTCAGTCATTCCTTGGATTTTGCAACTTTTACTGACACTTCATCCCACACTTTTCCGATATTGCGAAACCCCTGAACAACTTGATGAAGAAGGCCCAGCCATTCAGCTGGACTGATGAAGAAGAAAGCAGTTTCCAAGCACTCAGAAAGTGCTTTATGACGGAACCTGTCCTTAGAAACCCCGATCCTGCAAAGCAATTCGCTATTGCAACTGACGCATCCTTAGTAGCAACTGGAGCAGTGCTACTGCAAACCGATGAAAACAGCGCATATCATCCCTGCGCCTACCTCTCAGCATCCCTTAATGCAGCAGAGCGGAACTATCAGATTTATGACAGAGAACTATTGGCCGTCATCTGAGCTTTGACAGCTTGGAGACACTACCTCGAAGGGCATGGTCATCCGGTCATCGTATTCACAGGCCATATGAAC